AGACTAAGACTCAGTAATACTTACCTATCTTTTTCTGAAGAAGTACCTAACGATACTTAGCCTTATTTCTTCAAAAAAGATATGCTCTTAACTACGCTCTTGCAGCAAGGGCTTAGCGCCACTGTTTGACGTTAAGCAGTGAATAAAATAAATGGTTTTCAGTTATATCTTTACCGAACATACCTATTTTAGCAGCAATATAAAAAAACGTGATTGGCCTCATTATCAATCATCAAAAAACCTATCTTTAGTCGAGAAACATCTTTAAAGGTCTGGGTCATAACAATAGATATTCCGAGTTTTAAACCGTTAAATATATTTAAATTGATTGTGTATATCACGACTCTGCTTCTATCTCTTTTAGGATATCGTTTGCGTAATTAAGACATACCCTAACAAAACCGTTTAAAGATTTCGTGGTTCATTCTAGCCTGATAGAAAGACCAGTAAGACTCATCTTAGTCTGAAGAATAACGACTTCAGAGTATAATTAAACAAAGACATATAAGACAAACCTTTGTGTATGCCCCGATTTTGTAGTCTAACAACTAGATGAAACCGAGGTAACTGTGTCGCTCTAATGACATCAAAACCATCTTCGTTGTAGATATAATAAAGTAGTAATATGTGGTCCGAACAAAACGTGCTTCAATGTAACTGTACATAAATAGGTAAAGCATTTTTCCCGCGTTTTCCATATTTTTAAATTAGATAAAGTGTTTGAACGGTTAAAAACATATTTAAGTATTGTCTCTAGATTACATTTAATTGAATACTATTATTGGTTTAAAACACGAAATATTTGTCCTCTAAAACTTTTCGACTATTACAAGTTATTTATTCAAATTGATATTATATGTAATGAACGATTAAAGCTCGGAAAACCGTCACATTTACCTCTATCAGCATTAAAGCGTGAGCCACGATGGACACTGACAGGGTAGTAAATTTAAAGTTCCCGACAAGGGGTCACGTACGCACCTAAATATTTGTTACTTCTACGAAACCTTCGTGCGGTAGTTACACGAACGGGGAAATCAACCCGCCATAAATGTGTCGTATTATTTGTTTATTTATGTTCGCTAAAAACTGAACATTATATAAAAAAACATTATTGCATTCACTTTTTAAATATGACGTATACTTCATGTATAACATCTATTTTGATTGTCATGGTCGGGACTTGAAGCGGCAATCACAGCGTTCCGTGCGTGCGTGCTATTCTAACCAATTGAACTGCAGTTTCTCGCTCGTCATTATGGAATTGCTTCAACCTTAATACGTTTAGTCAGCGTTTAACCGTAGTAGTAAAATGATATAAAATTACAGATTATTAAAATTAATATTTTTGACCTAACTTGCGCAAGATTCAGGGTTTGAGTTATTGGAATGCCTAAGAAACTATTATGCTCGAACGTCTAGGGAAAGAATTTGTAAATACTTATAACTTACATATACATTTCGCGTTTTAAACCGTTGAGAATGTTATTAATTTTAAATCTTACGAAATCACTTACCAATAAATAAAAAAAATTTTTTTTTTTTTTTTAAATCTTTTTTTTAAATTATATTGTATATACAAAATATAGTAATATATATTTTTTATGCCACACACAAAATATATAGAATACTTTCATAGAAAAAACTATAATGAAATGAATAATAGGAGTTATAAGTGACAATTACAGGACTTTTCCTAATTATCATTAATTTTATCTTCCTTAATTCAGATAATTAAAGCAGACCGAGCGATTGAATAAAAACAACAATTTCCTGGTAAACGGGAAAAGAAAATAAAATTATCCGCTATTTGCGAGTGAGGGAACTCCAGCGGAGGCGTACAGGTCGGAAACAAGGCACCGCCACCGGATGCACCTGTAATTGGAGTCTTCCAATTCTCCATCGACCTTTCAGCGTATTCGCAAAACAAACTGCTTTGCACTTGTGAAAGTCTACCTTTCGATGTATCTTATTATGTCTATAAATATAAATAATGTTAACACCGATTTAAACGTTTTATGATAGACGAGGAGAGAGGAGGAGAGAGTTTTTTTTGCCTTGATGCAAGGTAAAATAGCCCAGCCCTATAACATATGAATGTTGCGCTGTCGACCTATTTTGACTTCGATTTTCGAAAAGCCACAGACTGAATCTAAAACGCAATTAAACTTCACGGCTTTTTCATCTGTGGACGGTAGAAATTACGATATTCCTTATATTAATATCCAGACAACGTTCAACAAAATTTAATAATCGAAAATAAATTGAAAAAGTTTTCGACTCGGACAGGACTGGAACCCGCATCGTCAGCGTTGCCTGCTGTTGCTCTGCCACAGAACGCTAACGAGTTCAAGCCGGTTGAAGTCCTGCCCGAGCCGAAATTTATTTCAAATTATTTTTCGATTTTTAATTTATATATAGTGCCTTCATGTGCAATAACATGTAAAAAATATTAAAGTTTTCAAAGTTCAACATGTTTCAGAAAAATTATAAATTGGACATGTTAGTCTCGGGGGGAATCAAACCCACGACCCGTTGATTATTAAGCACACATTGCTACCATTACACCAACGAGCACTTTAATTGTAACCTAACATTTTCTTGTACGAAGTGAACTCTATATTTCCTCTTTAAAGTACAGATATATTTGTGCTTGTCGCTCTTCTTAACAGGCAAGCAGATAATCAGATATGAGCAAGAGTCTGTGCTTTGCCCGATGGAAACTATTATGTTTTCCCGGCATTCAAATTGCGCTTACCATACTTATAGTTCTCTTCCAATATTAGTATAACTAAATAAGAATCTCGCAATTACAAATTTCTTGATGCACACATTATTTGATTATCAAAAAAATATATATAAATAGTTCATGCAACTATATATAGTTTGTGTCCTTGTCTTACAATAATATTCTCGGTTGAAGTGCATCTTTTTATACCCTTTCAGAGTCCCCGTGGATTCTAAAGTGGGATGCCTATAGCCTTTCAGAAGTTTCGCTACGATTTCTTTTTATATCTCCGCTTCAATTTCGCAGCGCAATTTATATGCACTTTGTAGCGATGGCTTTTCAAAAGCGCCCTAGAAGGGCGTTTATTCGCGCAGAGCGCCACTGTTAAATGTCGTTTTACTGGTAGAGATACGTCTTGATGACGTCGTTCATACTTAATGAGCAGCCAGTATCCGGTGCTACGCAAATTGCCAAGTCCATGAGAGGCCTCCCGTTTGCCAAGTACTTAAGGCCGGGCCTGCGTGAAAGACGCTTCCGACCAGGTTATTGTTTACCGCTGAAATGACTTCCTTTTACTGCTTCATCGGCTAGACATGTAGTTCTAACGCCTTAGAAAAGCTCTGGAACTAGTCTATATGCAAAAATAGCCGTTGGCCATAAAAGAAAACTCTTATGTAACGACATAAAGGAGCTACGTTTTAAAAGTATTTTGTTGGGAAATGCTTGCATTTGGGCTTACTTGTATGTGGAAGCTGTCGCGTCTGCGTGGCAGTTACTGTAAATGCTCATACAAAGTTTCTCAGAGTGTGCATACACAGTTGAAAGTTGTGAAGGCTCGAGAACTACTGATGGTGTCAAACAATCTCTAAACGCTTTGAAAATTCGCTTTAAAATATATACCATTATAATTGTTCTCTAGTTAACGGCTTTTATAAGCAATTAAAGTAACTTTGTAATCCTTACATAGCGAGAGGTCTTGTCTTCGGGTATACGGTCAACATGTTCTTCCAAGCATGACCTCTATATATCATTTTCTCTGTAAAGAAAATCGGGAAACAGACACAAAAATATGTCCTCGCAAGCAGTTAAGAATTATTGCTCAAGATGATAAGAGACACGTGGTTTCAGTACTAATAATAAAAGTACATTGAACTCATGCCAATTCTAAACAAAGGATGTCTCAGTAAGATTTCACAATTTGATATTAATTCTATTTCGTCTTTCCACCTTAATTATACATATATACATTTAACTGCGCAATGACTGTTGCTTTATTCGTTACCTATAATTTTCACAAGTTAAGGCACATGAGAAAAAATATTTTAAATTAAATATTTTTATGACACAGGCGTGCCTCAAAACCCACAGTCTCACACGGTAGCTCAATCCGTACAGTCGCTATGGGTCCTGGTCTTTAAACCTTATCATAATCGAAACTCTGATGTAATCTATATAAATCTAAAGAGTGTGTATAAGCGCGCTATTCTCGGGAACTACTGGCTCAAATTTAAAACTTTTTTTTGTGTTCGTTAGAATAATTTATCGAGGAAGGCTATAAAAGATCACAATGCGACCAATAGAAGCGGAAGAAACAGTGGTCAATGTGGGATAAACGGAAAAAAATATTTATCTTTAAGTTATTTATCGTTGCGTGCGCTGTGAAAACAGTTCAAAATGTAAAATAATATATTATATGACAGAATGATCCGAAAAAAATGTCCGCTACAGTATATATCTTTCTTTTAAGATTAACTTGCACAACGGGACGCGGACGACGTCTAGAGCAACAGCTATGATTTAGGTTTGCAAAAATAAAAATTTGATTCCCTAAATAACTATTCTACGCGGACGAAGTCGCTGCTACAGCTAGTATATAACAATAGTATAAAACAGTAATTAGGTTCAGTTACAGTTTAAATGAAATCTCTCACAATAATCTTAGTCATATCATTGTCGCACCTACCCGTTGGCACGCATCGCAGTCGCCATACGATTGTTGAATAACACAAGTGATTATTTTCAAACTGTTACACGTATTATACACACAGTGTACTTGTAACTCCTCAACAATTTGTGATTAATATACTTTCTATTGAGACAATTGAAGGCGATCAGTGCGCATGCGACGTTCTACGTTCATAAATACACGATAAACCTTGTTTAGCGCTTCAGAACAAGGTTTAGGGCGCCGTGTACGATGTTGTGTTTGCGATATATGAAGTTTGAGTGAGCTCCGAACGCGACGACATTGTCTGTGCTATTTATAAAAAATATGGGCGACGACAGACCACAACGTGAAGTTTGTAAGTGCGATAGTTAATTTTGGGAACTGCCAATTTCGTTTCATTAATACAACAGAGTATATATTATACAAACAAAACATACATAATTTTTTCATAGAATATGATTAGAAAAACTCATTCAAGATTTCGGTTTTCCTATTTTTAGCATTAGTGCCTCATACCTAACCCGAAGCTAAAGTGGGATTTGTGTGACATCGACTGTTAATCTTTCAGCTTTTATACAAATATACAGACAGTTCTTGCGTTTATTGTAGGTACTTTTTCTGCATAATTAGTTCCTTGCGTTTAGAGTTTTTATTTTTACGAACTATATAACTACATCTTTCTTCGAAGTTGCTTCCTTAATTAGAACCCCTTTGAACAATGAACACGGGTAAAATTAATCAAATATCATTGGTATCATTTCAAGATGATTGCCGAGTTTAGGAATAAAATAATAATCTTGACAAGTGATATCACTAAATTTGACATACTAAAACCACTAAGTTCTTTGACATTGTGTTATTGTTTAGTCATTATGTACCAGAAAGCGGCATTTTGTGAACAAAATTTACTATTTAAAATCAAGACTCACTATGTCTTTTCTATGGCCTGTTTTCATAAAATAGTAGAAATGTATTACAAATAATAATCATGAATAACATGAATGACATAAAACTTGTTAAATACTGTCTGTAGTACACATTTAAATAAAACTCTTTAACGGTTTAAAACGCGATATATATTAGCTGCCGCAAAGCATCCGAAACAAATAATTTACAAACAAGTTTAACTAATATATATCAAGTTTTAAATCGCTAAAGTGTTTTATTTAAATAAAACTAGTTTTTACGCAACAACTAAGTCAAAAGAAGGGCAAGATATTATACTAATACAAGCTTTCCACTATAACGCATTCTAGTGCAGTCTGCATCTTCCAGATATTACGTCATCGGATTATAGTTTTACAAACTTTACTACTTGTTTTCAGATACAAACGACTTAAAACTTCCTCCACGCAAAGGCTTTAAATTTGAAGTGCACTTCGCTAAAACGTGAGTAAGTATGAAATAGTTAGTGATAAATGAGTAGCCTTAGTTAATATCGAATCCCACCTAAAAGTAATAGTTTCGATCAGATCCACAGAGAGCCAGGCCACAGAAAAGTGTCTGTATTTATGCCGTACATATAGAAAACAATATTAATAATATTTAACTGTTAAATACACTAAAAAAAAATAAAAAATTCTGTGTTTTAATAATAACTTTTTATAGCACAATAATTAAATAAAACAATGCTTTTCCTCTATAATATAATTAAAGGGCCTATAAAGATGAAAATAGAGAAAATCGGGTGAAAAAGTGGTGCCCAAAGCTACCGACATCTTGGGAATTAAAACAATATTTAGCCGTCCTAATATGTGGTAAGTAAAAAATCTAAATAATGTAAAAAATTATATATATATGCTCCATTTATTCTTCTCACAGCATCGATTCTCGATTAATAATAAATTCATTAGTCTAAGCACTGTTGACTTCTAACATGAAATATAGAGGTAATATAGAGGTAACAGTAAACAATAGTTTCTCGTCACACCATGCTTGCTCAAACATATTCATTATAATAGGGAGAAGCAATATAATTAATAGTTTGAGCACTTAGCTTTAGTAATTCACTTGATATTTTAATTTTGTTGAAACATTTTATAAGCTTATTGAGATTGTTTTGAAACTTTTCCATTATATTTCCGCAGTTAAGGAAAATATATAAACTAAAGAAAACCGTTTACAGTCGCTAGTTATGGACTGCAATAAAAAGTAATACCAAAGTAGCCTCGTGATTCAATAGTTTATTCATTTTATTCACACAATAGGTACTGCATAAAATGTAGTAACAAAACCTTATATAAAAGTAATATACATTCTAACTTATGTAGCTATAACTAGACAAATATATAGAGGCTGGTTCCAAAGTCGTTAATCTAAAAACAAGGGGAATAATAGGCAAATAAGGCTCGTTGGTCCAAAGGTAGCATGTGTGGCTAATAATCAACGGGTCGAGGGTTCGATCCCCACCGGGTCCAAAATGTTTCAAATTTTTCAATTTGTAACTTTTCTGAAACATGTTGGATGGTTCTGGAAATCTGGATATTAAATGGGTGGTAGGGATATAAAAATATCCGGCCGTTTCACGAACCACCGCCCACAGATGAAAAAGCCGTGAAACTTAGTCGCGTTTCGGTTTCAGTTTGTGGATTTCCGAACATCCAAAGCTAAAACAGATCGACAGTGCATCTTGTTCAGATGCTATAGGCTAGAGTATTTCATCCACCATCAACTGAACTCCACGTTTCAATCGATTGGTAAAATGTTGGGAAAATGGGTACGAACCATGATCCGACAAGATTAAATGAAATTGACTTTTTCACCCATTAATTTTTAGTTATTAAATTACGTTATGTTATCCGGTATCAAGAAAATCAATCAAACAAAGTAAATAGAAACAAGAACACAATAATACATAATTTTTGTAACATTTTCTAAACAACTGCCCATATCTATGTAGGGTAATTTTAATCTCAGGTCACAAATCAAATCTATTTATCGTTTGATAAACGTCGCGAGACAAACATTCTTATAAATCAGTGTTTACATGACACCTCATATTAATATCTATTACATAGGTAAACTCTTTTATAGGAGTTGGTAATTGTTAACTGGCCATATAGAAAAGATCTTTTATCTGTGGTTTATACGAAGAAGTAAAATGTTTTTTATCTGTGATTTATACGAAGAAGAAAAGTGATTATTTAAAACAAAACACTTTAACGGTTTAAAACGCGATATATATTAGTTAAACTTATTTGCAAATTATTTTTAACTACGGCCCCACGTTTCAGATGCTTTGTAGTAGCTATGGTAACGGGGAGACTAAGCAACGATGACGGGTAATGCAAAACATCCAAAAAATCTGCGTAGTTAAAAATAATTTTCAAATAAGTTTAACTTATATATATCGCGTTTTAAACCGTTAAAGTGTTTTATTTAAATGTGTACTACTCGCGTAAACTACAGACAATGTTTTTTTCTCACCATAATAATATTGAAATAAAATTAAATTTGTATGGACACACTTTTTGTATGAAGAAAATGTCAATTCATTGCTAAAACTATTCTCCAGTTGCGTTTAGCACATTATTTATTTATATGTAGATTAATTTGTTAGAACAACCGTAGGCTTAAGAACAGTGTACGAAATTATGTAAATGAAAATGGATATTAGTCAATCCCTTTGTATACTATTATCCTTATTGAGCAGTCACTCCATTTATCTAATTCGATCAATCCCCGACGTCGGCGAAGTAAAAGGAAGGGTAGTGATTTTGACAAGAATGTATGTATGTTTCCGCAACAATTAAACCAATTTGAATTTTCCCGGATCATTACTTATATTATATAGCTAAGTTTGTTTGTTTGAACGCGCTAACTCAAAAACTACTGCTTTTAAGCCATAAAACATTAGGCCGCAATCAATAGAAGCGAGGAAAGAGTGGGAAATGTGGAAAAACATCCGGGAAAATTATTCATCTTTGAGGGCATCCGTGCGTGCGAAAACGGTTAAAAAATATATTTAGAAAATAATATTATTTTTTTTTTACAAAATAATATTTAAACCTAAAAAAATACTAAATTAACATGAGTCAAACGCAGTTTATGTTGTTTATATATAACTTTGCATTGCAGGACTATCACTATGGGCTACAGCATTGTTCATCTTCAGAGATCTCGTAGTCCCTGGTGGATACCTCTTTAATATCACTGCATTGGTAACGGCTGGATATGTTGTCGGTCATTCTATGGAAAGATACACAACTCTCAATCCTGTAATAAGTATGACATTAGTTGGAGCTCTTTGTAAGATCTTCGTTCCTGTTAATATTTTAGAAAGTTATACAGCGGACCAAATAGATTTTCACTTAAGGTATTTGACGTTACTTTAAAATTTCCATTTAATTGTTTTTGTATACATAATACATAACTTTGAACACTGTAATATTTTTACATGTTTTTGCACATGATGGCAGTATATGAATAAAAAATCTATTATAGATTGAAAAATTTGTAGGACACTGGCAGGTTTTACACCGACATTCACAACGTTAATGACACGGCAACTCAGTTGGTTAGAGCAACACTGTGCATTGAGCACGGAGCGCTGTGGACGGCGGTTCAAATCCTGCTCGTGTCGTAGAATTTTTTCAGTCTAAAATCGACTTTTAATATTCATACATAAATATCATAGTGGCTTATAACATAAAATTTCTCACTTAATAAAATTTCATAATGTTTTAGACGGATTTATCCAGTTATTATCTTAACAAAAGGCCCGTTAACCTGGAACTGGGAATACATAAAGCACAATTCGGTAAAAGTTTTTTCATTGGCCACACTCCCTTGGATCATCGAGTGTTTGTCGACGGCCTTCTTTGCTTTTATTTTTCTCGAGTTTCCCTGGTACTGGGGTGAGTGGAAATCGTTAACAAAATAACCTAGTTACTACTAAGCGGCCTCTCAAACTCCATCAGATTCATTAAGACGCAACTTAAGTAAATTGAACACTATAAAATGTTAATCCTGAGAGCGACGGGATTTGCTCTTGGGTAAGAGTATGAGAATTATTTTTATTTAGCTGACTCAGAAAAGGGAAGGGACTTATTTACTAGATTATTAAAGGAATTTATTTGTAGTAGAAGTAAAACCTTTTAAAAATAATGTAATAATTATATTTGAAAACTGTTTTATGCGGTAGCTCAGTTGGCAAAGCAACGGCGCGTCGCGATGTTGGTCATAGTTCAAGCCCCAGATGTGTCTTTTTTCTTTAATCAGTATCTTTTTCAAAAAGATAATATATAAGCTCTTATACGCATTGATATGTATGACAAAATAATAATTCAAGTGTAAACCAAAACTAAGTAATACTAACATCAAATAATTAATTAAGAAATAGTAAATGTATTTTTATGCTTAGCGCTCCGAAATGTTTGGGTATTTAAATAACTTTTAATTTCAATGCGACTTTTATCAAATTTGATACGATGGCATTAGCCATAGATTTAATATACATTAGATATCCCCTGCATGCTGCAAAGAATCCGAAACTGTCGGGCCTCAGTTAAAATATTGTACTTAGGAAATTAAACAGCCTTGTGATATCTAAAATAATTTCTTATTAACGAGAAAAAATTTAGAATTAAATATACTCGGAGACAGTTACCTTTACATAAGTTTTTGGTACGCTTAGATCTAGCGGTACTAAGCAGAGGTAAATCTTCTGTAAATAAATGGACTATCTAGTGCACAACATATCTTCTTCAAATAAATTGTAAATAAGTTAACTAAACATTTCGCATTTTAAACCGTTAAAAGATTTTATAATATAATATTAGTTAGTAAGAAATTTTAGGGTTAAAATTTCAAATATTAAAGGATTACAAAAAGAATGACTTTTATCAATGTATTGAAAAGTTTATTAAGCTTTTAAATAAAACACTTTAACGGTTTAAAACGCGATATACTTCTTCTTCCTCATGACCACGGCTGCTGCAAAGCATCCGAAACGTCCGGCCGAAGTTAAAAATCATTTTCCAATAAGTTTAACTAATATACCGCGTTTTAAACCGTTAAAGTGTTTTATTTAAATGTGTACTACTCGCGTAAACTATAGACAGTATTTTATTAAGCTTCTAAAACAGTGGTGACAAATTTAAACGCTCGTCTGTTATGTTTTACAGGATTGCATCTAGGAGCAATCTTATCCTCAGTGTCCCCAGCAATTGTGGTCCCAATATTGATTTCCTTGAGCGCAAAAGGTTTGGGAACAAAAAGCAAATTAGCTTTACTAGTTGGAAATGCAGGTGGTCTTGACACAGCTTTCACTGAAGGAATGTTTGGCGTAATCAACAGCGCAGTATTTTACGAGTCCACTCCTGTTTATAGAATCATAAAGGTAATTACTTAATTCACTGAGCTAACTCTAAGAAACGCAAAAATATTTTTTCAAATCAAACCAGTTATTCTTGAGTTTAACGCGTTCAAACTAACAAATCTCTCTTCAGTTTTATTATATTAGTATGGATATACTATAGATATATAGATATACGGTTTGTCCATTTTAAGTAACAGGGTAGTTAATCTTATCAGTACTAACATTTCTATCTATACTAATATTATAGAAGCATTAAAGTTACTTTTGCGTTTATTGTTTATATAGAAATGTTTTAGGCTATAAAACATCTTCTACTTGAAATTTGTAATTTTATTTTTAAACAAAATGAAATAAATATACCTTATTTAATACACAATACAAGAATGGGCGTACAAAAAATGCCACATCGATTTTATAATCTAATTTTGTTAATACACACAAAATTTCTGAAAATGAAAACCTAGAATATACGAAATATAATATAACTAGTGTGTAATTTTAAACAGGCACTCACGGCTATATTCTTTGGCATCGGGCTGGGAGTAGCGTGGGGCGTGCTGGCAGACATCCTTCCCGACCACAACGATGCCCACGCGCCGGTAATCCGAAGCTTGCACATTTTTGCAGGGGGGATCTTAATCACGTACGCCGGGGGATACTTTGGCTGGGGTGGAGTATGTAAGTACCTTCATAATTGCATCTGAGTACTAACTTGTAACAATAATGTAGGTCTCCCCTCAACGAGCAGCCCCGCAAGGCAGCCTCATTTGCCTCACACAGTAATTTCCTTTTGCCTCGGTTTCCTAAGAAGCGCTCAGTTAAGACACAAATATAGTATTCAATGAATGAATCAAAATAGAGAGCAATGCGGTATCGTCTAGTTTGCTCTGATCGTTTTTATACTCGCATATTCAATCATTTTATGTCTTATACGCTGAATTTAAATCGCAGTGATTTTCAGTGAAGAAACATACATTGCATTGTTGAACTATCAAATTATAAATTGAATATATAATACAAGATTAAACAGTTTCTTAGAATAGGACTTGTAGAGTAGCGTTTGTTATAAACTCTGTATTCTATGAACGGTTATGATTCAAAATTTTAAGAATCAGAATTACGATAGAAATAACACTACTAATACTAATACTATGCTTGTATAGACCAACTCTGTAGCTAAATGGTTAAACGTGCTGCCTAGAATTGAGTTAAGCGTGAGAGGTCCTGGGTGCGAATCCCGAGGAAACAATAAATTATTTCAGTCGAGCTGGGCACACAAATCTGATCAACTACTTGCCTGTAAATAACATCGATCAGTGAAACGAATACAGAAATGTGTTCGCCCCATGCCCCACGAGGGGAAACGGGCTTTCACATTCACTATACTCGTATAATAGAACTTTGAACGTAAGTTGTATTATAGTACTTAATCTTACAAAAAACAAAAACCTTTCGCTGAACGTTTGAACTAGAGAGACGGTATCTAATTATACATTTAGCAAAAGCTTCATTCTCCACGTAACTTTGTTATACGTTCAAGCGGATGAACAATATTTTCTCTCAATATTGCGAAACAATATGTGAAACTTAATTTGTTCCGGTTTATTACTTGATCAACAAAGCCTGTCGATAGTTGTAGGATGAAAAACTAATTTAGCTCTGGCATGTTCAGGTGACGGCAAAAGGCATAGCGTACGTGACCAGCCTGTTAGGTGTCCGACGCTTGTGTACATGCTCTATTCTAGCATAAGGAATAGGAGTCTTTCTGTACATAACATTTAAGAAAATTGTGTCTGTAGTTTACGCGAATAAAACACATTTAAATAAAGCATCCGAAACGTCCGGCTGAAGTTAAAAATCATTTTTCAATAAGTTTAACTAATATACCGCGTTTTAAACCGTTAAAGTGTTTTATTTCAATTTAAGAAAATTATCCAAAACTTTTTCTGTATAGATAAATCAATGACACAGGTAAGTTTGACCCGACGGCCACAGCGTTTCGTTCTATTTTTTTTTTACTGTCAGCGACTTTGTCCAAGTAGAATTATTAATATAAATAGAATAGAAAAGTTATTTTGGGCATTCAAATTTGGTTTTGCAAACCTCCTTCGAGTCGAGTCGAGTCGAGTCCCGTCGTTCTTGCACGTTAATCTTAAAAGATCGACTTATAATGTCGTAGAGATATTTTTAGATTGTTAAAGGATTCATCATTCAGGATCATTTTACACTTATTTTTGGTTATCTTGAATTGTTTTTGTAGCGTACACATGGGAAACTCTCAAGGATAAATAATTTTCCCCGGTTAGCACCCTCCTATTAGTCGCGATGTTTTACAGCCTACCTTGATAAATGCTCTAACCAACACAAAAATATTCTTTTAATTTGAAACAATAGTTCCTGAGATTACCGCGTTCAAACAAACTCTTCAGCTTTATATATTAGTATAGATTTATATAAGTGCAATAACATGTTAAAATAATATTCAAAGAGTAACAGTATAGAATTCAAATAAAATTAATCTTTTCGGTTCTTCTATTTGTACTGGAATGTACCGGACACATCTCTGTGGTGTTAAGCTCTCAGCTCGGCACAATATATAAGCGTTGTGATTGAAATCGGACACCAGAATTAAGTTAATTATGGTTTTCCGTCTGCTGCAGGTGTGCATTTAAAAACTTAAAACGAAAGTATTGCTTTTGAATAGCTATGGTGGAAAAGTTTTTGAATCAGAGAAAATGTGTTTAACTACAAATAAAGCGTTTAAGTTCTTATTGAGCTTCTGTTTTAGCTTTTTTAAAAATTAAATAACTATCTTTTATATAATCTTACCAAGCGCTATTAGTAGTAGAAGTCGCGAAGAAGGATAGTATATAATAGCATCAGTCCTAATGTCTGTATGTTTTAATATCTCTTTATTAAATACAAAGGTACATAATGTTTTTTATTCCGCCGACTTTGTGACTCCTTACACCCACGATACGTTGCACTGATTGTATGAGGTTCAATATTGCTGCCTAATGTCCCGGTCCTTAACAATAAACCTAAAACAGTCTCGAATAATATTTGTCCTACTTTTGGAATCCTTAGTTTAAAGTTAATTTTTTTATGCTCTGCCAAAAGAGGTTGAATTTGTTACAAAAAATATAACATATATATTATGATGTATTTGATTAACTTGCTAAAATATTTTAACAGGCGTATTTAGTTGAGATATCTTTCATAATAATTTACAAATTTAACTCCTACGCCGAGTTTAGCACAATGGAGAACTAGAATTATAGTCCAAACTTTTGATATTATAAATGTGCTATATAAGTGTAACTCCTTTTTTCGCCTACATTTACGCCCTATAGTTATATCGCAGTTATAATAATAAGTTAATCGATATATTTCACGTTTGAAACCGTTATAAGTCTTTTAAATCTAGACACGCGGCAGTATGTCAGCCAAGTTCAATTGAATTGGCGATGAGCGGCAAGTGCATACTTTACTCAAACCATTTGGGCCCACTGTTTACCCCCTCATAACTCGAAAACTATTTCACATAAGTCGTTTAAAATTCGAATCTATAATATTATGACCTGCAAGATACAAACCTATTCCAAATTTAATAAATATGTCAAATGATTGTTCAAATATTTAATGTTATTATACATACATTTTACGGCTTGGTACCCATTTAGTTCTCCACTCCTTTTGCCGTTGACGTTGACCACCACCAAAGAATAAGGTATATTATAATATTAAATTCGCATTTTATTTAACATTTATGTTTTTGACAGGATTTTATTTTACAATATACGTCAATTTAAATGTAAAATCATGGCCGCTTTCTGTATTGGTGTCTTATCTCTCCCGAGACCTCCTGTAATTCACGCCATAGTGGCGTGCTAACGACAGGCCACCGAGACAGGCTATCGACAGACCATCAGGACTTCAATGTATAAGCGGTATTCTACTAAAGGTCAAAGATGTTAAAACGTTTGACGGGGACATTGGTTCAATGACAACAGCGCAATAGCTTATAACCTTCCAGGATGTCCAAAAATATGTTAGACTAGTGTGGAAAATCTGGACATCGATGGTTTTACGAATATTGGCATTCCGTCAGAGTTAGGAACCACCATTGTAAAATTTAAAAGCTGTGAACCGTTGATTCGGTTTCAGTCTAGATTTACGAAAGGCGAAATAAATCTTATTTTAACTAGATAGCTCTAGAGTCTCCCCGTGACTACGGCTGCTGCAAAGCATCCGAAACGTCGGGCCGAAGTTAAACATCATTTTCAAATAAGTTTAACTAATATATCGCGTTTTAAGCCGTTAAAGTGTTTTATTTAAATAGATAGCTCTAGGTTATTTTGGCTTCAGCTCAGCTGTCATCCTGTGTCATAAAAAATATAGTTGGAATTCAAAATACTAATAACAATTCACATCGATCTTTTTCGAATTGAGCTCATTTTGTTAGAGCAACAGCACGGAACGCTGTGGATGCGCGTTCAAGTCCTGCGTGTGTGTTAAACCGTTTCCCCTCGTGGGGCATGGGGCGAACACATTTATGTGTCCGTTTCACGATAGGCTTATGTGCTCTCCCGACCGAAACAATTTATTGTTTCCACGGGATTTGAACCCAGGACCTCTCGCGTTTAACCATTTAGCTACAGAGGTGGTCGAAGTCCGGCCCGTGTCGTAAAATTTTTTCCAATGTAAATGCGATTTTTAATTTATATATCGCCATCGTGTGCGTACATGTAATGAAAAATATTAAAGTTTTCAAACTAATAACAATTTCTGTTAACACAAATGTAACTTGAGCTTCATATTCTTAGGAGTCGCGAGTAATTATTTCAATGAGCTTAAGTGTTGAAAACATTTCATTCATGCGTTCTAATTGTGGAGGACAATAATTAACCTTCATTTCAATTACACTCAATCCATTGTGAGTTAAATTATTCCTCCGTTTTTAAGTATTACATTTAATGTTTGTACTGTATGGCGTAATAATACCTTCTTCTATATGCTTAGATACTTTACATAGAAATATAGCCATTTCAGCAGAAACATGCTATGCTAAGTACAATCGACTGCAAATAACGATGTCTAAAATTCGAGTCTCGAGTCAAGATTGCTTGTAAAGCAATATATTGACATCCGGTATTCCGAATATCCAAAGCCAAAATGGGTTGACAGCGCCTTGTGTAGATGGTATATGACTGGAGTATTTCGCCTCCCAACAAGTGAATATCATGAGTGTCTGTCCTTCTCTATCATTGAAAATATAGTTTGATGTTTTATAAGAAAAGATTTCTCGTACTTGCCCACACTTTGGAATTAGGAGGTGTCACCCTCGTGACCTCACCGCGGCGACCACTAAACGTCAAACCCAAGACCCATTAATTATTATCCGTACATTGCTACCATGAGACGACGAGCTAACGAGCTCGACACGGTTTTAAAACCAATGAAAAGTTAAATACGGCAATATACTGTATCGTTCGTAGTCGTTAATGACCCAGTTGTAGTAACGACCTTAAACAAATAAAAAACACAATAATACATATAGCGAAACAATAGTATACAGAACTACTACTAAATTACTAATTTACACAAAATTAAGTAATTAGAAGACAGAAAAATTGTGCCGACTTTGCTTGCTAATTTCAATTATAATATTTATTTATATTTGATAGCTAACCATTTTGTAATGTACATTACAAGAGGGCCGAGGTCTCCGAAAAAAGTTATGTTCGCCTTATACACACGGTAGTCCTTTCGTAGTCCCAGCAATAGGGGTTGCTAATGATGATGATAAGAGAGATGAAGATAATATTAAACGACTTTTTTATTACGTGTTTTTTATCAGGGGAGACCCCTGCATTGCCTGCAACATTTTCTCACCTAATGTGTTTAAACCCGAACTCATAACACGAAAGATACGTTGAAATTTGAACGCCTACTTTTTGTTCCATGCCAGCGTTGCGTTATCAATTTTCGACGTTTATTTTTTTCGTGCCACTCAGGTGCTAGCGAAAATGGTCCGATTTTGACAAGTGACCTTTCAAACGATCCGATTTGCTGATTCATTACTATAGTTTTAAGCTTCGATGTAAAGCAAATAATTTTAATATTACCTTTACTAATATAACTAGATAAGCGCTAATCAAATATAAGCATTCTAACAAATTCTATGTATACTAATATTATAAAGCAGAAAAGTTTGTTTATTTGAATGCGCTAATCTCAAGAACTACTGGTTCAACTGAAAAAATATTTTTTTTGTATAGTTAGAGCCATTTATCTGGAAAGGCTGCGACTAATAGAAGCGAAGAAACAGAAGCAACTGTGGAAAAATCGGGCAAAATTATGATCTACAAAATGTCCGCGACAGTTTAGGTCTATCATTTAGAATTAAATCGCAAGAACGACGGGACGCGGACGTAATAGCTGTAATTTAAAAAGCTGAGGGGGTCGTTTGCAAAAATAAATAATATGAGGCCTAAAATAAACATTCCAAACAGGTCGAGTCGCGGGCACAGCTAGGCTCTAATAATTTTATATTAATTTTGATTATGTACGCTGCTCTACGTTTTTTTTAAGTTACTTATTATTTCAGCTGGAGTTGCCATCATGGTGTGTGCAGGAACAGCAGGTACCCGTTGGGCAAGACGTGGTTGGGCTCTCAATAATAACCCAGTCTCACAAATATATACCACACTTTGGACTATATTTGAAACTATGCTTTTCACCTTAAGTGGTTACTTTATCGACGTAAGTATAATAAACAAATGAGTTCTGTATTGTATTTGGCCTGACCAAATCATTTATACAGAAATCGTTTCAACGCCTAAGCAGTAGAAGACAAGTGGGAGAGGATTAAAATATAAAGAAACATATTTCTATGAAATTTTATAAATTAAAAAGAAGAGGTTAATAAAAGCAATGAATAAAAGAGTGGGATACAGATTATATGCACTTAGAGACTACAAATTAAGGACTAAAAAAAAATAAAACTTACATTATTACTTACATTAAAAGGCTAATTTTTACCCTAAGAGGGTGTGAGGCCGACGCCTTACTGGTGTTCATAATCTGTATGAGAAATGAAGAATGTGAATTATCTACATGTCAAGCTTTTTGTCTGATTTTTTCACAGTTTTTGAGACATTTGAAAAAATATTTCCCTAGCATTTATCATTGTGGCAACCCAGGACGTTCGGTTACTTTAAACATTGGCCCAGCCAGTGCCCAATTACAATCTGCACAATACCTATATATATAATACTAGCTGTGTTAGCTACTTCGCCAAACCAAATTTGGTTTTGCACACCTCCTCTTCATCATTATATATTTAAGCTGTTACCCACGACGTTCTTGCAAGTTAATCTTTATAGGACGACATATACTGTTGCGGAAATTTTTTGAGATCATTTAAAGAGCAACGGAAACTCATAAGGCTGAATAATTTCCCCGTTTTTTCTACATTTCCCGCTGTTTCTTCGCTCCTTTTAGATTCAGCGCAATGTTTTGTAGTATATATATATATATAACCGTTCGTGATAAATAGTTCCTGAGATTAGCGCGTTCAAGAAAAACAAACTCTTCAGCTTTATATGTATGTATGTATATATAGATATAGTTATTATTTTTTTTTTTTTAAGATCTCAGAAGTAAGCGTGAAGGAATTTGGACTGATGATAGCTTGTATATTTTCGGCCTTATTATGTAGGCTAGTGACGGCGTTTCTTGTAGGCGTAGCAAATGCTTTCTCGGTGAAAGAAAGTATATTTATAGCTATTACCTGGATTCCTAAAGCTATTGTCGAGGTAAGTTTAAAAATGTATTATTAAGTTAGCCTTCTTGTATTTAGACGGGATTTTATTTATGTTCAAATACTTATATAATTATCACTGTCACGTTGATATTGTAGACTTCTTATTCAAAACATTACTGCCTTTTTAATTACTATATTTACACTATAAGTAATTATTTTGAAAAATGCCGTTCAATAAAGACGTCGTTAAACAAACTAAAATAAACTATATACGTTGGTTTTCACAATACTTTTTTTTTCAAATCAATTCGATCTGTTTTGGTGCAATATACACAATTAAAGTCAATCTTTCTTGGAATTAAGGTAACGCGTTTGTTAAAAGTTATAGTCCTTTTTTAAGAATTCACTACTTCTATTGTTATAGCTACTGGTTAGATTTTCGACGTTCGTACGTTTCAGTGACCATTAAGGACGATTTGAGTCATTAACCCATATAAGCCAGTCTGTCTGTAAACTAAAGTTTTAATTAACTCCATTTACCCAACTTAAGTAGGTGCCTGTTTTGTGTTGTACAATGTACATCGTCCCTTTAATTCTTAATACTATTGTATATTCCATTACCTGTCTGTTGTTTAATACTTATAATACGTATAAATATAACGTTACTTTTGTTTTTTAAAGTGAACTATACTTATTGCATACTAACAAACTGCTCGAACACAGTTTGTTTATCCTACTGTTATTAAACTGACTAGTCATGGTAAATGTGAAGTATCGAGTCTTTGCTTTTAACATACAGTTAAACGTACATTAGTAACCTTTTACTTATGACTACAAGTCGTACAAATTTTTATATGCAGACTAGCAGAAAACTACTAGCTCTCTGCGTACTAACTAGTGTCTTCGGTGTACGTTGATTTTTTTATAATATATTGGCTACAAAGCATAGAAATAAAACAATCTTAAGTTTGTGAAAATAAATAAAAATTCTCTTAATTCCACAAGAGACAAATATTTGTCTCACCACACTCAATAAATATTCAAACAAATCTGAATATATATATTTCGATATTTATAATTGTACTTTTGTATTTGTACATTTTCGTTCAAAGGCAGTAGTTTCCAACTACTTAAGTTCCTTGCGGGGGCTCTTCCCGTAAAAAGCCCGACGAGGGAGAGAGAAATGAATATTTAATTTCTCTTAAACAGTCGTCTATTAGTTTAATAAACTTTACATTTCTTATTTATATTACAGCAGTAGACGCAGATAAGTGTAGTTTTGCTAATCAATTATTTGGTATCTTTATAAAGTTCTGTTAAGATATCTAGCAGTAAATCATCTAATATCTCTTAACAATAATAACAAATTGCCGATTATAATAATAAAATGAATTCATAAAACATTATCTTGATGTCATTGTTTTATTGGACGTAGCCCCTATCTGTACCACGACTAAATCTAAAAATAAAGTAACACGTCAAATTACTGCGTTGAAAAGTATGTTGAAAATTAAAATAATTGATCTAAAAAACAGCAGTCGAATCCACGACCAGAAGTTTATCGTGTCTTGACTTCTTTAGTGACTTGAGGCAAACACCGTAGTTCGTAGGTCTTAGTCCCACCTGTTGCAGTGTTTCATTTTTCAATCTCCCATAATTACTTATTAAATTTAAGGCATATGTAAAATAAAGTTTTTATGTTAACTTAAAAAAATCCGGGATAGTTTTAAAATAATTTCATTACAATAGCGTATTACGTCACGCGTATATGACCAACTCAACTGTGTTTGGGGTACGTACCATATAACCGAAATGATAAAAAAAAGGCAAAGTAACAACAAGTTAAAATTCCTATTAAAAACATAATAACATATTAGGTGTGTTAAGATTTTTCGCTAAAAATATTAAAAAAACTAAGTGCTTATCCAATTGTAATAAGTCCATTAAATTATAATTCTATATTAATCTAATTAAACGTTGAAACTAAACCAATTTCCAGACAATGTCTGAAACATTGTCTGGAAATTGGTGGTAGGAATATCGGAAAGTCCGTACGGGTCATGAACCGCCGTCCACAGATGAAAGAAAGTCTTAAAGTTTAATCGATTTTCGTTTAGTCTGTGGGCTTCCAAATATCCAAATCCAGAATAGGTTGACATCTTTTTGAGATGTTACATTGCTGGGGTATATTCCATCTAGTTTAAGCCATACTTGTATGTCTTCCTCTATCATAAAAAAAGTTTCTCTATTAGCTCAAGCATGAAATTTGTATCTATATAAGCATCTATAAAATAAAGTGTTTAGTGGTAGTTATGAGTAATTATTCTAACATTTTGATATCATGATAAACATGAATTAATTCCATTGTTTAACTATAGGTTTAAGTAATAAAATGACCTTGACTCGACTTTATTTAAACAGAAAATTATCTTATTACACCTTATCGCAGGCAAGACGGTAATGCTGAATATACGCATTATATATGCATTTACGAGAAAAGAATATTATAAAATAAATCATTCTTTTTTAAATGTTCCAATGCAGACAAAACCCTATAGAATGGAAAACGTATTTTAGAGACAAACATTTCTGACATAGGCTGGATTCGAACTGAATACTAATCGAATGAATAGTGACACAGTAGCGAAATAGATAAAGTTATATTACAATTTTTTAATTGTTTAAGTAATTTCTTGAAATATCTTAAATACCGTTCAATAATGTTAAATATATATTTGGAATAGTTACTCTACTCTGTACGTTAACATTTTAAAAAAGTCCTTACATTACAGGCTTGTCTTGTTCGAGTCGCCACAGATTCCATATGGAAAGATGCTGCTACGGATAGTGACAGAAAAATTGCTACACAACATTCAAATATGATCGTTATTGCCATAATTATAACATCCACTATTGGATCAATATTGACAAAAGTAATGGCGCCTGTTCTTCTAGCACCTTATTCAGGAGTTGGACCTGAAGGTATATGAATAGGATAACACAGCTCCTTACAACTTAATTAAAATGTTAGTTCCACGCTAAATAAAAACAATATTTTTTTCAAATACTGTCTATAGTTTACGCGAGTAGTACACATTTAAATAAAACACTTTAACGGTTTAAAACGCGTATATTAGTTAAACTTATTTGAAAATGATTTTTAACTTCGGCCCGACGTTTCGGATGCTTTTACAGCAGCCGTGGTGACGGGGAGACTAAAGATGGAGGATGTCTCTGACGTCAAAGTAAAAAATTGCTACGCTAGCACCATCTGTTCCGTCGAAGTTGGTATTTGGCAAAACGCGGGTCTACAGATTGCTAACGGTGTCTCCGCTTTTTGTTGTTTTGTTTTTTTTGGGATTCAGGTTTTTTTTTTTGGGGTTCCGGGTTTTTTTTTTTTTTGGGGCCTTTTTTTTTGCCCCCCCCCTTTTTTTTTTTTTTTTTTTGACGATGGGTCTCTCTAACAGAATTGACACGTCGCGGATATAAAACAAAACGTCTCTCCAAATCTGCGGTATGCCAACATCATGAAGGGCCCAATCACGCACTCGCTTGACACAAAAATCCTTTAAAAAAAGATAGGTACGCGAAGCAACTGAAAAAAAACAAAATTCAATAGGGAGGAGGCTCAAATTATCAACCGGGGATAATATAAAAAATATGGATCCCAATAAACAGCATAAAGCAGCCGGCAAACGCGAAGACACCGTTAGTCAATTCTGTAAGGACCCGGCCAGTTTTGCCAAATACCAACTTCGACGGAACAGATGGCGTTAGCGTAGCAATTTTTTACTTTGACGTCAGACACATCCCTCCATCCTTTAGTCTCCCCGCTCCCCCACCCCCACGCGCTGCCCCAAAAGCATACGTCGGGCCGAAGTTAAAAATCATTTTCAAAATAAGTTTAACTAATATATATCGCGTTTTAAACCGTTAAAATGCTTTTACTCGCGTAAACGTGTACTACTCGCGTAACAAAAAACAGTATTTAATCTTTTTTTATACATTTTCCAGACATTTAATTCGTCTTCTTATATTTTAACAGTAGCATACACATAACGTTTATTTATAACATTTCTTATTACAAAAGTTCCGAACACAATGTTTTTTGTAAATGCATAAACTTATAGAGGATATATACTACTGCAATATATACACATAACATGGTTGTAAACATTGCTTTTAAAGTCATAGTACTGAATATATGTTTCAAACTTAATCATATAACTTTAAAAACTCTTCAATATCCACTTGGGTGGTTGAGCTAACGGAGTTAGTAAGTAAAACAGTAAAGAACTTTTTAAATAGTATGTGTATTAAATTCCGCCTCCCCTTCATGGGACGTAGAGCATTTATCAGTGGGGTAGGCATTTCTGTATCTGACTTATTGATTAATTTTATATACATGTAAGTGATTGATTAGACTTACCCTGCCCGATAAAAACTTATTATTGTTTTGTAGGGATCAACCCAAGTATCGAGCAATGGGGGTGGTTTAAATAAATAAAACTTCTTTGAATATATTTTCAGCAACCAGCGCTACACCAAAAGACGCATTATCAAATGTATCGCCGGAAAGAAACAGAACGCAGTGCTTAGATGGTTTTCAATTCATAGATATGTAATAAGAAATCTGAATATCAAACATTCTTTTATTTAAATGACCTTTTTTATTTTTAGATCAATAAACGTATAATGCGTAGATACTTTTCACATTTCCGGTCATTTAATCTAGTGATCAAATGTAATCTCTTTACGTATATAAATGGACTTATGTGAAATTCGGCTATTTTTAAATACAATTTTTCTAGTAAGTGCATACTTTATATATAGATACTTAAACCCTGTTATTAGCAAAAAATCAATGATAGGAACCCTTCAACTTTATGATTTGTGGCACTTCCCTGAAATATAATATTATAATTTTGACATTCAAAACCAAGAATGAGGTACTGCAATATTCATAATAACTCTTAAACCTTATTAATTTTTAATTCTTTATAATTGACAGCATTGTAAGGTTGTTCTCATTTAGTTAAAAGAATAGATACATAAACATGTGATAATATGTTTTCTAATTCTATATCTATTATTATTTAAAGACAAAAGTCTTAACTCACAGTTAAGATACTACACTGAGGTAAGTAAACTTAATAACACTAGCCCCTCCCCTGTGTAGAGAACCAAATGTAGAAACAAATACGTAATGGTAAATTCGGTTTGGGCAAAATCTATTTAGGGAAATTACATATCTGATTAAAGTATAACTATATATATAACATGATTATCACTTTGGGGTAAGCTAGATAGAAATTTTATAATTATCTATATTATAAAATATTTAACAGGTCATATAAACGATATTTAAAGATTCAGGGAACTGAAAAAAAAATATCTCAAGTTAACATACAAATTAGGCATTAGTATTTCCTCTTTACCGGAAGGTAGATTTTAATTGATAAGGAAAAAACGATTATGTGCGTCAAAAAAAACTAGATAGTTCACTTCTCGTTAATCTTTCGTTGTGTCATTTATACTACTGCGGCAAAATGAACATTACTTATTTATTGATTCGGGCCGAGACATGACTGTCGGCACACCGTCCGTTATTAACAGAGTCGTGCGCGGGAGCAGACTTTTTGTCAAATTAGACCGTTTTTGTCTTTATAAATTTTGTGATTGTTTTATAGTTCCCGCAATATAAATGTATCCAAGTAAGTAATATCTGGTAAACAATACTATCGTGACGCAAAAATCAATCGAATTTACTTTTTTATACTAACTTTAGATAACTTCAGAAAATAATAAATTAAATTGATTATTCTTTATATAGGAAACAAACAAAAACTCTTTTGTTTATTGTTATATTTTGTAACGAAAAAAGTCAAATACTCATCTTAATAATATTTATTTCCACGGACTTTTCGTTCTATGGCAATGATAATGACAAACGCTATGTTACATATAAAACAAACTGGATTTTACGAGTTTCTTCTGCTATTAATTGTTGGTACCTCCAAATGCACAGACTATTTAATCATTTCTAACTATACAGAATCTCTAATCATCCATATTTTATAAAATATGTATCATATACGGCGAGGTCAGTAAATGTAATCTAATTTTGTTTTATTATTTCCATTTAGTGGATCGTGGGTTCGACCCCACCGGGTTAACATGTCTGGAAATCTGGATATTAAATGAGTGGTAGGAATATAGAAATTCCGGTCTGTGGATTTCCGAATATCCAAATCAAAAATAGGTCGACATTGCATCTTGCTTAGATGTTATAGAGCTGAGGTATTTCATTAAGTGAAGCTTATGCTTGCCTGTCTTCTTCTAAAAAAATATTATCACTCCCTTGGTAATCTTATTCTTTATGATATGTTATATAATGTGTGTTGGACTTCCTTGTAGTATTTCATATCGCTACAAAGATGGTTAGAACATTTTTAACGAAGAAAATATTGCCTATATTTGAACTGTCAATCTTATTAATTTAGGACCTTTGAACCGATGTAAAATGTATGTTTATTCTACGATTAGAAATGGCATACATATGTGCAAGACTCAATCGACAGTTTTAATTTAGTGTCTTGGCTTCAATATGTAATCGCTTTAATGTATGTATCTGGCAGCCTGTCTCGCAATAGTTTCCACTTTTATGTAATGCACCAGGATTTCACTTGTCACAAAATTTCAAATAACTTTGTTATCGTTTTTCCTCGAATTCTAAGGAAATTCAGAATTGCGTAATGAAATTAATATACATAAGTGTTTCAGAACCTATATTGGTTGATAATTTTTATACCACGATTTTCCGATGACTAATATTCCAACAAGCCAGTCGCAAATGAGACAAAGTGAAGGCTCTACACTTGACCTGTTGATTTTTTACCCAATTACTCGTTGTAGATAAATGCAATATCAAATTATTGCTTATGATTGTAAAAGATAACTCGTTATATATCTTGCCTTTTACGTAATTATGAATAATAGATAATAATAATAATGTAGGTATAAAAAATGCAATTTGGAAAAGATTAAATCAATCTACTGTTAAAAAAAATTACTAATTAGTGGACCACTAGGTAAAAGAGCAAAATCCCGTAGAGCTGCTAGTTTTTGTTAGTAGTTAAAAATACTCACGTGTTGAAAATAGTCATTGAAAATACATATTGCAATTTGCCTTATCCTAAGATAAAAATTTGCCGAAATAAAAATCTAAACTTATGTTTATATTCAAATTTTATACTCATTTCTTATCGATTGAAGCCTTGTTTGGAATCTGGGGAATGCAGCTGACACAGAAAACCGTTATAGTCATTACAAGTTCGGTACCGTACCCTATCGTAATATAAGTCGTCTTATTTTAAATTTTCGTTACTCGGGTTTAGCTTCTTGCTTCTCAGCCATTTAAAACGCTTATCTTTTAATATATTTAGAAAAATGCGTTAAAATAACAGAATACTTTTTAATTTTAATCGGAAATTGTAATTTGTGACTTATATAACGTATCAGGGATGGATTTATTTAAAGTCTCATTTTTATGTGAGCAGTGTACGTATTCTTTGTGTTAGATATGAATTAATCACATACTACCTATATTATTCTCTTATATGAGGAATCATTTGTAAGATCAGCTTAACAACTTTATTTATCTTCCCTTCAACATCCTCTGCTGTTCTTACCATTTCTCGGTATCCATTTTGTATAAACTTTTCCATCAATTCTAATTTTGTGTTTTTCTATTACAATAATTTGCTACTTACAACAATTGAAGAATCATATGACGTGCATATCTTTACACGCAAAATGATTTAACATTCGAACACAATCAATGTACATCTGTATAATGAACAGAGATTGCCTGTACATACGTTAAGATCGTGATATGATTATTATTTTAGTTACAGTAGCTCTTTAATTACTAATATGGTAAGCCTCAACTGTTCCAGATAGGCAGATGTTGACAGTCATTGACACTGATGTCTATATCATAAGAGAGCAGGAAGAAGTGAAAACGTAAGTAAGTACTGTTTGTCAACTAAATTTAGATTCCCCTCATATCTTTATAAGCACGTTAATTGTTGAAGTTCGTCTTATAATAATAAATCAAACTCATGAACGAAGACAGCGCCTTATTAGCTCGGAACAGTAGTATCGTTATGAACGATATCGTACGCGACACGCCGTTTGTACTTTTTGGATAATGTAATGAAAAGATCGGAAGCAGTAGAATAATTTTTAATAATATTGCAGGCCTTCGGACGTGATTCCGACGATCAATATCGACAGTATTGAAAGAGAGGAACGAATCGAGAAAAAAACAAAGCTATGGATAAAAACGGCCGCCCCATTCATAGCACATTATATAACTCTGCTTATAATAGGTGAGTGACTAAATTAAATTTAATGATTATCGAAAAATAGTGGGACATTGTTGCGCGTGACATTTTGAAAAAGTGATCGCTTACAATGACTCTGTGACCAATGAGAATGATTGCAAACATAAATTTAATAATTGTCTTTTAATGACTTTACAAGTTTAAATACTACGTACTAGTGATATAACAAATATAGTAATTTTAAACATGCGGTAGATATATTTGACTGATCGTTTATAAACAAGATAGAAGTTGATCAGACTTCAGTGACTTGCCCGATCACACCAATTTGTTTTGGTTCCGTGATTCTAAACGACAAAATAAGACCATTAAGGCCCAGAAGGGGATTAAACGTACTATCCATGGTACCTCTTTGAATATTCTTTCGTCTAATTTCCGAAGCGCTTGTCGGTATAATCGTCTGAATAATGGTATGTATAATTTCAGCCCGTATACTGAGTTTGCTATATAAATATGTATGAATTCAAAAGTGCTTCACGCTTAACATTTAGCTGCCCCACTTTATATGTTCTAGTAAAATAATATAGGCAATATTATTCGGAGAAGCAATTATTATGGAAATTAAAGCGCATAATTCTGTCTTAATTCAACTTAACTTTGCAGTTTACTAGAAATATAACGCAATTAAAGTTTTCGGAACTCGGACTACAAGTCTAGTGAACTAGCTTATAAAATCAAAATTTTCAAAAGAATAAATCATTTAATTTACGCTTATAGGACTTAACTTTTACTGTTTGGCTGTCTTAAACTGAAGTTTATAGTAGTTTTACACTTAGTACACGAATACTGTACTACTACAAATATATGTTCATATTTGACAATAATTATGTTTCTTGAATTTTTTAAGTGATTACTTCTTATAGAATTAGCTTTGTTATGTAACGCGTTACGATGCCTGCTTAGTTGGGGTAGTTAGTGTCACGGTGTGTGGCAACACCCATTTTTTTACTCGTCTTCAACCATTAAAGCCGCTTATACTGTATAAATAAATACGAAACCTCCTTTTTGTAACAAGTATCAATATTTATTATACTTTGAGACAGTAAAAAGGTTTTTGCCTTGAGGTTCTGTTATCATTGCTAACTCGAAACGGAATTGGTAATATGGCAATATTGGTGCCTATATGAACGATTCATGGACTTTACTTAACTTCAATACTAGACTTCTTAGTCTTGGGTTCGAACCCCAGGGAAAGTATAAATTGTTTCGATCGAGCAGGGCACAGAAGTCTGATCAATTTGCCTATAAAACAATCGAACACAGAAATGTGTTTGCCCCGTGCCCCATGGGGATGAAATGGTTTTCATCAAATATTTGACTGATTTTATTAGAGCCGTTGAGTGTTTTCAGGGTTATGTGTTTGGGGTATGTTGTGGTGTATATGGGGAGATGGCTGGAGTTGGAACGGACAGTGGTTCCGAATAACCATAGTTGGCGTCGTGGCGTGGGGTAGTGGCCTGATCCTTCAGGAAATAACCACACTACCGCCACTTCTAGCGGCCTTGTTCACTGGGATCTTAGCTAGATATGTCGGTTTTCTCGATATGCGTCACCATATTGAAGTTGATATGTTTCTACGGTACGTATTTAAAACTACGATACGCTTCTAATGCTTCTGTATATAACAAATAACGGGCTCTTTCATTAACCGCCATAAAACTAATACATGTCTAACCTCTTATCAACATTTAACAAAACACTTTAACGGTTTAAAACGCAATAGATATTAGAAAAAAATATTTTAACAACGGCCTGACATTTCGAGTACTTTACAGCAGCCCGTGCACGTGTTCCCCCGTGACCATGGCTTTAGTTTAACTAATATATTTAGCGTTTGTAACCGTTACAGTGTTTCATTTGAATATACTCTACTCGCGTAAACTTATTTTAATTCCATAATTATTGTGCAATTCTAAATCAACATAATATCTATTTGCTCTTTAACCAGGAAAATATATCCAGTGATTATCTTAGGGAAGGGATCTTTGGCCTGGAACGTCGACTATATGAAGCAAAATTGGCGGCAAATCATACTTTTAGGGACTGTACCCTGGACTACAGAGGTGGTGGTTCTTACACTGTGTGTGCATTATTTTCTTGGGTTTCCCTGGTTGTGGGGTTCGTATATTTTGATTAAAACCGAAATACAATACAGCGAGTAAAAAGTTATTTTAGTTGAAAAATTGATGATACAGACGGGAGTCGAATTCAAGATCAATAGCGTATCGAATGAGCTCGACGAAGCTAAGCTAAAATACCTTTTTAATGTATAAGCTCTCAATATTAAATTAAAGTTTTAAAGCGAGTAAATGTTCTAGTAATACTCTGCAACATAAATAAAAACCTGCGCTAACCGTTACGCAGCGACGGGTGTGTAACGAAAATTTAGTACTTGTGAAATACTCATTTGAAATAGCTGCTATCTATTTCAGTAGTCGCAACAATATGAAAATTTTAATCCAATACACTTGGTTTTTTTTTTATATATTTATTGTTTGGACGTCACAATATTTATTATATACTGTTCCGATAATTGTTTCCAAGAGTGCTTAAAATACGATGGGGAAATTCAAATGTATGTCGGATTTTTCTAAAAGAAGTTAAAGAATTATCTGTATATACCGCTATACTGCTTATTATATTCTTTAACTGAATCTAAAACGCGAATACGAGTTATTGTCATTTCTGATCTAGGACCCGGTAATTTTTGCCAAGTACTAAGTTTCCGACGCGAACAGATGGAACTAACGTACCAATTAATACTTGAAAAGACGTAAGAAAACGTCAAATTCCATCTATAGTCTACCCGAGTAGTCCACATCTGATGCAAAACACTTTTACGGTTTAAAACGTCGGGACAAATTCGTTAAAAATCATTTGCAAATACGGCCAGTTTATCTAATACCAACTTCGCGTTTTAAACGATGGCGTTAAAATGTATTATTTTAATTAAGAAAACATTCTCAATTTGTTTTGCTTGCGCTAATTATGTATGATCCCGGTTAGAGACGAAAATTTGCATAAATTTCAGTGGACGTTTAAAAGTTACGTCGCTCTTGTGTCAGTTTTTCGAATCCAAGACCAAGTCTTAACCCAGTACCGGGCAAAGCGCTTTACAAATGAACTACCGAGGCGGTGACGGGTGAACTAACCGAAGTTTACTCAAACATTAATTACGATTAACATTTACTTAACTAATATTAAACTATCGAAACCGCAGCTAACAGAACAGACTAGTCTTGATCTTAACAGCATTACAGTTTGCAACTATTTGTAAATTATTACTGAAATTATTAGAATTGACCTACATTTGAATTCTTTATATTAATAAACACATGCACACGATGGTAATATATTAATTAAAAATGTATTTAAAGAAAAAAATATCAAATACTAAAATTTGTCCTGCCAGTATAATAAATTTGAAATGTAAATAGATTTTAAATTTTAACAACGTATTCTTGGAAATAGCAACAGAAATAATATGACACACAAAAATTACCCACCAATAGATAATAGATAAGCTCTTAAACGAAAGCTAGTGTATTCGTATTGAAATATTTTTCACGCAAAATAAAAAGATCAACGGGAAACAGTAGTGGTAGTAGTCTTAAATAATTTCCGCGTATTTTGCTTAGTTAATACAGCCAATTATAAGTTTGGTAATAAATCAATAACTTGAACTATTACAGGAATTCTATTGGGGGCAGTATATGCATCTGTATCTTGCCCGGTTACAATGCCTTCAGTGATCAAACACGGCAAACTCTCCACAGGCACAGTAGAATGGGCTCAGCTTATTTGCACGTCAGGAGGTTTAGACACAGCCCTTAGTGTCGGAGTCTATGGCATTACGTACACATACATATTTGTCCAAGAAGATAGTGACGTTTATCGATATGTTAAGGTAAATAGTGTTTAATAATAAAAATCTATATTGGGATAGTGTGCTCTATATTAGGAACACACATATAGAGCACACACAAAAATCGTCGTGGGCACAAAAATGTATCGAATACTAGTTACGTACAGCAATCATGTTTTTAATACTTAAGAAACCCAAAATGAGCACATGTGTCATTTGGTAATCACAAATATTTTAAGTTATCCTTGTCGTACTTTACGATATATATCATATTTCTATCTCCACTTCGCTTGGGAGACTGTCAAAATTTGACTCTAAAATAACTCACTAAACAACTGAATATAATAATGCAAGAGTGACTGGACTTTTTCACTTTTGATTTATTTATAACTAACGCGAGTGCAGTTCGACTAAAAATATTTTTTACGGTTTCTCACCTCACTTCTGTTATTTTTAACAGCCGTAGGTGGTACTCCCCCGTGTGATCAGGGGTGCTGAAAAGTATTAAATGCATCGCCTTGTATTTCAGAGAAAAGTTCATGTTTTAAAAAGTTTCAATATAATTTTCAACAAAACCCAAGAAATCAAATCCACTTCAAAAGCTCTCTTAAATCCAAATAGAACCCGACAATCCAACTTTGATTTATTTTACACTCTAGAAAGAGTCTTTAAGGAGCTCGGCTTACATGAAAAGCGAACCTGGAAGCTTTTCCATTATTTTCTCAGCTAAAGCCCTCATTTTAATACGTCGTAATAAAAGAAATTATAGTATAACCACGATCATCTAATGCTAGCAAAGTATTGCTAATTATCAACAGGTTGTGAATTGGCGGGTTTAACTGATGTACGTAACTGATTTATATTTTTTCTGAAACGTTAGACTTCCTCGGCAAAATGTGAATACAGAATCGGTCATAGGTAAATCGAAAATCCCAGTAACAAACCACCGTCTACATATAAAAAAGCCGTGAACTTAAACCTTTCGGTTTTAGTTTGAAATAGATTTCCGAATGTTCAAAGCCAAAATAGGTCTGAATTTTATTGAGCTGCCATTGTTAACGATGAAATTTACATGAGATACGCAACATAACGGATTGCTGTCATGAAATGAAATATTATTTTTAAAATACCTATAAAAAATATTTTTTATTATCCTAATTGAAAATTATCTATTTTAGAATAAATCATTCTGAACAAGGCGTAAGAAGTCATAATAACAAGAGTCGCAATTAAGTAAGATGGCTTCCATTTTACATCATAACAAAGTTTGAACCCTTTGGCTTTCAGTGAATTCAATGCGGATTAAAAGTGTTGTTAGAGGTTTTAATTTAAATTCACATTTGTCGGTTAAATTGGGAAAGTTTTGAAAGTAAGGGAATGTTCTTGCAGGCTGGATTAACGATGTTCGTTGGCGCAGCGCTGGGTATCATCTGGGGCAGCCTGAGCAAACTAGTGCCGAATTCTAAGGACTTTTACGTTACAGAACTACGTGTCTTATTCGTAATAGTCGGAGGACTATTTGGTAACGTCTTGACTGGAGCAATTGGCTGGACTGGAACTGGTAATATATAATATACAGTTTATTCATATTTTTATTAATTGAAGTTGTTACCCGCGACGTCCCGTCGTTCTTGCAAGTTAACCTTAAAAGATAGATATATAGTGTGGCAGACATTTTTTAAAATCATTTTAAGAGAAATCATTTTTTCATACATATTTGTAAGGTATCTTGAACCGTTTTCGCGGCGTACGCAGCGTAAACTTACAATGATGAATAATTTTCCCCGTTTATTCCACGATTCCCGTTGTTTCTTCGCTCGTATTTGTTACAGCACGATGTTTTATTATTTTATGTATGCCTTCCTCGATAAATGCTCTAACACAAAAATATTTTTTTAATTCGAACCAGTTGTTCCTGTGATTAGCGAGTTCAAACAAACAAACAAACTCTTGAGCTTTATGTATTAGCATAGATACTTCTACAATTATTACGTCAACAATGACGCCATTGATTGGAAATAGTTAAATTAAATTAAACCTTATCGCTTTTAATACAGTAGCATCTCGAAGGCCTTCTACTAATGTATGTAATGTCTATCTCTTACATTAGCACTTTAACGAGTTCAATGTTTCTAATAGAGAAGGACAGACGATCATGGGATTACTTGACGGAAGGTAAAACACCTCAGCCATATAACATCTAATTAAAATTTAAATAAAACACTTTAACGGGGAGAGCCACGTGACCACGGCTGCTCCAAAGCAGCCAAAACGTCGGGCCTACAGTCCCAAATAATTCTGAAAAAAGTTTTACCAAAAAAATATATCGCGTTTTAAACCGTTAAAGTGTTTTATTTAAATGTGTACTACTCACGTAAATTACAGAACTATCGACCTCTTTTGGTTTTGGATATTAGAAACTCCACAGAATGAAACTAATTTAACTTCAAGATTCCAATAAGAAAGTTTTCAGGTCTATCTAGAAAATAGGACTGTAGCGAATTTTATTTAAATACGGTTAGGGTGCTTTACCTTCTGTCAAAGGGACCACAAGCGTTTTTGTTTGAACTATAGCAGAATGTTGAAATGATACCAACTAAATCTACTATTCAGTACTAAATAATTTATACGTAAATACGTATATACAAATGGCACACCTGTTTGGGAATTTGTACATTCGGCTTACAGCAATTATTTATTGATAGCCGAATTGAATCGCAGATCCGTGGAACAACGCGAACTAATTAACTAGTCTATGTTTGGAAATCTGTTCTTCTAATACGAAGTTGTTAGAACATAATTGACTAGCTGTGTCTGCGACTTCGTCCGCACAGAATGATTATTATTGTCATCGAAATTTGTTTTTCCAAACCTCCTCCTCATCTTTAATTTAAGCTGACGTCGATAACGTCGGTCGCGTCCCGTCGTTCTTGCAAGTTAATCTTAAAAGGTAGACATATTATAATGTCACGGAGAATCTTTTTTATCATTTAAAGAGGAATCAATGTTTCATACATATTTTATTACACATGTTATCTTGAACTGTTTTTGCAGCGTACACCACACCTCTGAAACCCTGATGAATATTTTTTTCAACTTTTTTACATTTCTCGCTGCATCTTCGCTTGTATTTGTCATAGGGCAATGTTTTTGGCCTATAACCTTCCTGGATAAATGCTTTAACCAGCACAAAAATATTTTTTTCAATTCGAACTCGTACTCTTGAGATTAGCGCGTTTAAACAAACAAACTCTTCAGCTTTATATATTAGTATAGATGTTTATTCTAAAATCACTGCGAGATTATTTTATCTAGTCTTTCCAAGTATAAACAATCATAGGAGATTCGGCGATGATAGTTAATATGATTTTTTTTAAAGACACATAACTAATAACAGACATAATTGCTGCTATAACCAATTGAGCTACCGTGTCCAACACGTACATGTGACACAGTATAGTGTTAATTTATATATTGCTATTATGTGCATAAGACGTACAAATATTATTCACTTGTGCTTAAGCTTTATTATTTTTCAGGTGGAGTAGCAGTGTTAGCGTGCAACGCAACCGCCGCTATGCACTGGGCCAAAAAAGGATGGAAACTAAATCAAAATCCAGCAGCAACCGCCTATAAAGTGTTATGGTCAGGACTCGAGCCTCTGGTGTTTGCTTACACAGGAACCTATTTTGTGGTATGATAAATATTCATATTTAAATAAAGAATTCATTTCCTAACACAAAGAGATAAAACAAAACATAAACGTTTTTTTTTTCAATCAAAAGAAACAGTTTTCAAAGGTTCCTTCCGGTTGATAGTTTTTTATGCTAATATTATGTTGATGTTATATGGCTGGAGTTTTTTCCTACAATCCAGTAAACCTCATGCAGGATTATTAAAAATAGCACTGCTTATTTGAGAATATTTCAAATAACATATTGCCATATGCGTTAAGAAAGGGCTACAAAATAGTCTTTGTTGCCATTAATTAAGCCAAGCCCTAGTAAATTCCGTTTTCGTCACTTATGGTACGGAATTCTTGCAATATTATAATCACTTAATATACGAGTAGGAAGTCATTTGCCACATTTTAAAGAGACGATGCGTTTAATTGAAGCTTGACTAATATTATTACATCCATTATTCACCCAGTACTTGAATCGTTAAAAAGTTGATATTGGTTGTGCACGTGGCCTTACTACTTAAAAGTACTTAATCTTACACCGACTACGGTCAAGACAGAACCATTTAAATAAAACAGTTTAACGGTTTAAAACGCGATATATTTTAGTTAGCAAGTTTAACTAAAATATATCGCGTTTTAAACCGTTAAAGGTTTTATTCAAATGTGTACTACTTGCGTAAACTATACACAGTATTTAAGACAGAACTAGCCTAAATGTGTATACATTTTATTTTATTTATAAAGTACACAGACTATTATAAATAATAACTGTTAAAAACTTTGAATATAACTTAAATATTTATCTTAATTACATGCGTAGACGGAGAAATTAAATGGAACTGTTTAAAAAAAATAATAAGTAAGTCTTAGGGCATGCTCATTGATATTCTTAATTTCATAAAATATTTATTTAAATTTACATATTATTAAATTTTTGCAGTATTTAATGTTTAAACCTTTTTTTACAGATTAGGCACAGTATAACAAAGACGATGCTTGTGGGTTTAGGAATTTTGTGCATTTGCTTAACAATTAGACTCTCGATCGCATTTCTTATGTGCAGGAATCTCAAATTAAAGGATAAAATATTCGTTTGTTGTACATGGATACCAAAATCAGTAGTGGAGGTAAATACATGAATTATTTACATAAAACACTCAAACGGTTTAAAACGGGATATATTAGTTATACTTATTTGAAAATGATTTTTAACGTCGGGCCGAAGTTAAAAATCATTTTCAAATAAGTTTCACTAATATATCGCGTTTTAAACCGTTTGAGTGTTCTATTTAAATGTAGTAGTACACACACGCGTAAACTATAGACAGTATTTACATGAATTATGCTAATGTTAACCATGAAGTATGCTAACAGAACTCAAATATTTTATTGGACTAAAGTTTCGGCTAGATAATCTTCTAAACTTTGTTTCAAACATTGATAAGTCCTTTACGTACTATAATACTAACTAATTTCTTAATATTTAAGTATAAGGCTCGAATTTTTTCGTTCCGATTAATAAAATAATATTATACTGGTATACATTATAACGTAAATCTAGATCTATTTTATTTACGCTCTATTATCTTTGTTCTGAGACATAGGCAATCAGTAATCAAACCGATGAGTAAACAGACACAGAAATGTATCTGTATTGTGCCTCTCGCATGTATCTCGGGGAGATTTCACTTGTTATAAAGATTATACTTTTAAACTTACCATCCTTATTTTTGTCTATTCTCAATAGTATTTAAATACACAATATATTGTTTTGGCACCCCTATGATATATTACTTACTCTTTCAGGCAGTTCTTTGTCCTCTTGCAATAAATACCGTACTTATGTCGCAAGGATCTCATGCGCATGAATTACCGTACGCCGAGGATATTGTGCTACTTCTTGTAGAAGCTATTATAGTAACGACCCCCATTGGGTTCCTTCTGACTGATAAATTGGGACCATGGTTAATAATAGATAAGAAAACTTGTGACGGAAATGGTATGTTGATTAAATGCAAAGACATTACCAAAAAGTATACCGCGTAAACCGTGCCAAGTCATTTATTGTTTTAAATATTTATTGCGCCTTAGTGACTTAATGGTTTATCGCTTCGCATTGCTCTAAGTGCAAGGTTTTATCAAGGAGTTCGGATCTCGGTAGTACAATTACTCGGTAGATGTAATTGCTTGTAAATATTAATTGATATTTAAAATAGACACAGTAATATATCCGTCCGCGTTTAATTTATATATATGAGAATACTCTTTTATTAATAAAACTTGCCTTATATACATTTTAATATTTTTTATTTACTTAACAGAACCAAAGCCTAAAAGAAGAAAACCCATCGCAGCTGTATCAAGTGATGCTTAATTTATCATAGAATAATGTGAATATAGAATTGTGTATAGATTAAAATGATGTGGCCTTAAGACAATAGTCTTATTTATTTTTATTATATCACGCAAAACAAGATTGTTTCATGTAGAATTCAAAAAATCTTACTACATTTTATTTGTATTATATATTTTAATAATGATAGATTTAACTAAACAAAGAGTCAAGACGACAAAAACTACATATTTTCTAACATAGATCAATTTTATTTACGTACAAATACAGTTAAGTGGGCGCACAATTTCGACTTTAATGTTATCGTAATAGCTAAGTATGAAATAAGAATAGCAAGTACATCAGTATAGGACTATATTATAAAGATTGTTCGTAAAATTCTGAAAGTTACAAAATTTCGCCAAATGTCATCTGGTTAAATATATGAGAAACAAGGAAAGTGTATAAAAACAACTGAAAGCCAGCAGCACTGTAGTACTAAACGTCCACAGTAGATGTCTCTGAAATAAATTGTGTTCTGTTATTATTGTACGGATTATTACTATCAACATTTTGAAGAGCAAGCACTTATAACCCCTTATATCGTATCAAATCAAGAAATGATTGAGGAAAATTATCCGACAGTATTGCACCATCATGCCTCTGGTCCTTACATTAAGGATATATTATTGAAGTGGCGATATTTTTATTATTGATTGATTTAATTTACAAGATATTTTTTTGCTTTATACTACAATGTCCACCTATTTAACACATTGCAATAAACGACCTTATATCCCAAGGCTCAAATACACACATTTGAAAGAAAATATGACCGTGTTACTTTTAAGACACCCGAGCAATCCCATAACTTCCCTGTCTACCTCCCTTGGCAGAAGTCATAGCTTTGGCTTTTTTTATACTAGTATTCATTCTGTTAATGACCTTTTAAATATAATTGTTGCAATATTTCTGCTGTATCAGTTAAGATTAATTAATAGTAGTGCAGAAAATATAATGTACTTCTTTATAAAACAACTTTGTGTTTACCTTTAATTAATTCATTACAATTATGATTACATTTAAGAAACTGTAAAATATGTAACATGTAAGATTATAATATTCATTCATTCAATTATTTTGTTTCTTAATACATTTTATATATATTCACCGGCCATGAAAACCGTGCAGCGGTTTCAAAGTGACTAGATATTTCTTCTTAAAAAATCTCAAACTGCAGATAACAAGATCGTGCCTGTTACGAATATGTTGTATGCAATTAACAATACAATTATATATCGCTAACATCAACAATATGTAAAAAATGCAGTAGCTGAATTATAATAAAAAATAAATAAAAACAGCATTTATAGCTGTTATCAAGTTATTCGAATTGATATACATATATGTATTATAAACAGATTCATAATTGTTTAAAAAATATATATTTTACGTATATTAGTAGTAATGCAAGTTATCCAAATAACAAATTCGTTTCTTAAATAGCGTTTGAATTCAAAATAATATTTGCCTTAGCAATCATATTAGTATATATTAGAACAATGTTACGAAGTAAAAAGGTCGTATGTGTAGCTTACGAGAGTGGTTCACGTTGAATAAAACACGATTTAACTGATTAAACGTGAACACGACATTTGTATTATTTACAGCAGCCACCGTCACGGAAGACGTTCTGTTATGTAAAGCATCCGAAACATCGGGTCGTAGTTAAAAATCATTTAGCAAATACAGTCAGTCATATCAGATGGACAGAAAAACCCGATTGGGTTTTATGATCATAAAATAATAGTTTATTTATATTCTGTGTTCATAGTTAGTGTTTAAAGAAAGTAAGAATTAATCCTAAAAGAGCTAATAAGTAGTACTGAATGTGATTCATGAAAACGTAATTATTAGTACAGTAATAATGAAAAGGTAAGCACTAATTGTTTTCGTTTTTAATATTAGTGTATTTGAAATAATCTTACACGACTTAGAAACATATTGTTAATATCACTGCTAATTATCTAAATACATATATATTCATCACACTAGTAGTAAAAACAATCTGTCAAAGGTTTACTTAAAATCTTTGCCCAACTCATTTACAATAATAAATTAGTACTAATTAACGCGCTGGACAAGAAAATTAATTAACAAGCCATTACTATAATTACTTAACATTACGTAAAGTAAATTTAAAATTACGGGACATTAATATTGGATTTCTTGAGCGACATCATACGTTATGTTATTGATAAATTTAAAAGCTATTAAAAGATAAAATACTGTCTATAGTTTACGCGAGTAGTACACATTTAAATAAAACACTTTAACGGTTTAAAACACGATATATTAGTTAAACTTATTTGAAAATCATTTTAACTTCGGCCCGACGTTAAAATGATTTAAACTAATATATCGCGTTTTAAAATGTTAAAGTGTTTTATTTAAATCTATTAAAAGATATCTGAAATATCTAAATATAACACAAAGGTATCTAAAATAATGGTTCTTTTTTTAAATAACAAGAAGTGTTTATTTGAATTATGAATTGTGTGAAGTTAAGATTATTTAACATTTCTTTCCAGTTCACTTCTCTAAAATCTCTTGGTAGGTGCAAACTAATTGTCATTTTTCTGTCATCTAACTTGGTTAATTATGGCATCTGTACCGTGCTGGACGACACGCTCGTCAGTTCACGCGGGCTGCTGCCGCTAGGCTACACACATTGCCAACAAGAATCATAGAGATCCTTTATTTACATCACATGTTTTACGGTGTAATTTTTTGTGTAAACAAAATACTACGTCCGCGTCGCCTCCGCCTTTACCGTAGTTCAAGGCTTTACGTGATCACTACTGTATACGGCGTTAACAAAGGGAAATTTACCTGGCACGTACTTCGAACAAGTGTATTTTTTATCAATTTTTTTCACACTCATAATAATAATATCTTATCAGTTCCCTGTCACAATACTAACTGGAACACTTTAAAACAATATTTAGATTTCAACTCTTTTTATTGGAAAATAAGGTATAATCAATACGTCTAAGAGAAAGAAAGCTAAAAAATGAAGAGTCACAGGGTGAAAAAGCAAAATGGAATCAGAGAAGAAAAGAAAAGAGGTAAACATGAAACGCAGATACGTTCCCCCATATTTGGAGGTGCAGCTCTACAGCGAACCAAGCGGTCTGGCCTAGAAGCTGTCAAACTTCATCTGCAATCTACTGGTGCCACGGGAAGAACATCGCGTTCAGCTACATCAGTAAGATCATCATGTATTTGTGTAATTTTAATTTTTGAATTAAGAATGTATTCAAATATCTGTAACAGTCCATTGCATTGGTCACCGTTTAAATACATATTTCAGCTGAATACCAGCTGAAACGAATCCGTGCATCAATTCAAAGTTGCATAAATTTCAAAGATCACTCATTACTCAATCCGTTAGTCTCCTTAAAAGTCAAACATTTTACGAGGTTACATGAAATCCTTAAGCCGCGATTAAATTATTACATTACAGCGACACAAATAAAGAAGTCAAGTACAATCTTGAATTGAAATGACAACAACTGCGCTCATATAGCCACTAAATGCTTAGTACAGTGACCATGACGTCGCAACCATGTGACCTGTTTATCACTTACGAGGATCGTGACAATTGAAGATTATCAGCTAGTAAGAAAAGTATACCTTGCGATACACAAAATAATGAACGAATCAATACTAATATCGCCTCTGTTTTGTCACCTGTCCGATAATTTGCACCTCGTTAACACGATCCACATTGTTCGAGCTGATCTACTCCAGTTGTCTTGATAATGTACTGGACTCTTATTGGCACAGATATAAGCCCCAGTTTGACTGTTCCTATTCTTAAATCTATGAAATTGTTATCAGACAAAAACCTTCATTATCGGAATTCGAGTAGTTTAAAATAACAACTTGTTTTATTAGATTTAAAATGCAGGTTTAAAATAAAAATGTTGAAAAAATATATATAACTGGCAATTAACAATTAATAACTGATACGATGACTACGATATTTAAAAAAATGCACTACGTCAAAATTAATAAGGCCATAAGATAAAATTAATAACTACATAAGAAAAATAAAACTAAAAAGAACTCCTTAACAATGTCATCAAACTTAACATTTGTTTTTTAGCTATTGTCTAGGACATCCCGACGATCCTCTGATATTTTCCTATTCATCTAAGCTTTTTAAATTGCCCGAACACCCCCAAAATACTAAAAATTAAGCCACTACTACTAGGCACCTCTACCATGAATAAATGTAAAGTTACTTAAAAAGAAATTGAAGATAAATGGACCTGAATTGACGAATAGTGAATTGATAAATGAAAAGTCGGCGGTCGCTGATAATCTTGAGAGAACATATACGACGCAAATTATAAATATAAATTGATAATAATCATGGTTTTACCCAATTAATAAATTATATTATAAACAAATATATGAAATTTGTATTTTATGAAGAAATCGACATTAAGGCTCTTCTTCTCTTTAATTATTAAAATGACGCTGTTTTTAAAATAAAACGATTCGATAAATGATTAAAATTGATGTACAAAATTGTGAATATTTATCGTTCTAACTTTTTATAAGATTATTCCAGTTAGCAGTATATAAAATAATATAAATAATTGTTTCTTTCAGTACACCCTATTAAAAACAATATAGAATATTTTGTGAAATTCCAAAGTACATAATAGCGCAGTAAATATTTGTAATGACTTAAAATGTAATAAATTCTAATACCAGGGGTATGCAAATAGAATATTTTGAAGTGAATTCACGAGATGGCAATAAATCTATTAACAAGATACATCCATGAGATGAAATGACAATAAAAGTATTACAAAATAATTTTCCGTTCAAATGATCAGTGTTTGTTTTAAGTATTACATCATGTGACAGGCTCTCTAATTTGTCTCCTTTGTTTACTTTGAATTCCTTATTTCGGCGCTGATTAAGGAATATGATATTTATTTAAACCAAATATTTTTTATTAATATTTAATACTTTAGCTAGAAACAATAAGGATAATATCGATAATTATTCCATATTTATTATAGATTTTTACAATTCTACATTCTAGCGATTCATTTTGATGTTGTTCGGTTAAAAGTAATTGTTATTTGCAGACCTGATTGTTTTTCAAGGAATAAAAATGCTTCGAATGCAAAATAAATACATATAATTATAGTGGTGTTTTAAGCAACTACTTATACATTTTGGATCATCTTACTCGTAACTCGTAAATTGATTTCCGTTTGATCTAGAACAACTGATTATTCTAGCTAACAATTTCTTAAAATTTGGTTTCCTAGACCTCGTATTGGGTCGAGAACTACAATAATATAGTAGCTAATAATTGTCTTAAGCCTCAGTTGAAATTGACAAGTGAAAAATTATTCAAATAGGATTTATAGGTAGATACTTATCGATCGTGTCATTGAATGTTAGCTAAACTTTGAGTTAATATCAGACTAATTTTAAAGGAAAACTTCTTTTCAGCGAGTCACAAGACCAATGCGTCAATATTTGAGGTGTTCGGTGTCATTTTGAATGTTATTCAGCTATACATTGTAGCAATAATGTGACTCTTAACTCCAAATTGTCGAAATAGTTACCAAAATATATTAGTGTGCCATTAACAATGTTCAGAAATCATAAATCAGTGAAATGTAAGTTTCAACTATCTGTCTACTTGCAGATACATCGATATACTTAGTTGGAAATTGTGTACGGATTATAAATATTTCTTTGATTATGTTAAAATAATATTCTATTAGCACGTTTTGAGTAGGTTATAAAGTATACATAAAAGCTTTTATTCTTTATTTTTTAAGCTTATTTACTTTGTTAGTAGTAAATGCGTAAAACGTTTGTACGTTTACAATGCTCATATTACGATTATTAATATTTATTTTTGAAAAGCTTATAATGTTTTAAGAATCCTGAATATATACTAGGAACTACTATAGTATTTCAATAAAACACTTTAACTGTTTAAAACTCGATATATTTTAGTTAAACTTTTTTGAGAATTATTTTTAACTACGGCCCGACGTTTCAGATGCTTTGCAGCAGCCGTGGTCACAGGGAGACGTCTCCATTCCGTGTAAATATATCGCGTTTTAAACCGTTAAAGTATTTTATTCAAAAACTGTAGTAGTTGCTAGAATGTTTAGAATCTTTATTACTAGTATATAAATCAATTGAAATGGCTGAATGTTCATATTGAAATTAATATTTTTTATAGCTTTTCTAAAAGCAGATATTTTTTCAAGTACCATAGACTTAAGATAAGGTAACTATCGCTTGTTTTAACCACTTCAACTGATTAGTTGAATCGTGATATATCATTTTCGATTGTTGATAGGTAAACTACGCCTTATTATCTTTATTCATTCAATCCAAATCGAATTGCTTTGTTCTTATTATTTTATGATAGATGAGGACAGCCAAGCATGGACTTTACTTGATGGTAGCTGAAACCACAGGTGTATAACATCTGAACAAGATGCGCCGGCGATCTATTTTGGCTTTGGATATTCGGAGATACAAAGACTGAAATCGATAAAAATAAATTTAAGAAATTTATTTAACACAGCAATATTTTTTTTTACATTTTTTTAAGTTTCTCATACATATTATGCTTTATTATGAATGTTTATAATAATATAGTAAAGTCTTAAATAATTTATTAAGTAATTTGATCGTAAATTATTTTATTTCAGTACTATGTCCAAAATAACAAGACGTAAAATTTGGCATAATAAGTTTAATAATTTAGATACAATTCACAAGCTCAATTGAAAGAGCAAGTGTATAATAATCGCTGTTGGTCTTGGTTCAAGTTTATATATTTTTTTAAATTTAATTGTGTATAGTTTTCTATAGCCAAAAATATTAAAAGTCGTTTATGTATTTTAGTTGCTCACCAGTCGCTTACACTTCTATGCTCACCTCGGCCAAAACATTAAGAATAAAATTCGAACTTAGGATCTTTTTGTAATTTATCTGTTTCCTATTCTATATTTAAAATATTCCGAATATGCGAAGCGAATGAATGTGGTCAATAACATTGAAAAGTTACGAGTATATATTGTTTTTCGATTCGGTCACTTGTGTCGTAGCCCTCCGTATTGAAATCTGTGTAATTTCATAATCTCATCTCGCCCTTATCCTTTATCTGTGCTGCCCACGTAAAAGACACACCGCGTGACTTGAAATCGTGTAAACTGACTGAGATATAATATAGACACTTAAACAGCATTAAACTGGTAGTGCTTGATCCGTGCTCAGCTATCGCAGTCTGTGGCGGTTATGTGCTTTTTTTAATTATTCCTCTTTGTGTTGTCATATTAATTGAGGATTTCAATTGAAATCCGTTATTCGATATTCAAATAACGTAAGTTTATTTACTTATTATTTTTTCGAGATATGTTCAAATTATAAATAAATATTAATAAAGGTGTAATTGCTAGTGTTATAATAAAATTTAAAAGTGGAATATATTAATTTTAACTAGCCATCGGTTTTTGGCGTAAATAAATATTAAACTAAATAAAAATAAAATTAAATTAAAAAAAGGAAAAAGTATAAAAAATAAAAGTGTTCTGTCAAAATAAAGTAACTGTAGATACTTTATGTGAGTATATTTTTTAATAATCATCGTAACTATTTAAAAACCATAACAGAATCACGTAAACGAAAATTTCTCCAGTTGAAATGGAAAGATTTTCTTTAATCCAACATTGGATCATTACCTACAAATGTATATTTAATTAACTTCTAAACGTCGTTTTATTTAATACCCCGAGAAAAAATAATAACAATCGATGAATAAGGATAAATTAATGCAATCGAGGAAATCCATAAATTAAATTATTTATGTTAAATTCTACGACTATTAGTAATATATACTGATAATAGTTTTACACGAACAAAAAGTAAATATTTGAAAACATTAATATTAAATACTGTCTATAGTTTACGCGAGTAGTACACATTTAAATAAAACACTTTCAAATAAGTTTAACTAATATATCGCGTTTTAAACCGTTAAAGTGTTTTATTTAAGCATTAATATTGTTTACATGTTATTGCAAATGAAGGCACTATATAATTTAAAAATCAAAAATAAATTGAAAAAAAAATCGACTCGGGCAGGACTTGAACCGGCATCGTCAGTTCGGACTCGGTAGCTCAATTGGTAGAGCAACACCACGGAACGCTGACGAAGCCGGTTCAAGTCCTGCCGGAGTCGAAAATTTTTTCAATTTATTGTCGATTTTTAAATTAAAAAGTAAATAGTTCTACTTGTTAATAGTTAAATTGTAAATAAAGAAATGTTTATGTTTGCTTTTACTTACCGCCTATATTATAAGCAAATGTTGTCTATTTTGTTTGCAAAAATTAAATTCAACAGCAACGAGTTAGTAATGTTCATAAGGATGTGTTTTATATGAAGATGATCTATATCTTGCGGACTTATTTGTTAAGGATACAATATTAATTCTGTAAGAGATTTCCTTGACGCAACCGGTGTCATGCAGAAGATATAGCTGGATAACAATGAAAGAATATTAATTTACAAGGAAAATTCAAAAGTATCTGGACGCTCTTCATGTAATATTGACCTTAAGCACGTTCATAAATTTTATTAATAGAATTATTTTTTTAAGTAAACACAGACTTTATTAGTAGACACAGATTATGTGTGTTTTGTGGTATTTTCACGTTAAAGGCATGGTTTTTCTATCCAAAATCTTTCGAAGCTATTTAATCATCGAATAATAGATCAGAACTAAGATCATCTCACGCAAAATAAAGAAAAGTATGTCCTCATGACAACCTTTTTTTACCCATAATTGTCATCAATGTTTGTAAAATTCGTGCAAATTTTACATTATATTTTGAATTAATGTTACTGGACTTTTTGAAAATACTCTTTATTTAATACTAAACATGAAAATATGTTGTCATCTGAAACCTCGGCCTCAATGAAACTGAGATTTATCTTTTTATTTATCATTCGGAGGTTTTTAGGTAGACATTCGGCTAAATTCAGTTTTATAGCATTAGATATTTGATTTAGTAATGTGATCAGTGACCCTCGGTGACCACTATTGCAATGCGTTGTAAACGTCGGGCCGTTGTTAAAATGAATGGTCATAATAGTCATAAGTCTTCTTCACTTCGCGTTTAAAACTTTAAAAAAGTGTTTTAGTTCATTATAAGTTATATTGTCTATGTTACCGTCAACATTTTCTAAGCGTTTATTTAACGCCAGTGAAATAAAATAGGCTTAGTATCTTATATACCTCTAAATACATTTATAGTAAAATTGCCTTTACCCTGTCTAATTGGGGTAAAAACAATATTAATTATACGTATTGTTAATAGAAAAAATTTATGTAAAATTTGTACAAAATTGTCAATATAAACGCAAAATTTCATTTTTATAATCATCAATTGATATTTAATAAAATAATAAGTCATTAACCAACCCCTTTGGAAACTGCATATACAATAAAATGGTGAGGAAATGACATTGTGTCCTAATTAACTCGGCTAGGAGAGTATAAGGCCACCACCTAATATTAAAAGACGTTAGTGTATGTACAACTTTGTAACATAGGTGTAGTATCGTTGAGCATATGGACTCCACACCCAATAATTATAAACAGCTATTTTTATGACATTTGGCGAAAGACGACATTGATTATAATGGTGAGTCTAATATAATATAGTGTGTTTTAAAACCAATTTTTTATCATCAATATTGAAATATTAATAGAGAAATTATAGCTTGGCTAGTATCTAAAAAATAATGTGCACGTAAATAACAGTTATTTATTTCGCCTTTTTGATACCAACAGATGATAATTGAATATGCGTGACTTTTGAATAAGAATAGTGACAAATATATGTATACATAACAATCCGTGTAATATACATAAATTTGAATGCTAATAACCTCTGCGTAAAAATTGGATGAGAAGGTGACTAAAATATTATCCTCTCTGGGGACTATATAAATGTTTTGTTATGACGACTGTAAGATTGTCTCCTTGAACAATGAATAACTAACAGATGGAAATATTTTGTACCTTTCTGCGTTCGTTGTGGATTTTTCCTAATCATTTCTTTCGTGCTTCGCTGTATACAAAGGTAGTAATAAAGACTTTGTTTATTTATGTATTTGTCAACTTTAGTTACACTTCGTAGAGGTTTTTCTGTCAACAAAACTATTGGCTGAAGAACCTCTACCAACACTAGAGTGGATAGTAAGACTGAGTAACAATAGTGAGATATAAAGAGCCTAAAATGATAGAATAAAATATAAATTACTTTTAATTTGCCGACACTTTTAATTCTTAAATTCGTCAGGTCACGTCTTCAACCTGTATAGGTGTATCGATTTGTAATTGTAATATGAATTCTTAAGGTTACGTTAACATAACAACATTTATATTTGTTGAATATCGATGCGGGGAAATAAGATTTAAGAAATATAAACAGACTTTATAAACTAACCCCAAAAGCAGTCTTAATTTTAACAATTTTCTTAACTTCTAAACAAAGAGCAATGTTTTTATTCATTGGACACTTCACGAGAAGCAATGCATGAGCAATACAATTAAACACTGTTGGGGGCCTACGCGACAGTGTGGCGGCGTTAAACCGAGTCCTGATTCTGTTAAGTCACCAATTGACGTACGTCAATTGCTTTTCATTCTCCATGGCTTAACAAAATTTAATTTTAATTGCCAGTTGTATATCCTACTAAAACTTTATCACCCTTAAAACTCCATTGTCACAGCAATAATAAAACATTGCCGTAATAAAATACTAAATGGTAGACGGGCTAGTTAGGCAATCGACAGGCCAGTGTAAATGGCAGAATCAGGCATCCGTAATAATGATTGAAAACTCGTGGCCGGCTTCGCGTGGAGATCATGTGATTGTGATGAGACCACTTAAGCAAATAAATACCGACCAGCAAACCATTTCTGTCAACGTTCAGTTTATTTACATACTTAAACTATTGTCACAACATTGGGAAATCTATAACAACCAATGAAAATCATATATCGTTACATAGGTTTAGCCTCGTCTGATAGCCGTGGGTACTAAATAATTGTATAAATAAAATGTCGGCATATGTTCATGCTAACTTAGGTCTAATAAAAATAATATATTTTTAATGTTCTAATGGCATGGTGGATCTTGTGAGTAAAAATGCTAAATTATAAACATAATTATCAAAAGCTTTATACATTACAAATATTCGTACACATCGGTGAAATACAAAGAATAAATCCTTATTTATTTGTTACTTACTGTCTTTGGCGATCTATAACAGCTCTTTATTGACTTAAGCCTATAGATGTGGGATTGAAGTTAAAAAAATATTTATAAGAGTTACAAAAATACATTCATATGATAATGGGCAAGTAAAAACACGTTGTTGGTAGGGACACAACACTTTAACATGTTCACGTAAGGAACGCAAAGAATAAAAATATTTATTCAATTATCATCATATTTGAATAGTTCAAGGATTTCCTAAATACACCAAATTAGAAAAAAATGTGTGACTATGATAATTGAAACGTTTTGTATGGTCTGCTTTTGACAAATTGAGCGATGCGTTATATTTTTCCTACTTGCCTCTATTTGCAAAGGTATAATTAAAAACATAAATATAAATATATATATTTCTTTTTGCAAAAATGATTCATGAAATAATTTCAATATAATAATTACATTTCCAAGAACAAAGATAGTTAGAGGGTAAAAATAATTTTATTTCCTCTTAATTACAATTATTTTTATATTTATTTTCAGCCAGTCCTTATTCCCAGAGTTATCTTTAATGACCTTAGCGTGATGTATTAAGTATTTCTATTTCACTCAAGATTCTTAAAGAGAATAATAAGCTCAAATAGAAGAAGTCTATTTAATACCCTACACTCGCCACGCAATTAAAACACGATAATTTTTAAGTGTACAATGTTTTGATTTGAGAATAAAGCAAATAGTATATATATACTATTTGCTTTATTCTCAAATAGCCACAATCTTTGCATGTAATGTAGAATTAAATATTATGCTAATATAAAACGTGCAGGAGTATTATTTCAAATAAGTACATTTTCTCTATAATTAACTTTAATAAAACAGTTAATAAATTACTCTGTATAGGACTAGAGTCTATTATTCATAGTACAAGTATTCTAATTATTATTTAAATGAAATCTTGACACCCTTAAAGTGCAAGAGCAATTTTCGTCGCCCTTCCAAGGCTAGTATAATTTTTCCCACAAACCTATGTATAGCTTTTTCATCAATTACGAGTCACGTGATCAACTGCTGAATTCGTGATATATCCAAACTGTGCACTAAAGTATTTTTCAGTGATCATTCAAACGTCGTCAGTATCGGTCGAGTCGCCTTACGAAATATAAGAGCAACGCTGAGTAGATCCGTCTAACAGTGTATTTGTGTTTTCGTAAATAAAATAATGTAGTTTTTTAAAATCCGTTGATAATAAGTTCTATCTATATGTAAAGGGATATTATTTATTTACTTAGTAAAGTAATAATTTATAAGTGTAAGTGTATTTTTCGTATAGAGAGCCTAAACTAAGGTAACCATTATACATAGAAAAAGTTGTAAAAATACCATTTTGAGTGGGATGTGTATATTGTGAAGAATCTATAAATATTCATTTTTAGTTATTTACGTTTTATTATTGCTGTCTTTGCTAAGGCCATAGAAATGTAAAATCAACACGGATGTGTAATGTGTGCTTTATTTAATTTTATCTATGATTTTTCCAGGTTCGAAAAACGAGTATCCGAATGACAGCTATAAAAGAATACCCCTTCGACCTAAGCGATCTTCAAAACCCACACAGAGGCGAACATTCACCTCCTCCACACTACAATGAGTTGCCTCCTGCCACAACAAACATAGCAACACCGGATGGCAAAAGAAAAGTCTCTATAATGGCTGATGAAAAAAGTAAAGATAAATCTACATCTGAGAGGTAAGACTCTCATTTGTGTAAATAAAATAATGTTTAACAGGTACAGTAAAAGATTTACCACAAGTGTGCTCATATAACGAAGACCGATATATATAATTTAAAATGACGTATAGTTCGAAATTCAATTTTTGTTTAAATATAATCTTCTCAAACATATTACTTCTTCACAAAAAACGTGACAATATACCGGACCTCCTGAAACATTAAATTAATTTATGTTATATTAATCTAAAGGATAGTCTTTTAATCTGACGCGGGACGAAATTGCGTCGCGTTGATGTCTTTCATTCAGTCGTTAAGAAAAAGGTTACTTATACCGCTTATCATATTAATTTTGTTAAAAGCAATATCTATATTACCTTTCCTATCATTTCTAGTACTTTTCGACTATAGTTGTAACCAATGAAAAGCAAAAGATACGTTTTTTTTTACTAATTTAAATTGTTAATTATCTACATTTCCGTGCAATATTAAAATGTGATAACGTCTATGTCTTTACATAATTGGTATTGATAAGACATTGAAGTATTTACCCAAGGATATTAGAATAAAATGTATTCAATTTTATTCTAATATCCTAGGCCAAATCTAGCTTCACTGAATTGTTTTGCCACTTACTTAGCTATAGGTAGAGTATAAGAAAGTTCAAATTAGCTTATAATGAATATTAGGAGTCGTAAGTATAAGAGTACAGAATAGTTGTTATTTTCAGACATTTGCGGCCATTAGTTTTGCCTTTCCTCAAAAACCAACCTCTCAAGGAATATTCTTAAGAAGAGAATTAGAAAGATTTCTACAGCCATTCTCAAGATTTGTCCTTACCAACACATTTAGCTATTCATATGTATGTTATAGAATTGTTTTGATGCCGTACGCTAATCGTATTTCACCGTGGCTAGTAAATACCTGCGTGGTGTTCTAGCGTGGGTCTTGGCAAAACATCGGATATGACTTCTACCTTTCACTTGCACAATTATTGTTACTTATCTACATAGAGTATAACATTCATCTTTTGCGACCGTCACGTGATGATAATTTGTGAAAGGTACAACACGTCCAGGCAACTGGGACCCTGGCAAAACATACGTTTCGACGTTACAACGCTGCGCACTGTAGTTCTTTGTATTTGGTCCTCCCGCTATGCGTACGCGCACCTACTTACCTACATAATTTATATAGGTGCTAACTCAAATTGGCGGAACGACGGACAACGAACCTTAACAGTTCTTAATATTATATTTAGTCTAAAACTCCTTAGTATTAAGTTGCTACTAGCGATAAATGTTTAACGTTAATATTATATTACGAAGTCATTAAGTAACTTGAACTGAAAGACTACCTACCACATCTAATCATATACTTAGATGTAATTACTTTTTATAATTATTTTTTTACACTTAAATAAAACACTTTAACGGTTTAAAACGCGAACTAATATATCGCGTTTTAAACCGTTAAAGTGTTTTATTTAAATGTGTACTACTCGCGTAAACTATAGACATAATTTTTTTTTTGCACTTTTTAAATAAGTATACATACAGGTCGAAATAAAAGACAAAACCTGACTTGCGTATGAAATATAATAAATAAAAAAAATCATCATCATCATGCAACCTTTGCATAACGACAACTCAAATTCCAAGAAGAGTAATAATTAATTTATTTATTATTAGACAGTACCTACATTTTAAAAAGAAAAATAATTTTAAGAGAAAGAAATATTATGTGGGGTAGTAAAATATTTTTTCTACATTCGCAAACAATCTACGAAATTACAAACACATGCCTCCGAAACCCTATCGTGGTCATTTGTGCAACGACCGCGCGACGGCCAAACCGAAAACGCAGCAAATAAGCCGTCTGTCGTCAAAATTTTGCCCGTCAGCCAATGGCCGTTCAGCCGGCCGGCGAAACCTAGCATTGTGAAGCAGTCACGTGCCAGGGGTGAGACGAGGCGGGCGGCTTGGCTTGGCTGTACATTCTCCTATAAGATGCACACACAGTGTCGCATAGGTGTTGAGCGTGCTGGTCTCGACGGCATGCCCCCGCACCCGTTTGAAACCCTCTTACCGTAGCGTTAGGTTTTAGTGTAAAAGACTCACTGAGTGCCATGTAGGATGTCTCACAGTAGCCTCAGTCACTACGACACCTACCTCCCGTCAGACTCGTCCCTCGAAACCGATGCACTTAACAAACACTGGTAAGTTATGGCTCTCATAATCTCCCCACAACATTTTACCTATCTTTTCTTGCATGTGTTTAATTTTGCTCAACGTAGTTACGATGTATACGTTATTAAACATGTACTTTCTTTCATCGTACAACGAAACGATTTGCAAATGTTTTGGGCTATTGTTGAACGTTAGTAAAAACTACAAAACCCTTGATATTACAGTTGACAAATTTACCTGTTGCTATTACGATTATACCTTACGATATTACCTTTGTTTTCTGAAACAATTAAAATTACATCTGCGCTTCATTTCAACTTGGTGCACAAAATGTTTCATTTAAGTTAACTCGTGCCTTTATAAATGAGTATGTAGAAGACATTATAACATGCTAACTAATCTATACCAATGTCAACAAATAAAATTGAATGCTAAAAAAGATATCAGGGCCTTAATTGTAAAATTAAAAGTGTACATTATAACTGTTCAAAATATGCTCCAAAAAACCGGCATTTTAATTAAATGAATTGCGGTCATCAAATAAAAAAAGTGCCGTAAGAAACCGGTAACAAATCGCCTGTACTTACTTCCTACGTTACTTATTAATATCAAGTACAAAATAAGTTTTCGTTTTTCGTAGTCTCTAAAAATATTTAATTACTTAGATACATTTTTGTTTCTATGATTAAAATAGTAAATACCCCTTGATTATTTTAAATTATTATAAGTATGGTCAAGTCTTAATTACTTTTCTATTAGTAATATTTTCACTTTATATTACAAAAAATAGCACACAATACATTATGCATCAAAGTTATATAGAGGTCTGGCTTTTTATTATTAACCAAAGACGTAAAAAAAAACGTTGCAAATATAATCATTGAGAAATGACTTTTACCAATTTACAGTTAGTTTAGTACAAGGTTTTTATTAAAAGTTTAAGTAAATATTACTTTTATATAATTGTATATATGTATCAGTTTCCTTCCTTTATCAATCTTGGATACCACTGTATTGCTTTTGATAGGAATTAAAACTTCCTTACGTTATTTTAAAAACAAAAGTAGGGTTCCGCGCGGAGAGAATAGAGTCCAATGATAACCTTAGCTGGTATTAATAAAAATAATGTCACCTTACTGCAGGTTGCTTAAAAACCTTGGCAGTCACATGAGCCACTCATTTATGGGCACTGCAGTTTAACCTTTGCAAGTGCATGGCCCAGCTGTATCAATTAAATAGAACTTACCCTTGACAACATAATTAAATTCGCAGCAAAAATAAAAGCACATTTATTCCCATATTCCATATTTACAGGGTTTTGACATTATTACGATTTAGAATCTTATGTAGAATAGAATAACTGTTTCATAAGTTACTTTGTACTTACCTAACAAAGTAATTCACTGTCCTATAATGATTATAAATAAAACGACTATAGTTAAATTCATTGATCGATTTTATTTAATAACAAAGTTCTGTTCTGCCCTATTGATATTATTTATTATGTTTCACCGAGTTTCGAACTTGGGCCTTCTTGCGCTAAACTACCGAGGAGGTCTAAAAATACCATAACCTAGTTTTTGCACACATTAATTAATAGTACAAATAAAAATCAAATTCAGATGGGAAAAAACTACGACACGGACGGGACTTGATGTGATTGTGACTTGATATAGTAGACTATTAGTATAGTGAAAATAATCAGTCTATTTTTTATTTTTAGCAGGAATGGCAGAATTTCAGCGCAAGCAGAAGGGCCGTCCCGGCGCAAGAGCAACTTACACAATGCCATGGCGGCTGAAATGGATTCCTCGTGGGGTAAGGTTATCTCTGTTTATATTTCCTGAAATAATTCCATATGCGTTTTAAAAAATAAAAATCTTTACACAAGTTATGAAAATATAGAAAGAAATCGTGGCTCGTTGGTGTAAAGTGAGCAATGTACAGCTAATAATCGACGGGTCGTAGGTCGATCCCCACCAGGTCAAACTTTTCTAATCAATTTATAATTATTTTGGACTTCGTCTGGAAATATTAAATAGGGCCGGGTCACAAACCATCAAGCCGTGAAGTTTCTTGATTTCGATCACGTTTCGATTTCAGTCTGTGGATTTCCGAATATCCAAAGACAGCGCAACGTTATATGGCTGAAGTATTTCACCTACCATGAATTGAATCCGCATGCTTGCCTCTCCTCCTATATCAATTAAAAATATATTCATTGTATAATTAATTATGATAAATGGTCTAAATGCCGACCTTCAAGATGCCGAGCTATTCACAGTTTATCAGCTGCTCAGTTCCCACTATTTCATTGATTACTACCAGTCCGCTGTGTACTTCTGTACTAATATGACATGAACCTCTTTCAACAGAGAGGCCGGCTCACATCGAAGGTAGATACAAAAAATACTCAACAACATCATCAGTTTATTCCAAGAAGGCCCATTCACACCACAGTGAACATATAGAGAGGTAAGTGATTTTTAAGAATGTTTACGTAAGCACCTACTTAAACTCGTCACGGGATCCCGATTCTGGCAATTCATGATCAAATGATATGCTGGCGAGTTGCCATCGACAGTTATAAGCCATCCGGTTCGCTAAAATGACAAATTATAAAACGACAGCCGATTTTAAATATTGAATTTGACTTCCAGGAAAATATATTTTGTATATCTGTCCAGGTCCTGGTGGTACGCTTGTTGTCAAAAGTGTCACAGTGACGATTCCGGAATTCCGTCTTGGGAGCCACCGCACTGGCAAAAAATTTGCCCCTACCCATTATGCCCGTCTTACAGGCATTTTGCTCAAAATCTATCAGTATTAATAATCGGTAAGAAATAAATTAAATCTATTAATATATACCCAACATAATATACATAATATTAAACTTTGCAAACCGTTTGTTGTTTACTCGAATAGTACACATTCAAATAAAACATTTTAACGGTTTAAAACGTGATATATATTAGTTACCTACGGCCACAAAGTATCCGAAATATCGGTCCATTGTTCAAATCATTTTCATATAAGTTTAACTAATTGTATAGCGCGTTATAAACCGTTTTAGATTTAAAAAACGTCGTTTAATTGATAGCAGGGAATGGGAATGTTGTTATAATGGGTTTGAGTCCCGCACGTGTATGTTTTATTTAAGATAAGCTTCGTAAAACTCATACACTCCTCCTAATTACCATTATCACACTATTTTCTGTCCAACAGTATCGGGTATGAGTCATATAGATTAAAATTACCATCAAACCGTACAATTCTTTACGATAAAAAATACAGTAAAATAGAAAAAAACAAATGCGCCGCGTATTAGTTTCGCAGAAGTATTTCGTTATGTGACTAATCGTGTAAAAACCGTAGCATTGTCAAGAACTTTACCGTTACTAAATCCAAGTACACAATTATGTTTTAGATAGCTTATGTTCTACGCAGTATAGACGCCATTTTTCTTTCATAGGTATTTTAGTATGGTTGATCGTGTGGATAATAATAGGAGACACGGCTGCACCAGGTGGGCAGTTGTTCATGCTAGCTGCACTAACCATAGCAGCAAACTTCGGCGGTTGGCTCATGGTGAAATTGACAACGTTACCAGCTCTCATTGGAATGCTGTTTACAGGAGTGATTTTGAAGAACATTGGATTTGTTAGTTTTAATGCAGAATACCTACATGTATGCTCAATTATAAGGTAAATGTACATTTACAATAAGATAACAAATTTTGTAAAAATATGGGCTTGACTACAAAAAAAAGTCCGGAAAAAACTGGACCCGGCTGAAATGGAACCCAAGACTCAGTTCAATTGTATTGATATATTTTCATATATAAATAAACCATTATATTTCAAACCAATTTTGATATTTTCAGTGTTACATATTTCTTAAGTTCGTGATCGTTTTGTAATTGTCATATTATTGTTAAGTTTTTCACAAACATAACTGTTTTTAATATATTTTAAACACTTTACAACATATTGTTCCTTTGTTTTTCAGAAAAATAGCTTTAACAATTATTTTAACCAGAGCAGGATTAGATCTGGACCCAGTGGCTATGAAGAAATGTTTCTTTTCTGTCATAAAACTGGCAGTTGTGCCATGGACGTTTGAATTCATCTTGTGTGCAGTTATGTCCAACCTTCTTCTTGGTTTACCTTGGGACTGGGGTAAGAAAAATAACTAATACTAAAAATCCTCGATGGTAAAAATCCTTTATTTTTCTCAGATACCTACACAATTTGTATTCTAAGGAATTTTATATTTATTTACTCAGAAACAATGGTTCTTATCTTAATCATATAACCTTTGACCTTTGTGGGTTCGATCCCCACCAACATATTTCTAATTTTTTGAAACATGCTGGACCTTGTCTGGATATTAAAAAGGTGGTAGGAATATAGAAATTCCATCCGGGTCACGAACCACCGTTCATAGATGAAAAAGCCGTGAAGCTTAATCGCGTTTCGGTTTCAGTCTGTGGATTTCCGAATATCCAAAGCCAAAAAACGGTCGACAGCGCATCATGTTTAGGTTCTATAGGCTGGGGTATATCTCCTACCATCAGATGAAACCCATGCCATGTCTGTCCTCCTCTATCATAAAAATAAACCTATTCTATAGCTAACAATATACAAACTTCCGCTTGTAGCTTTTCTACTTGGTTCTGTGGTAGCCGCTGTATCTCCAGCGGTAGTTGTACCATGTCTTTTTCGACTAAGAAGTAAAGGATATGGTGTATCCAAGGGAATACCGACACTGGTTCTGGCTGTTTCTGGTGTTGACGATGCCATCAGTGTGGCTATTTTTGGAATACTAGCATCTATTATGTTTTCAAGCTCCTCCGTGACCATGAATATTATACAGGTAGTTATTTCTATATACAAATATAGCCTAAGTATAGTATATTTGGATTGGCTAGTTAGTGGTCAGTGGATAAAGATGTCTTGGTAACAACGATATTCGATATACAATATATAACAATAGGTGCGGCGCTAAGCATTGTGTAACGTGTAGCTCGTACCGACTTCAAACAAGATGTAGGATTTAACGATAGAAGGGATGTTTCAGTAAGTGATAAATAAGATTACCAAGAATGATCTATGATACTAAGATTCTCGGCTTGTTCAGTATACATGGTTCTACTCTCGTCTGCTCAAACATTACCACTATATTTTTTTTTTATTTTCGACCCCGCTTGGAATAAGATTTCCATAAGATGTTATATGTCAGGATTATTTTACCTTTCTCGCTTCCTGCTGTCTACTGCCATAGAAAAAAAGTGTTATAATTTATAAGTTATATTAGTTTGTATATTTATAGAAAATGTGACACCAAACTCAATAGGCGTTTTTATAATAAGGTGACCATGAGAATAAGATAGCTATGAACTTGAAACCAAGTTAGACATGGTCACACGTTTTATTGAACTTGTAGTACTTTTATTACTTGAATTTGTAGGGCAACTGTTGCATATTGATTAGCCTGTTTGTAAGTTACGTATAGTTGTTCATTACTTATAAAACACCTTTGGCTATAGACAACAATGTTAGATGTATTACAATATATAACTAAGGAAATCATCTAGAATTTATTTTAATATCATTATTTCGTTACCAAAACGATTTTCGTAGATAGTTACAGTAATTTAAGTATTACGGTGAAGTGTATAGAGTAATTACTAACAAAGATAGAGGAATATTATATAAAATAAAAACGCTTTCTTTCGCTCCAGATACATATATAAACTAGAGTACTTAAGATATTTGATCAATATTTGATACCATCTGTTCTAACAATAGTAACGAGCGTCAAGGTGTGTAATTAAAAAATACTATGGTGATCCTTAACTACATAAACATCTGTTTTCAGGGTCCACTTAGCGTTGTTCTTGGAATAGCTTTTGGGATTCTCTGCGGATATCTTGTCAAGTATATCCCTGAACGAAACGATGCCTTCTTGGTGCCTCTTCGCGTTCTATTGTTACTGGCGGGAGGTATCGCGTTCATATTTGGATCCGATGAAATCGGTTGGGGTGGAGCTGGTAAGTCAGATGTATACAAAATTTATTCTTTAAATAAGAAAATAGCTAAAATATATAATTCGATGTAAAAAGTTATTCACGTATTTCAGTAACAGACGCAAAAGTATGTTTAATCTATGCCCGACGTAGAAAGACGAGATTCTTTTATTACAAAGTCGCACAAATTTCAGTAACGTTTTACAATTGTTTACTTAGATAAGGCCTATTAATACCAATTCTAACGAAGAAGGTACATACTCCCGGAAGCTATAATTAAAATAATACCTATTTAAAGTAAACGTCTTTCCTTACTAATCGATCGTAAAAATTGTTTGGACTCAATACACACGAATACGCTGATTGTTTTCCTCGGTGAGGAGATTGGCTTTCACTCAAACAATACATTGTTATAGGAATAGTAACGGAGTAGCAATAAAAGAGAGAAAACATGGAATAGTAAATATTTTATCGACACGTCACGAATCGCCAAGACGTACCTATTTCACGAATGTCACATATTTTATTACGCAAGCACATGGAACATTATAATGTATTTAGTTGCACTCTGCGATTTGTTATGCTTCCAGCAAAATACGCATTAAATTAATGTTAAGTAACTTATAATATGTACTTACAGTTTTTTTATAATAAGGATTGTTTTGAAGACGCTAGTTGTGATTTACCGTTTTATCGGTAAAGGCACACACACATATACTATATTTTTTGCACACAAATTTCATAATTAATGAGCAATATTCCACACTATAATCATATAGATGAAACTCTTCCGCAATGAAATTTCGACTTAAGTGACGCGGCTTCGAATCTCGGATAGACTATTTTTTAAATAAAATTTTCTTTTTATATTTTCAAGAGATATAAACCACCATTGAATTTTAACATTTCATAAATTACTATCTAAAATGTATACCGTGTAATTTTTTACACAATGTTCGTAAAACCTTTCTGACTTTCCAGGTCCTATGGCAGTCATATCATTTTCATACGTAGCTTGTAAAAACTGGTCTGAGCAAGGATGGGAGTTAGAAGACAATCCTGTGGCCACGGCTAATGAGATCTTCTGGATGTTTTTCGAACCTATGTTGTTTTCCATCACAGGCGCTCAAGTTGTGGTAATTAATTATCTTTTTCATTTATTTCATTTTAAAGCAGAACAAGTAGGAATAAGATATTCTTAGTGGAATTGAATTGAGTTATTTTTAGTGACATATACTCGTGTGTCGAGCGAAAATCTCATAGTATTTCGCAACTTAACATTTTAAATATGGCATTATGTCTTTAAAACCGTTCCTTCTCAAACACGTCTTATTAATGTAAAATATGTAATTTTTAACCATTTCTTTTAATTTTAGATCGCTGAATTGCCACCAAATCTAGTATTAGTAGGAGTTGGTATACTCATAACGTGTGCCATCCTAAGAGCCATAGTGACAAGTATAAGTGCAGTGCGCAGTAATTTAAATATGAAGGAGAAAATATTCGTTGGTCTGTCTTGGATGGCCAAAGCCACTGTTCAGGTTTGTGTAAATTTTTTGTTGTATTTATTGTATACCAATTAAAATATTACCTGACATGAGATATGAACCCTGTACTTTATGACCTTTATCTAAAGTACCTATGCTATTAGACCACGAGACAGAATCTTAATTAAAGTACCCTTAAAGTACATTTCAATGTTACAGGCTGCCTCTGGCGACTGTACCTTTGGACGAAATACGCAAACTTGCTGGAAACGGTCAACCCTCTGAAGATGTACTGTATTACGCTGAAACAATTGTCACCATATGCATCTTGTCAATTGTACTAACTGCTCCACTGGGTGCTATTATTATCACAATTACGGGTCCTAGACTTCTTTCGAAGACAACAAAACCGCCTGTGTTGGAAGGTATGTTATAAAATATAATGTTGTTATATGCGTGCTAATAATTATTTATACCGTATTTGTTTCTTTCAAATGTTTAATTGATTCGGAATGGAACTCGTAAATCCAAAGCCAAAATAAGCCGACAGCGCATCTTGTTTAGATCCTATAGACTAGGCTATACCTCCTAAATCATTAAAAAAATCGGTTATTAGTGAATAATAAAATTATAAATAAGAAAATCAAAAAATATATCGTGACATCACTCAACACCTTTATTCACTCATAAACACAAAATTTAGTTAACATAAACAATTTAGTAAGAAAAGTTAGATGGTGGAATTCTTTTGGGATCATATAATGAGGATTGATTCGTTTTTGGATAGTAGTACAACTTATTCGGGTCAACTCCAGGGTATGTTGGAACTGTAGGACCTTGTGGATAATTTGAAGATTGCCTTTCATTATTAAAGTTATTTCTATTGTCATATTGTGATGAGGGATAACTGGGATAAACATTTCCTTGTGGCCACTGGTATTTGCATTATTAGTATTAGCATACGAAGGTGAATTGCCATTCAATATTAAATCTTTCAGAGGATTGTAATTAGGATGAGCACCTTGTCCAGAATACTGTGGTTGGCTTCCTCCTTGTGGAAGATATGTTGAGCTATGATTATAATTTTGACCCCCAGGGCTGTAGCCATTGAAAGTTCGACCTTGGTTTGGATAAGGATATCCATTATTCACATTTCCTTGTCCCATATAAGCATTGTTTGCTCCATGCGCAAATAACGACGAGTTGTATTGATTAGGTAAAATATTAAATTTTGAATTTGAATTTCCAGGTTGATTATATTGAGGGTACTGGTTAGGATATCCTGAATAAGGATTAATTCCACCTTGCACTGTGTTGTTTTTATTCTGTGTCCATGGATTATACTTGCTGGTTGTATATGAAGGATAGTTAGGGTTATAATTTCTTTGGTCGTACACATTCTGGTTTGGATACGGACTTATATTCGTTTGAGGTTTGGAGATTGTGTTATGTGAAATATTTGTATTTGTTCCAAAATTGGGACGATAAACATTAGGTGCTGTAGTATTATTAGTACCTTTGAAGATAGGATAGTTATTGGTAGGATACGTGGTCCCGTAATTCCTAGAGTTACTAGAAGAAGCAAAAGTAGAATTATTGCTATAATAAGGGTTTGGATACCCAGTATTTTGGTTTGTTACCCCATAAGGAGGCCTGGAACTTACTGGAACATTCATCGGATTTCTCGCTGTAGTATAATAATTAGGCTGTGAGTTGTACTCGTTGTTTCCATTTTGCCAAGATGGAGTATAATAGTTTGGATTATTCCGTGCATTAAAGTCTGGTCTATAATTCTGTTGTTGAGGCGTTACGAATGGAGGAGGTGGATTATTTAGGTGTCCGTAATGTGGGGATCGTATATTTGGTGCATGTTGATTGTAATATGGGCTTGATGAAAAGGTCGTATAATTTGAACTGGCCTGACGAACATGTCTTTTAAGTAAGCTGAATGCATTTTCTTCCTGATTACTAAGAGATTTCCCTTTCACATCATTCTCAATACTCTTATCCCACACGAACTCTCGCACACTTTCTAGTTGCCGATGATTTGGTTTTTCAAGTTCATTATTAACTGTCTTTCCACAATAGACATATTTTGTAAATAATATCACTATAAATATACAGAAGAAGTACACAATTCTTCGTGGACTCATTACGCTAACTGAATAGAATAAATATTTTGCAACATTATATAAATTTTGTTTATATAAAACAATAGATAAACTTTTGACCTTTTTTACTAAACGTATACTTGATACGGGATATAGCGAAATGGTGATATTACTACCATATTTAAATAAAACACTTTAATAGTTTTAAGCGCGATATATATTAGTTAAACTTATTTGAACATTATTATTGACTACTACGTTTTGGTTGCACAGCCGTGGTCACGGGGAGAATACCGTTAAAGAGTTTTATTTAAACTTGTACTACTCGTGTATACTATAGACAGTAATTAGTACCATACTTATTTTTTTCTTAACCTAATGAATTAATAGAATGATCCAGTGTATAATTTTGTAGTGTTCCTGTACAGACTGATTACTTAGTACGAGGATTAAACACTTGGCTTAGAATTACAATAAGAATGAGTGGTTCCGAGTTCGTATAAGGGGAACATAATATATCACTTCGGCCGGGCAGAGTATAGAAGCCTGATCAATTACTTGATTGTAAATAAAATCGATTAAGTGAAACGGTAACATAGAAATGCATTCGGGTCACAAAGGTGAAACGTGAAACTCGCAGAACCTAATGGAATATTGTTTGAATTCTACCTAATGTATCCATCTTATGTCTGAACTATAGCTAATTCACCTTCTTTTTTCTCCTATTAGTTTAAAAAAAATCCAAATCGATAAAAGATTAAATAAAATTTGAAACATTTTCATAAATTCTATGTAATATTACAGGTTGGCGACGTTCACATAGGCCCTCTATCCGTGACATATCCATTATCGACGAAGAAGAGATAGCGGAGCGTGATGCTGAAATCAGCGGGGAGATGCATCAATCACCACCCAGTAGCCCAGATCCCACGTCGAAGTCTCCGACCGCGTTCAGTACTCCGAATGCAATCACTGTTCAACCGAATAATCGCTCGTCGTAGTAATCATTTCCTAACTTAATTTTAAGCCGTCCAATACATTAACGATTTTGGTAACAAATATACAGGTACAGGCATATTTTCCGTAGATATCATTCATTTTGTACTACAAACGGCAGCCATATGCTGTAAATTAAAATGTATTAAAACCTACTGGATATATGGGGCCGATGAATGTATAAGAACTACAGAACGGTGGGCCGTTTGGGAAGTCAAATTTTACCAGTGTCAATCTTGAATTGTTAGCAGAGCATCGTTCTTGTACTTAAAAGTTAATTTGAAGTTTTCGTCAAACTCGACAAACACGCGATTGATTATAAAGTGGTCGTATGATTTTCGATGACATTTTGTTTATTGTTTTTTCATCGCTAACTCAGATTGCTACAATTGACAAAATATTAAAATGGAAAATAATGAGAAGGTTTATTTTTGTGTAATAAAATATCCTACCAAGATATTACACATTGGTGGCATATGTAGATATTTAGTTCTTAATTACTCGCGAGATGGCGTTATATAGTTACCCACCAATTTAAACTGTTTTGGGTCACTTTTTACCAGGCGACTAAATACACTTTTTTATTAGATTTTCTTTGTACTTAGATTGTTGATTTTAACGTGTACTTTAATTATTATTAGAATACTTACAATGGAATATTAACACTGTCAAAATTTTTCATACATTGTTAACCATGTGATAAATAAGTATTCATATGTATAAGGCAAAACCTCGCTATAAAAATATTTTTAAAGATTAGTTCTATTGTAATTAGTTACTATAGAAGAAATAATCGCCAAGTAGAATTAGATACACCCATGGTATGATATTTTAATTGATGTTATTTATACTTTTGTAGATATTTTTAGGTATTAGCTAAAATCAGTATTGTATGACTATTTAATTACATATTACTTACATACGTAGAATTAATAATTTATCATAAAAATACAATTCACTATCGTTAGGTGCTTAATATAAGTTTCTTAATTATTTTCATCGTTATTAAGCTAATTTATGTCTAAAAACGCAAATGGTACTTACCTATCAACAAACAAGAAAGGTGACAAAAGATAAATTAACTTAAATAATACAAAAAATATGGAATAAATTGTATCAAATTACACGTTGTGTTTTAATTTCGTAACCTTCTATTTTTTATTTTATTAAAAGGTCTACAAAACTAAGCTTTAATATACAGATATGGTATAAATGGCTATACAAATAAAAATCTTAAAAATTAAGCTTATAAATATGTAGACACGACATACAAATAAAGTTGAATCGTACAAAGTTAATAATAATTAAATCTAATATAAATGTAACCAAACAAAATTAAATAATATATTAGTGCTTTAAAAGAAAACTTAGTAATTGTCGGAGGTAACTTAATAATGCGGCAGACGTAGCTTGGCAAGTCTGATCTCTTTGATCACAGGAATGTTCCTTAAGATGTTAAAGGTGGTAAGAGCGAGGTGCGCGGTACGGAGATCTAGGCTAGAGATTGACCCATTGTCAACACGATCGACCGTTTATTTTAGTAAATTTCGTAATCTATTTTGATCATGAATTTTTAATTGTATGGGATATTGTAATAAATGGTTTTATGAGCACAGTGAATGAATTAATAAATAATACCATGATTACTTTTAAAGGAAAACGACGTGATTTAGTTAAATGTGACTTATGATTTATATAAATACTGTTTTTACATATTTTTACGTTCTTTGAAGCTTTTTATACAAAGATATTTCTACGATCCAATTTTGTCTATTTCAATAGGAATCAATTAAACGACACCCTCAAGGAACGAGGAACCTCAACATCTTTATTAGGTTATTTCGTAAAGCGTTGTACATATTCGGTAATGTTCGGTAAACAGTAGTGTGTAGTTCGTTAAAAAAGTGATTGTTAATTGTTAAATATTTCTTTTTTGTTATATTTTTTTTGTCTCAGTTGTTTAGTGAAAAATAAGTGTTCGTAGCCCTTATTCTCTTTGAATAAATTATTGGTATGTTACTATTGTTTACTATAGGTCAAATCTTTCATTTATCCCAGTAACGAAAATAAATGGTAGTATTTTCGTTAGTTTCGTTTCGTTCGTCTAACCTACGTTCAGACTTGCCAAGTTACGTCGGCCGTATTATACTGTGATAAAAAATATCCAGGTCTGAAGAGTGATTTTTAAATAGATTGAACATATTGTATGTGCAATCTATTTATCAAAGTGTGGAAGAGCGAAAATGACTACATTGTGAATGCGATGCCAGAACAGAAAGATTTAAGCGGTTGATTAGGTTGATGTTGTCTATGTTCTTATTAAATAATTTTGATAGAAACAAAGCATCAGCCAGATCTCAACCATATTTTAGCGAAAGTAGTGTGTAATCCTTGACGCTATTCCCAGCATATACTCGCACTATCAAACGAATTCAAATCTTAGAAAAATATTATTGATTGACTGACGATTTATATGTATGACTTCTGAAAAAATCAATCATCAAGCCATTCTAGGTTGATGTTTAAAAGACGTAAGACGGCGTTTATAAATGCCGACGTACAGCGTCATGCTGAATGGGCCCCATTTATTTAAAAAATCGGTATTTCCTTTTCACGCTGAAATTTTTGTGTGAAATTCATTATAAGCAATCAATGATTTATCCCATTTCAAGTTATTATGAACTAATACGTGGAAATCAACGTGAACATTGCTGGTTTACTGCTTTTTTGACCGTCTTCTTTCACCTGATGTAATAAAAAACCACTCAAGTACGATATCAAATGTACTGTACGCGACCGACCGCGTTTATTGTAGACCACATCCCAAATTGAGTCACGATGCCCCCAATATGCGGCCATCGTATGCCTTATAATATAAATTATTTCTTCTTTAATATTCCCAATGTTTACCTTATCCAGTTGAAACAGACGGAACGCGGCTCATATTGTAAACACATGTTGTGTAAACAATTCCAGAATACTTGATTGTACCAAAACTTTCAGTAATAATATATCGCTAATATTTATACGCAACTGATTTTAATAATGACGCTTTAAAGTTTCTTAATAGCTATTAATTGTATCAATAAATAATTTACCGTAAAATAAACTAGCTGTACTCGCAACTTCGCCCGCATGGAATAATGACTTTGGGCAGAATTTTTAATTATTTAGGCTGTTTATTTATTTATTTATGTAAGGTAGCCAATCTATTTTGTGGCAACTCCCATCTCACTCTCACCTCATATCACTCCTAATCTAACTCCCACTCCCACTCTCACTCTCATTCCCAAAAAGATGAAAGTTTCATTGTTCTAGCTTCAAAAATCAGAAATTTCCATACAAACTTTCATCCCTCTTTTCAACCCCTAACAACCCTTTTTTGGCATTATAAAGTAGCCTATGTCCTTTCTCAGACTCTAGAATATCTCTTTACCCAAAGTTCATTTTAATCGCTTGAGTAGTTCCGTCGTTAAAGCCGGGTAGACAGATAGAGTTACTTTCACATTTATAATTTTAGTATAGATTATATTTGAACGGAATCCACGACTCAACGCAAGTAAACCGCGGTAGGAATCCCGAAGAGATGTTACTTCGGTCGGACAGATCAGGCTGATTAACATCTGTAAAACGATACGTTACGTTACAGGATACGTATGATCGTTTTTCTTAAGCTAGGTCTGATCTGAAGGTTAAGGTCGCGTTGTAGAGTAACATTTTACACATCGAGCAGCCGTGCAGTCGGTACGTATAGTTTCGTCAAAGAAGTCAAGGGATTGATTTTAAAAGCGCCTGATGTGTCTAACATGTTAGAACCCACACTCACATGTTCTTGTCCCCATAATAGTTCTTCACTTTAAGAAATGTAATAATTTTGAAATTTCCAGTCCCGACTTGTAAATTTAGTTGTTAACGACCTTACATTTCACGAGATACGAATTTCACTATTTAATTTTATACAGGTAAGAGACTGGCCAAATTAATTTAGAGTTTAATTGTGTTTATATAATTTCTGTTAAGTAACTAAGACATTCATAGTTAAAAACTGTTCCTAACATATACTGTACCCCCAACGTACAGTTTGTCTGTAATTAACTTTTATATTATCATATAAGGGAAAAATAATAAAAGCCTTCATGGAATGAATCTTTCATCTATTTACGACTTTACACATATAAGTAATTTACTAAATATTATATTTCTGCAGGTACTTACAACATATGTACTAAAATTAACATAATATTATTATACGGCTAACTACTAACGTAATAATTTCTTAATTGCTAAATTTTGCGACTAGATCTAAAGCGTACAATTATCTTCACAGATAACATTTTTAACGTTTTCCCTTTTAACTGTTGAATGAAAGTATTTTTCCGCAAAATACTATAACTTTTTAAAGTCCACTAAACTCTTCGTTAAAAATAACCGAAGGAATTAAGGCAAAGCTTATTTATAACATCATCATTGAGATACTTAACAAAATGACTTCAGCTGGCACGCAGTGGAATATATTTTGAAAGGAGTCTTTCATATAAGATATCGATATTACTTTTTCATGACAGATTAGGACAGTTAGGCATAGCGTCCATTCAATGGAAGAAGAAATACCCCAGCCAGATGACATTCAATTAAAATGTGTTATCGACCGATCTCAATTGTGGACACAGTTACATACAAACGTAATTCGTAAGTAAAAGGTTACAACACACAGACAAATATTGCCGCTTTATATAAAGTATAATTTAAATGCAATACAGGAGGAATAAAACCTATTAATAATGGTACCTATTCTATAGCTGCTTAGTTCCAAGTCCAGAAATTCTAAGGTTAGTCCGCTCGTCTGAACTGATAGTTCTCGAAAGAAATGTGGATGAGGTGCGGCCCGAAGCAGTGGCATTCTTCTGTGCATCCGCTTTGTCAAGTCCTGTGCATATTAGTCAATATTAGTAAACCGAAAGTCGAGGTCAGGTTAGTAGATACAATATAATGTATACTGGTGCGCCTTTTATTGAGATTTGCGATGAGTAAGGTGAGTTAAAGTATTATAATATACTACCACCATTTTAGTGACTATACAAAACAAAGAAAATATATTTAATTAGGACGTTAGGCAGCTCAAATCTTATTACCACACCCCCATAAATGTCAAAAGTTTATTCGCGTGACAACACCTACCATAGACAGTACAATAGTCACGAATAACATATAACGACGTGACGTCAAATTTAATTATATCGTATGTCTAATTATGTATTATTTATGTACTGTGTTATAAATATAGAAATTAATATGTTTATTATTATAAAATAAGTATTATGCAAACTTATATACACACGGAGCAAGAGAATAATTATTACTAATTAGTATTACTTAATTAAACACGGAAATATTTACAGGTTTTTTATACGCCAAAACTGAATTAATGATTACTAACTAATTAAACATATTTATTGCTGTAAAAACCCTACTGTAATTCATACTTTCAGCGCAAAGAAGCGGGTTTTCTATATTAATAGCATCTATAGCTTATATATATACGCATCTACAAAGAATTGTTAGTAAACTTATTTTCCTCTTGTAACCAAATTATATCTAGTGTGATTAATGCTAGAAGCTAAGCGTAAACGCTATGACGTTCAAACAGCAAAAAGTGAATAAAAATTAATTGCTACGTCAAATGTAGCGTTAAGTTCAAGACTACGGGGGTTATTCCAAGTTATCAGGTTAAACAACATCTAAAAAACGATAAATGTTATGTACTTGTTTCAATGGGACGAGGTGATGAACCTGAAAACAGATATTTTATTTATAACTAGCCTTGACTGTGAAAAATGTAGGTAAGTTGTAACCGCTGTCTCACTAATAGGAGCTGGTTAGATTTTATAACGCTATGTCTAAATTCTAAGATATAACATCACAATTCCAAATTCCTATTTAATTGGGGTTCGAATAACATTTAAATACAAAACTGTCTCGGAGTAGATCAATGATAAGGACATCCGAAAGACATAACGTCATCGCCGCAGAATTTTGTGCTCAGTCACGAAATTATCGAGCCGTAAATATTTTAAGTCGAAATAGAAGTAGCTTACCTAGCCGTTTTCTGATAATATAGTAAAGCTTCGGCTTCACCACGAGGATAACAAATATTAACACTCCTTGCAGGGCATTCATGAGATCAACAATATTCCAAAGCCATTGCGGTCGAGAAACTAGCGTGGACAGCATCTCAGACACCCAGCCAGCACCCATAACCACCCAAAGTTTTCCGGTGAGAACGTACCTGAAAGTTTAAAAATTAAAAATATTAGTGATATTAAAATATTTACATCTTTTAAAACAGACCTAGTCCAGTTCAGTAGTACGAATTAAAAGATCGAGATTTCGAAGAAGTCTGTCGTTCATTATTATATTATTCGCCTACAACCACCACAAGAACTTCCCAACGACAAATGGGAGAAAAGCAAGCAAGCAAGATCAGAATTTCAACGAAATTGTCGTTTACTAACAAGAAGTAAACAAGTAGTTATATAGCTGGTCACAGTCGGTCACAGTTACAAAACATAAAAAGTAATTCACATAAACATGATAATCAACACGACCAGCAGGAGATTGTGAAGTAATTTTTAATTTATGGACTGAGCTAATATAAAATTGAGTACATACTTAGCTCTATCTATACGAAATCGTTTCTTTGCTCTATCGCCGACGGAACCCGCTTGCAGACGATGCACCTCTGACTTAACTTTTGCGCAGTATCGGGCAGTCAACAGCCAAAATACGAAATTAATAAACGTCACTATTCCCATGGGAATGACGAAGTAGATATAGTGAGGCCAATCGAATTGGGTGTTCTGTTCTGTAACAAATTAGTCAAAGTAAAATTAGAATCTATACTGATTTAAAAAGCTGAAGAGTTAGTTTGAACGCGCTAATCTCAGGAACTACTAGCTCGAATTAATATTATTGGTTGGAACTTTTATCGAGGAAGGCTATAGGCTATAAAACATGTCGCTGTGACTAATAGGAGCGAAGATACAGGGGGAAATGTTGAAAAAAAAGGGGAAAATCCTTCATCCTTGTAGGTTTCCATTGAGTACGCTGCGAAAACAGTTCAAGATACCCAAAAAATATATATGAAAGATGAATGTAGATGTCCTCTTTAAGTGATCTAAAAAAAGATATCAGGTCGACAGTATATGTTTATCTTGTAAGAATAACTTGAAGAATTGAACAGGAGGTTTGCAAAAACAAAAATTGATACCCAAAATAACGATTCTACGTGTACGAAGACGCTGACTCAGCTAGTAATATACTAAAATATAAAGTTATAGTTTTTTTTTTTAATTATAAACGGACGAAAAATTTACTTGATTAAGCATATTTTTAATTATTACCATTTTGATAGAACTTATTGATTCCAAACACGGGATGGAATCCGTAAAATTTTACGTTAGATTGATGCTTTTAAATCGGTCACATACTTTCAGTTTAGTGCTCTGGATTGCATTTACTGGCCCAGTGGGTCAGGCGAAAAGTTACTTTTTAATATTAGTTTTTTTTTTAATTCCCAGTACCAGCCAGGATTTGGCATTAGGTAGATGTGTCATTGATCCTATGCTTGAGCATGTTTAATCATGTAGTTGTTAAACCCTACCCACTCGTACTGGGACAGCGTGATGGGTAGGACCCATCGTGGTGGATAGACCCTTAAATAGTCGATGTCAGCATATTTTAACACCTCATTCATAAAAATCTTCATTGATAAAACGTTGAAACTAGACTATAAAAATTAAACCAATGGTTCAGCGAATTGCGGTATATTTTAAGATTACGGAAATAACATGCTCTTAATTATTTCGCGGAAGAACTTGAGGTTTTCTTATGAAATTACACATTGAAATATTGGCATAACAAGCAGGTGCGTAACACCAGACACCAGTGAAATGTGGGCTGTAATTATCAATAATTCTCCTGAATAGCGTAAATCACTAACCTAACAATTTTATAATAACGTAACACGTGTTACTTATAGTAGCCAGCTCAAGGAAGTAAAAATAACCACAATGAAAAGAATTACATACATCGCTTTTTTGGTACTTATTTTTAATCCAATTACGATGATGCTAACCGGAAGAAATGACTGAAGAAATGGAATAGCTCACGTAAGTGCTTTTTCATACATCGTTTCTCATATTGCTGCTCAGCTCTGCGAGTCGTCTCCCACATCCGAGTGATGGTTTAAGAGCTTTTAGACTCACCACACTTCGATGTAATTAACATTATTACACAATTTTTATGTCTTTTTGCGTATAGTACGCGTTTACAAAATGTCAGAACGATGAACTGAAGATTGCCGCTTTCACAAACTTTACAAGACCTCATCATTACCAGCTGAAAAAATCATTTTTTGTAAGAATACTCACCAGAACCAAACCAACAGGCACCCGTTCCGATATTAGCGTCCAAGTAAATTGAGACTGGGTACTTGTCCAATAAAAACATTGTTAGGGTGAGAAGGAATGTAGTGCCCCAGGCGTATATTGAGTACCACAGAAATCGGCGCCGTTCTGACGCGGATTTGTGAAGCAGCTTGACGGTGCGGACGCTCCTAGAACATAAACTGATTGTTATTGCAACCTCCATAAAGATTCTAACACTAATCGAATACTGGACGCTTCATATACACCGTTTTCTATTACCAACGCTAGAAAGTAAGTCCACATACAAGAGTACAAATACAATCTTATACTTTTTGAGAAAAATATAAGATTGTATAGGTTCAACTAAAAAGTATCTATTTGTTTAGTTGTCATACACCTAACATGTTAAAATTTTGAAAGATATTGGATCCCAAAAGAATCAACTACAAAGATATGTATAATTGTATATAGAATTGCTAACCGTATATCTATCTATATCTAGTATTATTAAATATTTCGAAACAGCAAACGATACGCTTTTTACAAATCAGTACCTACACAAAAACACTATATTCTGAAAACTGAAAATAACAAAAGAATGCAAATACTTGGTCTATAGTTTACCGATAGTCATTTAAATAAAACACTTAACGGTTTAAAAAAGTTTTTGAAACTGATTTTTACGATATATTCGTTTGGTGCTTTTTGAAGATGGTCCACACTTAAGTAATATCGCGTTTTAAACCGTTAAAGTGTTTTATTTAAAAGAATGCAAAATTAAACGCTTCTTGCGTTCTTAATTTTTCTATAAAATACTCTTTTTAAAGGGATGTAAAAAGATTAAATAACCCGTTGGTAATATAACTTGGAAATAAGTTCACTACAATATTTCCCGTTCTACGCTGTTAAAAGTGTTTTATTAAAATGAGTATTACGTTTAAAAAAATCTACTCAACTTCACCCAAAAATTGGCGCGTAACAATTGACCAAAGATTTTTTAAATATTCAATTACTATAGTCTGCTTAATGAATAATGACGCTCTCTTTTGTCATTTAATTTAAAAACAACTAATAAATTAACGTTTTACTATAACTTGGACATGTTTAGACACAAACAAAAAGGTGAGGACATATTTAAAGGTGTGCTAATATGAAACTGCTATTTATTTTACTTTCATAAATATCAATTACGATAATGTGATAGCGATGTAATTATCAACAGCAGAGTCATGTTCCGTGCAGAACTAATCAAGGGCTTAGCACGCCAGTTTTTGGTACGTTAGATAAAATAGGACATAGGAGGCGTTAGGGTGTGTTAATTGTAAGCAATGTCGCACACAGTAGGTGATTAAGTGTTAATAGAGCTTTACTCGCTAGCTCGGTCACGCTGATTGTCACTGATAACGAAAAGCTGCCATAATTACGCGATAATGTAAATAAAGCACTGGGATTTCGCTGAGCCACATTTCACAGTCTATTGTTAAACACGTGAATAATATTTTCCTACTGCAAGGCTTATTCATACGAGCGACAGATACATAAACAAAGCTTCTAACTAGGGTTGTGATTCACGTTCGGCTTAAGCTAGAACCGAATTGCGCATTCGAAATTCCGAATAAATTGGAGATGACAGTGAAAATATTAATACTTTTTATTTTTTATTTCATTACATACAAGTGTGATTACACAAGTGTCTGAAATCGTTTTATCCTGTAAGGAAAATTAGACTAAACTTATTTTCTGCAGGAACCTTTTATGTTATTGTTATAAGATCATAGTAATGTATTATCCTTAGTCTACGATAAAGGAGGTAATATTGATAGAATATTTAAATTATATTTACTTTATATCTATAGTAATATTTAAGCTGATGAGTTTGTTTGTTTGTTAACGCGCTAATCTCAGGAAAGATATAATTGAAAAATAATTTTTGTGTCGCTTAGAATATTTAAGGAAGTAATAATACGCGGTAGGATTAAAAGGAGCCAAACAGCGGAAATTGGAGAAGGAGAAAAATTATAAATTTTTGTGGGTTTCCGCTGCGTACTTATATGCGTCGTCGATAAATCCATCTTTTTTGTTTCAAACCACACTTTGGTTTAAACCACATTCGGTCCATCTCTACGATGTTAAACACACATATTATTTAGTGAAACATAATATATTTACACATAGAGAGCGATAAGCGATTTATTCGGGATCTGTCGAAGCGTCCTACACAAATACCCGAACAGCCTGCGGTAATGAAGCTTGTTAATTACAGCCCCGCCCTGTGCTGTAAATAGTCGCATAAACAGCTGCTATTACTTCACTGTTTATTATTTTTGTCTTCTGAATTACATGTAACTACGTGAGGGTATTTACGGTACGAGGAAATTACGTTTAATTACGAAAACTGCATGGGATTGGCTAGAATAATTCTTTGCAAACTTCAATATTTTCCACATGTTTCCAAGATCGCACTATTACTACTAAATTAAAAATCGATAGTAAATTGAATAATAATTCGACTCGGGTAGGACTTGAATGGGCATCTTCAGCGTTCCGTGCTGTTCCGATGCTCTAACTCAAAATTAACAAGGACTCGGTAGCTCAATCGGTTAGAGCAAGAGCATGGAACGCCGACGATGCCGGTTCAAATCCTGCCCGAATCGTTTTTTTCCCAATTTACAAAAACAACCATTCTGCAATGTTAATTTAGAATAGAAATACGAAACTTGGATTTTATCTACGAAACCAAATAAGAAGTCTATCGATCTAGGAAGCAGGCGTTGAAAATATTATTCCAACGAATGTACAATTAAGGTAAAAGCTACCTACATAATACATGACAGGAATTGCAAAAAGTAAATGGGGATACATTTTTCGTCTCATACTGTTGATATAACTACGACCCATTTCGCGTGGTTAGCTCAGGGTAAGCCAAACGTATCATGTTTGTATCCGTTAGATGTTTAAAGTATCACCCTTCCAAAAATATATATATTCATACTTTAAAGCTCTACTTTAGCAGGATGCCTTAAACAATATACATATTTAGCAATATATGGCTAACGATTAACGGGTCGTGGGTTCGATCCCCACCAGGTCGATCATGTTTCTAATTTTTCGTTCGGATCGCGAATCACCGTCCACAGATAAATAACTGAATCTTACGGTTTTAGTCTGTGGTTATCCGAATATTCAAAGCCAACATAGATCCACAGCGTATATAGGGGTATATCACCTACCAAGTGAACTCCACGCTATATCTGTCCTCTGCTATCATAAAAAAACATATATATTTGCTATACCAAATAAGGTCAGCAAATATTGTCAAAGCATTGAGGTGAATCTAATCGCACGTGTCCACGCCCCAAGACTTAACAAACAACCGTACAAGAGACAGAGAATTAATTGTACGGATCGGTGACGTGTTTCTCTATTTGTAAAATGATAGCTCTTAATCAACAGAAGATACTATACTGTGGTGGTATAACAGACACTAAAATTAATCTTAATAGTTACATATAAAAAATTGTTTCTTTTTAGATACATAGCTTTTTTGATATGGCACAATAAATTAATATTTGGTAACAGATCACTTGTTTCTAAGAATTATTATTATTTTCTTTCGGGGACACCTGTGGTAGGACGGGTGATCAGTCCACGTTATCAGCTGACCATTTCACCCATTTCCCCATTTCCTCCTTGTAGAGGTTTTGGGTCATCCAACTCTCCCCGTGTCCCCTTCAAACCTTCCGGTTTGCCTGCAGAATCTTATTATTTTTTCCATCTGTAATTCATTTCTAAGAATAACTTGTTTAAACAATTTCCCTTCGCAATATAATACGAATACGTAAATAAATAATACGAATGACCGAAGTTACCTACTATTTTTACCTTTTAAATGTTCTTCTCTTTAGCTAATGCTGAAGAATAACAGGGTGGAGCGCTTGTCTAATTCTAAATCATCATAACGTTCAGAAACACTTATTCATAACAGTCGCTTACGTAGGGAATAGAGTACCTTATCGATTTTTTTATTGCCTATAACTTTAATGGAACATTTATATTATAATGGAGTCTGCATGGACAAAACGATTTTATTCGTGCCATATTATCACTATCTATTCTAATGGATTGCATATATATAGACTCTATATGAACTACACTTTTAATTCTTATTTCCCGTATTGTCCGTAGGTTACTAACGGATTAAAATACAAAATGAAGTCTATTTATTTTGAACTATTAACAAGTAGACTTTTCACGGAATCTTGTTAAATCGTCTTATGCATCCATACCTGTTTTAGATCAAGCTTATTTAATAAGTTTTAATAAAGAAATTCTACTTTCCATCTAACATTATGGTTATATTTTCAAATAATATGAAGATTGTGTAAATCTTGATAAAAACGTTTATCTTAAAAAAGCTATCCGCATTAACTATGAGAACAATAGTTATTTAAATTGTATACATCCGGTACATGGCGGTTGTCTTGTGTACTTCGAAGATATCTTTTTATTTTGGGAATCCCGCGTGCGACGGCCGTGGACCACGCGCTGCTTATTGTTAAACAATTAGGTATGAGGTATAGCCGTGTATATGTAAATACTTAATATAATCTTACCCAAATGTCCACCAGATGTCGAAGCACATGACGTTGAGCCAAGCAAACGCTCCAACAAACCCAAAGTAGATCCCATACCCTGAACAAACATAAACATACTTTAACACATCTTTTCTCATATCTTGACTCAAAGTAATCGACAGACGTTCAAACAATATACATTGCAAAATCTTTGAACAAAATCCATATTGTTATCTGTTCTCATTTGCTCATATCCATCTTGGTCGTTTTATTTATAAGTATAATGTTAAAAGTAAATAATGAAATATTAAGGAAAACTTCACCGATTATTTATTTGAATACGTAATATATTATCATAATCGGAGTTTTATGGCGTCTTTACAACCCGTACTTACCCACGAAGATGGATGAAGATGAAAATGGGTCTGTCAGACTATGTACTTAATAATAGGTACGTGTATACATTTTGTGTGTAATCCCGTTTCTCTCTCATGAGGCATGGGGCGAACACATTTCTGTGTCCGTTTCAATGATCCGTTCTTTAACTGGCAAGTAGTTGATCAAACTTCTGTGCCCTGCCGACCGAAACAATTTTTTGTTTCCCTGGCATTCGAACCCAGGACCTCTCGCGCTTAACGCAATGCTAAACAATACGTTTAACCATTTGGCTACAGAGGCGGTCAGTATGTTTACATGGAGAATTTAAAATACCGAGCTGATTTTAATAAAACTTTGCGTTAAACAATAGGGCGGGAATCAAAGCCTAAATTAATATGCGAGTAAATTTAACAACTTCGTATTATCATCATATAAATCATTATTCGACCAATCAAGGAGCTAACCACATCCACTGACCGCTCGTAATGACGAAACGTCGAGAACCTCTTCTCGCTCACGTCGGCCGAACAGCCCGAAAAACAATGATATGCTGAACGATGGCCGTGAAAGCCTTACACAATTTATTAACAAGGTATTATATTTTATATAACTAGCGATACAAGTAATTAACAATAGTAAAACATGCTAATTCCTTACTAATGAAATATATTTTTTAAAATATGATGATTCCTAAAAATAATGATTTTCACATATTTGACCTGTACAAACTTACGGCGATTCTAATTACCAATTACGTCATCGTTGAAACTCGATATTATTTACTCAACTTTATAACACATAACCGTGAATATTGACCAAAAGTGTTTTATGTTCTATTAATCTATACTAATATACAAAGCTAAAGAGTTTGTTTGTTTGAACGCGCTAATCTCAGGAACTACTGGTTCCAGTTGGAAATTTATTTTTGTGTTGGTTAGAGCATTTATCGAGAACGGTTATAGGCTATAAATTTGTGCTGTGACTAATAGGAGCGAAGAAACAGCGGGAAATATGGAACGTGGATGCATACGATGCGAAACCGTGTTAAGATACCCAAAACTATCTTCGAAAAAATGATTCCTCTTTAAAGGATCGACATAATCTTGCGATCGCGAATGCGACATTTTTTAACGTCTATTTTTTAACTTGTAAGAGCGCGTTCGACATCGTGGTTTAAATTTATAAAGATGAAAATGCCCCAAAATTACTATTCTATGCGGAGAAAGTCGCTGACACGGCTAATTGATTATAAAATGTATGTGACGTTGTATATAAGGGCGTTTATCTACTCACCCAATAGAGTACAAATTTGTGTATCTGTGACGGCACTATGTTGAACTCTGGCTAAGCAGGAGAACGCCAAAAGCATCGTGGAGACATGACAGATCAAGTTACGTCCGTTCAAGTTCCTGAGTTCAGGGAGGGCGCAATAAACGATCACCGTTAGCGCCAAGCAAACGCTGGATATGGTGATGACCTAGAGAGAAAAAAAGAAAATATTTATTTCTCAAGTAGTAGAGTAGGTACTTTTATTACCAAGTTTCATTTTAGAGGAAAATAAATGATTGTGCTATTATTGTGCAAAAAAGCAAAAAGATGAAATATTTGAAAACATTAATATTTTTCACATGTTATTGCACATGAAGGCACTATATAATTTAAAAATCGAAAATGAATTGAAAAAAAATTTCTGTCCTGCCCGAGTCGAAAATTTTTTCAATTTATTTTCGATTTTTAAATTAAGATGAAATATTGTTTTTTTTTGAGTACTTATTACTTTCATATACTAATAATAACATTTTATGATAGAAAGCATCGGATATCCAAAGCCAAAATAGGTCAAACGCGTATCTAGTTTAGATCGTATATGACGTAAGTGAACCCTTCGCTTGTTTTTCCTATAAAAAAACCTTTGGTCCCGAGGTCTATATAGGTATTGTAAATTACCACGAATGAAGCACGAAAATCTTTGTCCATATACTCAGGTGGGGGCTGGAAACACATGACTCCGCTGATCACGAGCTCTTTAGATGGACAATGTCGACTATCAAATATTTCCAAGCAGTAGCTTTTTGTAATCGTCAAGCCATACTCCAAGTACGCGTCAGATGTAAGCTCATGATAGTCTTGAGGTAATGATTTGTTTAACGCGAAACGTCCGGCTGGACATGTTATTCCAACGCCAACTCCTACTACATCTAAAAAATAGTAAGACCGTATCAACCAAACAATAGTGACTATATTTTAAAAGGAATTTAAGTTACAAAATTAATTAACGGGTTTTCCAAATCTCTTTTAGTATGTCATTGCACATGTATATATAATTTGAAATCTATTATTATTATATGTTATTAGTTATATTATATGTCATCTATTTGTATATGTTATTAAAAATTAAGTAAATGGGTTAAAAGCGATCTCGCGCTCACTGCGTTCTGTCTTACTGCTTTACCAATTGAGTAGTCTCTACAGTCTATCTTAGTTATTTAAAATTGTGATAAGAAATTATTTTAATTATAAAAGTATTAAGCTGGGTTGACAACATTGTTGGCCTCGAGTGACACCTGTCTCATTTTTTTTATTATAAAAGTGAAATACTTACCCAATAAATTCTCCTGCTTCTCTCGTATCGGATTTGTGTACGGTGATATATCGAAATAGGTACTATGATCCTCATCCGGCACACAAACACTAATATAGCTTCCACACCGACGAACTTTGAAATGTTGTCCTTGTGGACAGCATTTTTTGACGCAGAAAGCGGTAAAATCTGAACATTCACGAGTACAAACTTGTGCCAATAACCCTGATCTACCGAACTGTTGATCTATGCACCATTCACCTCGCAGTAGAGTCCTTTCCTGGCCATCTACCGTACTTTTTGTTCTCAAATTACTACCATTTATAGAAAACGAAAATAAATCTTCACTAATTTCTACGGCGTACTCATCAAACTTACACCGCGATCCAAATTCAACTTCATAAATGTATCGACCATTTATATTAATGTTTTGCATCAAATCGGCAGCTGTTATTGCATTTTTAATACAGACGTGGTACTGGGAATCATAGACTTGTCCCTCTGGGCAACATTTTATTATTTTATTTATCTCCAAATTCGAAAGTGGAGCATTTAATTCATCACTCCTGTTGCAACTTAAAGCAACGGTCATCGGTGTGCTCTCTTTAAGAGTACCATTAAAAACTTCAACACCGAGTCTATCATAGCATTCGTCTTCAGAGTAGAAGACCTTCGTTTCAGGTCCTACTTCACTCATTTGTAGATCACAATAATTTGGCAAGCCTGATTGTACCCTAACATCGTTAAGTAGAAGAGGCAAAACGGAAATATTATAAGATTCTCTAATCTGCTCTAGATCAAAACACTCATACCGTTCTATAAAAGTTAAATCATCTTCGGTAATTTTAACAAGAATTTGATTTATATCACAACATTTCCGAAAAACCTTGGATTTTTTGACATCACTGTAATTATCCTTACCAATGGTCACAGTCACTAATGCACTAAAGAACAGTAGAACCCACATGATTGTAATTTTACAACGCAGAATATTTGGTATCGGAAATCGAATGACTCATTGAGGAATGCATTGTTAACACAGGGGGAACATGTCTGGTGTAGTCTGCCGACGGCGGCTGAGTGAGTCCGGTGGCCACCAATGATCAGCGCGATCGCCACGGAGGCTGCTGCGCCCTTGAAACTGACGTGATTTCCCGCGAATACACGCTAAGACGATTCCGACTATACACAATGTCCGTAGAACAAACTGAACTTCTTTAGAATAGAACGCGAAAATAAATTTTTGTATTTGTCTTATTTGTGATACTACTACACAGATGGACGCTTTGTAAATAAACTATATCAACTGATAAAATTCAACTACGGTGATCGAAATCTACTTATATCAATAGCATTATTGATAAGTCCTGAATCACTCTTTATCAGCTACCAAGAAGAAAACTCGATACTACCAATGTGTAATTTCAAAATTATATATTTCATCACAGCTATAAAATAATACATCTTTAAAAAAAGGGTGCCGCAATCTTAATTCCTTAGAAAATCGGAATATAAGGGGTGAATACGTTTTATGTTTTCATGATTCCTTTATGTCTATTTTTATCAGACTTATCGACTTTATCACGGTTCAATGAGCACTTTAATTTATAATTAGTTGGAAAACTGCACTATAAAATAATAACACATTGTTATCGATATCATGTCTATATAGTTTTAGTTTTAGGGGTTTAAAATGTAGTTATAAGTTTTGCGTCACCGCGAAAACAATTTTTCAGGGCTTCTTTATGCCCACACAAGACTCCCCATTCCCTGTCTAGCTATCAATCCATTAATCTAATAGCCCTCATAATATTACTTAGTTGACATTATATGTACCTACAGGCCGTTAACGTACGCTCACCTTTTTAAAGATATTTTATACGTATTTTTACTTTAATAAAACCCAAAAAAATAATTTCCTTGAAATTGTATACTGGAATAAGTTTAGCTTACTGGCTTGATCCATTCCAAGAGGATTTAAGTAAAAATAAACCAGCAGATTTTGATATCTTTTTAGTAGATAATTATCATACTGACGAATGTTTAAATGCATCCTGCATTCACTCAGACTTAATGGTAGCAAACAACAAGGCTACTAAACCTCTCGCACCAACTACTAGAATTAAAAATTACAAAAGACTGATGCACAGATTTAGAAATAAAAAAAGAAAACTTTATTATTTTTTACATGTTATTGCACATGAAGGCAATATATAATTAAAAATCAAAAATATTTTGTTTTCAATTATTTTCGATTTTTAAATAATAAAAATAGAATTAGACATTAGTTATTCAACAATTTGCAGGTTGTAAATAAAAGCAATGTCAATTATTACAAATATGTGTATTTAGAATAATTCTTTACAAAAATAAAAAGTTAAAGCTAACGTTTGACTTTACAAATTGGCACATATTACTTACACTATTTCGTCAATTAAAATTACCACTACTATAAAAATTTCACGTTTAGTCATTGAGCAATACCCGACCTTATTATTGTCATTAATTCGGTTTTAAAAGTTATATAAATTTAATGAACTACTATGGTCCGTACAATGTTTGCGTTTTATCAATATATCTACTACTATTAAAATATTTTGCATTGCTCATATTTTTAAATTTGTGCCGGACGAGGACAGAAAAGGTTTACTTGATGAAAGGTAAAATACTTCAGCCATGTAGCATCTAAACCAAATGCGCTGTCGAGTCAATATGTATTTTTGGCTTTGATCATTTGGACATATTAAGCCAATCGCAGCGTTACCATGACAATTACGTTTAAAATTTAATAACAAATCGATTTAAAGAGATATAAAGTAGATACTGTCTATAGTTTACGGGAGAAGAACCCAATTAAAAAAAAACCCTTAAAGGGTTAAAAAAACCAATAAAAAATAAACCCAAATTTAAAAAAAACCCCCCCCCCCCCCCCCCCCCCCCCCCCCCCCCCCCCCCCCCCCCCCCCCCCCCCCCCCCAAAACCCCCCCCCCCCTTTTTTCCCCCCCCCCCCCCCCCCCCCCCCTTTCCTTTTTTTTTTACATAAAGTATATTAATAGCATAATATGGGAAGGAGACGGGCTCGTTGTTCTAATGTATGGTTAATGATCAATGGGTCGTGGGTTCGGCCCCCACCGACCAACATGTTTCTAATTTTTCAATTTATAATTTTTGTCAATCATGCTCGATTTAGCCTTGAAATCTGGATATTAAATGGGTGGTAGGAATATAGAAATTCCGTCCGGGTCACGAATCACCGTGCACGAAAGAAAGAACCGTGAAGTTCAATCGCGTTTCGGTTTCAGTCTCTGGATTTCCGAATATCCCAAGCCAAAAAAGGTCGACATCGCATCTTGTTTAGATGCTATAGGCAGGGGCACGTACCCCATTGTGTACCCCATATCATAAAAAAAGCCATTTTTTTATAAATAACTAATTAAAACAGCTTGTTATGTTGTGGCAAATATAGTGATCAAGGGTACACTTTTTATACAATATATTTAGAATAATTAACATTGGATGGATTAGAGACTAGCGCATGTCGAATATTTGGAAAATTACAATAATTAATGGCACCCGCAGCTCTTCACGACCATGTTCTTGTACTTCCGGAGAATCACATTCGAATCATCTGTATAATAAAGCACTGAAATCGGAGACAACTTGATTGGCGCGCACGACGGTTTTGGGACCTAAAAATATAACAAACTATATTGTACAAGTAATATGTTTGCCTCTGTTGAAATACTACGACAATCGTTTCAATATTTTTTATTGATTGATTAATAATAATTTTACTGATTATATAAGTAAATTTGTGTTTCACTTTCATTAGTGAACAGAAAATGATTTTGTGTGTGTATTTTTTTTGGCATTAGGAATTTTTATTTAATACATTTATATTAGTAAACAAATGCCATTACTGTATTAATTTTTAGTTATATATTCGAAAATTTCTTAACACGCAACAGCTTTCCGACCTGATGCACCTGCCTTTTACCAATGAACCTCCCGTCTGCTGTAACCTTTCTTTCATCGTTTGATGTACAGAAAGCAGTCGCAAATTTTCAAAGAAGGGTTAAGTAAGATTTACCTGCGTGGGATTTAGCAAGTGTACTAGTGTTTGAACTATGGCGTGGTTCGTAGCATTTTTGTGGGCATTCAAAGGAAAGTTGCATTCTCCGCTGCAATAGAACGCTCCATATCCTTCTGGCGCTATTATCCAATCCTGAGAGACAAAAATAAAGTGCAGAATTAATTAGACTTTTAAAAAAGAAAACTTTTAAATACAAAATATGTAAGCTAAATAAAACTCATACATCCGATTAAAACCTCTTTCGATTTTTAAATGAACTATCAAGTTTTAAAACTAGTCCTAAGTACAGTACGAATGCTCGCGTTTTAATATAACATATTACACAGCGAGCAGCAGTATCCAACTTTAGTTACAATAAATAGTATTACGCACCTGCCACTCCAAGTCCTTGAAACTAACGTACAGTGTTTGAATTTCACAACTACGCGTCGTCCAATGTGAAGTATCTGAAAATAGGACGAAGTATGCTCATATTGAAAAATTGTGCAAAACTCAACACGTCTGCACAAATACTTTATCAACATTCCTTGTCTTATTCGTACAAATGACCAGCTATGCACCAAAGATTTTAACGCGCTGGTAGTTTTTAAAATGAAGGCGTTCCAAAAATATGTATCTCTAGTATTAAAAGCATTTGTATAGAACATAAAGTAATTAAGATTCAAGTAAGAGTTCGCTTGAATTATTCAATTACCGGACAGTCTCGCTATTAACTGACTATTAGTCATACGCCTTCTCCGAATCAAGATTTAAAAGTCCGTTTATTTTATAACGAAGAACGGAAGTTGTTTTTCGAGGAAATACATACAATGTTTGAAACAAAAATAACTGAAGATTTGCAAGAAATAAAACCCTCGGTAATTTAATTTAAACATGTAGGAACAAGTTTATTATTAAAATATTTGACTACAATCAACTTTAACATATTGCTGTCAAACCCGTTTTATAATCTTTGATTAAACTAACGGTCAAAGTTTTTTCAGTGTCCCTATTTCTTGGTAAAATTTGTATTGGACCTTATGAGTGTAATCGAATACATAATGGTTAAATTTATGTATGTGCACACAATCTGGTGTACAGCTAATCTACTATTTAATTTTTCTGAAACATGTTGAACTTCGTCAGGAAATCTGTATATTAAATGAATGGTAGAAATATCGAAATTCCGCCCGGGTCCCGAACCATCACCCACAGATGAATGGTAGAAGATATTGATTTATGTGTTTCCGTACAGTATTATATATCTATTGCTTGTAGTAATTATGAACAAATATTTTTGAAGCTCATTCGTACCTGTAAGGGGATTTCTCAGATAATTCTCGGAATACCCATGCGTTCGCCACCTTCGCGCTTCCCGCTTGCGTCTCGCTCCTGCATCGGTGTTACCCAGCTTAGGTCCATTCTTGAAAAATGCCACCAAAAACGGCTGCTTGCCTTCAGAGTTAGGCCCGTGGTTTTCTTCTAAACCAATTTCTTCGGGTTTTACGTGGCGTTCTGAAAAATGGACGTAGTAAACTTCATTTAAACTATATGCCTCCATTAAAAACCAGGTCCTTATTCATATCGTTGAACGGTCTCGTCATTCCATTAATTATTTTTAAAGTAAACTTCATCTATGTATTTTGCATTACTAAATGTCTAAAAAAAAGTCTTAAAATACATTTATTAGAATGATACCTAAAATATGCCTCGGTTTAAAACGTCTAATGAATATGCAATTTTTCATATTTCTCATATCATGATGTCAATCGGGCAGGACTTGAACCGGCATCCTCAGCGGCACTCGGAGTCACTCGGACTCGATTAGAGTCGACTCGGTAGCTCAATTGGTTAGAGAAACAGCACGGAACGGTGAGGACCCTGGTTTAAGTCCTGCCCGATTGACAGCCCGAGTCGTAAAAATTGTTTTCATTTTATATTCGATTTCAAATTTGTCTGATGAATATTTTACCTGGCTGGGTGTGAGGATGCAATGTAATGAAGAACCCCCGATTATCCGCCGGTGCCCCGAGCCAAGTGGCCAACGCTCCTGTGACGTTAAACTCCAGCCATCCCTCGGCACTGGCACTCGTATTTACTGCCGCAAGTTCCTCCATTTGCAAACCACTGCAAAAAAACAAGAATAGTTGAAAAGTACGTTAAATTTCTTAACTGGTAAATTAAATGTAAATCGATGTAAATTTTAATTTGTATCACTTAAATAAGATTATCAAAAGTGGGGCTTTGGCTCACTATTAAAAAAGATAAGTGTTTCGGTCGGACAGAGCACAGATGTAACGATCGATCACGTAAACAGACCGTGTACGTATACGTACGTAGAGACGTCACTGAGAACTGAAAACACCAATTAGACTCGATCTTAGTCCTTTATAGTTATTGCAATCAAAGGTGAACAAATACTAAAAACTGGTATAATAGCACTTTTTATTTTTAAAACTAATAATTATTTCACTGCATTATAAAAATCCCTGACTTACCCTAAATTATCAACATTGATAACTCGATGTACTACCACAGTATAAAGGCTGGCTGGCTCAGCTGTATGCGATGCTGCTTGATGTAACCGAAGTTCAGCAGTCAGTAAAGAAGAGGCATCTCCTGGAGCACCCGTTACTTCAAACCAAACGTGTCTTCCGTGTCCATGACGAAGGACGCCTAGATGATGTTCTGTAAAAGACATCCGTACGTACTCTTAGTAGTTGACGCGAGTAGTACACAAATAAATAAAACACTTTTAACAGCTTTAAACGCGAAGTATGTTAAGAGACTTATTTTATATTAATTTTGATTTAATGGTCTGTGGTTTAGGTTTTAGGTTTAAACAATCTATTCTCGAAGATTATAATATATACAATCCCTTTTGAGAAATTTCCTTGCTTTTTTTTTTAAAAAACTCCCCTTTCGGGGGGTGGGGGGTTTTTTTAAAAAAAAAAAAAAAATTTTATATATTGGGGGGGGGGAAATTTGGTGGGGGTTGTTGGGGGGGGGGGTTTTTGCTGGGGGGGTTTCTTTTTTGGGGGGGGGGGGGGGGGGGGTTTTCCCCCCCATTTTTTTTTTTTACCCCCCATTTTTTTTTTTTTTTTTTTTTTTTTTTTTTTTTCCTTTTTTTTTAATTTAATTTTTCCCCCCCTTTTTTTTTTTTTTTTTTTTTGTGGGTTTTTTTTTTTTTTTTTTTGGTTGGGGGTTTGTGGGGGGTTTTGTGTTTGGGTTTGGGGTTTTTTTTTTTTTTTTCCCCCTTTGTGGGGTTTTTTTTTTTTTTTTGTTTGGGGGGGGGGGGGGTTTTTTTTTTTTTTTTTTTTTTTTTTTTTTTTTTTTTTTTTTTGGTGGGGGGGGGTTGTTGTTTTTTTTTTTTTTTTTTTTTTTTTTTTTTTCTCCGTAGATTAAACGAATTAAAAGTTAACTAACCAGTATATTTCGCGAAGAGATTTAATTAGATATCCCTGCGGTTTTCTTGTAATATTATGCTAGCATTAACATACATAATAATAATATCTTGCATAAATGAAGTATCTTCGGAAGTATGATGGGAGCAACGGCAGGATACGAAGATGGTTGTTGTTCTAATTCTGCCTGTGATAATTTTTAAATTCTTATAACCACATTCAGCTGTACATAAGTGCTATTGACTTACTACTACGTAAATAATAAACCTACGAAGTATTTAATGTGTTTTAATAATATAGAAATCGCAAGTTATTCAAATTTATGATAGTTTAACTTGCAAATATGTAAATTGATTATCTCATCTTAACAGGGGACAACAGGTGGTAGACATATCAAACTGGATGTAACTTAACACTCAATGCACGTGCGTATACGCTGTAATATTTAGTAAACCTGATGTTTTATTATTAAATGGCCTCAATGTCTACTTTAATTTACTAAGACCTATTAAATATTAAACGTCAAAAGTAAAAATTTGCCGTAGGCAGTAGTCGAACCCGCGGCACATGACTATGAGTGAAGGCCCGCACAGTCGGCTTCATCTGGCTCACTTCAAGACACTTTCTTTCAGTGTTATCAGCAATCTTATTATATTACTGTTGAAATAAGTTAAAAGGTTTTATAATATAATCCTTATCTTATTATAAGACAAATGAGAGAAGCTCTAAAACAATCAAGTCACTTGTCGGATAATGGGGAGTCGAGGAATTTCAAAGCCTCATGAGTCACAACTACCTGTGGAGTTTTTTTATCTGATTCTTCGAATGCTTATTTAAGGCCTTTTTTAATTATTTTTGGATAGTTTTAAGAATAGTTTAACAAAATTTGAAGGACTAAATTTAGTAGTTACAGAGATTAGGTAGTTACGTGTCGCCGTTGATGATGGTCAAAATTTACAAGCAAAATAACATCAAAATTTACAATCGAGTTTAAATATGTATATTACGGTACAACAGTCAGTAGGTAGATGATAAATGGTTTTAATCAATGGATGTAATTTACGCTTTAGCTCCTAAAAATAGACAACGTTTAGTGTTTAGTGTTTACTGATAGCAATATGAACAGTGTATGTTTGACGTTAATAGCACTATTTAGGTATATTACTCGGAATTTATGTGATTCCTAGAAACCATTTGTAAATATATCAACATCAGAGCAACTTTAATCAACATATTCAAGCAACATGCAATACATAAATTCCCTTTACTTTATCGTACTAAAATATTTATTTAAATACTTTTTAGTAGAAATTATATATATATATATATGTATTTTTGACAATGTATTACTTACTTTTGCTTTGAAAGGTCATGATAAGATCACTTTCATCAATAGCATGTTGTTCGTCTCCACTGAGTGCCATTTCGGAACTGCGAGTCGGCCTAGCTTGCTCATGCTCCTCCGCTAGTTGCTTGTAAACATCTAACAAGAAGCTTGGCGCTGATCTGTCCGTAGCTGGCACTTGAGCTCTCCGCGGTCTTTCTCCGAGACCCAACAACTCAAGTATTTCGTGTTCGACGACCTGTCTTTCGTGACGCGTCATAGAATGGTGAATAATAGTCTGATCCACACCGTTATCAATGTAAAGTCCAGAAAAGGAAGCACTCGCCACAACGATAAATAATAACAAACCGGCGCAACGCCACACGGTTGACCCAGCCATCTTGCGTCGCTACATAAGTTTAAAAATGTTCACAGTGGTCAAGCGAATGAGGAAGGGACGAACGCACTGAGAGTGTGTGGTCAACAAACGCGTAGTACCGAGTCGACTCAGCCACTGAACCTGCCTACTCAAGGTGGGCCGCCAACGCCGCCCGGTCGCCACAACCTCCCTTCCCCCTCACATCTCAACATCGTAATCATGTAAACATTTAACAATCCGCATTGCACGCGCACTGTAAACTATATTTTAAACAGTTTTTAACTGAATATAGGAAACAATTAATGTCGAACACTACCCTAACTGTTAGACAATGTTTAAATTTGCAAATAATAAAATGTTTAAGTTGCACAAACGTGTCTGTGGCTTAAGTTTGTGCGCAGTGGAAACATCAGGAAAGCTTTACATATATCATTAGGTGTTTATAGAGAAACGTCTAATCGAAATCCTAGAAATTTTAAGAAAGATCTTTAACTTATGACCATGATTTTATTAGGAAAATAATAGAAAAGGTAGTTTTTTTAAATAACCATAAACCATTTGAAAATAATTCATTTCAAAATTTCTTTAGGATTAGAAAAGGATATTTATTAGTGGATTTATATTTAAAACATTAAATGTTTATAATTAAATTAAACATACAAATAATAGCTTTAAAAATACTTCTTTATTCTAGCCCAAATGGCAAACTATTTTACATATTTTTCCATGAATTTTTTGTGAAACTCTGATCTTAAAGAATCATTTATGAAAGTATTAACTTTTTTGTCAGGTTCAGAACGAGCACAGTTCTTAAAAACAACATCATCATCCCAGCGCCTTTTTACCTGAAAAAAAAAAAGAATAATGTATTGGAATTTTAATTGCTACTTCACCTAAACTTTTCCTAATTTTAAGTTAAAATAGTTGTTTTTATCTGTCAATTAAACAATAATAATTAATAAATGATCTTTTTGATGAAACTTTAGTCTTAAACTGGTTAATTTTAATTTTGACCACTACTTTTAAAGAATATTCAAGTACCTTTAAATCATTTTTCTGTGCTGCTGCTGAATAATTCAACAGAGGGTTGCCAGATAAAATATTTTCCATCCTTATTCTTTCTTCTTCTTGTTTTCGCTCAGCTTCCTAAATTAAATTATAATGAATGAATTCAACACATTACAAGACGGCTTCTGAAGCAATTACATATTGTACTGTTGGAAATCATCAGAAAACCTCAACTACCCGCCACACTGAAGGCTATATAAACAAGCCTCAGGCAGCGGCTCGTACACTACTTTCGTGGCTCGTTGTACGGAACGGACGTGCTGGCCGGTCGATAGGATTTTGTTGAATTTAAATTTATTTAGTTGTTGTGTTATTTTGTTTTTATTTTAGTAAATCTGCTAATGATTTCTAAAAGTACATATTCAAAATTATGAATTAAAATCAATATTTGGAAATATTTATTTTAATACATAATTTTGAATATTGGACAGCCAAACAATCCCAACTTAAATTACAAAACTAATCTTTGGTATATAAAAATAAAAAGAAATGATTAATAAACCTTACCTTTTTAGCTTGTTCTATAGCCCGCTCTTTTTTAATCTTATTCAATTCGGCTAAAAGAGCAGCAGTGTCATCATCTGAATCATCGGAATCTGAAGAATCCCCTTCTAAGGGATCATCAGCATCTAAACTTGCAGCAGGAACCTGGTCGGCTTTGGTTTTTTTTGCAGGTGGTTCAGCATGACGCCTTGCAGGTACTTTAATTTCCTTCTCCCTGTCATCCAGTTCCTTGCGGAAATCTCGGGAGCGAAGTTCATCGGTTGTGCTTTGACCTTGCTCTCTAAAATACACAAAAAACGTCACACAATATGTCACACGTAGACCTAGTCACTGACAAAATTTAAAATATTGATTAGGTCCACTAATTAAAATGATTTCGATATTTACAACATTGAATATACCTACCTATACTTTAGTTTTGTATGACCAGGTAAATCTCTGCTTGAATATTGACGTGAAATAGCACTTAAATCCTTTTCACCACGACCCTGGCCACCCCGAGCGGGATCAAATGTAGGTCTAGCAGCTGTAGTCATTTTATGATCTTTTCAATTATCCAGGTCTGATTTTCTTTTACCGTATTAAAAGCCAACAATAGTAAAGGAAATGTGTTTGATTTTCAATTACTCCGAAAGATGTATGAATTACATTAAATATTTAATATACAATATTGTTGTTACGAAACTATGTGAATAATTGAAACTAGCACAAACAATAACAATAAAGAGCTCTAAATTATTTACTAATTACTATTGAAACTTGGAATAATGAAATTTTATTTGACATTAACATCACTAAGTTGAAAATTTGAAATGTTCTACCAAAATGCGATGAAAGCACAGAATAAATAAGCGTCGAGCATTTTTAACCTATTAAGTCAATTGTCAATGGAATCATTGTATTGTCTATTGCGTTTCGAACTTCGACCCAGAGGTGAGGGCGATTATGAATGATCGGCATAATCGATTTATTTTCTATTACTAATGTTGGTAGTCGATTATGGGATTAGTAACTAATTTGTTTTCATAATCGAATGATGTTAATAATTAGTAATACTAATCGTGCACTCCTTGACTTTAGTTGTTTAAACAATAATACATACTTTTATATACTGGTGTAGTTTGTTTTGTTTACACGATATTGTGAGACGTGGCGCTTTTCACCTTTTAGTGGATTTATCGTATTTAAAAGTAAGTTGATCGACCTTTTTTACTTCTGTCTAAAAGTGTAAATATGACAATTTTGTATTTTTTTTAATTCTAAACAAATATTTAAATAACCTATAAATCTCTGTATTTAATCCAAGAAATATTGTTAATCCGTTTTATTTTAGACTGACTGATTTCTGAAATTGCCGCGACCATCTAAGAAGAAATTAACGTACTAGGAAAACCTAAATACAAAAACAATAAAAAGCCGAAAAATATCAACAATTATTAAATATTCCTCTAGTATTTTGGGGGGGGAAAAATAATTTTTTTTTTTTTTTTTTTTTTTTTTTTTTTTTTTTTTTTTTTTTTTTATTGGTATATTATCTCATAATCGACCCACCTCTTCTTACTAGTGTTAGTAACTACTAACATTTCATTCGAATAATATATCTCATAATCGTCCAGTATATATTAGTTACTACTAACCGCTATAATCGAGATATCTCGAGACATTTTCATAATCGAACGATTTCGTTAGTATATCTCATAATCGCCCGCCTCTACTTCGACCGCTCACCGCAGTGCTTAGATTTCATCATGGCGATTTGGCGACGCTTGTGATTTTATTGCTGGGTTGCACTTACATAAATCGTAGCTTAATATTTCGACAATACACGTTTAAAAGGTGTAATAAAATATAATTGTGTGATTTAGTGTCTATTTATCACAATCCAGGTACACTGTAAATTACTTTATTGTAAGGTTAACTCTATCAAGAACGATCTAGCAATCGCCATTTTATGCGATTGACATGAATTTAGACTTGATTATCATACATCATATTAAAACTTATTTTGCTTTATATCTTAATTATTTTTGTTCCAACTTTGTTAATAGATATTAGTTATTGTATTTTATGACCCTCTATGACCCTTAATTGCAATTGATGTATTAACTTTTTGTGTCTACAGAATGGCTGAAGATTTGGATGTTGAAGCTATGCTTGAAGCTCCTTACATTAAATCTGTAAGTTTATAGATTATTAACATAATTTAAGCATCTCTAGTATATAATCTAGATATCAGTTTTTTTTTGTAAACTTATTATGATATAAAAAGAAATTATAGTAAGTGTCTCTCTCAACATTTATGGCCACTCTTTACACATTTATATATGTTAAAACTACATCATAGTAGTTGTAGCTATATTGGTAAATAGCAATTGTAGTACTGTAAATTTAAATAATGTTGCTCATAGACAAATAAATACACATTCATTAATAAAATCATAAAAACTTTTGATGCCCCTCGAGAGTTATAATACTGAGTTATGTAAATACTGTCTAAAATTGTGTGATGCGTAATTTGATATTTTCTAAAACTCTAATGGTCACAATTATAGGCAGTACAATAAATAATGGAGAAATTACATTTGAGAATCATTTCTTGTATTTATAGAACTTTGTGGTTAATGTCGAGCATACTTCACCAACCTGAACACTATGAGGTATCCACTACTACTTAATACTTTTTTTCTTTGCACAATCGTTATGAATGATGATTTGTTTCAATAAAGATATATTTGTCAAAGTTTTGAAAAAGACCATGAGTTTATGGGGCATAAATCTTTTGCAGAAGTATCCCTGTGTGATGTTAGCGCTGTGTTCAACCTTAGTCAGTGGTTTTGAGAACGGTAAGTTTATATCTGGAACAGCTCAACCACCACCCATGGGCACACGGTCATTCAAACAGCCTACTGTAGCATAAGAAACCCAAAAGGAAATGTTTGTGTACTTCTTTGATACTCAATTTTAGAAATTGGTTATCAATAGAATAACACAAACCCTTTGTTTAATTAATTCAATATAACTAATGCATATCTTATTTATTCACTCGGCGTGTGTTGCTGTGGCGCTGCTTCTACCTTGTGCTTTGTGTGACAGGATAACTCGTCATCGAAGCATCGATCGGACAAGTACTCTGAAAAGCATAGAGACAAAGACAAGGACAGTAGTCGAAGGTATGTAAGGTAACATTGTGACTACAATTTTTGCACAATATTGCTGGTTCAGCGATAATAATTTATCTATTCTTCTAGACGTAGCAGATCAAGAGACAGAAGAAGATCGCGGGATAGGGATCGCCGGTCAAGAGACCGAGACGACAAGAGAGACAGGGATCGCGATAAGGATAGAGAGCGCAAGGATCGTGATAAGGACCGTAACTACAGAGACAAAGACCGTGATCGAGAAAGAGAGCCGAGGGATAAAGAACGTGAAAGAGATCGTGATAAGAGACGTAGCAAAGAAAGAAATCGCAGTCGAGACAGAGAAAGAAGTCGTGAAGCACATTCGCACAAAAGAGAAAAAAGTGGAGAAGAAGAACCTAGAAAGGAATACAGGTCTGCGTCAAGAGGAGTTGAACCAAAATTGGAGGATTTACCTCCAGAGGAGCGGGATCTGCGCACAGTATTTTGCATGCAACTATCACAAAGAATAAGAGCTAAAGATTTAGAAGAATTTTTTTCGTCTGTTGGGAAAGTAAGAGATGTTAGACTTATTACATGTAATAAAACAAGACGGTTCAAGGGTATAGCTTACATTGAGTTCAAAGATGCCGAATCTGTTCCCCTAGTGAGTGTTCCACATTTTCAATCTATACCTGTTACTACTTTGTTGTTATTTTATTTGATTCTAATTTTGCCTTCCTATTCCTTAGGCATTAGGTTTGACTGGGCAAAAGTTGTTGGGTGTTCCTATTATTGTTCAACACACACAAGCAGAAAAAAACAGAGTTGGTAACTCCTTACCAAACTTAGCACCAAAGGCCAGTAATGGTCCAACAAGGTTATATGTTGGTTCCCTTCACTTTAATATCACCGAAGACATGCTAAGAGGAATTTTTGAACCATTTGGTAAAATTGATCACATTCAACTCATGACTGATCCAGATACTGGAAAAAGTAAAGGCTATGGTTTTCTCACAGTAAGTAGCTAATTGTAAATACATTTTCATTCTTCATTTAATTCTATCAATTTATAATGACATTTGAAGCATGCAAATAAAATAAACTATTTATTCTACCTTCCAGTTCCACAATGCCAATGATGCTAAGAAAGCTATGGAGCAATTGAATGGGTTTGAGCTTGCTGGCCGGCCTATGAAAGTTGGCAATGTGACTGAGCGAGCTGATGGAGGATCTAACACACGCTTTGATGCTGATGAACTGGACCGGGCTGGAGTGGATTTAGGTGCTACAGGCCGCTTACAGTTAATGTTCAAACTAGCTGAGGGCACAGGGTTACAGGTATAAAAATATAACTTCATGTTCAATTTTGTGACCATGAAATAAGAAAATCCTCTAAATCTGTTTGTCTGTTATATTTATTGAATTATGAAAAACTTAACAGATCCCACCAGCTGCAGCTTCAGTATTAATGGGTGCCGGAACCGCTTTAGCTGCTCAACCACAAATAGCTCCGCCAATTGCAACACAATGTTTTATGCTCAATAATATGTTTGACCCAGCTACGTAAGTATATTGTTATTGTAAATATTTATTTATTAATCCTTTATTATTTACAATACACACCACATAAAATACATATTGAGGAAAATAATCTTACTTATAAATAATAGGCGGTCTTATCGCTAAGTAGCGATCTCTTTCAGGCAACCTGAAGTACAATATGTTTATCTTAATTTTGAAAAAGGACTGCTTATGCAGTGTGTTCTTTCTTTCTGATTAACTTTTCAGTCTATAGGTCATTTGTGACCTGTCAAATCAAACGTATAATTGTTATCAATTGTTACAGGGAAACAAACCCCAATTGGGACATAGAGATACGGGATGATGTTATCAGTGAATGTAATAAGCATGGTGGTGTTTTGCATGTGTACGTCGATAAGGCGTCGCCCCAAGGAAATGTATACTGCAAATGCCCTACTATAGCAACGGCCGTCGCCTCTGTCAACACGCTGCACGGCCGATGGTTCGCAGGGCGCGTGATCACAGCAGCCTATGTTCCCCTTGTCAATTATCATTCCCTATTTCCCGACGCCATGACTGCTCTCACACTACTGCTGCCAACAAGGCAAAAATAAATTCTTATTGTACATTTAGTAACAAAGAATCGATCGAGTGTGTATACCCTAATTAATATTAATGCATTGTTTTAATTATACAATTATTCTACTGCATTTGTCTCATTTTCTTCGCGTTATATTATTATAACTAAATGTTTCTTTGCTATACCTGTGATAATAAGGTCAAAAGGGGATTTTCGTCATCATTGGACGTAGAAAAGAATTATCTTCGTGTTTACTGTATTTTCTTTGACCTGATTGTTACTAAGATTTTTTCATAAATTATTAGAGCGTTGGGGTCAACAGCTACGTAATGATTGTGATGACGTAATGTATAATAAAAAGCGGATATATATTATTAATACTATATTATTACAAAGCCCGTATCCAATCCACTTCTAGTGTGGCCGGTCCTTTTTGTTTCACTGGCTGATAAACACCTCCATACATTTGAATGCCAATACTTGTGATTTGCGATGTATCAAGCGTCTCATTATTATTTACTCTCTTTCCTCTATAATACGCTTTGAATTCGGAGAAGGGTAGACTCCTCACTGCGAACTCATCTTTGGGTGCCTGTAAATACAGTAGAATGTGAACAACTTGCATACTAGTCATGGCAATTATTTTAGTTTACTTTCGATTCGATGCTATTAGTTATAATTGAAGAGGTATTTTAAAAAGGCGAGCATTATATCCCAGTATAGAAATTAGCCGTCTGTTAGTTCGAGATAAATGAAGTTAACAAACTTACCTGGAAATATTGTTCAAAGGAGTAATTTGGTTCATCATTAAGCCCTTTGTGCCTTAAAACTATTTTAAACCCATTAAACTGGCCCTGTCCACGGCACATAATTTGAAGCTTCGTAAAGTTCGACAGATCGTGATACCCAAGAGATCGAATACCAGCAAAGCCTGCTCCATTTAGTTGTGGATTTAGAAGCGCAAAAAATATTGCCCGCCTGAACTGTGTGTTTTGATGTAAAACAAAGACTGCTTTGGACATTCCTACACTGCGTACTGTATCTGATTGTTCCTGCCAGTCGTAGACATCGTCGTTTTTTGTGAAATCGAATAAGTATTGCCCATCTGTTGATGATATGTTGCTGTTGAAAGAGAAATCAGTCAAAAACACAAAAGCCTATAATAAAATATGTGCTTAAGCACATATTCTTATTATAGGCATTTATTATTATTAAATTCCAACAAATTTTACCTGTTTTCACAAAGAACACCTATAGTACACAAAAAATAAAGAAATAAAAACGTAGAGTGCATTATGGTAAACGTGCACAAAGCACTAGCTTTTAAATACTACTACAATAAAATGTTGAATTGAAATATCTTATAGCAAACACTATACAATGTGTTTACTTTACAAAGATTTGTTTACTTGACATTTCTTATCACTAAACTATTATGTTAATGACATTTGATTATTTAAATAAGCTTAATAAAGCTACCTAAATCATTAATTTTACTAAAACAAACTAATCGCACTGAACCTAAACAAACGAAACAGTCCTTCGTACTAAATAGTAACTGAGTGAGTACAATGCGTGTCTATAAAATACATACTTACTTGATTACTTGATGTTTTTGTTTCTTTGTAAACCTACGTACTAATTAACTCTAGATATATTATACAGGGTTATTCCTACTTCATGCGAAACCTGAAAGTAGTTTGTTCAGAATCAGTAGCAGAACCCATTCCAATAGTTTTTATACCACGTAAAATTTTTGAAATCCTGGACACCGTTCGATAAATAAACTCCTAGATAAGTATAACTCAATAGGTATAAAATTTCGGGGAAGCCGCGGCGGCCGCTCGTCGCTTTAAACTAACCGTTAACCGTTTAGAGGAGCACAAGAGCTGCTCGAAAATGATAAAGCCCAAAGATTCGATAGTGTGATGGAAAATTTTATTGCCAAAAGTTCTGAATACATTATGTGAGCGAACAATAAGTACATAAAAGTAGTGAATCGTGTAGTGTAAGGTGCAGGACGCGGAGCGGAAGAGAAGGAGTGCGAGATAGGGCGTAGTGACCATGTGGTTGCGGGATAAACAATAACATGAAAAAAATTCATAATTTCGTGAGTTTTCATTATTTTTTAATTTTGATTTTTTTATCCTGATTCTGCGAATTAAAAGTCGTTTGGCGTCAGCTCTAGTATCAACAAAGAATAACCTTGTATACTTATTAAGTTTATTGTTTCTACGAGTTAGTCGAACTTGATCGTTTGTAGTAGGTATGTATATTTAGGTACCTATTTTGTATTTCTAAATTATTGTGATCGAATAAAAATACGCTATAAAACAATATATTAGAATATTTCAAAGTATGTACCTCAACAATTAGATCGTTAGTGAGTATCGGTTATTAGCTTATGATTGCAGTGGAGTAGCGTTACTACTTTACGGGCATGTTCTGAAAGTTGTGGCGGATTTACATATTTTCAAGGTATAGGCTGTACAGATTTTGCCGCCCTTGCCTTTACAATTTTCATGTCCTCCATTTTTTTTACAGTCCCAGAATTTGGTTGAAATTGCACGTAAATCAAAGCTCAATCATATATGAACGGGGGCAATTAGGTTAGATTTCAATTTAATTATGTTTTTTTTTTTTTTCGGTTTTATAGTTTTTAGTTCAACGTATAATTAATTTTATTAGTTTGTCAACTCTTATTAAAATTTTGTCTAATTTCCTGTAATTTTTTCGACGTTTTGTTCTTTTCATATTGTATATAACAATTAACTATTTGTGAAACTGTTAAGGATGCATTTTAACCTTATTTATTTTTTATTGTTATTCCCTAGCCACTTATGTAATGTATCTGTTTGTTTCCTTTTGCTAAATAAATAAATAAACAATGTTTACACAATAATGTGCAATTTTGGTAAACGTAAACAAATAATCTTTATTGCGCTTACAAACAGTTAAAAGTCAGTTAAATTATAAAAGATCGTTACAATATTTTTTTTACGCGATTTCTTTATGGCAAAATCATCGATGATGTCGTCGTAATCAATTTTCTTCATTAATTCCGACTCTATGCACAAAAGAGCTAGAGCGTTTAATTTTTCTTGGCTCAAGGTCGATCTGAGATAATTTTTAACTCTTTTCAGACAAGAAAAGCCATACGAAGGGCTATCTCCAAGTTCGGATAAACATTCTGCATATTTTGTTTTCGCAGAAACGACGATAGACTCTCTAAGGATACCGAATTTGGTTTCACCAAAATGCTTTGTAGAGATATTTGGCTTCGAAAATGTATGCATTCTTGGGCTCTTAATCGTTGGGATACTCTTTTTCTAATGAGATGAGAGCCTTTTCTGTAAGGGTTTATGACGACAATTCGCTCATTTTTGTTAAAAAATCCAAATTTTTGATTGAATTTGTCGTATCCTTTCTTTCTCTTTTGTAAGTAGTTCGAATACCAGTCTATCAATGATGACGAAAAGTGTATTGACCCTGAAAGCATCACTCACGGTCATTCTGAGTTCCTCATCGGGTGTTTCGTCAGCAACTTTTTTCTTTTCGGTTGTCTTTTTCCCAGGAATCCCACGTCCTTTGAGTACTGCTGCAATTGCCTTTTTCCCGTTGAAGAAGAACTTGCGAAGAGACTCATAAAGATCGTCGACAGTGATCAAATCTACGTAGAAGCTTGGATTTGAACATTCACTTTGTTACTTCTTTCCAAAACGACATTCCACACAATAACAATTAACGCTGTTTCAATGTATTGTTGGGTTTTGTCAGTGGGAAGAAGGGTATACAAATACATACATCAGTCATCATCACTCATACAAAGTGTGGCCAAAGGGCGCAGAGGCCGATTGCTGGCGGGGGGGTTGTTTTACTCTAGAATATGGAAGTTTGCGACTCTCGGAATGTGCAATGACAAGTAGGGAAGAATTAGAAAAATGACTTTTGACCAAGCGCGGATCCACCGTTGTGGGCAAGATGGGCATGCCCACAACCTTAATAGACTTGTGACGTCACATTTTTACGGTTAATTGACATCGATAGGCTAATGATAATAAACAATATGCCTTAATAACATTTAAAAAACACAATGAATCATGAAAAGTGCGTTCGGAACGCAGCAAAGTTACATGTAATGACTTAAGTCACAATTTTGACAACTTATTGCCGTGCCGCCAAAATTTCCGAGCCGCGTAGCGAAGCATGTGCCTACTTTTGCATACACATGTAGTGTATGCAAAACATGCTTCTCACTTGCTGATCTCCCTTACATTACTCCTGATACAACGTCAAGATACCTATTTAGTTATCTTGACGATTACCTATTTACCAGTCTAGTGTCCCTATATTGGCTTACTGGCTACTAGACAAAAAAAAAACAAAAACATGTAAGTTATTGATTGTAATAGGTTTGGATGGGATTTGGAAAATGACTATTTAATTTGAAGATCGGGTCCGACTTCCTTCTAAGTTTCTTTCCATTCCTAAGGCCAAAGTCCTGATGCTCAGTTAAAAGGAAATAATCTAATTATAATAAATATAAGTTCATAAAAAACTTTAGAAAAAAAATTCACATTGTGTCACTGATATCTAGTTTAATATTAAGGAATTTCTACAACGTAGTAATCTAAACATGATCTGTTTTATCATATGACAATAATCTTTTCAAACAATCCTGGGCACAGACTCCTCTTTCATAGGACAAGGAGAGATAAGACCTTAGACTTAGACCCACCGAGCTATTATGCTGTGGGTTGAAGGATTATAACTACCATCACTTAATTAAATTAAATTTTGCCCCGTAAGGCATGGACGTGATAACACCAACTTTCAAACTCCCGATTGCTACTAAAAAAGTTACATATCGAACCCAGAATCTTGCAATCCGCAGTAGCGCGTAATAAGTTTAATAACCATAGTTATCTCCCCGTGACCACGGCTGCTGCAAAGCATCCGAAACGTCGGGCCGAAGTTAAAAATCATTTTCAAATAAGTTTAACTAATATATCGCGTTTTAAACCGTTAAAGTGTTTTATTTAAATTTTTATTTAAACCATAGTTATTAAACTTATTACTAGACTGACGAGGCAGTTGGCAATAATATTATTTCTATGTATTAAACGCTTGAGGTTCACATATATACACGTATGAGTAGGTAATAAAGGAATGTAATCTTACCAGCTGTCGATGCAGGAAATAATTTGTTGTTCTTGTTCACTATCACTGTAATTATTTAATGCCTTGGCCATTCTAAGACTGGTTACTATACCTATAACAATTAAGGATTGAAACAAAACAAAAAACCAGCGTAATCAATGTATTTTTTTTAAAACAGTCGAGTAAATTTAAAAATATTTTAAATTCCTGGAAGATAGATGACATAAGCGGAATTCGAATCCACGATACTCATTATAACAACGTAACGGTACTTGCCTTACCATACCTTTCTAAAATACTAGTTCATCTACGTCATCAAAAAAAGGGAAGTTAATTTAGTTTCCATTTTATTTTAAAATGTGTCATTTTTTTGTTTCGTTTGATTCTAGTATTGTGAGTGAATTTCAAAAGTAAAGTCAAACTAATTTCTTATATAAACTACAAAATTTTAAATAGTCAACTTCTAAAAAGAATGTTGTTCTTCTACTTTTCAAATACGCTGAATAGCAACACATTCAAACAGTGAGATGGTGATAACTGTTAAAAGCGTCTGAGAACCGGTTTACCCGTTAATTTTCTATTATGCAGATATTTAGACCGAACGTCGCAAAAGCAATAATTTAATTATCGTTTTGTACCTATAGCAAATTCATACAGACAAAACTTAAATTTTCCATCAAATTTCAGATTTAGTACATATGTATTTGATTCTCAAATACAGCTGTGTTCCGGTTTTAATATTATTATTAAGTGTGTTAGGTACAATAAGTCAAATTTATTTTTAGGAAAAGACACAAAATATATTAGACAAGTTGTATTCACCTATGTTTTGGATCATTATCACAATGAAACCAGTGCTACGTGCGTCTTCCAAATCTTCTGGTAGTAGTTAAAAATAAGTTAACCGTATATTTCGCGTCCTGAACCGTCATTTTTTTATACTAAAAAATATACATTAACGTTTTACACGTACTTGTTATTTGTCACATACGAGATCATAAAATGTGGATTTTAACGAAAATAAAACCATAATTAAAAACATAAATTTAATCTTAAACATCAAATACATCATAATCAAAATTATCGTAATAAAATAAACAGTTATCTTAACAGAAGTTACAGTACTGGTATTTTTAATACTCGAATAAGTGACGATATTTTCAAATTATTTTTTTTTTGCTACTTTTTTTTTGAATTTCTCTGTAAAAGTTACATCTTAATCATATTGGATCATATCACACATAAATTGCTTTTCTGTAGTTAATGCTTAACTTAAAATTAATTATTATTACCACCACCTGTATTAACCTTAGCTGGCTTCAAAATGCCCTTATTTCTTAAATATCGCACAATAAATGGTGTTGCTGTTAATGTGATTCCAATCCTAGCAGGTGCTAAAACTTTATGTATAGCATATGCTATTACAAATGTTCCAGCATTTGAAGTAATTTTATTAGATAATATTCCATCTCCAATGTTGAAATATTTCATAACTGCAACTACATCGACTCCGCTAAAAAATAAAATATATAAATAAGATTTTCAAAATTATGCACTGTTCACGGTAAATTAATTAATGCTGTGTTAATAACAGTGATAAAAGCATTGCTGTGTCAATAAAATGTATATTATATTGTGATGTTTATTTTATTAAAAGATAAGGTCATACCTGGAAACAAGAACATAGCAAATTCCTAGTGACATCAATGAGATAGAAACATGAAATACAATTACTGTAGCACCATATTCCTTAACAGCTTTTTTTAGTTTTTCTTTAGCGCTTATGGGATTACTAGCATTGGTACTCATTTTTCTTGACCCAATGGCTATGCTTTGTAAAAATAAAATAGGATTTAGATAAGACACCATGGCTTTGGAACCATATTTTAGTATATGATGGTATTTCAGGCCCTTAGGAGCATAGTTATAATATATCTACTCACAATGGCGAAGCATTGAGAGACTTAATGCTGACCTAACAACCCAAAATCCACAATACTAATGTATAATATAGATTTTTAAAAGCAATAAAATGTAAAAGCAAAAGCAATGAGACCAAAACTACAAATGGATGATGCTTTAAATTGTAATTTGTGTACCTCCATTATTCCCACGATACTCATTTCTTAAAGTCAGATAATGGGCACCCTGAAGGTGATCAGATAAATATTTATATCCTTGGCCCCACTCTGAACCAGGCATATTTAAATGGGTGTGGTTGCCACTAAATGGACTTGGTACGTTACTTTGCATTGAGGAGGACAAACTAACAGCACCGCGACAATCATATTTATTAACATAAGGATCAGATTGGACAGTTATATCAATTCCCATATTATTATGTTTATCATTGTATGCATTTATAACTGGACCTGAAAGATCTCTTTCCCTTAACGGGGAAAATCTTCCCATTTCAGTTGCATGAATGTTAACAACATTGGTTGGTAATTTAAGTGCAGCCACTTGAGGAAACTTCAATAATGAAGATTTATGTATGCATTTTCCATATGAACCACCTATTTAAAAAAAAAATTTATAGCTTTATGGTCAATTTTACTTACAATGTAAATAAAGAAAAAAAAGCTGCTTACCAAAACAATAATTAACAAATTGCTTTTGACAATAGATGTTATGATTAAGCGCGGAGGTGACTTTTAACATTGTAAACAGGTTCTCTTAGAGTAAATTATGTAGTACGTAGTTTCTACCTACTTGGATTAAGTCAACAATAATATTCCAATTGTTTAAATAAATTAAACTATTATTACTAGCGTTCACAACTATTGCTTACGTTAATAATATTAGTTCACTTATACCCACTACAAAACTTCACAGACCAATATGTCTGGACTATTCTATAACGCTGACGTTTTTCACTAATTACAACTTAAAAAGCGTACAATTCTTTGTGTATAGTGCGAAACTCAGTTACGACTTACACATAGTATTACTATATTTGATGCAAAAAACTGTGTCTGATTTGTACCAACCTAATAATTAATAAACGTATGACATTTGACAATGTCATTTTGACATGACATTCATGTTTCTGTCATAATATCTAGTATATAATAACAGATATAGTAGATAGTAAATTATATAATTGTACAGATAAAAAAACTTCAAAGTATTTAAAAAACGTTTAATATTATATCGCTTTGTATATATAAAATTGACCAATTGAAGTTGATTCTTACAATAGTCTATTTTAAATTTTTATGACAATCTAAAAAGCGAGTATTGAATTGAGAAAAACATCTATCTTTATATTATATTTGATCATATCACTATGTATATAATTAAAATGGGGGTTTAACGTTTCATTTAAAATTTGTAACACGAATATTGGGAAAGAAGCGTAAAGGACAAAACAGTGGAAGCGTACTACTTGCGAAGCCGAAGAAGACTTACCGGACCGGAAAATGCGGACCGAACATGTAAAAGAAATGTAAATATGTAGGGAAAGAAAACGCTTTTTAATTTTACTTAATTTAGTAAATATATTCTACTAAATATATCCTAAAGACACATTCTATAAAAAAATATATTATTTTTATAAAAAAATATAATAAAACATTCATTATTTACCTAGTGGTCTTGACGAATTTGATGCTCAGCGGTAGCTTAATAGGTGCCTTTATGCGAAACGAACAAAACGCAGAGATGATATCCGACGCGGTTTCGCCTGCTATTAGGATATCTTTCGGCCTTCGCGTCCCACTTCGTCTCTACGACCTATGGACTCGATTTGATCTGAAATACACTCAGATACGAATACGTCGCTAATAACGAAGCAATTTCAAGTTCTAGTTCTGTTTCTAATAGCTTTTATTTTTATGAATATATCAACTAGCTGTTCCCGCGACTTTGCGCGGAATTGATACTTTGGGCATCATATTATTTATTTTTTGTGAAGAACCTCCTCATCTTTATAAATTATCCGTGAGGTCATCCGCGTCCCGTCGTCCTTGCGAGTTGATTTTAAAATAAAGACATACTATCGAGTACATTTTTAGGTCATTTAAAGAGGAACCGTTCTTCCTATACATACAAGTACATAAATAAGAAATACAAAATTCAAGAAGTTTGCCGGCTATTGTACCAGCCGATTCGGGAATAGTCGGGAAGAAACTCAATTAAAATTAATTTCACATTTTTACCACTATTTAATGGTCTTTCTAACTCAGAAACTCTTCTCCTTTAACACTTGAGATTTAAGATATGGTGTATTAAAGTTCAAATTGAATTAAATAATATTCTAACAAAAGTCTAACGAAATGCGTAGCTGCTTTCCAGATCTGCGATTACATTTAGTAATTTTTGAATAACACAAAAATATAGGCCAACCATTAGAATATATTTTTAAGTAGACTTAAATCTTAGGTCTGAAACAACAGCTATGTGATCAGATGGAAATACTATGCTAGGTAATGCTGTGTGAGCTTTCAATTCTTCCAGGCTTGGAAATGGAACCACCTGAAATCAAACAGTAACAAAATTAGATTACTTATAACGAGATTTGACCTCTCATTAATTTAATACATCAAATTAAACCAACCTGTTCTACGTCAAGATTTTTTTTATCATAATATATATAATCAAGACATTCTGCAAATCCTTCTGTAAAGTTTGTATATTGTGGTGTGCCACAAGCACTTCCCAGTGCAATGGGTTGATTAAGACTTAATCCACTAATTGCTTGCTCTTCATCTATAACATACAAAAAATTTTCCTTAATACTCTATGAAAAACATTTTTTTTAATGAAAACTTAATAAGTTTATTGCGCAAAATTCTCGACTCTGTGTAACATTTGTTATTATTGCTATAAAATAGCTAATATCTTACTTGATTTCCAATCAGCTAAGGTACTTGGAGCAGATCCTGTTGTGTACAACTTATAAATTCCAGACAAAGGATCACTGTTAAAGTCACCACATACTATTGTTGATATTCTCTTGTCCACATACTAAAATAAACAATATTGCATTAAAAATTTAGATTGTTTTAAAATATAGCACTGTATTGCATGCTTTAAACAAATATTAACCTTTTTTTGTAATTTTGTTACTATGTTATTTAACCAGTATATTACGATTCCACCTTGAATAAGTCGAATATGATCAGCATCAGGATGAAAATACAAATGTGTGTTTCCGACAACAACTATCTCGTTTTCATTGTCACATGATTGTAAAATTGTTGCACTGGCCACTGTTGATCTATCTAGTAATCTGACGCATAATTTTTCATTATGTTTAATGGCATCCCATATGCTTTTCAAATAAGATTCTGTTTGTATAGCACTGGACAGTAATATTTCTTCATCCTCTATACACCTGAAAATATTTTAGTTTAATACTACGAAGTATTTAAGGATTATGAAAAATGTATAAGATATGGATTGTACATAGTACCTGAATCTATCTTCTCTATAAAAGCATGCTAAGCCTTCTGCAACTAATTTTCCTTTTTTATAAAATAAGCCTTTCAAACCATCAGTCTCGAGGAAGGAACTTAATGAGTAATTGAAAACTTTTATATCTACCTCTTGTAAACATATTATATCAGCATTATATCCTGTAAAAACAATGGAATAATAACATTAAATGCATTAGTCTAATTTCTACACACTCCTGTACTGACAGAATTATTAAAATTATTTATACTAACCAATAAGTTCTTTCAATACAAGCTGTTTTCTATAATCTATCTCCAAGGCATAAGGAGGGCAGTAAGGATGTAGTACTGCTCTTGTGTAGTCAGAGTCACAATATAAATCTGCCAATATATTATATGTCACACATCGAAAACTGAAACCACATATATTATCACTAATAATAATAAATACCTTTTTGATTAAAACTGAACTATATTAAAATTAATTAATTGTTCTAATCTATGAACCAACTTATTAACATAACTGTTAATTTATATGTTTATATGAGGCTGCTAGTGGCCTAATAACAAAAAAAAAACAAGGTTTTCAATTAAGGACAAAAGTAAAAATGTGCAATGGCAAACTTAGGCAAAAATAAATTTGTAGTATTGTTAGTGTAAGAATTATGTTAACAATATTCAGTCACTGTGCTTTTGTAGATTAACATTTTTAGACTATGAAAATAAGTCAAGTCATAAAATTGATATTAGGCTACTCTGGGTCTAGCGGCCTCATATTTGTAAATTATCATGTTGTTTACAATATACCTTTTATTTTTCAATTTCTTTTCAGTAAATAAGTGCCTAGTTTCAAAAGGACAAGGTCCCGGACCTGCCTCTACTTTGTTTTTTGTTATAACTGCAACACTTGGCCCTGAAGCAACAGTATTCTCTGAAATAATAGAACAATGTAATTATCTATAATCTAACTACTATTTAGTAGTTTAAAATACTAATTCTACTACTTACTTGGAATGCATTCCAGCTTTAATTTCATTTTAATATCATCAGAAATTGGTGTATAATAAAAAGAACTTTTAATAAATTTCCAGTCAATGTGATTATCTATTATAATGTTTCCTTTATCATTAACCACAAGGCCTCTATACCAATTGAATACACTCAATTTTTTATCAGAATAACATGTCTCCAGATTTTCTGGATACACAGGGAACCCGACTAATATGCTTCTGGGCAAGTTAAAATTTACTATCCAAGGTGAATTAAATACAATATCATAGATATGGTCATTGATTTTAACCTTAAGAGGACCTTCCAATTGAAATAGCTCAAGGCATGTATATTTCTCAGGGAGCAAATTATTTTTGTCATCGAATATTTTAACTACAACGGTTATATCTTCTTTACCATCTTTTTTCTTTGATTTTTTATTAACAACTTTTTGAACATTTGTACCAATACGAGCACATAAACTTTCAATATGTTCACTCGATTTTCGGCTTAAATTGAATTGCCGTATACTCTCTTTAATTTGCAGCAGAAATGATATATCTATCTTATCTTCATCTGGAATGTGTCTAAAATAACATTTATTAACATTCATTTTGTTGGTTTTAGATAAATTTACCAATGAATGTATAGTACGACAGCATCCGATAAATCTTTTGATCATAGCCAAGTTCCTTATTACTTGCCTAATGAATTATTTTTTTAAATATTTATATTGAAAGATTCTAATTATTTAATCATAACATAAGTAGATTTAAGATTATAACCTCAACCTTATACTTTATAGCAATAGCAAAAAACTTAGGCTTAGGTTAATCACGTCAGCTGCTCATCAAAGTCAAGTTGTCAACTTGACAACTATTTAATATCTTTGTAGTATAAAAATATATATAAGTTTACCGTAAGAGAAATGACTGTTAAAAAAATATATTGTTTGTATATTGTGTCTTAAATACTTGTGGATTTTAGGAATATCCTATACTGAAAATAAAATGAGTCCATGATTTTAGATCGCATGAAAGGCAATTACAAAAGATTTTTTTAAATGGCAATGGTAATGACAACAATGTGATAACGTGTCAGTGTGGTGTCAATAGGTTGTATACGTCACGTATAATACGTGTAGCAAGTTAGAAATAAAGTTTCATGACGATCTGTTAAAGGCTAAGTACATTAAATTAAGACCGCTTAACAAGTTAAATATAATTTGGAAAAGTCTGGTCAGCGCAAATTGTGTCTTTGGTAATAGTTTAAGTTATCACAATGGTAAGATATTACAGATATGGTAATTTTAAGGCTTATAATATAAGTTATTGAAACTACTATAATATAACGATTTTCATTTCAGCCAGCAGCTCCAAGTTCAACGGCAGTGGGATCAGGTGGTCGTTCGCCAAGTAAAGCTTCGATCGCTCCTAGAGCTTCCACAGGTGGTACTGTTAGACAGAGGAAAACAACAACTACGACAACTGCTGCCAGAAGCCGTGCGACTGGTGCTGGTTCTGGAGGCATGTGGCGATTCTACACTGATGATTCTCCTGGTGTTAAAGTGTAAGTAAATAGAAAAATGATCACATTGATTTCCAACCATATTTATATCACAAGTATGTAAAGCACTTAAAATATTTTATTATATTTTTCAGAGGACCTGTGCCAGTGCTTGTTATGTCCCTTCTGTTCATAGCATCAGTGTTTATGTTGCACATCTGGGGAAAATATACTAGGGCTTAATTTAATCTATAAGACTGTTAATGATACTGTTATTTTAAAGAGATTGCATATTTCAGTTGAGTGATTTTGTATTGGTGGTATTATATTTTTATGTAGTACATTACTTTTCAATAAACCCTTAAGTTATCATTAGATTTAAGGCATTACTGTATTTATTTCCTTCTGTTGCATTTACAGAATAAATTCAGTTTTTTATAAAAAAAAAACCTTTTTATTTTTATCACATAAGTGATAAGTTTTTATCTTCTATTTCTTTTATTATCCAAGAATAAAATAAGTACTTATAGTGTGTAACTTCTTAATATTATTAAGAATAATAATTAATATTATTCTTAACATGTCTGTTATAATAACACATTTTATAAACCAAAGAGAAGTATTGAAATTATAATGTATCATTGAGTACATCCCCAACAGACATGGAATACACAACGGGTTTTAATTTTATACCAAATTACACAAAAAAGAAAGTATCCAATAGACAAGCTGCATGTGGTTTGTTGGATTTTGTTATAAAAAAAATCCAATAATTGGGAAATTTATTCTGCATAGATCTTTCATTTGACAGAAATATGTGTTATGTTTTTTCCTTTAACTCAATACATAGTGAGTGAGTCAAGGAATGAGTGTAACAAAAAAAAGAATACCTTGCATGAATAATTATGCACACCAAATGATTGTATGAAGTCCTTAATACAAAATAATTAAAACATATGATCCAAAAATACTTTTATATTAGGGAGGTTAGTACAACTACTAGCACTTGTTCAAGTAAAAAGTTCTTAAAAAAATATTTAAAAATACATGTAAAAATTATACTTAATACATAAACTAATATTTACTGTATATCAGCCTTATATGTAATCTCAACTTATGTAGCTTAAGTCACTTTTGATTCACAAAAACTTAAAAAATATGGACTGGTTTTAAGATAAATGCTTAACAATATTTTAATACATGTTTAACAGAGAGCTATGATAGTATGGCTATAATCAAAGGTACAAATAATTTTAAAATTACTCAGACGAAAATCAGGTATTCACAAAGATATGACAGTTTCTTTATGATAAGTAAGTAATTTTGTTTTAAACATATGCTTCCACACGTCTTCCTTTTATACGATCAATGAATTGACGCCATGAAACTATAGTTTTACTTGACCATATCCAAAAACTAGAAGTTATCCCAACAATCATTGTCATTAAATATTTTATTATAAACATTTCGAATCTAGGTCTGTCAGCTTCTTGTTTTGTAAAAGGACATGGAATTGAATATTGAGGTGAGGAACACATATCACGATGCCATGTCACCATCCAAGAGTCAAAATGAGCTTGCTCATAAAATAAGCAAGCAATAACAATTAGTGCTGGAACAGTGTAGAGCACACCAAAAATGCCTATTCTAATCATAAGTTTTTCAAGTTTATCAGTTTTTGTTCCGTCATGTTTCATAACAGTCCTGATTCTAAATAATGAAACAAAACCAGCTAGTAAGAATATTGTTCCAAGTACTAAGTATGCACATAATGGTACTAGTACAAATCCACGTAGAGCTTCAGCATCCCATAGTCCAACGTAACATACACCTGATAAGACATCCCCTGAAAAAATATAAACATTAACACACATCATCTATCAAGAATAAATCTAGTTATTTAACCAATGTGTCCTTACCATCAACATTTCCCATAGCCAATATTGAAATGGTCTTAACTGCTGGCACTGCCCATGCAGCTAAATGGAAATATTGTGAATTTGCTTCAATAGCCTCATGTCCCCATTTCAAACCAGCTGCTAGGAACCAAGTTAATGTTAATACTACCCACCAAATACTTGAAGCCATACTAAAGAAGTATAAAATCATAAAAAGGATTGTACAAGGTTCATGTTTTGTTCCTTGAGTTATAACAAGGATGTTTGGTAATTTTGTTCCACTCACAGTAACTGTAAATGGACCTTGACAGCTTACGCTATCCCCAGCACCCCACCCTATAATATATGCAACAGCTACCATCAAGTAACATACTGATAAAAAGATAATTGGCCTCTCAGGATACCTAAATCTGTCAGTATCAATTAAAAAAGTAAGAACAGTAAAGAGGCAACTTGATGCACAAAGAGTAGCCCATATACCAATCCACAGTCTGGCAAAATCTTTCTCATCTTTGCTAAAAAACATTCCATTACATGGTGCACCACAATCATTCTCAATTTTATCACCAACTTTCAAAGTGTATTCCAGATCTAAATTTTTAGGTATTTTAAACTGAACTGGACAAACAAAGCCGTAATTTTTAGCTCCTTGAAGTTTAGTAGGATCTCTGTCTACACTTGATTTATATTCCACTTTGGGCAGCCTTCTCTCTGACGGTTTACGGGATGCATGAGTTACATTTTTATCTCCAAAACATATAAAATTTTCATCCGTCACAGCAGGAAATCCTGAACAGTTCAAATATTCCGGCCATGCGAACCCAAACGGTGTCATTCGTTCATTACAATCCAGTTGAACTGTTTCACATAAATGACGACATGGAGGTATCGGCGTATCCAGAATAGTACACAATGGAGCGTAGACAGAACATAAAAACGCTTTCAGATCTGGCGAACAATTGTTTTTTATCAAGGGTGTAAAAATACTATAAATCTCAGATCCAGCATCTTCTTGCTTTGTATGATCCAGTAAATTAGGAAATATTGTTTCATTATATCTTATGTGCTGACAGTATTGAATAGTAATGGGCTCGCAACGCCCATGGCGAGGTAATGTATCACCCTGATAAACAGTAACACGTGAACTATCAGCAATAACAAACAAGTGAAACAACATCCATACTTTACGCATCTTTGTGTTTAGGGTTTCTGAATTATCTGATTTTAAAAATAATAGTCATTGCTTTTATTCTTGTATTAAAAACAATTCATATAAATCAGCATGTCATACACAAATTTCACTATCACAATTTTGTAGTTTAAATATCAATAAATAGACAATCCAATAATCTATTGCGACATCTCCATTTTGGTGATTTTGTATTTGGAATGTTTTCAGTACAGATGCATAGTTTTCAGTTTTGTTGTTATCACAGCTAATAAATATAGCCTTCACTTTTTATCATTATCTTGAATATATTGGGTTGAACTCAATGCTATCCCGATTTAAGACTATATCTGTACAGTTGAAGTTTGCTGTACATACCTGTGGTATCAAAGTATCGTCTGTCATCTTTGAATATAGCGGATTATGTTATGGTTCAAATCTTTAATCATTTCAATTTTATAAAATAAGCTATAATGGATATCGGTGAAAATGTAGATTTTATTAAGCTCATTAATATAAAAGGTAACGTGGATAACATTACCCCACATAAAATAGCAGTTGTCGCTTTTATAAGAGAGTATGGATTGTTAAAAATTGAAGGTAAAGTAATTAACTGTCCGCACTACTGTTATTTTAATTTAATTTATGTAGTAAACTTTTATTTTTGTTTCATCAATCACATTTTTAATGCGGTCGAATTATTTTATTTATTGATTGTAATAGAAGGTATATTTTACAGCAAAGGAGATGTCTGAACGCACTATAGCTCCAAAATACAGAAAGGACTTTTGTATACTCGCTTTAAAATTAATTCAGGTAGGCTATTATGAGCTCTTGTAATAAAAGTAATTAAAAATAACTACACAATTTATGTTTTTTGCAGTGCCCTGATATGGATTTTAAAGAGTTGGAAGCTCTACTTACTGATGGAAGATATAATTTGTTAAGTGTTCACTTACAGAACTTTTGTGTTAGATTACAGAATATTTATATTAATGGGATAAATGCTCTGATGGACTGTGTAACATCAAGTGTAGACAAGTTAATGATAGAGCAGTCAGAAGTTAATCCTTGTGTTATTCATAGATGCAGTGTTTTAGGTATTTTTCTAATTGATTCAATATGAACATAGAGAAGTTAACATATAAACTTCATTATTATCCTTCCCAGGTTTTTATCTACGAAGAATAATGTTGTATTCACATAGACTAACTTTTGTGCAACTTGCTGCACTGTATAAATCCTTTTGTCAATACTATCAAAAAGGTAGACCAGGGCTTATGATAAGATCTTTAAGCAAAGAGGTGGGTTCAAAATTATTATTTTTGAAGAAATAATATATATGTTTTAAGTTTTAACAAAAAAAGTACTCTTACTTTTTTTGCACTTTGAATTGTTAAAATGTAATTTTAAAAATTATTTACATTAGTCATTTAGGGTAATATTTATAACTAAAAATTATATAGTGATTTTTACCCTTTATTTCTTTAATGATCATAAGTTAAATACTGTCTATAGTTTACGCGAGTAGTACACATTTAAATAAAACACTTTAACGGTTTAAAACGTGATATATTAGTTAAACTTATTTGAAAATGATTTTTAACTTCGGCCCGACGTTTCCCCGTGACCACAGCTGCTGCAAAGCATCCGAAACGTCGGGCCGAAGTTAAAAATAATTTTCAAATAAGTTTAACTAATATATCGCGTTTTAAACCGTTAAAGTGTTTTATTTAAATGATCATAAGTTTCTACTTTATAACAACAAAGATTTTATCATTATATTGTTTATTGTTTCAGAAATTAAATAATACTGAATCACTAAATGTGACAGCATCCGCCTCATTTTCTGTTGATGAATCTAAGCCGCATGATATTTTTTCCAAAATTAATATAGAAAAAGATTTGTGAGTATCTTATATATGCTTATAGGTATATTTGGAACATTAAAGCTTATTGCAGTGGTGTCACATTACTGTAATCATTGAGTAAAAGAATTCAACTGCATTCTCTGCATCTGAATTCTTAATGTATCCAATGAAAATAATGTCAAATAATAAAATCAACAGTCAATATTTTATTTAATTAAATAATTCTCATTAGCCATTATGTCGACTGTATTTTTTTTCTTTGAGTTTAAGTAACATTTACTCATTCCAGCAATTTTGAAGAGTGCCAATGGTCCCGTAAGCAAGCAGATCTGTTTACTGCACAGCAAGCCAATTTGTTACAAATAAATCCAAAGATGGCACTACCACCAAAACAACTTCAAAAAATGACAATGCAAATTATTAATGATATTCCAGAGTATCCTGATGTGGTAAGGTTAATGGAATTTGTGTTAAAAATTAAATTAAACATTATTTTTAAAAATTACAATGTTAACAAGTCAATATGTGCCACATAAAATCCAAGATTTTAGTTATAAATTTCATTAAAGTATGTACCTAAAACGGTCTTTAGCTTGTCACAAAAATATCTGTTTCATATTCTTGCTTTACTTTACAGCTGTTTATATTTTATATAATACTAGCTGTGCCCGCTACTTGATCCGCGTCCCGTCATTCTTACGAGTTAATTTTAAAAGATAGACATAGGTATACTGTCTTGGGCATGTTTTAAGATCAATTTAAAAAAATATATTCTTTCTTTTTAGCATTTCCTCAGTTTCCTGAATTGCTTGAGGATGAAGGAATTCTGCGGAGCGCAAGAATCATTATACAACTGCTTTGATCATTCTTTGTTCAGTAGTAATGTTAATTTGGATAAAAACAAAATATTTCGATATGCTGCTCTCAATCGGGCAGCAATGCATACCCAGTTTGGGCATAAGTGAGTCTGTTATTATTATACTACAGTTTTTTTAGTTCAATTAGTTTTGAAATATCTATTTAGGGATCTAGAAGCTGCGGTAAAGTATTAGAATATATTAAAAAAGAACTACACTTAATTATTTTAATGCGTCTTAGATAATTATTTTGTTTTCTTCAGACCTCTCGCAATGGAATGTGCGCGTGAGGCATTAGCCAAAGCACAAGAATCAGGTGACAGTGTATGCATGGCGAATGCTGGCGCTTGGGGTGCTGTAGCGGGCGGTCGGGCCCGTCGTGCGGCGCTGCTCACGCGCATGCCGCGTGCCCCACGACCAGCTGCGGCTGCCGCTCAACTCATGGCATTGCATGCTGCGCTTAACTCTGCAAAACCATCCGAAGTTTTCCAAGTAATTAATTGAGATTTTTTAATTATTGCTCCAAAATGTTATCTTGGCGTTTTATATGTAAATATAAAAGTTTTTAAAAATATTATTAGTTTGATGTCCACGAAAGATATAAAATGGAAAAGCATTTCAGAAAGATTGAAACACTTGATTATGCTTGATCAAAATTGATAAATGATAAATAATAAACCTAAAAAACTAATATTTTATACATATATGTAATTAAAAAATTATTAAATAGTTATTTATAGTCCAACATTTATTAAGTTAAATTTGTATACCCAATCTTCTTTTTTTTCAGATTATCAATAGGGGCGATTCTATAAATTACATGCATTCATTGATAGACTTGACCATGGCTGGTTTGGCTCATACTGCTGCATTATGGGGTCTATATGGCAAGACTGAGATGGCTTCCATAAACTGCCAGCTGCTTCTGAATTTAAATACAAGTCAGTATCATATTTTATTTTCTCTGCATGTAATACTGAACTGACAATGTTTGATTAACAAAATAAATGATTCTTGTAAACTTATATAATTTTTAAAGAACAACGCGATAAAATGGTTTCTAAAAGTACTTTACCTACACCACTGTCACAATTAGTATTTGCTGCAACTAAAGGTTCATATTTGCCAGGCATAAGCAGAGTGGCTTCATACCATTCTATTTTTCATTTTTAACCTAAGGTAGGAAAAAATATATTTGTTAATGTTGCCCAGAATGCAAGATAGGCATGGGCAGCGCATGGCAGTGGGGCGACTCAAGTACGACGGCCGGAGCGGGTACAGTGAGCGTAGCTGCTTGGCGGGGGAACTCGGCTATCGCGGCCGCCCTGGCGTCGCACTTCCAAACTCCAAGAGCTCGCGGTCTCTCATTGCGATATCATGCTACATTCGCTCTTAGAGCAGGTAATTTATTGAAAATATATAAAGAAAAAATCTTAACCTGAAAGAATTTTCGTACAATCTTGCACAAACATTTTAAGTTGTTCTCACTTTTTATTATGGCACTAATGCTGCTGCTTGTTGACCATTTTATATTTAAAACAATTGCTTTCATTATATATTACAGGTAAATGGGAAGAAGCAGAGCAGAGTATTCGAGAACTGGCATCTTTCGATAGATGGGAGAGCCAGTTGCTTAGAGCGGAAATGTTCTTCCTAAAGGGGGACCCGACGGACGCCCTAGACACATTACACGATATTTTGGATCATTGCAAAACAGAAGATGACAGTCTTCATTACATTTCACTTCGTTTGAAAGCAATGATTATGGAAGCCGAAGTGCAGCATGCCTTTAGCAGAATTCAATCTACCAATATAATGTTGTTAAACGAAGCACTGACTCTAGCGACGACGTATCATATGCATTACCTTGCGGCTACAGTAGAAATGCATATTGCCAATTTACAATTGCATATGGGGTGTTCCAAGAATGCACTAACTTTAGTGAGAAAAGTGTTGCCTACAATTATGGAAAATGGGAGTGCGTACGATATAGCCAGAGGTATATATTCCTATGCGTAATAAAATATTATATATTCTTAATTACTGAGTTTTGGGTTTAATATGTTTTAGTACAGCTTGCTACGAAGAGTTAATACTGTATATACTTTTTATTGTGATTAGTACCAATTTAGTGTACAATATATTTAAAATTTACGTGCACTAAATTGAGGAAGCTTTTTTCTTTAAATGATGTACTAATATTATTATATTCCAGGAATGCTACTTTATACAAAATGTCGAATAGCTACAGCTTCTCCTGTAGGCGATGCGCGCCAACAGGTCTTACAATCTTGCTGTGAAGCTTTGGACGTAGTGAAAGAACATTTTTCTAAAGTTGGCGCAGTTAGTCGTCTGTTACATACTTGGTATTTACAGGTAATTGCATTTTTAGTGTGATTGTTTCACTTCTGGCAAAAAGCTTACACTTCTAGTAAGTTTTGTTTACGCCAATAGTAGTGAGTTTATCATTTATGCAAACTCAATTTTAACTTAATCGTTTCAAAGCCAGTAATCCAAACCGGTCGTTAAGAATTTACGGGTTTTAAACCTTTAAAATATTTTTATTATTTCTATTTAATTTTATTCACTGTATTCATTAAGTTGTTTTTAAGGCGTTGAAACGGATAAATTAACCATTTTATAAAGGTATATTGTGAGGATTATTTGTGGACATTCCTCTCTTATTGTGACTTCTACAATAATAATTCTACATAATCTTTATATTTCAGGCTAGGCTCTATCACGACATTGGTAATATTGCAGCGCGAAATCAATGCGCGTGGATGTTCAGACAACTAGAATCTCAAATACCTTTAGAAAACATACAGATGACTCACATAGTATACTAGAAAAATAATAACATCTTCCATGCAAAGTGAAACAATAAATTTTTTATCAGAATATATTGTTTTTTATTAGTATAATTTATCATTTAACAAAGCTTTTTGTACAATTTCTGACATAGTACTTTTGATATCTCGACAAAGCACTTCCGAGACAAGGACTTTAGTGTCACTCTGTTCACTTGAATATATATATGTGCCTTCGCCTAGAATGTTTGTATCATTCCAACAGTGCCCCAGTGACGCTTGCGACTCACATATACGTCCCAGTTGCAATAACAATGAAGTTATGTCTTCTAGCAATGAAGGAAAAGCTGTGCAAATTCTTACGAGGGATTTAAGAACGGGCTGAAATAGTTCTAAACGCAAGTCGCTGGGCAACACGGATAGTAGTGTGGATAGGGTATTTACGCACAATCTGGCTATCGACATTGCTTTTGGTAGTGCGTATTGTATCGACAAATGTGATACTAAATCTACGGCAAAAATTTGCTTCTCCAAAGATGCTTGGCTTAACAGCTCTGGTATGAAATCTAGACAAATATGCATTGAAGGTATGCCCTGAACAGTTATTGGCAATAACTCTTTTGGATAACCTTGAAAATGCACAAGTTTTGCAAGGGAGGGCTCTGATATAAATATTTGATGAAGAAATGAACATATTATACTTCTGACTTCCCTCAGAGACCACATTAATTCCGGTTTTGACTGATCTTCAGTGGTCTCCAGACATGCCTCTAATAATATTTGTAGAGCAGCACTCTCCTGCGCCGCTACTAAGGCGTTCTTAAGCTCTTCTCTTTCCGAATCAGAAGTTAACTGGCCACTTTTTTCCAAAAGTGGTTTATCTAACAAATGACGACTCAGTTGACATCTAGAGGCAGCTAAACTTGCTTCTAATATCCTAAGAATAATTTTCAGTATAGGACCACAACGAAACACTCTTACGTCACAACGTAATACTTGTAGTGGATCCACGAGCACGTTTTCTTGTGTTATTGTAACATTCTTCATACCGCCATTTATGTCTAGCAGAGCATTAATTGTCATTATCCAAAGACATCGTGGCAACACTGTGTTCAGCCGGAGCCATACTTCCCTGTAGAGCTCTTGTATGTGTCTCGGAACACCCTCGCCCAAAACGCTTTTTACATGTTTGACAAACGTTTCCGCAAAAGGCCAAATTTCAGTAGGATTTTTGATAAACATGGCTTTTAAAACTTTGCCAGTTTTATATGGATTGACTTCTATACTATAGAAAGCTTCGTCTATCAGTGGTTCTGATAGTTTAATATCAATTTGATGACGACAAGAGTCTCCAAATACTTGATCATCCATCCAATCGTCGACTAGCGATAACTGTGGAAAATGTGTTGCTAACAAGCGCAATAGTGGACTGAATAATCCACCATAGCTCATTTGGTCTTTTTGTGCCTGGTGCAACAAATATTTTATAGGTAGCTCAGAGAGGAACGCCGTTGAATAGCTTTTTATTTTTCTACCGTTAGCGATCAGCATGGCTGCGTTAGTTAACCTTATATCTTCATAAAGCAAGAGGTAGTAGATCAAAAGTAGTTGTGAGGCTAATGTAGGCTTTTCTATTGTTATATCAACAGAAGATTCACCATCTATTTCCATTTGAGCAAATGATTTGTTTTGCGTATCAAAGTTAACACCAAAAATCGAGTTTCGAAATACTTTTTTAATTTCCTCTTCGTTTATAGGCTGATTAAAATATTCATTGGATCCTTTGTTGTTGACAACTAAGATGGAATTGACATAAACCTCTACTAGAGCAGGCATAACTGGGTGTAATGGTGCTGTACAGTTGCAGATTTGGCGGTATATCCAATTTTTTATTGGGACTTTGTGTTTGGAAAATGCTCTGGATTTTAATAATTGGTGAATACAATGGACGGGTAAGTAACCTGCAACGTTGCTGTTGAGATTCGCAGTTACAGGTACCTTTACAGCGTGTGATGTTACAACCTATTAAAAAATAATATTTCGCGTTAAAAAAACCATAAATCAAATTAAGTTTTTTAGGAGTTGAAAAATTACCTGCTCCGTGAATATTTCTTGAGTAAACGCTTGTTTGACACGTGCAAGGCCATTGGGGCGAACTGGTACCCTCATACCTAATGTAGCACAAACTAATTCACCAACAGCAGCTAATTGGCCAGAATGGAAATGAATAGCTATTAGAAGTAACATCTCTCCAAAGGAAGCCGAAAATCCAGAGTTGCTTTCAAAATAAGCTTCCTCCTTAACAAGCCACTGCACCCATTCAATTGCTTTCTTTTCATGTTCCGGTGCAGCTGCAAAAATATGATAGTCGCATTAGAACTTTGTAATACAAAAAATATTAATAATGTGGAGATTCTTACCCATGAGTGATGGACAAGCAAGTATCATACATAGACTCAAAGACACAAAACGGACCCCCGCTGCTGTGGGGGGTGGTTTTTGAGTAACAAGTCTTAAGAGTCCAGCAACTTCATCATCTTGAAATTTAATTCCTGCAATTCCTCTTAGAGCACAGTAGAGTCTGAGAAGTGCAGAAGCATCAACACCAGCAGATGCTTCTTTTAATCTATTAAGTAATTCCTGACGAAGTTTTATAAGCGCATGGTGACCATCCCCTTTGCCTCTTTTATGTGAGTTTCGTAAAAAAGGTGCAAACCAAGATCTGGTGCTTTGATCTGACCCTAATAAGAGGCTTGACATAAATGATATCTGAAATTAATTAAAGCTTATATAAAGACAATATTTTTAAAATATTACATTCCTTAATATGTAACAATACAAAATAAGTTTATATAAAACACTTTAACGGTTTAAAACGCAATATATTAGTTAAACTTATTTCAAAATGATTTTTAACTCCGGCCCGACATTTCGGATGCTTTGCCGTTAAAGTATTTAAATTTAATGCATACTATATACTACTCGCATAAACTATAGACAGTACAAAATAAGTTACCAAATCTTCATGGTGTGTCAGAGTAAGACTTATCAAAAGGGATGGTAGACGTGAAACAGATGCAGCTTTAGCTCGTATAGATGCTGCCATGTAAGGACACATATCACATAAAGTTAAAAGTGCTTTTGCTCTAATACCGCCTTCTTCCCCTCTTTCAGCATTTATAACAAGACACTCTGCAACTATAATAATGATTTAACTACAGCATGCAAATCCATTAGGGTTAAAAACCTTGTGAAATAGCTCCTCATATAAAATTAAAAATTTACCATCTTGAAGTGTATCAGGCATGTTTGCTACCAGCCATGATATTATTATTGGTCCTTTATTAACATATAAAAGAACTTCAACTATGTCACAAATGTTTAACAAATTTGGTAATTCAGCAAGACTAATGCAGATTACGTCCGTAATTTCCTCAAGGTACACATCATTATCAAACAACTCGGAAGATTTAATAGTACATTCATTGTTGGTCATTCGACTTTGATTGTATTCAGCCGATTGGGCTTGCATTTGAAGCAACTCAGATAACACCAACCGAACCCTTCGGGTTGAGTCAGATTGTTCAAAGTCATTGGCTATTCCATTTACAATATTCTGTATGAGAAATGACTCAATGTTTTGTGAACCATTTTTCTGTCTGGAATAAAATATATTTCCATAAGCATAATCATTTATATACATAATTCAATTTTAATAAGAAAAATTCAATCCATTCATAATATTTACCTCATTTGTTGCTCTTTCTTAAGGTCCACTTCTAATGCATGAAACTCAATTGATAATAAAGAAACTATGAAGTTGACCAAGTCTATTCCAGAAAGCAATGTTAAAATATCTTTCTTGGCATCCGCACAATATCTAGTAACATCTAATGGCGATATTAGAGCCATTCGAACAAGACATGGTATGATCGGTCTTATCTCTTCCGATGTACATTTGAGAAGAGTTTCCACATCGACATCCTTTAGTGCCTTAAAGACGTGTGCTTGGACAGGCTTCATAAATATGTTCTGCATTTCAAATTAAAGTTAATTCAACCTCATATAGTCATAATAACACATTGATGTAGGACTGGCATGGAATTCCTTGTCTAAAACTAAACAGTGGCTAACAAGCAGCCACCAGCCGCAAAATTACAAAACATTCGCAATTGACATTGACAGTTATGACTAGTGAATGACAATTTTCACATAGATGTTTCAATACGATTAAAATGTCATACAATGTACGATTTCTAAGTACGGTAACGTAACTGGTAACTATAAACCTTAAATCGTTATTGTACATACTCTTTTATAATAATCAATTATGGTAAATTAAAACTTAAATAAACAATAGTTTTGCCGTTGAATTATATAACAGATCATTGATGAGACCCACTTTAACCAGTGTGGCGTCCATATTTAACAATTATAAATAAGAGGTTTTAAAAGTAACTTTCTATATCTATTAAGTGTTAATAATTAAATCTATGACACTTTTAGGTATCTATCAAGGGAATCATCTTCAAATCGATAGGTCATATGGATAATTTTATACTTGTTCTTATCGTATAAAAAGTTTAATAATCGCGTAAACTTCAGACAATACTTCAAACAGTCAATGAAAAGAGGCTAAAAATCAGATACTTACTATTAACCTAAGCTCGTAACAATCAAACCAATTAGCAAATGTAAATCTTCATTACGACAAGAACATGCAGGCGATTCTAAAGCAATAAAAATCGATTGCGAGTTATACTTTTTGTATAAATCTGTAATATGGACTTCGAAGTATTTCGTTGAAGTTCTGCAAACGTTTACGGAATAGAATCAATGTAATGAATCGGGGTGAAGAGGTGGTTTGGGCGGGTGGATATTCGAGCGAGGACAGGCGGCCCGCGCACGGCGCAGGGCGGGCGGACGCAGCGCTTTCTCGGAGCTCGAAGCCGTTGCGGAGGGCTGAGGGCGGCGGCTGGCGCGGCAGTCGCGCGCGAACACGTGCGCGCACCGCCTTGCGCCGTTGAGCCCTAATAAACGCGATATCCTTCCTTCTTAATTTTTTTGAGATTTATATATCTGCCCGAATCTGCTGCAAGCTACATTATATATCTCTCGTCAATAAATAAACAATAACATTTCAGAAATACGTGGAGTAAACGTTAGTGGGTCAATGGCATAATCCTCGCAGACATTGCTTACATCATTCCAATAAATTCGGCGGGAAATTTGATAATTATGTATGTAGGTATTACTTATTTAATAATTGATTGGGTGTTTACGAAGTACCTTTTTTATACTGTTGATAAAAAGCTTAAGGGATATCCTCTTGTAAAAACGTATAATGCCGAAAAATTTAAGACAGGCTACAATACTATAAACATTTTACATGAACGAGTAGTCTAACTAACACTAAATCTCATTTAAGTGTTCTATTTTAAAAGGCGTTCAAGCTTTTTATTGTGTTTATTATATATTGTTTTTGATATTTTCGATAGGTAAATTCAGTTATAAGAGCATTAATAATTTAAAACAAATACTGTACCTAAGGTCTGTAGGTATGACCTTAACTTTAAAACTTACGATTTCTTAAATATTTTGGCATAGATCAGTAACGATACTAATCACATACCTTTTCACTTGTTTGAGTACGCGTAATTCTTTACAAATATAGATAGACATAAAAGAAAGATATTTTTTTCAGAAAAGTCATCTTCGCTTGCTTAATTCAGCAACTTTACTTTAATTCATAATTAATTACAATAAATACAGGCAATATTGATGGCTGATCAGAGGGTCAGTGGTGTGTTTCTTTGCTAAAGGCGCGAAAAGTTGATCTTCTTACATAGTAGTGTATGTTATGTTATATATTCTTACATAGTATGTATTTGAAAATATCGTGTGATTTCTCTATGTGGGACACGGAGAGTCGCAATTCTATGTATGTTTACTAATCAATTTTATTCTAATTAGAAACTATTTCGTTTCCACAGTATTCGAACCCACAACATTTAACCATGGAGCTAGAGAGGCGGTCGGAAGTGACATTATATGACAATTTTTCAGATATTTAAGGCCAATTGTTAGTGTCCTTAATAATACCTAACTTAAAACCTTCTACCCGATAAGTCTATAAACTAGGTTTAACAACGGCGTCTAGATGATATTATAGAAAAGATGCGATCGATCCATTTCTTAGATAATCTAAAAATGTCTATGATGACATCGGTCTGCGTTAAAAATATAGTAACGATATCTAGATCTAACTAACTAATATATCAATAATAAATGGAACAAATAAGCAGTTTTGAGATTTCCATGGTCACTTCATGTAGCCTCACTTCGGGCACAACAATTGTCAATATTGAAATTTGAATAGTATTTAACAAACTGTGCGGCAAGTTATGTTTAGTGGACATCGAAGCTAATGAACGGACTTAAGAACAATGTTTCAGCGTGTAATTTATTCATTACACCGCCGTCCTCTGTCGACCATTCTAAGTAGAGTAGCTACTACTGGGTATGTCTTAAAACTTCACTCTATTAGTTTCTTAACAGCCCATTATAATAAATTAATGGCAATTAACTTAATTGGTACTCAATTCATATTCACGTTTAACAGCTCTCCCGCCGTAACATAGTTTAGATGATTTGCGTATGTTTTATTTACTTACAAACATTCGTTAACAACAAAAGACCTAACCTCATTAACAAGTTGAAAGAGACGCATGTAAAAGGTTGTAAGGCACAATTCTTATAGGCAAATACATTATAAAAAGGAAATATTATAAAAGGGACAATATTTATGGAGAGTTTTTTAGGTTTAGTTAAAGTGCTTGCCCTAACATAATATAAGATGAATTTGTTTTAGGATGGAATGAAAATCTAGACAATGAAAGGCTAGAAGAATCATCACCTGTGAGAACTGATTTGAAAACCCAAAAAATACAAATTAATAAAGGAGATATACAATATTATTAGAATGCGGATAGGAAATAATTGAATAAAAAAGAAAATGGAGAAAAGCGATCGCAAGCGTCTATCGAAGATAAATATATGCTTAGACCCACCATGGATATTTGATGAAATATCTGATGAAAAATTATACTTGGCATACACACAAAGACAAAGAGAGGGAGCAGTCGTGCGTTGGATATCGTTAGGATTTTTGTTGCAATTATTCGTGATATTTGTTCCGGGCGAAAGCGACTTAAAATTCGCTTATTCATCAGTGGTCATTTTCACCCTACTTAATATAAGTTTGTCAATAGTGTACGCAGTTGTCCGAAAGGCACGTCCGCTTCTAAACCATACAGCGTGGCTTGTTATCTGGATAGAACTCCTTGTAAGTGCATCGCGGCGAGTTGGAGATTCTTACAACGAGCTTCTGGGATGGGCCATTGTCCTACAATACTTCACGTTGACAACGCTGCCTTTTCATCACCTGTTGCTCATAGCATACAGCATGATAACCTTTACAGCTTATTTGTTAGTGCAGTACTATAATGCAAAAGTATGGAATTTCAGCGTTGAAGACCTGTCTATTCAGGTAAACATAACATTACTTTTTGTTTAATCAAGTTTTAACATATTATATATTATAGAAGGAGTGATTTTTTTTGTTTGTATGTTAATCTCCGAACGTATCCCACTGCATGGATCTTTCCGTGTTCACCAATGTATTATCTCATGTTGGTGAAATACAGCTATTAGTCACTTTTTCACTTACACGGTCGCGGGCAAAAGCTAGTTCTTGGTGTATTGATTATTAAGAGAGGATTAGCTATAGCTATTGATTTTCATGTCTTACTTAATTTTCCTAGCAAGTGGCAAATGGATGCTTATTACTAGGAGCGACGTTATTAGGCGGTACAGCATATGTCATTAATGAACGGAAACAACGACTATCGTTTAAAGAGACCAAGCGGAGTTTAGGAGATAAACTTACGATTGAACAACAGAGCAAAGAACAAGTATGTTTTTTCCGATCTAATATACAAAATTCTCGTAAAATATTTGGTACCATATGCTTACAAAATGGCTTGATCGATTTTAATTAAACTTTTTTTGGATATTATTTTATTTCATACCTGAGTGAAGGGTTATCCAGCCCTATGATTTTTAAATTTATGGTTACAAATGTATAGTAATCATTTCTGTTTAATGAAGTTTTAAAAATCAATAAAAGTAGAAGCCAACACGTATCCACTTCATACAATTTCAGGAGAGATTGCTACTCTCAGTATTACCGGAACATGTAGCTGTGAAAATGAGGGCAGATCTGGGATGTATCGACACACAATTTAAGAAAATTTATATGTCAAGGCACGAAAATGTAAGGTGAGGATTCAGAGGGGAAAAGAATAGTAATTTAAAAAATATATAGGTTTTACATTTCCATCTGTATTGCAGCATATTATATGCAGACATAGTTGGTTTCACTGCTATATCTTCTTCATATTCAGCACAGGATCTTGTTGCGATACTAAATGAACTGTTCGCGCGGTTTGATCGATTGGCGGAGGTAACCAATATAAAATACTATTAATAATTAATCTATTCTAAGACTAATAGTATACATGGAGATACATTTTTAGAAATACCAGCAGTTACGTATAAAGATTCTGGGCGACTGCTATTATTGCATTAGTGGTGCACCAGTAGAGAGACCCGACCATGCTGTTCTTTGTGTGCATATGGGATTATCGATGGTCAAAGCCATAAAGTAAGTATTGTCAATTCATTCAAGTAAGCCTCGGCAGCCTATATTAATAGAAAACTCTAAAATAAAAGAACATTATCTTGTACTGTCTTTTTATTGATAAAATAGTCCTTACAAACTAGCCTTTATCGTAAAACAACTGTGTATTACTATTATTTGTTATAAGTAATGTAGTTTTTATAGTTATTGTTATAAAAATAAAGCTTCTTTTAGTGAAGTTAGCTTTTTAAAGCTTTGGATTGGCGTTGGATACATTAAAGTACGCACATTCTGTGTACGTAGATTTTAGGTCTTTAAATTTAATGTGTTATTTGTAGATATGTACAAAGAATAACAAACTCTCCCGTCGATATGCGAGTTGGCATTCATACTGGAGCCGTCCTAGCCGGAGTTCTGGGTCAAAGACAATGGCAGTTTGACGTATACTCCCGGGATGTGGAGCTCGCTAATAAGATGGAGAGCAGCGGAATGGCTGGGTAAGTTTGTCTCGCTATATATTCTACGCTATACGTTCTTTTCCCTATAGTTTATCGTGAAACTTGTTCGACGTACTAGATTTTCAACAATGTATGAAATAACAGTACTTTTATTACGATAAATTTTTCGACTTATTTTTCACAAGATTTTAGATACCTTTCATCTTTCGCAAGGCTGTCTTCCACAATCTATTAGGGATATCTCGATCTAAAAATTAAAAGAAACAATAACTAGAAATATTTTCTAGCATGGTTTTAATACTACAATAACATCGTAAATTTATGGATCCATAAATATCAAATACATATAATGATTACACTTCATTACCATTAAGTACTTAAGTATAATTAATGAACGATGAGAAAAAAATGCATGTATTAAGTAAATGTTCATGTCTCAGCGAAAACTAACGAAGTTGACCTTATCAAACTTGTAAGTGGAAGATTGTTATGTGTCAGTTGATATTTGGAACAGATAACACATTCGTGTCTCAATATAATATTCTGGTTATACAACTATTGTAATTTGTAACATAATTGATTATATATAATAGCATTTTCGCTGTCTCCTGGATCCCGAGATCGATGTAGATGATGAGGTTCAGGGTTTCAAGCCCTGGTTGGGCGAAATATTAGTCAGTATTTGGGATTTCTTTAAAAAAATACACGCTACTGCTTCAGTACCCAGTTGGAGTACGTACTATTGGAACTTACAGGCAATGTCTGGAAAGAGTCTTCGTTGGCCCCGCCTATTCAATCGCCCGCAATAAATTTTTAATATTTTTATTAAATGTTGAGTGAAACACGAGATTTCCTGCGATTCATTGTTTGCATATAGTGTATATATACATATTATTTGTATATATACATTATGATGTATGTCCACACGAGCTCGTCGCTTGTACCAGACTATAAAGGGAAATATATCTTTAATTAGATAGAGAAAGTTATGATGACGTCAAAGTATTTTCGGCATCCCATAACGTAACAAGAATGGGGACGGACGCGAAAATAATAGCTCCTATATTGGCAAATACGGGAGCCATAATGCGGCCTTGACCCCTTCTCTCGGGATTCCTACAAGTAGAGTAAGCTGTTAACTGTCAATAACAGATGAGGGAAGTACGTTTGCGCACGGAAATTATCCATTGGTAATACGCGATGTGGTTTGTTTACTTACAATTTGAAATTTGAATATTTTACTTTACACGGAGGTATATTGACTCTCTCCTATTTTTAAAACTATAAATTATACCTCAAACATACTGTGTAAACATTAGTTTTGATCAGTGTAAAAGCAAAATACCTTGTAAGCTAGCTAAAAATCGATTGTGGATTTGGTTCACGAATTTACAGTACGGAAAATGAATGATCTGATGGCATGTTAATAATTATTTTGCTGTGTAATCATCTATCCCAATGAGGGGCATGGGCCAAACATATCTGTATCCGTCTCACTGATCGATTTAATTTACAGATAAGTAATTAATCAGATTTCCTTACACTTTCCGTTACACACAGATTCGAACAAAGGATCTTCCGTGCTTAACGCAAACCTAGGCACATATAGTGTCTAACTGTTTTGAAAGCCGGTTGATCATAGCAATTATATCGCATATAAATCGAAATTTAATTTTTGGGTATCTTAAACTGTTTTTGCAGCGTACGCCTCGGAAACCCATAATGATGAATAATTTTCCCAATTTTTTTTCACATTTCTCGCCGTATCTTCGCTTGTATTGTAGTCACAAGGTGTTTTATAGCCTTCCTTGACAAATGCTCTAACCGACACAAAAACATTTTTTTAATTCAAACCCGTACTTCCTGAGATTAGCGCTCTCAAATATACAAACTCTTCAGCTTTATATATTAGATTAGATAAGTACATATGTCATAGAAATTGAATTAGTATGTAAAAAGTACAAATAATTTAGATGAGAGTAGATTAAAGTGAAAGTTTCGTAGGCGCGTGCACGTGTCGGAAGTGACACTCAGTTTCCTGAAAGACGAGTTCGAGGTGGAGCCCGCACACGGCGAGCGACGCGAGGAGATGCTCCGGCAGGCTGGAATCAAGACATACTTTATTGTCCGGGTTGGTACTTTAGACACACGATATGACATAGCTATATATTTATTGAAAAAGCTCAAACACAAGAGTACTTGGCGTAAACTTAATTATACAAAAAAAAATCCATTCTACTGTAACGGACACATTTATGAAACAATTGAATTAATAGCTTTTTGGCATGTATTTTTTATTTAAAAAAAAATATTATTCGATAATAATAATTAGAGGTTTATATCGTTCTTTTGCTTTTGTCTCGAATTAGGAACCTGTTAACTTAATATATTTTTAGTACAAGGGGAGTGATGAAAAATGTATTGAAGGCGAAGCGGGCGGCGGCGACTGGCCCGATGTTCTATCCGACCTCAAAGACGACGATGAGGACTCTGTAAGTGCGCTCATACTGACAACCGTGGGGTGGCGCTCCCACCCCCCGGCCACCGGCTGAATATGGGACACTGGGGCACTGAGCTCCCGGCCCTTATTACTCTACTTAATGCTAGTTTACGTGATATTGCTTCCCAAATTATCATTTATTATATTTAGTTGAATTCTATGTTTGAAAGTATGAACTAATGCGTTTTAGAGGAAATTCATAGCATTGCGATCGTGACAAAAGTGGTATTTAGGACACATGCTAGTTCTTTGGCCCTGGGCCGACTACCGATTGTGTGAGAGAGTAGCAGTTGATCCATTCCGGGGTATAAGGGTTTTTAATGGACTAAATATAGAAAAATAAGTTTAATAGCGATCGTTTCAGTACAGTAAAAGATTATAATGTAGGCTTTATAACACAAAAAGTTTAACTGGACAAAGTTCTAATTTCGATTTAAAGTAATTAGAGCTGCCTAAAAGTTTGAATTGCAAATATTAAAGTATAATTTAATCTGCTATTGATTGTATGTAAGATTGGAAAATGTTCAGAAGTGGCAAACATTTAATGTGTGGATATAAACGCGCTTTTTTATATATTGCTCATTACTTTTAGGTTTTGTCACCACAAGACGAGACCAAGGTCAGCGAGGAGATTAAGATTCATACCATGTTGCAAGAAGAACTGGTCAATAGAGATGATGATAGGTAAGTTTGATTTTTATATTCTTTATCTATTGTTTGCCGATTTTTTTACAGTTAAATCAAATTTAGTTTGATTTAAATCGAAAGCCGCGTTGACATAAGCACCTGACCAACGTTTGAGAGGTCAGGAGTACACCGCCAACACCATTTTTCGGCAGGCCACTGAAATATGTCATCTGTTCTTGGATAGTGAAGAATACCAAGAGGAAACCGGCATGTCCTTGAATTTGTTTAATTTTTACAAAATATAGCAACACACGCCAACCAGATTGGGGCCAAAGTCCTCATATAGAACTTTAGAGCCCCAGTTAAGCATATAATGTCATCATAATTATTAGCACTTTAATAGTTCCCATAGGTGGGAATGATTACAAACGAATAAAGGTCATCCTTTATCCATTTGTAATCATTCGCGACCCATTTTACGCTTGGTTTTATTTAAGTACCTACTACTTCACTACTTCGAAATTTAACGTACAAATTAGACAGATTTTTAATAGAACAAACATAACGAGTAATTAAAATTCACGTATTGAAGAAGCTGGTTAAGTAATAATAGTACCTAGCTAGCCGTACGTGATTGCAACCTTTAACATTATTTTCAACATTTCCTTTTCAAAGCGTCATAACGAACCACTCTTTACATGTGACATACATTATTTAATGTAAGAAAATAGCTAAATATTCTCTTATGTATATAAATTAAATTGAGATAATTAAAACGAGTATAATGTGCGGCCTAATTCATATTTAGTAATCTCTTCAAACAACCCTGGTTAAAAAAAGCGTAGTGTACTTACAGGAACTGAGAAATTTATAACATGAATAAATATTACACATAAATTAATTACTTATGTACTTATTATATTTAAATAAAACACTTTAACGATTTAAAACACGATATATTTTGCTCTCCCCGTGACCACGGCTGCTGCAAAGCATCCGAAACCCCGCGCCGTAGTAAAAATGATTTTCAAACAAGTTTAATTTGAATATATCGCGTTTTAAACCGTTAAAGTGTTGTATTTAAATGTGTACTATTCGTGTAAACTACAGACAGTATTTTACGTTGTTCGTATTTGTTTTTAATTTATTATGTTCCCACTAGGGAATTAGCGGATGGAACAACTATTTGCTTGACTTTCAAAGAGGATGAGGTGGAAAGGGGTTACGCCCAACGCGGAAATTCGTACCCGCAAGCAATCGGCGCGCCACCGATGATTATTTTACCAGCTTTGACGCCTATCATCACGTTTGCTGTACCGAGCACGTGGACTTTCCACGCGTTCTACATTGCACTGGTTTTGGAAGCCTTCGCTCTTAATATTCTCTATCTCATCATCTTTCGATGCGCCCAGTATAAGGTTAGTTATGTTTATTATATCTGACTTGATATGTGTTTTACGGGAGTACACTTTGAAATAACAACTCCCAATGTATAAACTATGTTTAACGAATAAATATTGACAATTATACATTACTTCTTAAATTAATTAATTAAATTAAAAAAATAGGCCTAAGGTTTACAAGGATTGACACAATGTTATAAAAAATTTCAAAAATGCAATTAAACTAAAAAAACCTTTGATTTTTTAAAATGTCGAACTAAAAGAAACATATCGCTTTATTTTTTGGTGTTGTTTTATTTTTACAAGGCCTACGTACTTTAAACGAATTATTTATCGGAGTAGTACTTTTTTGCAGTGATATTTGGCTAACACGGTAAAGTACTAGAGTGTACAATCATTAGTATTATTATTATTTGTAGAACAAGAAGATACCTGCAATTTGGAAATTAATGTGTGGTTTGTTCAACGTTGCTGTCTTTTTAACCTTGAACGTGATTCCTTTGGTAAGTTTCACGATGTTCTTGTGTGTACATAAATACAATGAAATTTGTAACACGTAATGATATTTAAATATTATTGCAGGTTTTATGTGGCGTTATCGAGACCGATTCGGAAGACGATCAATTCAATGAAAGCTATGGAGCAAACCAACGATGCCTTCACACCTCTTATTATTATCATGTAAGCAACCATGTTATATGAAATTGTAGTAATTTCGAATAGCTAATACAGTATACAAATTGTAGCTATAACTTTGAACTTTTTAATTATATTAGATGAGAGGCAAGATTTCTGTGAATCGTTTTTTCATAGTAGTGTGATTTGCTATCGTGAGGTCGGGAGTTCAATCCTCAGCAATGTATGAAGAATTTTTTTTATCTGACGCTGAGCAACATAAATTTGAAATGTATACGACGCCTACGATATGATTAAAAACTTTTCTTGAACCGGCATCAGCGTTCCGTGCTATTGCTTTAACCAATTACAATAAACCAGTAGTGCTACCGTGTCAATTGGCTAGAGCCACTACACGGAACTCTGTGGATATCAGCTCAAGTCCTGATTTTTAATTTACTGATGATGATAAATCTTATGTGCAGATGGGAGTTGGCATAGCGTGCAGTGTGTTATGGTTGCGGCCACTACGTGAGGGATACCGAGTACTTCTGCTGCTAGGGGTCGCCGTAGCCCATGCGTTGCCCGCAGTGTTCTACCCAGCGTTGCTGGCTCGGTACCGCCTGCCTTACGACCCTTTCGTCACCGCCAATACCACAGCTAATACCACCGCCCTCGACGTCCCCGAAATGCTAGAGTTGATGTTAGTTGTGTATCTGTTTCTATGTACCCCATGCACAGAATGCTCAACCAGAAGTGACCAAAAAAAAATTACGCGCGCTTCATGTCCAAAACACTTTTCCACTCCTTCCTCATGTGAGTAGTGTGACTTTTAGGATTGAAAATTAGTCTTATTAAAGATAGTAAGTACTAAATTCCTCAACTCATTTACATTAAAGAAAAACTTGACTGGTTTGTTGTAGACACCATTTTGTAGTAGTTCTGGTTACACTATCAAGCGTCGACGGTTTTTGGTTTAGTCAATTCTGCTCGTAAATGTTATAACAATATGTATAATTTATATACGCCATAGCAACCGAAGATAGTGCATGAGTTTTCAATTTTTTGATGGGTTATCAAGTGCTTGTCAAATTGCTTTTCTGCTAATTAAACATGTTCCGGCGATTATAATGAAAATATAATCACAATATTCTACGCTGTTGAATAAATATGATTATTGTTGTATTTAAATAAAACACTTTAACGGTTTAAAAATAATTTTAAATACGGCCAGACGTTTCGGATGCTTTTCCGCAGCCGTGGTCACGGAGAGACACGGATATATCCGAAAGTTTAACTTGTACATTTTGTGTTTTAAACCATTAAATTGCTTTATTTAAATGTACTACTCGCGTAAACTACAGACAGTGTTTAATGTTTCAGGTCCAAGTTTCACGCTGGACGACACATTATAATGTTGTTTATAATCGTTGCCGGATTGATTATTTACCATAGATATGTAAGTTATTACTGCCTAGTCATTAGGATTTAATGGGTAATAGATAGTTATATTATATTTAAGGGATATTTTTAATCTGGTTTTAGTTCAATTTGGTGTTATCGTAAATAAACATTGTTTTACACTAACCCTCTTAATGAATTAAAAAGAACAATAATAAATTTAAAAAATCATGCACTTATATATTTATATACTAATTTATTTAATCTACTATTACTACTTTTATTTACGTTTCAAAATGGAGTAGTGTCAGACCCATCGAGACAAAATACTATATAACCGACTGACCTAAAATTGTATATTACTTGATATCGAACATTTGCTTTGCAGAGCGAATCCCTGGAGCGCGCTCGCTACTCCCGCGGCGTACGCATGCGTGTGCAAGCAGAACAGGCGCACGAGTTGCGTCGGCGCAACGAAGCTCTGGTCCACAACGTACTACCACCACACGTGGCCACACACTTCATGGGGGGTCGGCATCACCACCGGGACCTGTACAGCCAGAGCTATGCCGAAGTCGGCGTCCTATTTGCCTCTATGCCCAATTTTACAGGTATTTAACTGTTTAATGATTAAGTGCGTGACCATAGGAACTAGTAAACATGTTTCGGTCGGGCATAGCCCAAAAGTTTGGTCAACTATAAGGGATGTAAGCATTTAAATAAACTGTGAAAGGTTTAAAACGATATATATCGTGTATTATATAAGACTAAAGATGGAGGATATCTCGGCTACTGCAAAGCATGAAAAACGTCGGGCCGTAGATAAAATAATTTTTAAATAAGTTTAACTAATATACATAAATCGCGTTTTACACCGTTCAAGTGTTTTATTTAAATGTGTACTACTCGCGTAAACTACAGACGGTATAGAAATAAATGTAAGCATTATATGTTCTTCCATGTCCCATCAAGAAAACTGTAAATAACTTATTTTGCATGTAGTTTTTCATCATCTTTATCTAGAAAACGAGACAGAATATAGGACTAAGCATTATACATGTATTATAGGGTAAATTAAGGAGTCATAACTTTCATAAATTTATTAACATTCAAAGTTACATCAATTGTTACATTTATAATAAAAATTAAAACTTTGTAGAATTCTAAAAAGGCATTGAAAATCATTGTTTATTATAGGATGACACTTGTAGACTAATTTCTAGTAATCGTCCATCTATATTCGTATTACCTGAGTATGACATAAATATTATGTATAATTAAAATAAGGATATACACTGTCTATCTGTTAATACACGTTCCGAATCTAATTCCGGTATGCTGAACTTGTTGCAGAGTTTTACTCGGAAGAAACGGTCAACAATCAAGGTCTAGAGTGTTTACGATTTCTCAACGAAGTTATATCGGATTTCGATCTTGTAAGTATCTGTTTTTACAAAATACTTCTAAAAATACATCAATAGACTCATTTTAGAGACGCGCGCTGCACGTAAACAAAATTAAAAGTTTGTTTGTACTTTCTGTACGTAACTGTAATATGTACTTATAATGTTATTTTGTTTTGCATACCGTACTATTATTACTTGGTTAAAAGTTTCGTTGTATTACTAATAGTGGTATTGTGCTCTCTTATGAAGACAAAATTTTGTATTTCTTTCTATAACAGCTTCTAGAGGAGTCTAAGTTCAAGGACATCATTAAAATTAAAACAATAAGTTCTACTTATATGGCCGCATCAGGACTTAACCCAGCTCGACAGATGCAGGTAATCCTGATTTTCTGTTATTAATATGTCACCCACAAAGATGAATTAATCTATCCTAGTATTATAAAGCCGAAGAGTTTGTTTAAACGCGCTATAACTCGCAGGAACTATTGGTCCGAATCGAAAAAATATATTTTAGTGATGGATAGACCTTTTATTGAGAAAGGCTAAGGCTATCACGTTACATCAGGCTACAACCATAAAAGTGCTAAAAAACATAACAATGTGGTAAAAACGGGGAAATTTATTTATCTTTTAGGGCTTCCGTCGTGTGCGCTGCAGAGACGGTCAAATACAAAAATTTGAATGAAAGAAAGATTATTTTTTAAATCATCTCAAAACACGTCTGCGGCATGTATGTGTCTAATAAACGACGGGGCGCGGATGACTTCGTGGGTTACAGCTATAATATAATGAAGACCAAAGCAAAAATAAATATTATTATTGACGCCCAAAATGATTATTCCACACGGACGAAGTCGCGTGACAGCTAGTAATTATTATAGACCGCTATATGCCGCCTAAGTAGTTAGGTGCTTTGGTATGAAATACAAACCATTTTTAATTAAAGTTTAATTCTTTCAGCCCTCTGATGGCGTTCTGGTTCGATGGGCCCACCTCGCTTGCCTGGTGGAATTCGCGCTAGAACTTCAACGAGTGCTTGCTGCTATAAATGAGCAATCCTTCAATCATTTTGTGCTGCGCATGGGCGTTAACCACGGTCCTATCACAGCTGGTGTAATCGGAGCTAGGAAACCACACTACGATATTTGGGGTAACACAGTAAACGTTGCGTCCCGTATGGAGAGTACTGGAAAAGCTGGATGCATACAGGTACACAATGCTTAATATCATTTAATATTGGCCGGATAATGTAATGTGATTGTAATTTTTTTTCTAAAAATTAAAACGCATTCGAAATTCGAGCGAAGTAGTTCGAATTATTATGTATTATATGATTGTATGATGAAAAACGGTTAAAACTTATATGCTTGTTGATACATAAAAAACAGTTTATATTTCTATTAAAGATATACATATAAACATAACAATTTCCTGGCATCCTTCGAAAGTTAGGAATCCTAATTGAACAGCAGTGTAGCACACTTTAAATAAACAATTGACAAAAATTAAGCTAAAGAAAACGCGTATTGAGTTAAAGTGAAAGGTGGAACTAATAAGAAAATACTAATGGACTAAAGTGATTAAAAATTCAAAGAAATTGAAATAATATGTACTTCTTTTACCATATAATATCTTAACAATATGTGCTGTCCTGACCTATTTTGGCTTTGGATATTCGGAATCAATCATCGCATAACGAAAATATGATCTTTAAAATTCTCTACTTCTAAAGGGACGCGATTTCTTTCTCGTCATCGCTCGTCTCATCAAAACCAGTCATATAAACTATCACTGTATCGACGACTGAAACCGAAACGCGAAACTTACGGCTTTTTAATCTGTGGGTGGTAGTTCGTGATCTGAATGGAATTTCTATATTTCTACCACCCATTGCAATAAAAATTATGAAATGTTTAGAAAAATGTTGGACCAGTGGGGATCGGACCCAACAACCACTACTTGTTGACTATTAGCCATGCATTGCTACCGTTACATCAGCCCACACGAGCCCGTGAAAAGTCGTTGAAACGAGTTTTATTTGAAAATACTTATTTTACACAGGCCCCTTTAGGTAAAAACGAGGTACCATATAGGCACTTGCAAATCTTCACTATTGTGTAAGTACATTATAACCAAAAATGCTTAGATGGGTAAAGCGAGGGAAATTTTTAAGGTGACGGAGGAGACATGCGAGATCCTGCAGAAATTCGGATACTACTTCGAGCAGCGTGGTTTAGTGGCAGTTAAGGGGAAAGGACAGCTGATGACCTATTATCTGCAGGGCAAACGTGATGAACCAGTAAACCATTCTGACTGCACTACAGCCATAGTAAGTAAACTGAAGCTTATAACTAAATCACCGGCGGTCAAAATTCCCCCATAAGCTGATTTTACAAATTATTATGTGATAAGTTCTCCAAGTGTACAATTAAAAATGAATATTTTAAAGTACCGTAAGCTTACATATGTACACGAATAAAATACCTACTTTTTACTAGTATCTATTGTTATCGAAATTAAATTAAAGATTCTTGACTTGACCACGACCATGTGTCCACCTTCTGGCGCCAAAGCTGGATTTACCCTTGAACTAAATAGACAAAGTATGTCCTTAGCTTTAGCGAGTTGAACTCACGCTTTTAGAGTTCCTTATAAAATTGAGAATTCTGATTCAAAAACCATTTCATTCTATTATACTCTTTGTATTTTTTAAAGTGGTACATATACATCTGTGAAAATGACTATAAAAAACTGCCACGGCTCCTAAGTAATCCCGCAGTCTACATAACATCTACCTTTATCGATGCAGAAGTCGCAGACTAAGAATTGTTTTTAAGTATTTTAGGAACCACTCAGTCGAATCGCATCTCTGTATATAATCGATGAATAATACAAAGTTTTATTGCTTAATGTATGTAATAGTCGATCAGATTACAACATTTTACTTGCAAAACAAAATCAGCGGCATAATTCATATTGTCACGCGCTCTTTAGCAAAGCAGCGAGCGTTATAACTTAATATATATTATTTCCTTCACCATTATAAGCGAAGCGAGATATTAAAGGTTTCTGAAGCACATGTTTTTTAATTACATTGTTTGTCTCCTGGTATACATGATTGCAAATCACGAGGTCAGCGGATCGAAAGACGAAATGTTAGTTCGGTATTTGAATTTATTCTAAGAAAATGACTAATATCAAAGTTTGAAACTAGGAGATGTTATTAGCTTCGTGTATTCAGAGGGCGTTAAACCATCAGTCGCGGTTTCCCTCACTTATAATGTATCTTTAGTACTACGTCAGCTACTACTACTGCTTACGTTATATATCATAAAATCAGTATGGGCTCAAGAGGGTGGAGAACGCCCTACTGTAGGAAATTAAATGAATGAATGGTGTTTTTTTTGTGTCGCAGACTTTATAATCTGTTTTCCACTGTTATTATAAAGCATACATTAAATAATTTGTTTGAGAAAATAAAATAAAAACTTTTAAATTAATGAGAACATGCAAGGAGAAGTTTTGTGAATTCGGTCTGGACAGTCTACCCGGACAGGCCGACGTGTTCTGTCGACCTGTCTCGATAGATGGTCTTGATTGTTTATCACTATCCTCATCGTTGTACAGTGGAATATTTCGGTAAGTCATTGTTTATGAGGTCTATTTCAAGTTTCACTATCAGAAATAATTATTAAAAAAACTCGTTAAAATTAATGAATAAATGATTCTTAAATCTTTGTCTTAAAAACGCCATGGCTTATATTTACGGAGAGACGATAATGTCTTCGTGTCCTCGTGTCATGCCACGAGTATGCCACCATATATTTGTGACATATAATTATTGTATACAGGTTGAAGAGACAGAACCAACGGATCCGAGATGTGCATTATTAGCTAACGGTGACGCACCTCCTCCTTCCGTTCAAACAATTGACGAAGCTGATGTGCAGCGCCCTCTACTGCCCTAAAGCGGCAGTGATTAGTAGCTTTCAATGTAGAAACCTAATTTTACCGCTGAAGTATATCGTAAACATAATTTCTTACCAACAGGTTGAAAAAATTACTAATATTATGAATAATTAATTATACCCACTAATTTAACTTCCAAGACTACTACTTTACTTTGTCTAATATATTGTCATTTTATTAATTTATAATTGCATAGAATAAATGGTAGTTTATACATATCATTACTAAACGAAGAAATAAAAAAAATATATGAGTGTCATCTCATTTTTATAATCTCTTTGCAAGGTAAAAAATAAATAAACAACGATTTTCATTTACGTAGGAGAACCTAACACATCTACCGCTATCAGTTATTAACTTCTGTATTAGACAAAATAAAGTTTTTTAGTAAACTGTATATAGTAGTGCTTAGTGTATACACTATCTTGTCAAGTAGCTAATTAGTTATTATTCACTAATAATATTGTATCTTGACATTTAATCTACTTCCGAACTAGTTATATTTTTGTAATAAAAATCCTTTTATCAATATACGTAACATAAAGCACTGGTATACAAGTTGCATAAATGTTTTCGAGTGTACTCACACCCTTATACCTAATAAGTTAATTAATGGAAGCTTATAATACTGTCCCTAATGAATACACTGCTATGTATATGTATAATGCTATATTTCTTGCTTACTTTAGCTTTTGATATGTCTATATATACAACAGACTATAGATGAAAGAACCATAGACGGTTATACTAGAGAGTAAATTTTGAATTCAATTTCAGAATATCAAAAATAAAAACAGACGGTCATTTCAGCTTCCACCTAGTTAACTTTTCTTATTTTCACTTATCTGTCATAATAAATATGTTTATTTACCTCCAATAATGTATGCATTATTAGCGAAATATTCGTGTCATCAGTGAATATAACTAGCTAAATGTAAAAATCGGTGTCATTGGTCTTCGTGAGTTATCGACACAGTAGAATATTGCAAGGCATCATAAGCTTCGACAAGATATTATGGTGCAGTCATGCGCGCGCGCGGATATGCGAATCAGTCTTACATAACATTCTGCGGATAAATCTGTTATTGTTGCCTCATCTTCGTCTCGCCATATAAGTAACGTAGCTATATTGTGATATTCATAATAGGAGTTAGCCTTATTATCATTACTAGCAATGTTAAGATGATCGCTTATTATTAGGTATCGAGTAGGTATTCATAGCATACAGATTGAAAATAAATTTATTCGCGCCGATAGGATTTACGTAAGAACGTGGCTTTTACTAATGATTCGCCTAGATTGTATAGCCTAAGTGTATGTAGAAAGTAGTTTTTAGTTAAAAAGTGCCGTAACATTAATATGTTCGTTAATATTCTTGGAGTATATTTGTTCTTACGTCCTTTATACCTTGATGCTTGAATTTTATAACTGTCTAAATTAGTTAAGTGTACAAGATGTTTTGATGGTGATACTGTAGCTATACTGTATTGAGAATTTGTATAGATATTTTATTTACGTGAAACAAATGCTCTGAAGGCCCAATGCGGGTAGTATGTGCGCTGCGACATATTTCTCTCGCGATTATAGACAAACTTATTACTATTGAATAATACCTCCTACAAAAACTAGGTCAAATACGATACAAAAAAATAGAAGAGACTTTTCTCGTAGCGTGCATGCTAGGCCGACCTGCTCTCATCCCCATCGCGAAACGGGCGCTGTAACACTTCGACATGCCCAAGAAAGTGGTTAAAAGAGGAGAGCATTTGTAAACACGCTTTTATACTCTGTAGTGATACACTATCCTGTGATTTGTTGTTAGGTACTTACTAACGTATAATTTTTTACATACTTTAGCTCAAAGAATAAGGTTTGACCTTAATAGAAAATCTGTACTGAAATTCTTATATCAATAAATAAAGCAATATCTATGGAAAAATCTTTAAGTTTTTTACTCCACAAGTGCACTAGGCGAAAGAAAAGGAATATATTATTATACTAATAATATTATAGAAGCGATTCGGAAACTTGTAGCCGCTCAAATATAAACGATCTTTGTATTTTAAAATGCATAATTTAAAAATATATATTCTAAACTTAAATTTATCGAACTCTTTGCTTCCTGTAAGCGTGGTGAAGTTTATCTTATTAGTAGTATTTTTTTTTCAAGATGAAACAAGAGATTAGCGTGAATTTATTGTTAATTCAATTTATACGCGTAGTATGAGGATAATAACTGTACTATAACGAGTACTTATCCCATCTACCTCCTCAAAACTAACTGATTAAGTTTAGAGTGCACTATGTTATGTTATTTAATAACAGTTATATCAGCTCAGTAGTACATAACTAATTAAAAAAAATTACGCCAACTACAATAATTTTAATATAAGTCAGACATTTAATAAAATCACAGTCGATATACTTAAACAGTTTTGAAGATAACACAAGTATTAGATAAGCAGTGTTTTTAGAAAAATCTTTTATTCGCCAAAAAACTAGCTTCAGCAGGTATGAACCTCGATATAAAAACCCGACTGGCTCTTTTGTTTCGAAAAAGGGGAAAGCTGAGAAGAAATGAAAGCTTTCCTTACAAAAGTTAATTTTGAACCTTAATTTGGTGAGGGCTTATATCGGAGGGTGAAGGCTTCCAGGAGCCTGCAGGTGAATCACAGCTGATGAGTGCAGGGTGTTGGCAGAAGTGTAAGTGCTGTAGGCGAGAGGGGCGGGCGCGGCGCGTATTGAGGCCACTATTTAATCGCTCCGCGGCCGCGCAACGACCTGTTGTGATCCCGCCATGGCGCGCTTCGCCCGTGTCGCTACTTTGGCCGCGTGTCTCTTGTTCGCCTGCGGTGAGTCCCAAAACTTATAATCATCCAGATCGAGTCTATTTCGCGACATTAGCGTGACACAATTAAGGTAAACAGTGCTTCGTCCAGTGCCAGTGAACAGTGTAGCGAGTCCTGATGTCGCGAGATAGACTGATAAGTTTCCAAATTATTGCAGTACATGCTCTCCTTGCATTACGATTCAAAAATGTAATCAATGCGGTGTAGTCGAGCCTGTCAAGGACAACCTGAGGCGACTATACTGACAACTATCGAACCTTATTATGCACGAGTGCCGGTGTAACTTAATTATTATTGTTAAGTAAGATTTCAATGTAAAAGAGAATTAACGTCTAGCGGCAGATCCATAAGTTTCGATAGTTAGGAACTGTAGAATCGCTTCGACACCGTAACTACAATTAAGATATTGAAATGAGGGTAGGACGCCAAATGGAGGAGTTTTCTTAAAAACACTGTTCTCGTCCCCGCATATATTGTGTATTTATTTCTAAGTAACAAATGATTAGCACTCGCTGTCTGCGTATTGTAACTACGAGAACTTTCACATTCGATGTGTTGCGTTGTGGTTACGCCTCTGACGTCACGCGCGCGGTACCTATAGTTGCAGTGGCGAGAACTGTAAAAATATCGTAAGCTAACACGTATCGCGTAGGCGAAACAGCTTTACGCAGCGCGTTACGAGCTTTCTTGATTTACCTTATGTGGGAGAACCTTTAGTCGATAAAATTCTTAACGAGTTCCAATAGTAATTGTTAAAGTATGATAATGATGAAGTTTATACTTCCCATAATTAACGACGACTCAATACTTGAGTGTTAAGTTCTTGAGTTATTTCAATAGCATAGACAATTCCATACATTTCTCATTGTTAATCGAAGTAATTGATATGCATATAACAAAGCGCTTCGTACTTATATGTCAGAAGAGCAGGGGTCAAGGTAATAACCGTCTCTCGCAGTTATCGGGACGATCCTTGGATCAATAATTACGAATATTATATATAAACCACTATCTCAGTATAGACCATGAAAAAATAAGCTCCTTTATAATAATTAGGTAATATAAAATGTTAATTGATATTTGTTTATTTGGTCAAACTAATGGTGTAGTAGGTATCCGCGAGATTAAGTATTCCTGATGAAACTGCCTTTAGGGTTGTTTTTCTAAACTTACTCAAAACGTACAATCTCTAACGTGTTAAATCTTTCGTACTTGCAAATTATTCGGATTTACGTATATTTTTGTATTTTTTTATTCGCGAGACATTGAATATTAATTCTGTTGCCATTTTTTTATTAATTTTGTACTTATAATTTAGAAATTAATTGTTTTTGTGTCGTTATTTTATTACTCGTTCATTCATTTTTTGACTTATAAAATAACTAAATGTATTATATTTTGTCAAATTACTTTAGTGATTAGACTTCTTCTTTGAATTACAAAGTATTCTATCTAAAATAATTAAAATTGCTAATGATGATAACATAAAAATATTCTAATTAATCACTTTGATTACACATTACAGTTGCCAATAATTTATCTATCTATATAGAAGCAAATCACTTATAAAATATTAGGATCTACTCAGTAATACAAAACTTATGTTATTGTATTCGTATGTGATACGAATTCGAAACTATTAACCTAATTGTGGTGTTTACTGTGGAGAACGTATCGTTTACATCCACGCCAGGTAGCCTACACAATATCACGTTACATCCATAATTACTGATAAATACTCATTTGTAGATAAAACTTGTAGTAGCATAAAATAATTACTCATTCCAACAGCCCTTCCGACTTTAACTTAATAACTAGTGAAATCCCGTTACTCCTTTGGGCCTGGAATAGACATTTCCGTCTGATTCAATAATCAATCTTATTTAAAGACAAGATAGTCAACCTTGTACCCTGGCTATTCAGAATTAAACCACCGAGAATCCAATGCAGCATGCATTTAACACAACCAATTACACCTAATAGAGAACCTACGTATTTAAAAAGCAATAAATATTTAGTCTTATACGTCGTATACGTGTATAGATAAAATGTCCCGTTACCAAAATAACGATAGCGCGTGACTATACAAGGAAAGTGAAGTAGTGTTATGTTCATATTGATGAGAATAATCTGTATGCAGGTGGCACCCTGGGGCCGGGCCAACGGCCCTGTCATTCGCGTTTCTATATTTCAACTCTGTCAAATACCTTGCCATGCATCCAAGTCTAACATTGAAAATATGCGGTCGTTATCTATCTGGATTTTTTTTACTTATTGTGAGTTGTGGGGAATACATTTATGTGTCCATTTGTCACTAATAGATTTCAATTTCAAATATAGAGTTGATCAAAATTTGTACTCCGCCCCATCGATTTTATCGTTTCCCCAGGACTCGAAATTCTCTTAACGCAATTATAGGCAACGCGTTTTACTTTTGCGCTTTAAGTTTTATACAGGTTTACGTATTATTTTATCCGATATGATAAATTAGTATTTATATTAACTATTTAATGTATTTATAATACAATCATAAATATTTATTTGCCGTTTTGAATTATTTACTCAGACACGTTTGCATTTCAATTGTATCAAATAGCCAATAGGCAAATGCAGAAATTTCTAAATAAGATTTAATGTTTGTTATTAAAAACTATGTTTATTATGCATTGTAGGTATTTAATTTTAAAACTTATACTAATGAATAACGCAAGACTAGTAAATTTAAAATTAAAACATAGTAACTATAAAACATTGCGCGTTGAAGTCTTTTCTATACAAGTACGACGTAAATCACTTTAAAGGAAAAATAAGTAGGTTATTTACATATTACTTAAACATTTGTACTTTTTATTAAGTTTTATACCTTTATGAAATTAATAAGAGATGACTATTAATTAATCGAACAGCAGAAAAAAAAATAGGGACGTAATTATGTCTCGTTACTGTCACTTGACAATATCGTGTATTGGTTTTAACTTTTATAGTATCTATTCCTAAACCAAAATAAGTAATAAAAGGCAATTTGTGATGTCTATAATTACTTAATAAGAAATTAACTAAGTGAATATTGAATAGGAAAGTATTAAACTAATATATTATAATAAGCCATGTACCACTTTATCCAAGTACCTACCACGTGGTAGATCCGGGTCAAAGAGGACAAGTTTCGTATTAATCGTTCCGGTGACAACTATTTTTTATTGCGACATCTTTTATTCATTATAAACTCGAGTAACTAATTAACCTTCTAAATCTAAAAGTAGGTTATATAATGTGCCCATCTCACATCATTAACCGAATCGAAAGATTTCTATGTAGGTGTGTATATTTCAATTCAACTAGATATTTACATTCGAGACCTAAATAACGCTCTTATGAAATTCCTTTAAACTAGTTCTCACTGAATTAGTTGGTATTGTAAACGTCTTAGATAATTTGAATATCGCAAATTATGTAACTAAGGCATTCATAAATTGATAATAAGTTGATATAATAGTTTACAAATCTCTATATAAGTTTCAACATGTGTTTAATAAACGCTTACTTTTATAAAGTTTTAAACACTGATTCATTCTTAACAAATAAGTCGTTATTTTTCTTATTTGTAAATTGATAATCGTATGTGTATAGGACACGCTCAAATTACAGCTATTTCCTGTTTTTTCTTTTATATTTTGCAAGGTTGTTTACTATGACGATTATAATTGGTGGAACTTTCAACAGGAAATGTACGGCAGTCTGTGAAATTAATTAAAACAGATTCTACTTGTTGATGTTTAGTACTTAAACTATGCTTAATAACGATGGTTACGCGAATTGCCTGGCAATTTGTTTAACGTGAGAGTTACAAGCTTCGAATCCAATGAAAACATAATACTCTTGCTAGACCATTAGCCTGTTATATTTAAATTCAAAACTTATTATGCCCCATTTAAAAAACGGGGTGTCACACGATATACTTAAATATTTATGAACCCAATTTGGGATCACAATATTGCAACCAGCATATCTGACTTGACTGTTAGCTAATAGTGATAGTATATGGCCATACTTGAAACGCTTTGGGCATAAAGCGCCAAGCAGAGGCCAAGATTCTCATAACTAGACCATTAGATAACGATGACTGTGTTTCCTCGTATTACGTTCTCTGCGCTCACGCATATAATATCGTACTCATTACAAATAGCTCGCCATCATTATTTATATGAGCGTGTCACGCATCTTCATTTATAGGATTATATAGTAATATACAAAACTATAAAATGCACTACAATTTAGAAAACGACTTACCAATATTTCCTGAATAATTAACGGTCAAGGAAGGCTGCTATTCCGTGACCTTTCGGATTATAATAATTTCGACAACCTTATACAAAGCATCAAATACCATGCATAATTTAGTACGGATTGAACTTAGAAAGAGTCGTCCTTGTCGCTTGCTTAAGCGCTGACATTTTAAATAGTCAAATGTCACTAGTGCTCACCCCACCTTTGACATTTCCATACTAGATTGCCATTTTACATCTAATCATAAAAAGTTGCATACCTATATACCTATTTTGAATGTTCGATTCGTTAACTCCGTGTTTGAATTAAAGGATCAACTGTAAAATAATCGCTATAAAGAAAATATCAAACTATTTTAAAAATCGATTAAATTTTCATTTGTTTTGTTTCAACAATCTTCACAATATATCTCTTTACATGTGTAATTTTTCTTCTGATTGTCTTTCAATCAAATAAATGATAAAATATGTTGCTTAGATGTTGCTGCTGTTAATCGGTGGCGGCGGCAGGCCGATGATGCCAAGAAAGACGACAACCTGGAGCTAGAGCTATGCAAGGACAAGGACGCTGGCGAATGGTTCCGCCTGGTGGCCGGCGAGGGCGACAACTGTCGCGACGTCATCCAGTGCACTGCCTCGGTCAGTGCAACAGCCAACTACTTTTACGCACCTTTCTTGTTTATATGGAGATATAAGAATCAATGTCAGAGAGCCATAATTAACGATTTATGCATTCAAGCATTACCATGCACTTTTAATAAAAAAAGGTTTAAGGTTTAAAGATATACTCGTAAGAATTTTTACTTATTACGAGAAATATAGTTTTTTTATAAATAATTTTAGTGTACCTCGGGCTATTTTATATAATACTGGGGTACAGTTTAAGATATGACTTATTAATTTATTTTTAAGCAAAGTTAAACTTTTCAAATCCTTGACGGTGCTAGGCTGTAAAAAAACTTTACATTCTTATGGCGGCATTTAGTTGGGTTTATTTTCATCTTTTTACGTTAAATACACAACAATAAAAGAGGTTTCTACGCAAATCTAATAATGGGTTTGCCGAAAATACATTTGTTGTTTAATTTAGTATAATGTTGCGTGGTTTAACAGGGCATACAAGCTATCCGTTGTCCAGCCGGATTATTCTTTGACATTGAAAAGCAAACGTGCGACTGGAAAGACGCCGTCAAGAACTGCAAATTGAAAAACAAAGAGCGCAAGGTGAAACCTCTTCTCTACACCGATGACCCAATTTGCCCAGACGGCGCCCTAGCTTGCGGTGACTCAAATTGTATTGAACGTGGTCTCTTCTGTAATGGAGAGAAGGACTGCGCTGATGGATCAGATGAAAATACGTGTGGTATGTTTATACCTGTTTAATTATTTTTACGTGGTAAATACAGAACTCATAAGGTGCACCAAAGCCAATATACAATTTTAAAAACAAATTTTTAACCGTTATTACTTTTTTGAAGACTATGAAGGTTTTAATCTATTTCCAAATTTAACGGTTATGTAACTTAACTATCTAGGCGGAAGGAAAGAACTCTTTGAATACAGAACCCTACTTTTAAGCGTCGAGACATAATTCTATTAAAGGTAGGTTCATAAGAAGAGAACTTCTAACCAATCGATTTCCATAAGGCTATTTTAATATAAGATAGTCTATGAAGGACGATAAGACAAAAAGTTTTCATAATAAGATAAGACATAAAGTCAATAAATGAATAAATAACCATTTAAATCAATCGTAAAAAGTGGTTCGGCGTGACGAACAACGACTCTGAAATGCCAATCACTTGGCCTAAAAAAACATCTCAATGCTATGTCGTAATAAAGTAAGTTTATATATGAGCTCGCTACTATATTTATCGGAGATGTCATGCTCATTGCCTATTTGTTAACTATGGAGGAACTATTGTCAGTCCAAACAACACATTGAGTTATACGTATTTTTATGTTGGAAATATATTCCGTAGTTGTACGGCTTCGTGGGAGCTGGTAGCACAAACGTGTGTTTTGAATTTAAATTGGCTGAATAGAATGTTTGGATTAATGTTTAATTCAGTAATACTCTTGTCGATAGTTTAAAAGGAATAAAACATTTTTAAGAAGTCTACATTAATCATAGAGTTTAGTCAATAAAATTTTCTCTTAGTTGCGAAAAACCAGTGAACTTTACAGTCAGGCAAGTGCGAGTATAATATGCAATATGCAACCGAGGTAACCGGTCATATTGTGCAATGAAATGAATTGTAACTCAACGTGCCAAAGTAAACAATATTTTAATAATGATATTTTCTCGGGCCAGACATAAACCTTTTTAGGGTTCCATACACAAGACATAGATAAATTGGGTTCTTAGTAACCAAAACTTTCACCGTTTTTTATGTCATGGGCCGCTGATAGTTAGTTCATAGATAACGTTAGCCACTTAATACAAATAATATTAATGTTTAACAAGACAACAATTCACGTAAATTTAAACGTCGTTTTAATAGATGGAATCTCTTTTTAAATAGAAATTATAATCGAGAATGTTCATCTATGTAAATAAACGTCGTCACAAAGTGAAATCAAAGTACCTGTCAATTATGCTGTTTCTGCCGAAAGACCAGACCGGCGAAAGTACACATACAAGTTTCACTATTGGTACCTACATAGTACTGTGGGAAATTCATATAATTATTAAATTCATATTAATACTATAGTCGTACGTTTGATTAAATATTACAAAACTATTTAATTATAAACGATTTTACGTGAGAAAATCTCAATCTAAATGTATTTTATCAGCGATCAAATGAAAATAAGATCTTACGCACATTTTTGTATATTGAGGTAATAAACTCAATTTTTACACAGTCTATGTAACAAGTTGTGGTAGGATAAGTTAAACAAGCATACCTTGTTGCAGATATCGACAACGACCCTAACAGGGCTCCACCATGTGATTCGTCACAATGTGTCCTGCCTGACTGCTTCTGTTCTGAAGACGGCACCGTAATCCCAGGGGATCTTCCAGCTAAGGACGTCCCCCAAATGATCACAATAACATTCGATGACGCCATCAATAACAACAATATCGAATTGTACAAAGAAATATTCAATGGAAAACGTAAAAATCCAAACGGTTGCGATATCAAGGCTACCTTCTTTATCTCCCACAAATACACAAACTACTCAGCCGTGCAAGAAACTCACAAGAAGGGACACGAAATCGCTGTTCACTCTATTACGTAAGTATCATTAAACAAGAAAGAAAACAATACCGGGGAATTTTGCCAGTTTAACAACAAAAAAAAACTATAAGGACGTTGGATATGTATACTATATTAAATTCATATGTATTTTCTATCCTCTCCGAACTTCACTATAGTTTTCGAAATGTTAACTTGACAAAGGTTGATAATTTTTTGTTACAATTTAATTCCGTTTTCACAGTCACAACGATGATGAACAATTCTGGAGCAACGCTACTGTAGATGAATGGGGAAGAGAAATGGCCGGCATGAGGCTCATTATTGAAAAATTCGCTAACATCACCGACAACAGCATTGTCGGAGTCCGAGCCCCATATCTTCGCGTCGGTGGAAACAACCAATTCACTATGATGGAAGAACAGGCATTTTTATATGACAGCACGATCACTGCTCCCCTTTCCAACCCACCTCTATGGCCCTACACTATGTACTTCCGCATGCCGCATCGTTGCCACGGCAACCTCCAAAGCTGTCCAACTAGAAGTCACGCCGTATGGGAAATGGTCATGAACGAACTGGACAGACGTGAAGACCCAACAAACGATGAATACTTGCCCGGATGCGCTATGGTTGACTCCTGTTCCAACATCCTTACAGGGGACCAATTCTATAACTTCCTTAACCACAACTTCGACAGGCATTACGACCAAAACAGGGCTCCCCTTGGTCTTTACTTCCACGCTGCCTGGTTGAAAAATAACCCTGAATTCTTAGAAGCTTTCCTATATTGGATCGATGAAATTCTTTCGACACACAACGACGTTTACTTCACGACTATGACGCAGGTCATTCAGTGGATCCAGAACCCACGCACAATTTCCGAAGCTAAAAACTTCGAGCCATGGAGGGAAAAGTGCGCAGTAGAATCGCCCCCGGCCTGTTGGGTACCCCACTCCTGCAAATTGACATCGAAGGATGTTCCCGGGGAAACTATCAACCTTCAAACGTGTGTAAGGTGTCCATCCAATTACCCATGGCTCAATGACCCCTCGGGCGATGGCCGCTACTGAAAGAGATCTCGCGCCTCCGGAGGTGCACGTTAGTCGATATAATAATTTGCAATTGACGAATTGCACGGACATAGTATTTGAGGTCATGCAAATCAATTTTGTTATCAGGGTCGAAGAATTGTCACTTTGAATATGTGTCCTTGTAATTAAACATGTACCGGGTCATAATCCCGCTCGTAGTCTAAGTACCTACCTAAATATTAAATGTAATATAGACTCACATGAATATTTAATAGATCTGTTTAAAACTTTATGTGATTTTTCTACTATAAGTCTGTTTGATAAAATTTTAAAATACAAAATATAAAAAATATTTACAATTTCATTTTATATCCCGACATACTTCCTTACCCACATATAATTTTATACCATAACACGAAAAAATTTTAAACAGTTTTCATATTTGCAAAACACGTGAATCAAAATATTTCCTATTTTAAACTCCGTTTACGTAAAGAGAATGTTATTTTTGAAAGCCAATTTAAAAAATAAGCAAGGCTTTGACCTTGTGAAATAGAATGAACGAGCACTATTTTTGAAAAAGTAATCACTGAATTTAATGATAAAATATCAAAATAGTCTCGAAACCGCATTTCAAGGAAGCTATTTGATGGGTCACGCCAACTTTTATTACGTTAAAACATCTAAATAGAACTTAAGGATTTTTTTTATCTGAATCTCGTTAAGATTTCTTAGTAAATTCTGCTTTACTATAGATTTATATTTTTCTAGATTTAGTCTTTAGTAGTTTTTTAGGCACTTTTATATATAGAAGACACGTGTCAAAACTCAGACAGTCAATTAATTTTGAAATTTGCATGTAAGATGTTTTTACAATATTCTTAATCAACATGTCATGAAGAATGATGGAGGCAAATACTAAGGTTATTGACTGTTTGTTTGCAAGATGAATATTCTCTGAAGTACTCTCGACCAAATAAGCATTTTGTATTTTGCTTTTTAGAGACAGCTATATTTAAAATGTGCCATATTTTTCCTTTTTGTTGTAGTTCTAAGCATTCTGTTGCTGTTTCGACATCTTATCTTTAAAAAAAACGTTACTTACTTAATAATAGATAAGAGAACAGTACTTCTGTCAAAATTTTTATTTTTAGAAAAAAAAAATATTATTTTGTTAAATTATACATTTATATATGTTTCAAATTCAACACTTTTTATTGTGCCATTTTATCTGTAAATATAAATTTCAAACAATTTTTATGATCATCTTAATAATTTCACAATTAACTGTCAAGAAACCGATACAGTATTATTTTCTTTTTTGTTTATTAAATTTCTACTACCCATGTCAGATTTTTTATTGCGTAAATAATTAGTCATAAACCTAATATTTATGCATAATTAAAAGTATTCTAATGATGTGAGATAAAATCAATATTTTTTTATTTAGGTCTCTTGCTTTTGTCGACTCGTTAGATCGTATTAATAATTAATTACAAACGGTCTATGATGATAATTATATACATAGATAATATTTCTCTGTACAAAAGATCTTGGTTTATAAAACTTTGTTTATTTGGATAGCTTGTATAATATCTAAGATCTTTCTCGCAAAAAGTTACAGCAACCGGGTGAGATTTTATCCCTGAGAATTTTTTACTCTAAAAGATTGTTGACACATCATAACACTACGAAACATATACGCAATAATAAGACAATAGGCTCTAGCGCCGACGCTTTCCACCCTCATCTCTCGATGACGATAGTGGGTGTGTTGTAAGTTACATATCATCGCCTTCAATCTGCTCATATGCATACTATAAGCAAAACAATATAACTTTCCAATTGATTTTGCAATGTGTGAATTGAAACGAAAATAAGGATGTAAGTAAAATCAACGTATAGTTAGCGACGTGCATAAAAATAAATAGAAAACGACAATACTTCGACCACCAGCACTGAATATATCCGAAGATCTCTGTATAGCCTTTGATAGTGAAAGCAGTGAAAGTCAAAAGCGTAGGTTCAGTTTTACTGGGCAATGCATTTTGATTAGCGTTTCTGTTTAGTATAATATATTAATTAACTATTACTAGTCTATCATCGATTATATTTTGCCCTTAACCATCATCGGTTTTCTGTTTTAGATTTTGTTACGTTAATTACTTTCAATAGTTTATTTAATCATATTAATCAATAATTAAGTTTTCGACCTTAAAAGTATTTTTTTTACTAAACAATGCAAAGCCGTTTTGCCAAACTATCATCTAACACTTTCAATCGTCTTCTCTTCGCATCGTATTCGTGTTCTGAACTTTCTGTTTGCTTTTACAAATATCTCACTTTTGTCACTGATTATTGAATTTTTTCAAATGAGATATGTGGATTTTATCATTTTGAATGTACCACTGTTTAAAAATTGAGTTGACCCGAGAAATAGAAAAAAATATCGTTTAAAAATATGACAACATGATAATAATAATAAACATAGATAATATTACAATTATTTTATACATCTATAAGTGATATCTATATCTTTCCGATGATGTGAAACAATAAGGAAAATTATTATAAAGCTTACGTCAAAGCGCCGTACCCTTTATTGACTACTTATAATTATTTCTTCGAAACAACGTTACTTAAATGAGTGATTCGCTGAAATTGTGGTTGAAATTTGCTTTTTAAATACGCTTTTAAATGATCCTACTAAAATTTACGGAACATAAACAACTGAAGAACAATAAAACACTAACAATAATTCGCTTTCACTTACAACATTATAAACTTAATAAATTTTAAGATTTAAACTTAATAAATTTTTTAATTGAAATTAGTTTATGCTTTTGTAGTGTGTACATTACTTTCGTTGTTTAAACATATATCATTGGTAAATTTAACTAAACAGTATATATAATTGCTAAGAGGATAAAGGTACATAACTGACAACGAGATAGACGTAGGTATGCGTGCATTGTCGCAAGTGAAAGGAAATATCTTGAAGGATCCTTGACTCTTGCGCGCCTACACGCCGCGCCGAGTCTTCGTCACTACATTTGCTTTAAAATGTTGTACTTACTCACTGAGCGCATCTTGATTACGCTGTATTATATTCCATTGCAAGTTATTCTTACTGTGGCCCTCAAGGATATTGTTATCCTGGCCTTAGTGAATCATTGAAGAATTCTTTAAGCTTTATTTACTTACGTGTTATTAGTCTACATTAAGAGGCGATATTGAAAGGGGCTCTGAGTTCGATCCTTTAAAAGCACTTTTAGTTGTCTATCGCAGTCTGAACAAAGTCGAAAATTGGCCATACATATAAAGCAATATTTTTTAAATATATACTAAAAAGGATTGTAGTTGTTATACATAAAAGCGAATAGTTCAATTATTCATTATCTATATAAGACTTTTTGTAAAAGGTCTTCAAGATTTGATTTCCGTCAGTAAATTTACATATACTATAATACCTAGTACTCATGGATTTCTCGTTTACTTCCGGGCTTACTATGGATACTTAATTCCTGTTCTATCAACATTCAATAATACTACCATATCGAGTATGCTTGTTTTTCTGCAATCTAGTCTACATTTTTAAAATAAAATATTTTGAACAGCATAAATGATGCTATAATCTTTGAAAAATCTTAGTGCGTTCCAAGCTATCTTTGTGGCCTAGTACCTACCTAGTTTACACTTTCACGCGATCTGTTGTGTAACATATTCGAAGATTTAACATTTAAACTATCGGTTGCTAGTTTTTATGCAGTTGTTACGTGCATATGAATATATTCGACCTGGATACCTGACCTAATAACATAGGTACCTGTTTTGGTGTAGGCATTATTTTATTTTATTGCAAAAATCTGATTATGCGATGTTTTTGTTAATCTATTCATGTCATAAGCCATTCCGATTGACCTTTATCTGCTCGGCTGGAGACTAATAATTATACATTTATTTTCAAACTGCTACCTAAAACATTTACTGTAAATATAAATGGCTCATATTAAAAAAACAATACGATGTTACAATTTTTCGTTACAACTTCCTAAATGCATAGTAAATGTGTCCATATTTATAAGGTGTAATATCAGTAATCGATTTAAGATATTGTTTTGTGGCGTTTTGATGTGGAGCGCGTTGATGTCTTTTGTGCGGTAGAAGAAGAGCGCTGGAAATTTTTAATTTAGGTCATCTATTATGTTACGAGTAGGCGATATTCATATTTTGATTCATTAAATTATTATTAAATCCTACGCTTTTTGAAATGTCTCTTTCAAACTTTATTACTTATCATCGATCTATGTCAATCAAACTGATTGTATCTTTTAATAACAAACGAGGATGCGTTGGGGTGGAGTACATTATATTATTTTTTGTTTTTATATGTAAATAGAACTTAATATAAAATAACAATTTCTTTCTGGATTTTCGATCTTTTACCATAGTATATATTCACTTAAAATTACTTACATCTCCCGAACACCTCTATTGGCAAATACTGTATTGTTTTAACGGGTCTAATCGCTCTAGAGGATGACGACCCCGTTACAAAAAGATGCTTTAAAAAATAATATTATTTCTACCATAAGCCATACAAAGATAGGATAAGCGGAGGATTTTAATCAACCAATTACGATAATCACATATACAAACACTCGTGATACAGAAGTTTGAAATAAGAAAATTTCATACATTTTTCCTTTTTAAACTTCGTGATCATCTAGAAATCGTTTACTTGGCTAAGCCTACTAATCTCTTGGGTACATTATCATTCACGTGCCTTTTTTAAAACACGTGAATATTAAAACTCTTAAGTGTTTAATTTGAAAGGGTCAAATGTCAGATCGTCTCGCCAGTAACTACCTCCTCGCCACGTCGCGACGGACGGGCCGAGGTACTCGCGTCTTACATAACTCGATCCACCCGGATATTGACGCAAGGCCACATATCTCGCTAAAACTTAAGTTATCAGGCATACAATTCGCTAACACACAAAGGTATTTTCATTTTTTTTAATTCCACCCCCTTACTATATTTATATTACGTTATTTGTAAATAAGAAAAATACTTGGATATTAAAAAATATTTAATGTACTTTAAACCGCAATAATGAAGGATAAATAAAGGCTGATCGATTGCGGTTCATATTTGCAATAGGTTATACAACCAACGCAACTGCCACGTTGATCTAGTGGTGAGCGCAGTCAGTACAGATGCCCAGGTTCAAATCCTGGGTGCCTCAGTAAATACGTTAAATCCTTTGTTATTACAAATCATTTAATGGCGGTAGTGGTTCAAACTCGTTAGCCCGCACTCAAGTAGGTTGGTTGGCTTCGTGTTCTTAAAACCCGTAACTCACTATGTGAAACGAGACCTAAACCAAGTAGTGGAAAATTAATAGTGACAACAAAAAAATAATCTCAACTTCCATAGGTAGGCCCAAATTTTATTTACAAATCACATTACGTACAGTTATGATGTCTATATAGAAGTGGAACACTTTTGCAAATGATATAATCATTATTATAATTATATTCTAACGTCCTTCAATCGTTAATTAAAACAGTTATGCAAAATTATTTTTTCGAAGATTCTCTCCACCTTTACGTGACATTGACATAAATTTTAAAATAACTGGTTCGTATGATAATCGAAAGTGAACCTCCTTTGTCGGATTTAAAAAATGCAAGAAGGATCATCATATATGTTAATTTATTTTAGAATATTACATATTATTGTGAAATTAAAGAACATGTTATTATAATATTTGTCCATTGCAGTGGACAGGAGATAATCATGTGACTCGGGGAAACTAAATCATGCGGAAATCTTACTTTAAAATAACTCATAGCTTTTTACTAAAACTATTTTAATATATTTAAGTCAATACTATTACATTCACCAGTTCATATGGTATTTTATTATTTAATATAAAAATTTATTGAATAAGTAAGGCGCATATTAAACTAGTGAAGTTTTTCAAAGCAATTATTGAATGTAGCCGATGACAATCTAATAATAATGTCACCGTGTGCTTATTAAAAGCTTCGAGTGGAGAGTGACAACGTATAGTATCGGCAGGCATAGTGCGTAGAGGACGGGTGGAGTGTATCGGCTGGTGTCGAGCACGGGCTGGTTATATAAATAGGCGAAGAGGGGCAACTGGCACCTCTTGCACTTTCTTGCGGAGCCCGACGCAACGGCCAGTCTCCGCCGAGCGCTATGGCTCGATACGCGTACATCTGTGTTGGTGTGCTATTACTCGCCTACTCCGGTGAGTACTTTTCCTATCTTATTTATACCAGTCAAAATATTGACACAATAATTAGCAATACATTACGACTAACAATATCCAATTAGATTAGTAAGGATTAAAGTAAGCAGTAACGGTTATTATTTTAAAAAATAGAAGAACATTTTTGCGGATACCAACTAAGTAAGGTCTTTTACGCGTTGCTTAATATTTTTTTGCAATAGTGTAATTTAAAAAATGGCTACATAGACGTCCATTTTCATAGCTGGTCAGATTGCGAATGATATACCGGTTATCTACGTGGCCAGTATTGACCTCGATTTCTTTTCAACTTTTGCCTTTCAATGCCGACGTCAGCTTTCGGAATATGCAATATTTATAATAATAATTACTAAAATTATGTGATTAATTAATATGTAAAAGGACTCGTTCGCACTGCGAATTGGACGTCCTAAACGTAGAATCAAGCGCAGACGATTCGGCTGCAATAATAAATTCGTGCTACGAAAGTCCATACCGAATCGAAACGGTACTACATTCCTACCCGTGTGTGGTAATCGGGGCTTACGTTAAACTGTTACTCAACATAGCTCTCGGCTTGTATAATATTACACACCTTATTTGCTAAAGGAAAGATAAAAAATTGTAAACAATTGTAAAGACGAAAAGTCCCACGCTCCTATTAGATTACTAGCGATTGCAAGAATACAGAGTTGTGGGTACTGCTTAAGTGTGCGTAATTATTACAGACATTTAAATAATAAAATTTTCTAGTGACCAGCGAACGGGTAAAGCGACAAGATGAAGACGGTGGAGATGAAGTAAATCCGGAACAACTCTGCGACGGACGCCCCCCGGACGAATACTTCCGTCTAAGCACAGACGGGGATTGCCGCGATGTCGTCAGGTCAGTCATTTTTGAAATCGTACGTATTGGTATATTTCAGGAGTTGGTAAAACTTACACAAGGCCATTTTAAATCGTTGATTTATATGCGTCATTAGATATTCAAGAACTTGATATTCCAGCCAGTGAACGGAGCGGTCAACAGCGTGCCTTGAATCTAATCATTAATATAGTATAGCCTGTATGGTACAATGATAATGAGTCGTGGGTATACTTTTGTCTACAATGAAATTAATAATGGTTAATCATTTCTTTGGTAACACCGGAACTTGTGACTGTTTTTTCGAAAAGAGGAAAAGCTATTTAAAATTATTAATACCGATTTCATTCTCAATTTTTTTGCGCATTTAACCTTTAAACGTAAGTTTTTTTCTTCATCATTGAAAGGCTCTATTGAAAAACAAACACTAATGATTTCTACGCTGCTACTGTAAAAAATATTTTATTTCATTGAAAGTGACTGTGTTACGTAAACTTGGCCCTAATACGCATTGAACTTTCTCCACGACTCCGTGATTATTAGCTACAAAGTTAATCATTTTTTTTAAACAGGTATCACAGTAGCGCATTTTAATAGTTGTTTAATTTCTATTGACTTTACTTTTCAATTGCAATCGAAGAGTTCTGCACACTATACCTAACGAAATGTTGAAGATCTGGCTGTGTACAGGTGCGACAAAGGTGCTGAAAATGGAGTGACCAGACTGGCATCAGTGAGGTGCCCCGGCGGGTTGGGTTTCGATATCGACCGTCAAACCTGTGACTGGAAAACGAATGTTAAGAATTGCGATAAACTAGAAAGTAAGTTTCGTAGAATGCGGGAAGTGTTCGAGCTAAGGGCTAACTTCCGTCTACCCCCGGAAGGGGACCGGTTAGCCTTTTGTGCGAGCGCTTCCGCCCTGCCCTTGCGTGTAATAATCGTGTATTTCTCATTAATACAGGTGCACTAGGTCAGGTCTTAAACAGATCACTTGCCCCTCGGGACTGGCTTTCGATCTCGATAAACAGACCTGCGACTGGAAGGGTAAAGTGAACAACTGTGACAAACTCGAGAGTAAGTGGCGACAAGTTATACGCGAGTAGCGAGCTTGGGTGAAGGGGCCGTGTCGCACAGTACTCGTAGATTTGATTTGCATGAGGCCCCGGACAAAGGAACGTCCCTCAACCGGACCTTTGGCTACACAGCGGAATCGATTGATTTTGCCATACTTATACACTAATCCTGCTCGACTTATTTTTGAATAGTTTTACACACCTTTGATATTGTTCGCCACAAAATAATATGTGGTTTATACACACTTTCGTAAATATTAAAGCACCTTATCAACAGATTATGTATTCTTCAAACAATACAGACTCATTTTTTCAAATTCACTATGATTCACCCGTTTTCTATGACCACCAATCTTCTGCGCTTACGCTTAAACAGTTCATTCTACTAACATTGTTCTTTGGACTTCACACTATGAAACCTAAGCAATTACATCAAACGCTGTATCATACACTTTGGCTTCTAAATAAACTTTTACTAATTAAACCACGCTTTAAATAACTTGACACTTCTTTTTAGATGGTGTTTGGTATGTGTAAATACACATTTTTCAAAATTTTACTTCTTCATATACTTTTGTACCAGGTTTCAAATACGAATAATAGTTAAGAAAATAAAGAATATCTATATATAGTTTGTGCAACTGTCTCTTCAGATTTCGATTAAACTGGTTTGTGTGATAATTCATTTACCATCCATTTGTCTTTTCATTAATATACTAAGTACAAAGCCGTTTGTTCCACATCCTCTCTGAACTTTATTTTCTATTATCTCAGCTTCTCAAGTGACTAATATTCGTTTTATTCCATAAACTCTTATTTCTGTTCTTGATAAACTGAAAAATAATGTTTCTTTTTAATACTTTCTCGTCTCATCATCCTTCACGCTTTGTACCTGAAATGTCGACTGTGTTACTGCCAACTCAACACACATTCTTACACAAATTATTATGTATTAGCCCCCGCCCCTAGCCCTCCTTCACTAAAATCATAATAATGATAATCAATGTGAGTAACATATGTTTACAGAACCAAGAAAAGTGCTGCCAATTTTGAAGACAGATGAGCCAATCTGCCCAGAAGGTAAACTAGCTTGCGGCAGTGGTGACTGTATGGAAAGACAACTGTTCTGTAACGGAAAGCCTGATTGCAAAGATGAATCCGATGAGAATGCTTGCAGTGAGTATTGTATTAATATATCACAAGTAAAAACCCACCCGAAACATCTTGCGTACTTTATAAAGCGGACTGTATTAATTCAACTATTAATAAACCATCCTTTCCCGACCTTGAATATTCATCCCTGTCGTAAACTACAGCCACAACTTACCTTTTAAAATCTTTAACCAATATATATGTATATATAATATGAAACATAACCTGGTACTTTCCTTGATTTTAATATTGTTATGTGTTCTAGCCGTGGACGTGGATCCCAACAGAGCACCCGACTGCGATCCTAACCAATGTGTACTGCCTGACTGTTTCTGCTCCGCTGATGGAACTCGGATCCCTGGAGGTTTCGAAATTAACCAAGTACCCCAGATGATAACCATCACTTTCAACGGCGCCGTGAACGTTGACAATATCGATTTATACGAGCAAATATTCAACGGAAACAGACAAAATCCTAATGGATGTCAAATCCGGGGTACCTTCTTTGTCTCTCACAAATACACTAACTACGCTGCAGTACAGGAACTACACCGTAAGGGACATGAGATTGCTGTATTCTCGATCACACACAAGGACGACCCACAATACTGGACTAGCGGTACTTACGACGACTGGTTGGCGGAGATGGCTGGCGCTCGTCTCATTGTTGAAAGATTCGCCAATATTACTGACGCCTCAATTATTGGAGTCCGCGCTCCTTATCTCCGAGTCGGTGGTAACAAGCAATTTGAGATGATGGCCGACCAATACTTTGTATACGACGCTTCCATCACAGCTCCCCTCGGTCGCGTCCCGATTTGGCCTTACACTCTCTACTTCCGTATGCCACACAAGTGCAACGGCAACGCCCACAACTGTCCCTCTAGAAGCCACCCAGTTTGGGAAATGGTGATGAACGAATTGGACAGACGTGACGACCCAACATTCGACGAGTCTCTGCCTGGTTGTCATGTGGTCGATTCTTGCTCAAACATTCAGACCGGTGAGCAGTTCGGTCGTCTCCTCCGTCACAACTTCAACCGCCACTACTTGACCAACCGTGCCCCACTCGGTCTACACTTCCACGCCTCTTGGCTCAAATCCAAAAAGGAATTCAGAGACGAGCTTATCAAATTCATCGAGGACATGCTGGGCAAGAGCGACGTATACTTCACTTCCATGATTCAGGTCATCCAATGGATGCAAAACCCTACTGAATTAACAGCATTAAGAGACTTCCAGGATTGGAAACAGGACAAATGCGACGTCAAGGGTCAACCGTTCTGCTCTCTGCCAAACGCGTGCCCGCTAACCACTCGCGAGTTACCAGGGGAAACCTTACGTTTGTTTACATGTATGGAGTGTCCGAACAACTACCCGTGGATTTTGGACCCCACGGGAGAAGGTTTCAACGTAAAGAAGTGATCTCTTAAGTTAAACTTAGAAAAGACTGTACACATGTAAATAATACTCAATAATTTTATTAAATAAAATTTAAAGTGACTTGTGTGACGACAAGCACTATACCTGAGCGACGTAAATAGAAACGAATATTGTTGTCAATAAAATTGCCTGCCTATTTAAAAGAGCTCGGAGGTAGTGTTAGATCTAATAGGTATTTAATGTCACTTTGCTGGAGACAGATGAATTTATGTATGTTTCACTAAATATAGGTTGTTACAATTTTATGAATAAAATATGTATAATACAAAATTAAATTACAGGTATATTTTTTCCCCTTATCCTACCTATTGTGATTAGGAAAGATGAGACAAAATAAAATATTTTTTTTTTCATTAATATAATTTAATGGTACAAAACAAAGAAGTAATCACATTAGCATAAGCCCAAAAGCAATGAAAACAGAATGGTAACATATATTCCTACCGACCTTCATCAGTTTCTAGGTATTTTTGGTATTTATAATATCTTTATCCGACATGAATTATACAGCACATAATCAGCAGTGCTGAATCGTAAAACGTACAAATTATTTAATGTAATATACTAACAAATACGCTAATTAAATAGTTTTTGTATTTTATTTTGTCATTAATATTAAAAATAACTTTAACGGTAAATAATACTAGAAATATCACATTAACGGAATTCGTAGTACGAGAGTGAACACTATTCACTGATGTTTTAAAGTATATTAAAATATGACTATCGAAATAAATCAAACACAAACATAACAAAAGATTTATCCAACTCAAAACAAAATAAGTTACAGCGTACGAATTAAACGCAATTTATACAAATAGTTATGCTTTTCTTACATTTAAAAATAATCGTCAGGAGAAGCATTAATTACGTTATGTAAAGTAAAATGAAGTTTATGAATAACTGAGATTGGTATACGAGTAGGTATTAAACGGAACACATATGTAAGTAGGATGGTTTCTAAATAAATTATCTAAGTAAATTTTAGAGGGGCACGTTAGAGGGGTTACCGAACGTTCCAGAATTTTATGAAGTCAGACTTTCATTCGTGCAAAGAAAATATGACAACGACGAGCAGTCCGCCAATGAAGCCTTGATAAAAAACTACGTAAGCTACTATGTATTATATTTACTAATGCGTGTGTATGTGCCTTAACCAGTCGCAATATATAGAGGAATTTCGTTGGTTAACTATTGCTCTGCGCAATTAATATTGCGACTGCACAAGCAATTACTGCTATTAGAAATATTCCTTTCCGCTTAAGCAAATACATTTAGATTTTTCGAAAACTGAGCATCGTCGTCCAGCGTCTTGCCTGATAGTGAATCGGACATACCCAGGTCGTCGGACTGGCCGTCTTGCGTGTTTCTGTTAATTGCAAAAGATTGTTTTAATATTTGTTGAGATCACAGACCGTAAAACATAAAACTGTATTATTCCATATATAATTAATTATACTATTGCTATCTAATATTTATTATATGATAAATGGCTAAAGCCTGTTGTCGTGTTAAAGATAGTGATGTTGTAGTTTTTGGGTTCCGTGCGATAATAATTATAAAATGCCTGTACCCCAGGGGCTGGAACTTATATTTTTATAAATAATTCATTATTGATATCGGTAGCAACAAATGCTAAAAAAACATAAAATTAATATTTAAGTAAATCCACACCTTTCTTATGCTTGGAACTTGAAATATGCATTGAAGATTAAATACTTAATTGCTTCTCACATCATTAATTAAAACAGCTTGCAATATTGATGCTGCATATTAACGGTTCAAGACAATAGTACGGAACACTTCGTGCGCGAAACGAATTCGCACCTGGCATATTTTTTAATAAATACATCTCAAACCTTTCTAAAAGATCATTTACTCACCGACTATTAGCTCTATTGTAGTCTTCGCCCGAAAAGCTATCAGTGTCGTCGTTAAGTGAAGCTTGTGAATCTAAAAAAGAGTAAAATTCGTGCTTCGAGGATTATAAAGATTTATGATTTCTTTTGAGTACAGAAAACGACGCCTGCTTATAAATACCAGTGGGAGAGGGGTATAAGGGGCGGGACAGGGAGGGGGCCTGTTGCCATCTTAAGTCAAAAGATAATATGTATGGCTTTCATGTGAATAATTTTGACATGTCACGAATTAAACATAAGTACTTTATATTTGAAAGCTTTCTGTGCTGCGCACGTATGCTATTAAACATGATGGCACATAATCTATATAGTGGCAATCATGTTTAATTGCATACCAGAGGTGATGTGTTGTTAATACATATTAATAGGATAAAAAAATACTATGACCTATAGGATACATTAGCTCAACTGATTAGAGCAACACTATGTATCGTATTTTTTTTTCAATTTACAATCGATGTAGGATTAAAGGATACCTGAAGTTGTGAGGCGGTGTGTGGTTAAATACTCTGCAGAGAGATACGGCGGCAAGTCGTCTGCCGCATCGCCGGCACCGCCTTCAGCTCCCAATGTCTCAACTACAGACAGCCACTGCCCATTGTGACATCGGAATCTCTCAACCTATGAGAAAAAATGATATATCGTTTCCGATTTCTCTTTTGTATAGGAATAAATATTTCTTAACAATATGTGTTTATAATTTCTAGACTTAAATATTAAAGTAGCTTTTTAAGTAATTGTTTTACATTCTAAAATGGTTCTCCTCAGTGAATATTGGTGACATGAATCATCTTCATGGTTATATGACGCGTTAATAATTTTTTAATGTAATAATCATATTTTAGAATTTAGCACTAAATATTTGTAATATCTTTATCCTATATGAATTATACAGCACATGAACAGCGGTGCTGAATTGTAAAACGTACAAATAATTTAATGTACTCACAAATAATTTGTATTTTATTTTGTGATTTATATTAATACGTAATGTATAAAGGGATCTAAAACCGAATATATAATACGTAGTACCGTATATTAAAGAAGTATAAAATAATAATATATATTCATTATTATCAGCTTTTTAGGGTCTACTGTAATAATTATGACAACCTTTTTACCATATACAATCTTCATTTCATTAGTGCCTTGAGTTAAAATATTTTTGCCGTTACTTACCCAGGATTAAGTGATATATATATGTTGAAAATGACATAATAAGTAGTTAGTTTTCTAAGACGTGTTTACCTTGATCCTCGTGGCCCATTCGTTCTGCATTTGGGATATAATATCGAGGCAGGAGTCGCACATTTTTCTTATCTCAACATTCTTATCTTGCATAAGATCAATGAGGTAAGCTGGCGCCTCTGCAAGAAATCATGGCGTTTAAAGATCTTATTATTTACATTAAAAATCGTTAAATAATAAGCTGTAAAATTACATTCAAATCGTTGTAGATTACAGTCGAATACATAAAAAATTTATAAAATTTAAACGATGACACTTTAAAGTGTTTCGTCCATCAACGAAAGCCTGAATGTATATCTTATTCTTTTAAATAAAACAGTTTTATGGTTAAAAACGCGATATATTTTAGTTAAACGTGTTAGTTGAACTAAAATATATATAGGGTTTTGAAACCGTTAAAATGTTTTATTTAAATGTGTACTACTCGCGTAAACTACATACAGTATCTTATTCTTTGTTTAATTTCTATATATTATGATCATTATTTTATAATCGTTTTATTATTGAACCAATTAATTAAATCGTGCAATATATAAAAAATGTGTCTTTCAATAGAATACACGTCTTAATCTTAATGAATGTTACGTGTGTTACTATAATATACGTAAATAGCCATCTTTTAATTATCATATATCCCGAGTACTTATGACGGAGTAAGTTATGGTTGTAAGTATTACCCGTGTTGGCGACAAGATGCTCAGCAGCTCGCGGATGTGACAGCATTTGCCGGAACGCAAACACCGTCTGTAGTACGTGCTCATCGTCTGCCTAAAAAAATCACCTCAATGGGTAACAACAACAAGATGGCTTAATCTGTAGTACACACATATAACTACTTTAAACAAGGACGCTGGAGCAGTGGGAGACCTTGGCTCAACAGTGGATGCAACCAGCACTAGCAGCACATTAAAAAAGTTTTTTCTGCTAAAAAAAATTTACTACAGAACGATTAGGCTGGTTTGGAATCTAAAAAACATGTTCCTAGGGCTCCCTCAATACACCATACAGGGCTGGTGGTGTGGTTAGTTAGTTAGTTTGCCATTTTTCACACTCCCCACGCCACTATTGCCCGACGTGGGCGTGCATTAGGCATTCATAGCATCAGTTAAAAAAAGGATGGTTAAGACATATAATTTAGTGTGCAAATAAATGTGAATGTTATAAAAACCTGTCGGTGACGTAGGGATGCAACTAACGCGTGTCCGCCTCCCGCCCCGGCTAGGGCAGACGCGCACCGCTCTTCGACGCAAATCGCTCCCGCCAACACCACTCCAGCTAGCACCACTTCACCATCGCACTTCTCACCTTTGATCATAAATAATTATCATTCGGTAACACTTAACTAGTAACAGTTTATATATTTAAATAAAACACTTCAACGTTTTAAAGCGCGATTTATATTAGTTCAATTTTATTTAAATTTTCGTCTTGACCAGGCTGCTGAAAAGCATCAGAAACGTCGGGCCTTAGTTAAAACGGTTTCAAACAAGTTTAATTAATGTACATATCGATTTTAAACCGTTAACGCTTTAAATGTGTACTACTCGCGAAAACTACAGTGTTTAGTTACAGTTTATATTAACAAAAGCGATGCAAGGTCCAAGGCGTGATGAACCTTTAACTTAGCTTTGTCTGTCAATTAATAATTGATATTCGCCTCAATTATTGATACAGTTATATATGTCTATAAATGCGTCACAGTGTAAAATACATGTATTGATTCCTTTATTATATTTAATTTAGAAGAAAACATATATTATTTCGGCCTAATAATTACTACAAAAATATATATGTTTAGATTAAGTTTAGTTTAGTAGTTAAAATGATAACTCAACATACTATACACTAAGCACTTCTCAAAATTAAATATTTTATAATTAGTTAATAAAAAAAAATTGAGCTTAGTAAAATTAAAATGCTGTTAATGTAAAAATGGAACACCACACATACCTGGGTCCAACACCTTCATAATATATGGGATCAGGTTATATCTTTCGACGACAGCAAAGACGTCTATGTTGTTGTTCGGATTCAGTATGTTGCTCAGCGTCCCAAGGCATTCGATAACGAACTCCTCTGGAGCTTCGCCACTCGTGATCGCCCCGGATAAATCTCCTACAAACTCCTATGAACAAAGTAAAATAAAGAGGTGGTATATTATAAATAATTACTTAATTATACTTCTTCGATATAAATCGCGGCTATTTCACAAAAAAAATATTATTATGTCGTTATCTCGCATCCCAGAGTTAAAAGGACGTTTCACACGTAACGCAATGCTAGGCAACAAATTTACAGCTGATCTATCGAGGCAGTCAATTCCATGTATTAAACAACTAGCTGTGCCAGCGACTTCGTCCGCATCCAAGCACAAGCAACGGAAATCTTCAAAGATGAATATTTTTGCACATCGTCTCTTCGCTCCTATTGATCGCAGATGTTTTATAGCCTTTTTCGATAAATGCTCCAACCAACACAAAATCATTTTTTAATTTCATCCAATAGTTCCCGAGATTAGCGAGTTCAAACAAACGAACTCTTCAGCTTTATATTTATATATTAGTATAGGTTACCACAAAGAGAAGTTTGTTCTGTCCGTGGTGCGACAGATTCCTGACTAGCTTCATCAGCATCGCGTTGCGGTGTCTAAATGCCCTCGCGAGAATTTCCCGCAGTCTCCCCTCGGAGGTCATCTGTTGAGCAGCGCGCTCGTTCCAAGCGAGGTTGACGCACAGCGCTAGCAGCACATCGGTTGTCCCCGGGCCCGCTTCCCCGCTCATATCACTGTTTACGTTTAACAGCAACATGTCTGTCAGCTGCAAAAATGATAAATCATATAATCCGTTTACTCACTCGTTTCATTTGATATAGAACGACCAATGATTGGCATAGAAACTTTACTTTTCCTTTTAAATTACGTCTTTGGTGTGTGAAGGAGGGTAGTTTAATATTTTTTGATATCTCTTTTAAGAGATAAAATACTTTTTTAAATTATAAAAAACATAAACACAGAAAGATCCGTAATAAACCAGTTTGTACTCGCGCCTATATAATGACGTACTTATAATTCCTCACCAGTTTCACACAATCCGACTGCGTAAACAGCACCTTAACACGGTCATCCATACTTAGGTGATACAATATTTTCATAGCCAATGTTATTTGTTTATCATCACCTAAAATGTAAATATACATAATTAATTTTATCAACGCAAAAAAAAATAGGTTTAGAATTTCTTGAAACGGCATTTTAGGGCAGTAATGGAATAATTAAACTCACTTGTAAACTGAATAAATTTCGGTAACATATTCAACTTTATCATTTTGTTCCGTAACTTAGTGTCAAAGGTCAGATTAAACAAAAGCTTTAAAGTGACATTGACCAAGTCTGGATTAGGCGAATCTAAAAGTGGAGCTAGCTTTTCAATAATCCCCTTTGTACCCATGGAGGTTTTATTCTCAATAAAAATCGAAAGTTTTTGTAGAAATGAAACAATCAAAATCAGCAAATCTATATTGGAATGTCTTTCCATTGCACCAATGAGCAGGCCAACAATGTCTTTCTTATGCATTTTCTCCTCCACTTTAACATTGTCTGCGATATTAAGCAGCATATAAAACGCCACACGTAAAAGTTGCTCCTGTCTTTTTGATAAAGCTTTAAGTTTTCTCTTCAGTTGCTCCTCATCATTTTTAGACAAAAGTTCATCAGATGCGTTACATAAATCTTCATGGTAGCTAGATACTAATGACCTAGCTTTTTGTAGATTTACATCAGCTACTGCCCATGTGCCAGACTTAGGACGCCGTTTAGGTTCTGGTATGCGACTTTTAGGTATTTCATTCTTAAATAAAAATAAAAAGATGTAGTTTAAACAAACATTTTCATAAAATAAAAGCTGAAAATTTGTTAAAGTTAATTCTATTATTAATAATGTACAGTGACAGCCCCTTATTTCTTCCGTTCCTTCATTCAAGGTTTTACTATTCAAGGACCTACTAGAAAAAAAAAATCTAGTAGATTAACATTTGATTAACACTGACTTACTGCATATTCTTATACTATTGTTAGCTTACTTATAATCAGTAATGGAAATGGAGAGAAGCACTTTCAAATGCTCTTTCATAAACGGTCTGATATAAAAAATTATAGGCAGCATAGTTCTTTAGAAATTAGTAAAAATTGCATCTTATGCCTTAGGTAGAATCATACACTATGATATACACAGCGTTAATAAAACAACAGTCTAATCTGGATATTAATTAGGTGGCAGGAAAATCAAATAGCTTCCATCAAGGGAATTGTGTTGAAAAAAGATCTTAGGTCTAAGTTATTTTAACAAGTACCTTATCTGGAGTAAGTGCTGTTTTCTTTCCATCTACTTTTTCCTTCCACTGATCATAACGCTTTAGCTCATAATCTATTACATCCATACAAAGTGAGCCAATTTTGTACTGAATTATAACAGAATGGAATTCAATATATGTTGAAAAACAAAAAAAGGTGTAAACTATATTTGTGCTTAATTCAATGCTCCGTTTCCATTCCTCTCTCAAAACACGGGATAGAGCACTCAACAATGCCTCTAAAATATAAATAAACATGTTTTATTGATGATATTTAACCCTAACACAACCAAGGCTGAGACTATATGCAAATAAAACACAATATTTTAGCTAATATAGTTATATGTAAAAGAATATCACTAGAATAGCAAGGTGTATAAATTTCCTATAATCCTAAATAATTTCATATGTTTTATTTTGATATTCATTAAAAAAATATTGCTTCAATAATAAATTACTAATCGATAACAATTGTAGAAGGGAAAAATATTTTCCTTGAGCTTAAAAGATAGAGTGAGTTAGATAAACCACATCAATTCAAATGTGAAGTAATACTTAAGTAAATAGTAATGTACAGCAAAAATATATTCATTTACTTACCATTTCTAGCCAGTTCTATTAAGTTTTCAGGATTTCTAGCAAGCTGTAAAATCAAGGCTGAGCCTTTAATTTTTTCAGGAATATCATCATACAATAATTCAACATATTCGTCTATGTGATTCAATATTGCAATTGGCACACTTTCAACAGGACTCATAGCTTTCAAACTGAAAGAAAATTGTTATTATAATTTGATAAAGATTTGTGTACACATTAATCTTATTTTGGCACAAGGCTGTTTACATTTGATGAAATAATTACTAACACCTAGGCAAGTTTAGTTAAGTACATGTTACTAAGATTTTTATTATGATGAAAAAGTATTTAACTTACATGTTGTGTTTATTAAAGAGGGCGTAAAAATATATTAAAATTTAAAATGTATTCATTTGTCAAGAATTAAAACATTCGCACACCAAAGAATATATTCAATACCAAGTACTCATAAATTATATGCTTATAATCTATTACTAAACACTAGTACGAACTCAACTGACAGCACTACATGGCAGTCTACAGAGCACCATTTACTCTGTACACTGCTATGTAGTGCTGTCAGTATACAGAAAAATATCTGTGATAGTGACAGTACAGTAGACTTAGTGTTACTTATATCTGTAGCCTACAGATATAAGTAACACTCCTTAGTCAAGTCCCAAGTCCTTAATCAATTAGGAGTTTTAAATCTAAAATAGATTTTAATTTGTATTTAATAGAAACTATGTTTTTTGAATATTGTATTATATCGTTATTTATTATTCTTTTGCCAGGAATTCAATAAACATTGACGGTACTCATTATGGTATAATATTTTTTGAAGTGCCACTTCTTTGACGGAAAAAAATAATTTGCATTATATAATTTCCTAGTTATAGTATATAAGTGTCTTCGAGTACATCACTATATATCGCTACGCACATGGTATATCTGTGCCTATTAGACAAACCACAGAATTATAAATTTTTCTGCGTCATTATTTAGCTGTCAATTTGTTTCAATTTGTATACTCTCTGATTTGTGGTAAAGATCAACTTGTGACTAATAATTAAATAATTTACAGAATTATTATTTTTGTTTACCTTGTTCAAAGTCTTTTAAAATGAAAAGTGTTAGAGTCTAAAAATGCAAGCAAATATAAATTCACGTATTTATCACCCGATTGTGTAAATTAGTAAGTTTTTTAAACGTTAATAATAATTCTTCATTTCATTTCCTTTCAGACAATTTGATAAGGGAGAACGATAATGACCTAATCTAAAAGATTTCCTTCAATCGTCACAATTATTCTCGGTAAGCCCAGTTTATGATTCTACACATACACTATGCTTATAAACTTACATATAATTATCAAGTCGACTATCACAAATCTTAGTCTAATTTACGTACTAGTCATTACATGCTGTCTAGTTTGTTTCCCTATAACTTACTATACGTATTGTTACAATTATTTTTATACGTTAAAATAAAATTTTAATTAGAAACAAGCAAAAATAACCATTGCAATTGAAAAGCAATTTTAAAACAACTTATATTATTTTGAGACATATAGTTAAATAATTTATGTGCCTTTAAAAGAAACTAAATTAATTATCTTTAAATCTTTTATCAATTTTCTATATTGTTTTTCCAAAATGAAGTTGTAAAGTATTTATATAACATATCTTATTTTTATTTAATATGTGTGCTTATTCTCTTTGCTGATAAGATATAAGAAATCTACATTTTAATGATTATTTACTAAAAACCTTGATGTCATTTGTAGGCATGTCTATAAGTGTATTAAGTTAATCTAATTACAATAGGAATATATTTAAATTGTATTTTTATTCTGCAGGTCTTTTGATATTTATTAAGTATTTAAAATGTGGATTATATGAGACAGTATGAAATAACCAATTCACTATGTCAGAAAGCGTTCAACCACTTGCAGCCCCTATCTCTCTTTCTACATATCATCAGTTAAGCCTGACAGGTAATGAAACCCACTTTTTGCTCATTAGGAATCTTTATTCAGAGGCTTAAAAGATTGCCCAATTACTACAAAACATTCTTGTCTTTCTATCTATCTACTACCATCCATAATACCTAGAGAGCTGTAATTTTACAAAGCTTATTTTTAACAAATGCAAATCTTATGCTATTGGCTTACTATCAATAATGGCAACAGGGTTTGAGAACCTTCAAATGGTTACAATTTAAAATTTATGTTTTTACTGCGGGCTTTGTGGCTTGGTCTTTTTTTATTAAAGCATACTGTATTAACCACACATTGTATGTTATTATTACAGTTGAATCTGCAAATATAAGAAGTACTGGCCTTTTCAAACCAAATCCCTATCTTCAAGTTGTCATAGATGATAACATTTCAAGAAAGACTGAAGTTATAAAGAATACACTACATCCAAAATGGAAAGAAGAATTCACAGTGCTAGTCACTCCATTGTCAAAAATTACATTTCGTTTAGCAGACCACCATAGTTTCAGAAAAGATAATATTCTTGGTGAAAAGAAAATAAATTTCCTTAAGGTCCTTTTATACTTCAATGGAAAAATTGAAAATGTGGAAATGACAATTGGTAAATCAATATATTATTTTTTTAATTATTCATAATTATTATCAACAGTGTTAGTGCAATTACAAGATTAATGTTATTATAGTTATAAAAAACATGTTTTAAACATTCTAGATCTAATGAAAATGGTATCGCAAGATAATTCTTCTAACTCTAATACTGAAGTGAAATCTGCCGAGTTGGTGCTACTGCTTGATGGCTTGCGAGTTGATCCAGCAGTTCTTAGCCAATCTCATGAATTATATGGGGACCAATTGAATGCAAGAAGTCCACTTAACGAGGGAGTTCGAGCTAGAAATAGATCACGCATCACTTTTGAATCAATTAGATCAATGGCACTACCACCTAATTTGAGAGTAAGTTGTAGTATTAATGTATACATGTACTACAAAACCAACAACATGTTAATTCCATGCAAAAACAGCAGACTTTTTGTTGATCATGTGTTCAAGTCTGTTTGTGTCATACAGTGTTATAAGCTATGTTAATATATTTTTATTTTATATGTATGTTTCAGCCACCACCTGGCCCTCCGCCGCACAGTAACGGTGCTGTGCCGAGCGTGACGGATGGCGCCGGACCATCACATGTAGATCCAGAACCTCAGCATGCGTCTCACTCCGCGTTACCTCAGCCACACCCACCTGCATCCACTCCTGCGGCTACAACCAACTCCACCCCAGAGGAACCCCTCCCCCATGGTTGGGAAATGCGATATGATGTTTATGGCAGGCGGTAAACAATTATTTTTCTATTCCTAATCTTAGGGTTAGCTGTACCGTGTGAACTGTGATCATGCCCTTATAAATTGTCACAGATTTTAAGCCACCTATAAGAGAAGGGTGACTTTTTTGTCGTTTCAACGCTTCGTCAATTGCCATTAAATTATATGCTTAAACAACTTTAGACTTTATATAAGATTTGCCAGATCATGACCAAAAACACCTGATACCAAATATAAATATACCCTGCGCTGTATTGTCTTATATGAATAGGTACTACGTGGATCACAACAGTCGCTCGACGTCTTGGGAGCGTCCTCAGCCTTTGCCAGCGGGGTGGGAGGTGCGGAGAGATGGACGTGGTCGCGTGTACTATGTCGATCACAACACGCGGACAACCACATGGCAGCGGCCAGACACCGAACGGTTGGCGCGCTTTCAGCACTGGCGTGGTGAGAGGCGGCACGTCGTGGCGCAAGGCAACCAACGATTCCTATACCCACATCCGCAGCCGCCACACCCGCCCAACCAGGAACATGAACCGGAGACAGCTGCTGGTAATGTATACTCTCTTTTTTCATTATGGATGCTTTACAGATTAGATATGGCCCGATAAGTCTTTACAGCTAACTGAATCCCACGTAGTTTGGTGTATGTGTGAATGGACCTGGAAAAATGATTATTCAGTCTGTGGTAGACTTTTAAATTATTCATATCTAAATACTCTTTATAGTTAGTACGCAAGTAGTACACATTTAAATAAAACACTTTAACGGTTTAACGTCGGGCCGAAGTTAACTAATATATCTCGTTTTAATCTGTTAAAGTGTTTTATTTAAATTGTTCATATCTAATATTTATGTCTTCTAATATTATTCGAAGGGACACTTATAGATGTGATAGTATTATATATATTTGTGGACTTCTTCTCTAAAGCATTTTTTTGAAAAGTGCGTCCTTGTGAAAGTGTTGTGACCTGTCCTCCATAAAGGGGAATGGAGAAATTTGTGAAATTGTTTGGAGATAATGTGGACTGATCACCCGGTCTTCTATCAGTGTACCCAATAGATAATACCTTTAATATAATTGAGAACGGTCAATTCTATAAATTTAATCATGCAATTTTGTTATTTGCTACAGTATTATTACTAATTAATAATATACTAAATGTAGCTTAATCTCGACTACTCTTATCTCAGTTTCAATTATTATCATTTTCAGCAATTTAATTAACTAAATTACATCAAACATCTTGTTATCCTCAAACCTTTCGAGATGGAATTCCACACCTTGTAAAAACATCCTGTTAAATGTTTATATGTATTTCAAAAAGAATTTCGTTGTTACTGTAACTCAATACGAAAAAATGATACACTTTATATCGGTAATATCTTATCGAAAGTTTTATGATAACTTTGTTATGATGAAATAGTGAGTTCATTTACGTGACATAAAGACATACATACATTTATTTGCATTCTTATTGCAACTATAGCACATACGGGGGTTTCATTCACTATTATGTGTCTCTACAATAAAAAAGGGTTTCCCCAGCATGTCTATGTCACACTAGCCACGTAATTGGCGTGATAAAATACCTAAAATATATACAATCATTTTATTAATAGGCTACATACGTTACTTTTGTTTCTAGGAAGCAGCACGAATGTCGCAGCCGTTCCTAGCTCAAGCAGTGTGGCGCCTCCGTCTAGCAGCGGCAGCCAAGCCAGTCCTGCTGAGGACGGGCTGGGTGCACTACCGGCAGGCTGGGAAAGACGCGTTCAGCCAGACGGCCGCGTCTATTTTGTTAATCACAAGAATCGTACCACGCAATGGGAAGATCCAAGGACACAGGTAATCTATACTAACATTATAAAGCTCTAGTTTGTTTGAACCGAAATGAAAACAAAAATATTTGAGTGTCAGGTAACAGTTATAATTTAAAAAACTGAGGAGGTTGTTTGCAAAAATAAATAATATGATACACAAAATCATTATTCCACGCAGACTATTTTGCAGGCACAGCTAGTAAATTATAAATTACAACAATTGAAATGTACTTTTATGCTTCCATAATTGACGGTTAAAAGAGACGATTACTAAGCAACTTCTTACTTATTTTGACCTAAAAATATTGTCGCTTACACTATGTTGTAAAACAGGGTCAGGAAATTAGTGCTCTGGAAGAGGCGCTACCGACGGGCTGGGAAATTCGCTTTACGGAAGAGGGTACGCGTTACTTCGTGGACCATAACACAAGGACCACCACGTTCCAGGACCCACGCCCTGGCGCACCTAAAGGCCCTCAGGTATCACCTCTAACATTATATAGACTTTCAGAGTTATTGCACACCATTATTTACTAATCGTTTCGACACTTCTTTCTTCACTTTTTAGGACGTCGGTAAAGGGGGTCCCACCCTTCCTAAAATGTATAAATAATTGTTACGTTTACATCACATGACTTGTGTCTATCTTCTAGGCCTTTATTGTTGTTAGGGCGGTGTAATAGCCCGAAAACGATTTTAAGCACCTATTTATTTTTGATATCGTCATAAAATATGATATTTCTTATTAATTGCTCGAATGCTGTTGTGTTACAGGGAGCATACGGTGTACCGCGTGCGTATGAGCGTTCGTTCCGATGGAAGTTGAGTCAGTTCCGATACTTATGCCAGAGTAACGCGTTGCCCAGTCACATCAAGATCACGCTCTCTCGACAAACCCTATTCGAGGATTCCTATCACCAGGTAACTGTATATTGAACCCGAACAAAATCAAAATGTTATTTAAAAAAATCACGTTACAATATTACGTAAACAAAAGAAAAACGGTCTCATGATCAAGTAAAACAATTATGTGTTATATGTATATACACAGAATGTAAAAAGGTAAATAATATATTTCGCAATCATATTTAAAAGTTGTTAAACAATTCTTTTATAATTTTTAATTAAAGAAAAATGAACTTTGTTACAGATAATGAGGCTACCCGCTTATGAGTTAAGACGACGTTTGTATATAATATTCCGCGGCGAAGAAGGTCTGGACTACGGCGGTGTTAGTCGAGAATGGTTCTTCCTTCTCTCGCACGAGGTCCTCAATCCGATGTACTGCCTGTTCGAGTACGCCAATAAGAACAACTACAGCCTTCAGATCAATCCAGCCAGCTACGTCAACCCGGACCACCTCCTTTATTTCAAGTTTATCGGAAGGTTCATAGCGATGGCTCTCTATCACGGTAGATTTATATACTCGGGCTTCACTATGCCATTTTACAAGCGTATGTTGAACAAAAAGCTAACTATGAAGGATATTGAATCGATTGATCCCGAGTTCTTTAATTCGCTGGTGTGGATCAAGGACAACGATATAGATGAGTGCGGACTCGAGATGTGGTTCAGCGTCGATTTCGAGGTGCTCGGGCAAGTGATTCACCACGAGCTGAAGCCTGGCGGCGACAAGGAACGAGTGACGGAGGTAATGTTGTGTGCTTTAAATTAATTGTAATTATTAATTGTGTGCAATGGTTTGGTTTATGACCATATTTTTTACCTTTAGGACACTCTACTCTGTTATCATCGGGCTATTTTTTCCAGTCAAATTATGTTCATACGGCTTTTTATCATTTTAATTGCATTTAATACTACGTATATACTTATGTATATTTATTAATTATGCTTTGTTTTTAGGGTAACAAAGAGCAATACCTACAACTGGTAACTCAGTGGCGTATGTCGAGAGGAATCGAAGAACAAACGACAGCATTTCTAGACGGATTTAATGAGGTACCTACAAAATTTTAAAAGGTGCAGACACAAATAGGGGACATGTTTTTAAATTTATTTCTTTACAGTTACTCTTGTAATACAGAGGTAAAATCGAGCTTGATTTAACTTTGATTCAACAAAATATATTTTATACTAATATTATAAAGCTACTAGTAAACATTAGAACAAGTAATTAATAATGTATAATACATATAATAAAAAATATTATACTTAAATACTGTCTATAGTTTACGCGAGTAGTACACATTTAAATACGTACTTAACGGTTTAAAACGCGATATATTAGTTAAACTTATTTGATTCTCCCCGTGACCACGGCTGCTGCAAAGCATCCGAAACGTCGGGCCGAAGTTAAAAATCATTTTCAAATAAGTTTAACTAATATATCGCGTTTTAAACCGTTAAAGTGTTTTATTTAAATATTATACTTATAAGCGTGTATCTGTCATAAAAAATGGTTTTGTAATAATATTTTTTATATACATATTTATTGTTCGACCGCCTCAGGTGGTACCACTAGAGTGGCTCAAGTACTTCGACGAGCGCGAGTTGGAACTAATGCTGTGCGGCATGCAGGAGGTAGACGTGGATGACTGGCAGCGCAACACCATCTACCGGCACTACACGCGAACTAGCAAGCAGGTCGTCTGGTTTTGGCAGGTAAATGCAGAAAAAATCATGAAACAAACTCCTTATCGGATGTTATTCTTCCAACAAGTAGTAAAAATCTACCATAAAAATTGTTATCATATAATTATGATTATATGCAATATATTTTACCAATTGATTATTTTAAGTAAAACAGTGTTTTGCAAATTTTGTAATGTCTTCCTATTAATTGTTGTATATCTGTGATACGAGTAACCACCACTTAAACGTCACCATTCTTTTACCAAATTCCATTCAATTTGACTAATTTCCAATACCTATTTAATTATAAATTACTGTTACGTACTAAGTATGTAGCATTTATTTCAACTTTTTTTGCTTTGCTGACATGTTCTTACGTGATTTTAAAATCGTACCATCGATTTCAGTTTGTACGACAAATGGATAATGAAAAACGGGCCAGACTACTGCAATTCGTAACAGGCACGTGCAGAGTACCGGTGGGTGGATTTGCCGAACTCATGGGATCCAACGGACCACAGCGATTTTGTATAGAAAAGGTATTTTTTTTTAAATACCTACATAGATCAGTTTATAAAGACTAAAGTTGAGTATTTAACCGTCCGTTTTGTTAAGGTTTAAATCGTCATATAAATTAAATATTGGAATGAATTTTTAGGTCGGGAAGGATACGTGGCTCCCGAGATCTCACACCTGCTTCAATAGACTCGATTTACCTCCGTACAAAAGTTACGAGCAGTTATGCGAGAAACTAAACTTCGCTATCGAAGAGACGGAAGGCTTCGGACAGGAGTGAACCTTGCTATTAGTATTAATTAAATTATGTAATAAAAATATAAATTATGACTATCACAATAAATGAAATGCACCATTCCTCCAAAAGAGGCATTTATACCAATGAAGTTGGTGCCGTCGAGAAAAGACCAACCAAATATTGTATGAAATACTTTTGTTTTAACAATTATTTTATAATAATTATGTAGATATCACTAGTGTATTATCAGTTGTATATTTAGATATATTTGTTTGAACTGTATTTAAAGTTCTATAAAGTTCAATAAAATTTCACAAAAACAACTTGTTTCTTATTAGACTAACGTAATTGTATTCGTAAATTAATCAGCTTTATTTAAAACACGGGTGTGTGCTATTTAGTTTATTTTATTTAAATTATAAACAGCAGTACAATATAAATAATAAGTAAAAAAGAACAGTTCATATTATGATGAATATAGTACCAAAGTCAACAGTTGTCTGATATTTTGGTAGTAGCATAATCCCGGGCAATTTTAATAACGTCATTTAGACAAGAGGGGTCACTTCCTGATGCTTGAGCCGACTCTGCTTTACCTCCTCCTTTTCCTTTCATAATGCCTACAACAGACTGTACCCATTCTGAGGCTAATAAACCCTTGTCTACTAAGCATTTGGGGACAGCTGCTAAACAATATATCTTGTTAGAATCATCATCGACAGAAAAGAACATAGCAGCAGTATTCGGACGCATTTGCTTAACTTGTTTAAGGGCGCCATCTAAAGCTTTTGTATTTCCAAAAGCTTTTAATTCAGTAACAATTACTAAAGAAGTGTTGTCATTTAAACAAATTTCTTTAGCTTTTTCAGTAACAAGATTAATAGTTGCGGCTTTAGCAGCTCTCTCTTTATCGTCAAGCTGCTTTTTCAAATTCTTCAACATCGTTCGTAATTCCTCTTTCTTCCAATAAGATATCTGTGCTTGTGATATTTCGTTAGTTAGTTCTACAATTTTTTTCACAGTTTCCTTTTGTTTAACATTGTCACCTTGTCCATCTGCATTGCTTATAATATCGTTAACGTCGTTTTCCAATATACTCATCTTGTTAATAGCTTTTAAGGCTTCCGGTCCCGTTAAAGCTACAATTCGACGAATTCCTTTAGCAATTCCTTCTTCACTTACTATTACGTAATCACCAATATGTCCTGTTTGATGTAAATGTGATCCACCACAAAATTCTACAGAAGTTTCAAATCCATTCGGACCTTCAGGATTATTTTCCAATTCCTCTACAGGAATCCCTACAGAAACGACTCTCACTGGATCTGGATACTGTTCATCAAACATTGCACGTAGACCATTTATTTTTTTAGCATCACTGAGGTTGGTATATTTAGCATATACTTTTTTGTTCTCATTGATTATAGATTTAATTTCATCTTCCGTTTCTTTTATTTGTTTGATCGTCATAGGACCCTTATTTGTAAAGTCAAACCTGAGACGATCAGGCATAACAAGTGATCCGCGTTGATCTGAATCATTACCTAGCACCTTCCTGAGAACGTTATTTAAGACATGAGTACCGGTGTGGTTGTTCATGACGAGTCGTCGTCTTTCTGTGTCGATGTGAAGAGATAGAGTATCACCAACTCTTAAAATTCCTTCAATTTTACCGACATGTAATACATAACCTCCTTTAACTTGTACATTTTTTACAGAAAATTCCACACTGTCATCGTTTACTTTTACCATATACCCTTCGTCAAAAATTTGTCCACCTTGCTCTGCATAAAAGTTAGTGCGATCTAATAATACCCCACATTCATCACCGGTTATTACTTCATTTACAAACTTTTTATCTTTTCTTAAAGCTGCTACAGTACCAGTACAAGGTGAAAATTCATACATAGCTTCTGCATCAGTACTTGTTGGTAGATAATTATATTTTGGAGAGTCATCTGTAGGTGCAACATTATTATCTTTAAGGTAAGAAATAGCATGAATGTCTAAAGCTAACAAATCTTCTTGTCCAGCGGCTTTACCTTGTGAAGACAACTGTGATTCTTTTTTTGCCTTTTCATATGCCTCCATGTCTATGCTTAAACCTTTCTCTTCACACATTAAACAGGTTAAGTCAATAGGAAAGCCATAAGTATCGTACATACGCCAAGCCACATCACCGGGTACGGTTTTTGAATCATTGAGCTTCTCAATAGTTCTATTGAGTAGGTTCCTTCCTCTAGTTAATGTTTTTAAGAATTGTATTTCCTCTTCATTGATAATTTGCATAACTGATTCTGGATCTTTTTTTATTTCTGGAAATACATCACCTAACAACTCTACAACAGTTTTAACTAAAGTTGCAAAAAAGCCTGGTTTGGCATTTAATTTTTCAGATGCATAGCGGACAGCTCGTCTCAGAATACGACGTAAAACATACCCTCTTCCAGTGTTATCTGGGTATCCACCATCTGACAAAGCTATAGTTAATGTTCTAGCATGATCAGCAAGAACTCTATATGCCATATCAATTCCATCTACATCATCTGATCCTACTTTTCCTGAGTAAGGTCTTACTTTTGTGCCATTTTCTATAGCTTTAAATAAAGGCATAAAAAAATCAGTGTCATAGTTAGCTCTTTTATTTTGAATAACAGACACCAAACGCTCCAATCCAAGCCCACAATCAATATGCTTTTTAGGCAATAACTTCAGTTCTCCATTCTTTTCTCTGTTGAACTGAATGAACACTAAGTTCCAAATTTCAAGTACATCAGGGTCATCCATGTTAACAAGGTGAGCTGCTTCTCTCCCTCCAATTCTATCATAATGTAATTCTGAACAAGGCCCACAAGGTCCTGTCTCCCCCATTTCCCAAAAGTTGTCTTTCATACTGCCTGGCAATATGTGAGATTCAGAAACGCCAAGTTTCAGCCAAATATCTCTGCACTCTAAATCTGGCTCTAAACCTGCTGATTTGTCCCCACCGAAGTATGTGACATATAACCTATCTCCTGGTAACTTAAAAACTTCAGTGAGAAGTTCCCAGGCCCAAGAACATATTTCTTTTTTGAAATAATCTCCAAATGACCAGTTACCCATCATTTCAAAGAAAGTGTGGTGATAAACATCTTTTCCAACATCATCTAAGTCATTATGTTTGCCACCTGCCCTAATACATTTCTGCGTATTTACCACTCTGACATAGTTAGCCATGTCAGAATTTGGATCTACAGAACCTAAAAAAATTGGTTTAAATTGGTTCATTCCAGCATTTGCAAACAGAAGAGTAGGATCATCAAGTGGGATTGTGGATGACGAATGAACATATTTATGACCCTTAGTGATGAAAAAATCAATATATGTTTGTCGAACTTCATTTCCGGACATTGATGTGTTCATTTTGATGGCTTTCCTGAAAATAGTTTACCTTAATAAGCATTTGTGTCCAAATTAAAATTTTAGATTCTTATTGGAAATTTTGTTTATTATTATGAAATAGACTAAATGGGTTCTATAAAACAACTATTTAAATTAACTAAGCTTTAAATCGAAAACGAAACTAGACTACATTTTAAAATCTAATCCATATGTTACAGATTTCTGTTCCTGACATAATTGTACATTTATATTAAGTCGCGGTAGAAATAAAAAATGTCAAGCCAAGCCAACTTTATATTTTGAACTTTTTTTAGCGTTGGAAAAAAAATAATGCATACCTTGATATGTCCGAAGGAAGAAGGCACTCACGTGTGTACGAACACTTATAGCGCTTTAGTGTACTATACAGTGCTATGAGCTGTTATGTACTTGTATGTCAGGAGTAGTATGAAATGTGAATGTACATAGAGGACGTAATCACAAACCACGTAGAAGGGAAGCAAAGAGAATGTAATATTATTGTAAAAACATAACCTCTTCTAGTTCTACGTTTTCAATTATGTACTATATTATGTCCCTGATGACAGAAATTATGGCAGATAATTAGGGAATGATATGTTTTACTCAATCTGTTATTTTTATATTTAATCGGAGTTTAAGTACTTTTCTTTTATCATATTGTCAAATGTAAAATCTATCGTAATCTGCAGATACAAATTTCTAATAAGTCTGTGCAACCAATACAATCACAGGCTAAACATCTACATTAAAAAGTCAAAAGATAAAGACAGATTTATTTGGCATTTATTATCTAGGTAGGAGTACCTATCTATAATTCTTTGTAATAGTTGTTGTTTCTTATATACACAGTGTTTTTTATTAGCAATTATTGTAATTTTCACAATTTGTACTCCATATCATTCATTTTTTTAATAGGAACCTAGCTTTTCGTACCCATTTTACGTAAGTAATATATTTTTGGTTAATCGATACAATTATGAACGATGTATATATTGTGTGTGACATTGCACGCCTTCTTTGTTAATAGACTATAATAATTATGTTCGTGGCTTTACTTTATTACTTATATTATCAAAACTGTGGTTTTCAAAATTAGACGTATTGATAACATAATATTTAAAGTGCTTTATAGTATGGCACTATCAATATTATGTGTGACTCATACAGTTGTACATTAGATTTAATACTAACAGTACATGTTAACAGGCTGTCTGTTTGATATTGATCTGTACTTATACTTATATGAATTGAGTGAATGAAAACACATAAGAAGTTTTTCTTGTGTAATTACTACTTAGTACTAATTGTTAGTTTGTAGATCAATTGTAATAACACAGACATAAAGAAAAAGAATGGTGGATCTTAACTCTAAGTTATAGCATCTAAAAGTGTTTCAGCTTTCCATAATATTAAAAAAAATACATTACAGGACCAATTTGTAAATAAATTTACCTTATTACAGAAACATGACGTCAGGACCCTATAATTATTCTTATATCTTTAAATATATTATCATTGGTGACATGGGTGTAGGAAAGTCATGTCTTTTACATCAATTTACAGAAAAGAAATGTAAGTAATAACAAATTTCTTGGCAAAAGACAAAGTTGATGATTTCTTATTTGCCTTATCCTGTTTGACTTACTTACCTGCCTCTATTCCAGTTATGGCAGACTGTCCTCATACTATTGGTGTTGAGTTTGGAACTAGAATAATTGAGGTAGCTGGACAAAAAATTAAGCTTCAGATATGGGATACAGCAGGACAGGAGAGGTTTAGAGCAGTCACACGCTCTTATTACAGAGGAGCCGCAGGCGCCCTTATGGTTTATGATATAACACGAAGGTATATATTAAAAAAGTTAATTTATGTTATAATTTAAGATCTATTAATATTGGGTCCCAGCTTATTTATAAACATGCTATGTCTGTGTAAAACTGTTAACATTTGTTATTTAGACAATTCTCTCTGTCCTTGGCCCCCATGTAAGGGCAGAGAGAATGCTCATTTGATTTTATTGGTTAACTTGTAATATTTTATTAATGGCAGAAGATATGTTTACAGTAAGTGAAAGTATAATATAAGGAAAAGTTGATACTAATGAGGTAGTATTTTACTTTATATAATATTCCTCTTTTAGGTCTACTTATAACCATTTAAGCAGTTGGTTAACAGACACTCGCAATCTAACTAATCCTAGTACTGTGATATTTTTGATTGGAAATAAATCAGATTTAGACGGTCAACGAGATGTTACATATGAGGAGGCTAAACAGTTTGCTGACGAAAATGGTTTAATGTTTGTAGAAGCTAGTGCAAAAACGTGAGTTTATAAAATGATATTGGTTGTAGGAAGTTTTTAATGTTTTGTAAAAATTAAAATTTTTGTCATTTTCAGGGGACAGAATGTAGAAGAAGCTTTTTTGGAAACAGCCAAGAAAATATATCAAAGTATTCAAGATGGTCGCTTGGATTTGAATGCAGCAGAGTCTGGAGTGCAACACAAACCTGCTTCTCCGGGTCGCCCTCTGGCAGCTCCACCGGCCGCGCGTGATAATTGTGCTTGTTAAAGCCGCCACACAGAGGGAGTTCCATGAGCAGATTCCTAGTTAATTTACCATTTCTCTTTCCCTTATCATCCCACATCTTTTTTGCTATATGGACTGTCTTTTGCTCGCCAGCAACCACCAGAGCCGTCCTATAACATTATTGAAGAAGAATGTATGTATATAACTTGCATAAACAGCAGACAATAACTGTTTTGTAATGCATTGATTAGAGACTTCACTACAAATCACAGGAAACACCTTTGGCATGATCATATATATGATGATTTTGCAGGGGTTTGTGTTAAGTACAGAAATGAATGGTAAAAATAAATTGACCTTACCAAAATGACAGATGCTAATACAGTGCTACTTAAATGACCTAGAGGCAAATTTGTCTCTAATTAAACATTGGAATCAAGTTAATTGAAATTGTCTATTCTCAGTAAATTTCATCTTGTTAACATGTCGTCGTTGGTAGTTGACACTATTTTTTACCACTTCACTTTTGTTCTTTTTTCGTCACTTTAAGCGCTGTTCACATGCATCTATCTATCTATCTTGAATAAAAATGTAGTTTTCAGCCCACATTCTGTTATATACAAAATGATATGTAGAAATCATTGTTTGCGCGAGATGTATTAGTATAATTTATATATTTATTAGAAAAAATAAATAACTATACTATATAGGTTACGGCATATAGTCGCTCGCAATTGTCATTACAAATTATTAAACAAACTTATTAATTTCGTGTGCTCGGGTGTGCGAATTACCAAAAATTCACATGCGGGCGCTGCAAAGTTTCGGATATGTCCGTTAATGCCACTAACTAAATGGAACCAATCGTCAAACCTAGGAAAGTCAGGATCAGTGTGTTTAACAGACTGTTTAAAAACAATATTATTATTTGCATTGAAGTATAATAACACAATCTTACGCATATCTTGCATACAGCTAAAATAAAATACGAGTGTTTTTATCTATACTACATTGTTTAAATGTCGGCTGTGTTATGAAGAAATAACTCGGCCCTGTATTCTCAATGCATTCCAAATTTTACAGAGCAGACCAGTGTATAAGCTTAATATCGAGACAATCATCATATCGTTTTTACAATGTACTGTAATAGTTATCATTCCATATTATATTTTGTGTCAGTGTATCAAATCAATTGAATAATTTGGTATTTATATTAAAACACCATGTTAAGGGGGAATTCTAAATAACTTTTAGTCTTAGTAAATGACTAGATTTAGGCTGTATGTCTGCATACTATAGGTAGTACGGTTTTAGCGGTGTAATTATCATGTAAATAAACCTGTAAAATTTTGGGCGAACAGTAAATGTTTCAATGACATTGAATCTTATATTCCTGTTTCAGCAGTGTAAAATACCTTAAGGCCTACTTTAAATATTTGTATGAAACTGTGTGTAAGCCGTTTTTTTCTCCATTTCAACTAATTGTTTCTAAACATTGTAATTATTAACAATTGAGAAATGTTATGAATATTTAATTTGTTAAAGATTTGGTTTAGAATTTGTATTTCTTAAGTGGTTCACATTGTATTATTTTTTTATTCTAAATCCTTACCATGTTGTCTGCTACATTATTTTATTCTTCGAATTGATAAGTATGTATAGATTTATATAGATCTTGTGTTTTGTTATCTTTTCTTGATTGCAAGTATTTTAAAGGAAATATTAATGTATCTTTGTTATTATTATAATAGGTATTTGTAATATCAAACGCTAGAGAGAACTTAAATATAATAAGGTCATTAAAATAAAATGGTAGCTGCAGCTATTCTTTTAGTCTAAAGTTATGTATTATAAAATCGTCGTGCATACTTTATTTTAAATCTTATCATGGAAATTGTATATCTAACATCATTATTATTGGTTGTTGGAAATATTTTACCTTATAAACTATTACCTTTGCACCTACCCCTCCCTTTTTAAAATAATTTATTGTTTAAATTATTATTATTAATGTTATTGTAAGTGTATCACAATAAAGATCTTATTAAAGAATATTTACCATTGAAAGCATTATTTATGTTCATAATATCGGATCAAACCTGATTCAGTTGCACAATAGTAAAATTGGACTAGGTTATATAGAAGCAATAGTGGTAGAATTAAAAAAAATATCTATCACTATTGCTTATATTCTAACAAACGTAGCTAAGATAAAAAAAACTGTTTTAAACAATGAGGAAGACATACATTTATTTCCAATCAATCGATTTATAATATAAAATACAAATTACCCTGTGTCCATATAGAATTTTATAACAAATAATATACTATTATGAAGTCAATTAAAAATATCTCTGCAAAGTAAGCAATATACAAACATGAGGTACTATTTCTGCACCCAATATTATCCAGTTGATATAGCTCACTGCTTTTGAATATATCACATTATTATATACATTTATTCCAAAATCAAATTTGAAATGACAGTAGTACTTATGAATGTCAACATTTGTATACATATTGTGTGAGCTTCCTTCACATACTTTTAACAAGACTGCTTAGAGCTTGGATTGTGTGTTTTGAAGTAAAAGATCGTGCATGTCTCGCAGGGAACTTTCAAGAGCTTGGCGGTAGGCTTCACAGGAAGTGTCGGGGTGAGCACGGAAGGCCGCTGTCGCAAAGTTGACGTCATCGTTCCTCGGGTTGTAGCACGTCGCGTAACCGTTGTCCACGAGTGGCCCGTAACACATAAAACCGTCACACTTGCACGCCACCTTGAAATAGAAAAGCGATGGATCAATTGAAAGCTTTTAACGGCTAATTTATAATTCATGTTGATTGTGTTCGTCTTATGCTTTTACCTCTTTGCCTAGGAGCGATTCAGCAGACTGAACTCATACAAAATAATTGAATGTCTGTAGTTTAAATACAGCACTTTAAACACGATTTATATTAGTTTTACTTATTTGGAGATTATTTTAACTACGGTGCGAAGTTTCGGATGCTTTGCTTCCATCTTAACTCTCCCCGTGACCGATTAATAAGTTTAAATAATATGCATCATACAGGTGTTTAATTTAAAAGAAATAATTACTTTTACGGCTTAATAGATTATTTAAATCAACTTTAAAAAGAGCTGATATTTCTGATGCTTTGTGTCAGCGATTATGGGGCAATTTTTCATTAAAGGGCCAACTTCTTACCCATGTTTTGTATTTTTGGCGTTAGGACATTATTTTCGATCACGTATTATGTCCTAACGCCAAAAATTACAAAACATGGGTAAAGAAGCTTTTACTCCTGTAGGCGGTTTTTACTCCTACCGCAGGAGTAAAAACTCACTCATCATCTCTTTTACAGAAAAAGTAACGGACGGCCAACTTCAAACAACTTCTTATTTTCTGATGAAATAAGATCTAAGTTATATTTACGCTATAGTCAGTATGAAATGGTGTCCGATTTGTATACATTTCTTACGACATCAAGATCGACATCTACCTATTTATATATGTATATATTTTTAATACATTTATATATATTGTACAGCTTTAGAGAACTATAGCGACAGATTTTTTGTGTGACGTTGAGTTTTACTTGAATAACTTAAATGCAAGATTGGAATTATTCTCTTATGGGGGGGGGGGGGGGAGGGGGGGGGGGGGGGGGGGGGGGGGGGGGGGGGGGGGGGGGGGGGGGGGGGGGGGGGGGGGGGGGGGGGGGGTACTCTTCTCCCCCGCCCCCGGGGCGGGGGGGGGGGGGGGGGGGGGGGGGGGGGGGGGGGGGGGGGGGGGGGGGGGGGGGGGGGGGGGGGGGGGGGGGGGGGGGGGGGGGGGGGGGGGGGGGGCGGGGGGGCCCGGGGCCCGGGGGGGGGGGGGGGGGGGGGGGGGGGGGGGGGGCCCGGGGGGGTGCGGGGGGGGGGGGGGGGGGGGGGGGGGGGGGGGGGGGGGGGGGGGGGGGGGGGGGGGGGGGGGGGGGGGGGGGGGGGGGTGGGGGGGGGGGGGGGGGGGGGGGAGGGGGGGGGGCCGGGGGGGGGGGGGGGGGGGGGGGGCGGGGGGGGCGGGGGGGGGGGGGGGGGGGGGGGGGGGGGGGGGGGGGGGGGGGGGGGGGGGGGGGGGGGGGGGGGGGGGGGGGGGGGGGGGGGGGGGGGGGGGGGGGGGGGGGGGGGGGGGGGGGGGGGGGGGGGGGGGGGGGGGGGGGGGGGGGGGGGGGGGGGGGGGGGGGCGGGGGGGGGGCGGGGGGGGGGGGGGGGGGGGGGGGGGGGCCCGGCGGGCCCCCCCGTTGGTGGCGGGGGGCGGGGGGGGGGGGGGGGGGGGGCGGCCGGGGGGGGGGGGGGGGGGGGGGGGGGGGGGGGGGGCGGGGGGGCGGGGGCCCCCCCCCCCCCCCCCCCCCCCCCCCCCCCCCCCCCCCCCCCCCCGGGGGCCCCCCCCCCCCCCCCCCCCCCCCCCCCCCCCCCCCCCCCCCCCCCCCCCCCCCCGCCCCGCCGGCGGCGGGGGGGGGGGGGGGGGGGGGGGGGGGGGGGGGGGCTTTTTTTTGGCGGGGGGGGGGGGCGCGCGGGGGGGGGGGGGGGGGGGGGGGGGGGGGGGGGGGGGGGGGGGGGGGGGGGGGGGGGGGGGGGGGGGGGGGGGGGGGGGGGGGGGGGGCGGGGGGGGGGGGGGGGGGGGGCCGGGGGGGGGGGGGTTGCCGGGGGGGGGGGGGGGGGGGGGCCGGGGGGGGGGGGGGGGGGGGCGGGGGGGGGGGGGGGGGGGGGGGGGGGGGGGGGGGGCGCGGCGCGGGGGCGGCGCCCCCCGGGGGGGGGGGGGGGGGGGGGGGGGGGGGGGGGGGGGGGGGGGGGCGCCGGGGGGGGGGGGGGGGGGGGGGGGGGGGGGGGGGGGGGGGGGGGGGGGGGGGGGGGGGGGCGGCGGGGCCCGCCCCCCCCCCCCCCCCCCCCCCCCCCCCCCCCCCCGGCCCGGGGGGGGGGGGGGCGGGGGGGGGGGGGGGGGGGGGGGGGGGGCCGGGGGGGCGGGGCGGGCGGCGGGGGGGGGGCGGGGGGGGGGGGGGGGGGGGGGGGGGGGGGGGGTCGGGCGCGGGGGCGGGGGCCGGCGGGGGGCGCGCGCGGGGGGGGGGCCGGGGGGGGGCGGCCGGGGGCGGGGGGGGCGGCGGGGGGGGGCGGCGGGGGGGGGCCCGGGGGGGGCGGCCCGGGGGGGGGGGGGGGGGGGGGGGGGGGGGGGGGGGGGGGGGGGGGGGGGGGGGGGGGGGGGGGGGGGGGGGGGGGGGGGGGGGGGGGGGGGGGGGGGGGGGGGGGGGGGGGGGGGGGGGGGGGGGGGGGGGGGGGGCGGGGCGGGGGGGGGGGCCGGGGGGGCGGGGGGCGGGGCGCCGGGCGGGCCGGCCGGGGGCCCGGGGGGGGGGGGCGCGGGCCCCGGGGGGGGGGGGGGGGGGGGGGGGGGGGGCGGGGGGGGGGGGGGGGGGGGGGGGGGGGGGGGGGGGGGGGGGGGGGGGGGGGGGGGGGGGGGGGGGGGGGGGGGGCGGGCGGGGGGGGGGGGGGGGGGGGGGGGGGCGGGGGGGGGGGGGGGGGGGGGGGGGGGGGGGGGGGGGGGGGGGGGGGGGGGGGGGGGGGGGGGGGGGGGGGGGGGGGGGGGGGGGCCCCGGGGGGGCGGCGGGCGCGGGGGGGGGGGGGGGGGGGCGGGGGGGGGGGGGGGGGGGCCGGGGGGGGGGGGGGGCCCGCGGGGCGCGGGGGGCGCGCGGGGGGGGCGGGGGGGCCCCCCGCCGCGGGGGCCGCCCCCGCCCGGGCGGGCCGCCCGTCGGCGGGGGGGGGGGGGCGGGGGGGGGGGGGGGGGGGGGGGGGGGGGGGGGGGGGGGGGGGGGGGGGGGGGGGGGGGGGGGGGGGGGGGGCGGGGGGGGGGGGGGGGGGCGGGGGGGGCGGGGGGGCGCGGGGGGGGGGGGGGGGCGGGGGGGGGGGCGGGGGCGGGGGGGGGGGGGGGCGCGGGGGGGCGGGGCCCCCCCCCGCCCGGGCCCGGCCCCGCCCCGGGGGGGGGGGGCCGGGCCGGGGGGGGGGGGCGCGGGCGGGGGGGGGCGGGGGCGGGGGGGGGGGGCCGGGCGGCGCGGGGGCGGGGGGGGCGGGCGGGGCGGGGGGGGGGGCGCCCCCCCCCCGCCCGGGGCCCCCCCCCCCCCCCTACAACCCCAAAAGGATTAGTATTTCAATTTTGAAAAAAATCTGAATTGTGTTCTCGGATTGGGCACTTAAAAGTTTTTTGGCCCTTTTACCTGACTCGTAGATATTCTCATGTGCGCACTTCTTGTGTAGGCGGGATCAGAATAGAGTTTCGGTACTTCAAATCCATTTTCCACAGCGATGAGTTTGAGGCCCAGTAGATGTCTATCAACTCCAAAGCCTTGTAGGGCCTGTTGTCAGAAAAGAAGTTTTACTTATGTTTCGGAAGTTTCGATCATAGTATTAAATATGTTTTAATTAAGTTTTTTTACATTCTAAATTTGGTCCTTTACTAATATATATTATATAAAAAGTAAGACTATTTCGATATTATTATTGATATATTTGATTTTATAATAGATACCATGACAGTGTAGTCTTTGTGCGCGCTGACAGCTTTCTTTAAAGCATTTAGTTTTTCCTTGGCCGTGGCTTTTTCTTGTAACATAGTTTTGGCGAACTCGATGGATTCTACTGAGCATGAGCGAATGGTTTCTGTACGTCCGCCGACGTACATCCGAGTCGCCGCTGATTCATAGTGGGCACCGGGCGTCTTATGCAATCTAATAATTGGCACAAACCATTTTATTTTCAATAATAGTCAATTTTATTCAACGTTATCTCATTAGCATATCTCGATGCAATTAGCACACATCGTTGGTTCGATCTCCACCAGATCCAACATGTTATTAAACAATTTTTACGACGTCCAAAAAGTCCACAACGTTGAAAAAGTCGTGAAGTTTCGCGTTTCAGTTACAATCCATGTAATATAAACATATCCAAAGCTAAAATACAATCGACGAAGCATCTTGTTTAGATGATATATATCGGTCCTCCTCTATGATAAAAAAATGAAAATGCAATGCAGTCAACTTTATAATTAAAGAATAGTATTACCTGTAGAATGCATATTGCATCGCCATTTGAAGATAACTGTCTGGACTAAGTTTCTGCGACTTGATAAAGTTCTTTCCGTATTGACCAAATTGAAAACAGTTTAACTCGAGGTCTCCTACCAGCCTGTAATTTTTTGTATTTTATTTTGTAGAATAGAAGTATATCAATAAATATTAAATTGTGAGAATTTTGAAATAGAAGAGTGCCTAATTACTTGTCCAAATTGTATTTGGCCTCATCAATCATTCGGGAAACTTCACTTGTTACAGTAAACTTCAGTTGCACGGGCTCTATTGGAGATGATGATGACTCTTCAGACACAGTATTTTTATCTCTGTAATGAAAAATAGGTATTCATAATCTTTGATATTCATATTGGCAATGACCTTTTGCAATTTATAAATATTTATAAGAGTTCCAAATTAACATACATGTAATTGATTATATAATCCGTTAAAATCGCGATTGGTTGTCCTTCAGCAGGAGAATGCTCATAGGTAAGTCCTGTTATACCGTCAGCGCCAACTATAAACTGAAGGTTGATATTATTATTTTTTATCGGGGACAAAAATAGAACACCGGGTGATCACCATAATTTTATTGTACTTGAATATGCGAAACCAATCTCAAAAGACTCTGCTACCTGTCTTAGAATGTATACATAATTAAATTGTAGGGAGGGCCCGGTATAACTTTCAATCTAGACAGTGACTTGCGGAATGCGAAACTTGGTTTGTATAAATTCTTATGTAACTAGACTATGCCGACTAGTTCTAAGATCAATGGCATGGCCTTTTAGTTGAGATCGAATAGCGTTTAATGATTGTTATATGAACTATTATTGTAGCCTGAAAGAATTCTGATTGATGATGATTCTTAATACCTGAATTGTTTTATCAAACCAGCGATTTGCACCGTTGGCGTTGGAGCCAGCCCCGTGTATCGTGTGAGCAGCAGCCAGCGAGCGTTGGTCTTCCTCCTTTGTACGCCATAAGCCGCATGGCGCATCCAAACACAACACGGCTGCGCTTCGTTCCACATCCAATAAGCTACGGCGGTTTTCCGCATCTGTTACACGAGTTTAACTAAGCTAACTTTCCAAACTAGAAGATTCATTTATTGAATTAAATTATTTTTAATGTGCTAATATATTTTTATTATTACTCAGTATTGTGCTAATGTAATGGTGAGACTCTTTTTATTTTTACCTTTACTCAAAAGTTGATATGCCTTAGCCCAGGTATCCCGATTTTCAGAAGTGAGGATGCCAACTGCATCTTTAGCAGGAGATGGGGAGGCCGCTACTATCTTTATCAAACCTTGAACAATTTGATCAACACTAAGTCTCTTCCCGTCATTTCCCCACAAATCTAGGTGAAATAACTAAAAAAAATTACAAAAGTAATATCAATTAGAAAGAACTTCAAATTAAAAACAAATGATTAAATACAAATATATATTTGAAATAGAAATAGAACCCACAATCAACAGCATACTTTGCTTTGAATATGTAATTAAATTTAATTCTTGTGTTTAAAGATTGGATTAAGTTAAGGTATCAAATTAAAGGATTTTTTTTATTGCATATAAAGCTTTGAGCAACAGAAAAAACTAATTTATTATAATTGGTTCATGGACCAAAATATACCTATAATGCTGTATTATACTATTTTGATGAATAAATTTTTCTTTTATTTTTCTCAGCTACTATTATGAGCAATAACATAATTTATAGTTGTGTTAAAAGAACTTTGTCTTTTTGATATCTCCATATCAGATCAGATTCACATATCAATTTCACTTACATGATTATTGTGGATTACGGTTACATACTTGCTATCATTATAAGATAGCTTATCTCTGTTAGGTTGTGGAATACGGCATGTACCAAATATTTTTTTATACTGAGACATATCTAAAGGACTTTTTCCCATCATCTCCACAGGTATTTCATTACTGAAATGATCAATTGCATTAAATCTGATAATTATACCATAGAAATTTTTAAATTAATCAGTGGATACAACGCTACACTACAGAAATATGAAAAATCCTACTTATCAATAAGTGACTTATAGTCAAACGCAGCAAGTAAGGTTTTGGCTGCATATTGCAACTGTTCTGTTTGGCTATTAAATTTCCGAAATGGAAAGACTAAGCCAGGACTAGAGAATACAACAACTGGATCACGATAACCCAAATATGCAGTGTTCAACCACCATTCTTCCAACCAATTTTGGTGCTTAGTTGCTCTATCTTCCAATAAATTCTGAAATCAAGGACAATATTACAATAAATAAAGAAATTATGATAAAACATTAAATATATTACTTTATTCAAAGAATAATTATAACTAAATAATAACAAACACATTATAGACATACTATAGACAGTATTGACAAACACATTACCTGTAACTTGTGGCCAATTCCTCCAACCGAAGCAAAATCTTCTAAGAGATTAGAAGTATTAGAATATTCTTCGTCATTAAGAAAAGGCTGAGCAGTTTTAAAAAACTTGTGTAATGTATCCTCAAGCTTAGGTACAGGAAGTCTTGGTAATTGTTGTACATTGGAAGCTGCTTTTGCAGAAGTATAATTGCTGACCAATTGAAGGGATGTGATGTAGGGTTCTAAAGTAAACCCTTTTGAATTCCACTGCAAACATTTATTTGGATAATGAATAACAGGACAAAAACAATTTTCCTTTATTACTTGTGGATTGTATCAAAATAAACAGGATAATCTCCTGTTTATTTTCATTACATAACTTGTTTCATTAAGAAATTTATTTCATATTTACATAAACTCATAAAAAAGTGGTAAAGAAACAAAGTTCTTTTGTTTCATTGTTAATATTAAGTGTTTTGGCTGTGTGTGACTTATGCAAAATTGTAGATAGTACATACTTACTATTTTAATTCCTCGAATCATGTTACAATGCTGAAACAATATACTTTGTTAAATGATATGACAAAATTACATAGTTTTAATAAAGTTTAGTTCACTTCTAATGTTGATAAACATATTATATTGGTATTTATCCTGTTTTCAAACTTACTTAGTTCATTAGTAATTGTTCAACTTTAAACAATACAAGATTAAGGAAATGAGCAACAAGCAAACCTGTTGAGTTATTTAACAATCAATTATTAACATTAATTAATTTGAATATTTTATGCTTTAATATAAACTAACTCACTACTTCCGATTTTTCCAGTCCACTATAAGAAATCATTATCACAGATAAGGTAAAAGACTGTTATAACTCCAGTAAAGTATGCAAGAACCGGTTTATCAGGTGAAAGGACACTAATATACAACAACAGAAGTGAATGGAAGCCGATAAAGCTCCTGTCTTTATATGAATACGTAATAATAATTCAACGGTGATCAGTATTTTTATGACCTTAGCAACAAGTCGACTGAAATCTGCAGGAGTTACTAAAACTATAAATGTTTAACAAATTACATTTATTCAAAACGTTTTATTTACCGAATTGAATAATTATTCCTTACTTACTTTTAACTTTACATAACAAACTGTCATATGCTTAAACAAAAAATATGGCTGTAAATAATGATAATATATTTATTACTGAATAACCTATTTAATATATGTTAATAAATATCTTATCTTTTTAAGTTTTAAAACAATATTAAAACTATTTAAAAGGGACACCCACCTGCCACAGATGTAGCGGGAATTTTAATTTCTACCTTTTTTTTCTATATATATATATATTATAGGCATGATAGATAACGGCACAGAATCTGTGGCTAATGACAAACCTTCTTCGTTTACTACTATGGGCATATGTCATACGGTTACCAGCTTTAGGTTGATGTTATTTTTTAGTATCTATTTTATTTAAATTTTCTTATATAGATTGTTTACCAGTGAGAATTAATAATATAAAATATAAAGAATAATAATAACGTAATTCAAGATATTTGGTTCGACAATATTAAAATGCTCAGCATACGATATTTTAAGTTTATTATGAACACTAGTGTTGTTGCTTTGAATCATCAATTTTGTACTTGTGTGAAACAAGATTTTCCAAGGAATGTTATTAAAAACGAGGTGCTTGAAAATTTTCACGGTGATTTATCCGAATTTGCGCCAAATCATTCGCCGTCATACAATTTAGCTGCTTATGTAAATAAATCAGACACTCTCCAAAAGCTTATGAAATTGAACGTAAATCTCGCTAGAATAGAAAAAAAGCCTCATATTGGGGAGAAAATACTAAAATTAGACTTTGATAAAGACATTGTAAAGCATATATTTTTTCTGAAAGACTATATACACAATGAAAAAATTGGCGAATTCATCACAAAAAACCCTATGATTCTTTTTGAAACAATTGAAGACTTGGAAGTGAGGATAAATTATTTACAATCCAAGTTTTTTACTGGTACTGAAATAAGTAGGATATTAACAAAAAACCCTTTTTGGTTAATGTTTAGGTGAGACTTTAACACAAGGATTTCGTTAAATACCCATTTAGAAAAATGTGATATTTATTCATACAAAATTTACAGCACATTGCGTATAGACAAACGATTGGGTTACTTCCAGAAAAAGTTTTCTTTAACTGGAAATGAAGTGAGATATCTTACAACAAAACAGCCTCAATTAATAACATATAACCTTCATCATGTCACAACAAATACTTTTGTCATTAGAGAAGAATTTGGGTTTAATGACAATGAAGTGAAAGAACTTTTATTAAAAAAGCCTAAATTATGGATGATGAGTGAGTATTAGTGAACATTTCACTTAATTTATTCCTTTTTGCATATACATATTTGTATGTAATAGAATCTAAATATAATAGGTTTGGTAAATATACAATGTATTTAAAAACACAGTGTTTAGATTTAACATTATCTTTAAAGTAATTATATCTTTTTCAGATCAAAAGATACTACTAGAACGATTCAATTTCATTCACAATATTATGAAAATACAACATGAATCTATCTTACAAAATGCAAATATACTTACTTATAGAAATTTCATTGTGAAACAGCGACATTTATTTTTACAAAAACTAGGAAGAGCTCAGTACGATCCAATGAAAGAAAACTACATAAATCTTGATGCACTATGTAATGGGACTGACATAGAATTTTGTGCAAAATATGCAAAGTGTAATGTTCAGGATTTTAATACATTCCTTAAAACATTGTAGTGCTAACCAGTTTTTCCTAACATTACTTTATTTTGAACAACATTAATGGAATGATAAAGGAGTGAATCAAAAATTGCAGCTAAAGTAAAAACTCCTCCTACGATCGCACAAATGTTTGTTGCAAAGTGCCCAAGTGATCTGGAAAACGACAATATTATAATTATAGGTAGTATTCTAAATGTATAATCCAGTGATCAGTGAAATGGACACAGACATGTGCTCGCCCCATTCCCCATAAGGGGGAACTGGGCTTTTTTTTAAAATATATTATCCATAAAATACCTACCGTTCTTTTTCTGTATATTTTACCATTAAAGGTGATAACTCATAGCTGAAAAATGCTCCTGGCATACCAGATTCTGTATTGACATTAGAAACAGATTTCTGATGACGAGTGACAGAAAACTGATTTGTATGGTGGACCTCATTATTTAAAGTGACATACATCGTAGGAACAATCTTAACGTAATACTGGAACATTACTGCCCCTAAAACAATATTTACCAAAAATAAATAAAAAGAATACCTATTATTTTTCACAGAGATTACGTTTGAGATTAAAGCTCTACAGTCTAACGCGTTGCCTTAAAGAAAGAGAAGCTGAGCCTCGAATTCTGAGAAACCTACTAGGCAATCTATAAATATTGTTCAAAACAACACAATGTTTAATAATAATTATTAGTGGGGGCATTTAATATTATACGTTTAAATGTAATAGCTATTTAAGATTTCTTGTAGCCGAAAAACGTAGAAAATCTGGAAACGTATGATAATATGGGTATGGCATACTTTTTTGTATAGACAATAGAGTTTAGAGATTACTACGGACCCGACAATAGGCAGCTGTCAAATATTGACGTTTACAATACTATTGAGTACGATACCTATTATATTGCAGATATATTTTGTTGGTTAATTAACAAAAAAAAAGGAAATATTTAGGTCTTAATTTTAACATAATCACGTAGTATAGAAGGTACAATCATGCCAGTCCCCGGTGGCGTATACCAAACTCAAGGGCCTACATGTTTTGATAAAATGAAAATGGGTTTTATGATCGGCTTTTGTGTTGGAATGGCGAGCGGAGGCTTATTTGGAGGATTTACGGCACTGAGGTTTTCACATCTCATTTCTTTATTTACTTCTGTAAAAGCCAAAAAATATGTAATGTCAATTATGTTTGCAGGTATGGTGCCAGAGGGCGAGAACTAGTACATTCGGTTGGCAAAGTAATGTTGCAAGGTGGTGGCACTTTTGGTACTTTCATGGCTATAGGAACTGGTATTCGTTGTTAAAGAGTTATTATAGATGTATAATATACTTTATACTTCTTAATGGTTAGTACATAAATAAGTGATGTCTCCAAAACATGAATGGTAATTTGATTGAATATTACATCCTTAATTTTAAGTAGTTGAATAAAGATTCTGGTATAAGTTATTTTTGTTACCTTCTTTGGCTAATCCCATTTCACCATCTAGAGGTGCTGTATTGGCATTTTTTATATCAGAGCCAAAACTTAAATGTTTTATTATGTGAGTTGTGTTGAATACAGATGAAGAAAATGGCTGGACATCATGAACATGTATATGATTAATTGTAAAACTCTTTCCTGGAGCTATGTGAAAACTTCCACCAACCTGCAATGTATTGCTTAGAAAAAAAACTGCATTTATTTTAGTATTAGACAAAGTAAGGTTATTTAAATATTTACTCTGTTCACTTCCATGTATCCAAATAATTGACATCCTTCTTTTAATGCTAGGTTAACCTTTTCTATAGATTCATCATTTTTGCATTGCTCAATAGTAGCTAAATCAGGAAGAGCCCATCTTCTCATTTTATAGGCTTCTCTTACATCTTCACATGTATTACAACACCTGATGAAAATTTTATGTGAAGTTGTATTATAGAAAGCATGTCAAGCTCGTAGAGGAAAATATCAACAAACAGAGAGCCATCAAATAAAAATAAGAGAAAACATGCTGCATTAAGTAAGATTGATTTTCACATGTGATCCTCAACATAATACAGACATGATGCAAGACAACTATCAATAGTCTACCACAAATATAATATATCATGTATACTGTATATTGACACTAATACATATTACTTACTGAGACTCATTAAAAGCTGCTCCATAACAGCTACCACATGTAACTTTTGTTATTTCGGAAGACTTATTTGTTACCTGAAATAAAAATTATTTTAAATATAACACATTACTTATAAATTATTACTAAATATAATTGTTAAATTCCTACAAAATTAGATTACTTATTGAGGACTGTTATCGACGATTGCCTCACCTTGACAAAAAAAACTGGGAAAATTATTCATCTCATCAATTGCGGGTTTCCATTTCATACACTGTGAAAACGGTTCAAGATACCCAAAAAGTATGTATGAAAGAATATTTCCCTTTAAATTATCTAAAACAATCCGCGACAGTATATGTCTATCTTGGACGATTTACTTGGTAGAACGACACCATGCGGACTACATTGTGTGTAACAGCTTAAATTTATAGAGTTGAACAGGAGGTTTTCAAAAAGTCAATGACACAGGTAGTAACTAATAAAATGTTTAGATTTAACAGTGGAAGACGTAATCTCCTCTATGACTAGGAAAATGTGTTTCACTCTTGGTTATAATCATAATCATCACTAATTTTAGCTGTAGTGGCTAAAACAAATAAATTGTCACTGCATACTTACAGATGTAGTTGATACTAAAATTTCCTCTTTTTTTGCTTCTTCTATTGGGACACCATCAAGATCTAGACGCCTTTTAAATATATTGTGATCGATTTGTAAGTGTTGCTCTCCTGATGAATCCATTGCATCAAGTACTAAATCTAAAATTATTCAAATTACAAAATTTACTGCTCTTTTGTAAATTAGGAGAGATTAAGGATTATTTGCTACCTAAGAATTTCTAAAATAAAACAACCACATCTACCACTTTGTTGCCTAGCATTGTGTTAAGCAAAAAATGGTCCTGGGTTTGAAATATTAGATAGACTGGTAAACAGTTAACTTGAAATGTGTACTACATGGGTAGTAAGTACACAATTTATTTTAATTTAATTAAATTTAAAAGAAATAAAACAAAATAACTCTTACAATCACACGATATTCTTGGAACAATAATATCAAAATTAATCCTCATTTTATGACCTCTAGAGGTATCCACAAATAATTCTTCTGATATGTTAGGTGACATGTAAGTATGTAACTCTGACAGAATTAATAAAACCATCACTGCACCGCCAAGTATAGTAACTGAAAGTATATATAGTTATTTTAATATAATGTTAATCCATATAATTATATGGTTGTCATTAAAAAAGTTTTATACATACTAAAGGCCCCAGTTGCAGTCTTTATCCTAAAGTCTTCTAACGTTTTGGCGTATGCATCAAATCGTTTAAAATTATTTATTATTTGTGAAGTCATTATTTTACATATACAAACGTGGCAAAGAGCAAAAAATATTTCTTATGCGATAGAAAAAAAGTAAATTATCAGAAATTATTCAGAAAAAATTTGTAGTATTAATGCAAATTTAAACAAATATTCATCTGATTTTCTTTCTATACCATTTAGTCCAACTCTAGCACAGTTTATTTACTAGTCACTTAACTACAAAATCCATATTTCGCACAGTCAAAATGATTTGAATACTACGTGAGCACCAAAATAAAATTAACAAAACAATTCTACAACAGATATTCAATTCACACTACAGATGCATTAGAATCAGAGTTTCTGCCCTGTCTATGTTAAAGAAAAAATATCTATTATCTTTAGCTGTACGATCACATGAGTATGACATTGACAATTAACATTTTTTACAAAAAATATCAAAAAGTAGTAATAGTATGTCTATGTATTGGCTTTTCAGCGTTGTGATGTATTAAAATTATTTCTTGTATTGTGTTTGGAATATACAATACTATACGCTTGTATCTGTCTTCATTATAAAAATCGGAAAAAAACAGGTAATCATAATCTATTTAGTAGATATACGAACGAGGTAAAATGGTGTAACAAAAGTCGGTTATATTTATTCCGAAAATACATATTGACGTAAAAATGCAAACAGTATAATTTAAAAAAAGACAGAACACGAGATATTTATTGAACAGACCTTTAATTTTAACTTTAAACACATACACAAAACAATGCCGCTTTAAGGCATATTTCTGTCAATATTTATTTCAGAACTTTATTAATTTTATATATATTTGTAGTAATGTCCAAAATAAGCAGTATTCTCATTTCAGTATGGCAGGAAGTGATGATAGTAAACCCAATGCTGAAAACAATGAACCAAATGGTAGTAACAATGAAGTAGAAAATGGAAATGAAGAAAGCATTAATGAAGGTATGTAAAATATCTACCATTTATAGACTTATGCAAGAAGTATTGTACCTGCTAGGTATAAAAATATACAAAGTTGAAACTGTGTTAGTTTTTCTTCCCTATAATTTAATCCATTATGTCAGCTACTTAACAAAAATTCTACAAAATTGGTCAAACAAAAAAAACATCAAAATATATGATATTATATAGTATATTCCACATTTTTACTAGGGTATTATATCTTAACCATATAATTGAGGACTGGAATGAAATTTATAAAATAATTGTATATATTCAATCATATCTCTTTTTTAGAATATGACCAATTGGATGTGAAGTTGGATGAGCTGAATGAGGCATTAGATTTCTTAGAGCAAAAAAAATGATGATATTCACCAAAAGCTTAAGGAACTCTTACAGGCTAACAGAGATATACGAAAAGAAATGCAAAGTAGCAAATAAATTTATTCTGAATATAGATTATGTAAATATTAATATCTTATATTGTTAATAGATTTGCTGATATAAGTTTATGTGTAATATTTTATATGTATTATATATGAATAATATCATTATTTATTATTTAAAAAATAAATAGAAATATCCATGCAGTTTTGAATTACATTATTAGAAAGACAAACAAGCCTTACTCATTTTGGGAACAATATTAAAAACAAACACTTTACTGACTATAGATTTTGTTTAATGAAAACTATTATATCGGTTATGGAATAACATCAACCCTTCATATCCTATAAGATCCAAGAACCTTCCTATATATTGATATTTTATCAATGGTGGTCCTTTTTTATGAAACGTAGACCGCAATATCCACAAGAATGATTACCTGGTTTATCCTAAAACAATACATAGTCATATAAATAATAAGCTTTAAATATAGCGTGAGTTAATAAATGAAGAAAAGCTAAATCATAAAATCCTATTCTTAAAATTTTTATTATTAAACCTAATTGTCTTAAAGTTGACCTATTAAAAGATAGAAGTAATTTATCTGATAAATAAGGAGATAATAATTTATAATTGTAAGGAAGTATAGATTATTCATAGGTATATTAGTTACCAGATTGATATAGACTCTTGGATGACCCTCTGGCCCACTGCCACCATCACACCAAACTACCCTTTCTGTAACTTCTTTAGGTGGAATTTCAGCTATTAGATTAACTGCCCAATTTGTATTTACTTGTTTTGGGGCAAGTGTAAAGCGAGCAAGTCGATAGTCATCTGAGTCCCATTTCTAAAAGCATAAGCAAATGTAAATCACATTTTAGTCAATAATCAATCAGCAACTAACATATTTATACTTTACTTGACCCGTGTGAGTGGGGACGTCTTTTATTTTATTAGTTATGCAACGGATGAAACTCAAATTATTATGAATCCTAGAATTTTTGGGAACAAGTGCACTCCGAAGCATTATATTATTCATGACGATCACCTTGCGACGATACTGAAACTCTAAGAATAAATGATTTGATTTAAATTATGATAAATAATTTTGAACTATTATTTTCTAAACGTCAGTATACACAGATTGTCAATTACAATGTATTGTCAAATGTCAATCATAGTTCAGGATTAACAGTTTACATTCTTATCGTAGATTATATAACCATACTAAAATTCTTATATTACTTTAATTATAATTGTACAAAGCACAATTTCAGTATACAACAGATCTAAGTCAAGTAAATAAATCATGTTCGTGTTATAAAAGGACATACTATATACTACAGTACATAATTACGAACATACACAAGAATATTCCAGATCAGCTAGAGATTCTGGCACGACTCAATTTGAGGCTGCGTCCGCCGCATCCATTTAGCCGCATACCACCAAACATGACGCCTGGGCGCTTTTCATAGCGATCATCCGCGGACTACGCCCAGATGGGCCTCCCTGCACTTACTGCAGCGGCCTGCAAGAGACGCATTGATGGAAGAGCATATTATTGTGTCGCAAGTCCATTAATACCTAGTTGCGACCAAGGCTTGTGTAGTACTTTTTCGTGTATTCAAATAATGCATGGTAATTCAAGCTAAGTAGGTAGTACAATTCAAACTTTAAAAGCAATGACGAAGTTGACGAATTAAAAAAAAAAGTTTCTTAAGCACCTAAGTGTTTTTTTATACTTAACAGCTTTCTATGAGAAAGCCAGGTTTTTGAAATTTAAATTAAACCTTTGATGATTTGAATATAATATAATTGAAATAGAATAACCTTTTTGGTAGGCAAGTTACGAAGAAAAAGATCGTTCTAATTGTAAATTACACAATGTTATTTATTTGGCCGCTTATAACACGACAGATATAGACATACAACTTATTACCGCCTGCTGCTCAACTTGTCAGTAAGTAAGTCGAAATAATGCTTTAGGGCTAGCGCGCACTTTGCCACGGTGACTTTAAAGTGATTGTCATTTTCACGTCCAAAGTGGAGTGCGCTCACGAATAGAGACAGTGACAAAACATTTTCAAAATCGGAAGTGGTATTTGCCACTATGGATTTCGAAGAGACGGTCGTTCTCTCTGAACTCGAAAACGAAGAGCATACTGAGTACACCCCCTTTGGAGTAACAGGCTACACTACGTGGAAAGTTTTACACTATGTATTATAAACTTCGAGAACATTCTAAGGATTTTTTTAGATATTTTAGAATGGGCGCTTTGATGAATTATTACGCACTTTAGAAATAGATGAACTTACAATTAAATAATTCTTATTTATAATAATACTTAAACTATTATATTATTATAAATAATAATGATTATCAATAATAATAATTAAATAAGAATGCTATAGATTAAAGTGTCTTAGGTTAACAACGGTTTTTGTAGAGCGACAAGTTATCCCAAGCATTGGAAAATGTCCTACTAATTTCCCATGCTTTAATTTTCACGTGAATATCTGAATACTCTTTCAATTTTTTATCATAACAAGCCGATCTCTTTTCCAGTGCTTCTATTAGACCATCATTATCAATATTGTCTTCACGAATATTTATTACGTATCGACCGACGACCCACCCATATGTCACGTCGTAACATGCGCGCACCTCCATACATATTCACGGACTTGACCGGAGTGACGAACCAGTCACCGTGACATAAGCTTCATCTGACTCTGCAGACATTCAAGTGAGGTCATAACAAATGTTCGGAAAACTGCAGTCAGATGCCAGTCTGCTTGATGGACTTCCCGTATCGGAGTTAGCTTTTTGCAAATCCTTCTGAAAGTCCTTCATGCGGTAGGTGAAAGTCTCCTTCATGTCGTCCAACTGTTTCTTCAGTGATAAATGTTTACAAGTAGAAGAAGTGAAGGTTATTTAAGGATTTTATTTATGGAAACTAAATACTGGCACTAAGGGTAATTAAAGATGTATCTTAAATACTATTTAAGCACTATATTTAATTTTAAAATAATACCTAGTACAAATTTATATTTCATTACAGTTAAGTCAAAATAAAATAGTCACATTGAGAATTCATTCATTTAATGCTGTTTGCATCGTTAATATAATAATATACAAAATTGTAATAATTACATAAAATGATTTTTAAAATAAAGTGATAAATTTAACAACACTCAGAACAATAAAACATGATGTATGGTAATTAGCCATTGAAAAAAAATACAACTATAACAAAGCATTTGAGACCTGATCTTATCAAGCGAGATGCAGCATATTATTTTTTTAAGTTTTACACTTATTTTCAAATTAATACACAAATAGTATGAATGCTTAACCCACACTTTTAATATAATGTAAGAGATCTGGGCTTTTTATTTTTGCGGAAAAGAAAAATAGATAATCTATATTCCAAGGCTTACATCCTATAACTACGTATCCTAGATTATATTCTTAAAAATAGCATAAGTCTAGAGTGACAATTGGCAAATTGCAATTTTCGAAAGGGTCAAAAGCACTTAACAATTTCTCAGTTACTACAGCGTCATATTGATATACATTCCAAACGAATGCGATGTTTAATTATGTTACGACTATATAAATTAAAAATGTATAAGGTATTGTTTCAATGATATTAACCAGTCAAAAAAGTTGTAATTCCCGCAAATATTATTAAAAATAAATGGAAATTAAAATTTGAATACTTTCCAATTTACCACGTAATAATATTACTACTGCCATTTCTATTCAATATACAATAGCATTATAGATTATATTTATGATGAAGACCAACATAATATTAAAGGAATTTATCTTACTCTTAACTAGTGAAATCAATTATTAGAATCAAATGATTGTCTAGTCGAACTTGATCTTAGCTCACGTCGTGTACCCGCTAAACCTTCTTCAGAAGGTTTACGAGTTTTTTTTCTACCACCTTTGCGGGCGATATCGGCATTTATTTGCTCTCCCCCCTCATTTATGTCTTCATATAGGTTTTCATCTTTTTTCTCGCCTTCGGATTTATTGCTAAAAGAGTCAACAGTCTGTGAGATATCAACATCTTGGTGAGTATTAATATTTGGACTTGGGAGCATTGATTGTGACTTATCATCTCTTTCTAAATTATGAGGCGTAGTTTCTGAAGATCTGTTCATTTCAAAGTCACTGTGCTTGTTCTCCAGTGCTTTGATTCCAGTCTTGATGACAGTTGATGGTGCTATTAAATCTTCTAAATCCATTTCACCAGTGTTCGCTGATGAATCGGTTTGCTTGTCCCTAGTTGTAGTCATTTCTTGAGTATCTTTTAACTTTTTTGCTGAAGGCTGTAAAGCTAAATTTTCAGGTTCGGTAGCTATGTCATCTGCGGTTCTTTTATTTGCAACATTTATACTAGTGTCGTCGGACGTTAAACGTGTCCCAAAGTCAGGTTTTGTAATTTTATCGAAGGAATCTTTTTCAATATCTTTATTTTTCTTTGTTTCAGCAGAACTAACTAAGCTGGCGCTAAGTGCTCCTGATGCCATTTGTTCTAATAACATTTTGTTTACATCAATATCTTTTTTATCACCCTTTAGTAATTTCTCTTGAACTGCCGCAAATTCTGGAGGTATACTAGAACGTAATGTGTCATACGCCATTTTCTTTTTGTCTACTTTTGATAGATCTGTGGCTGTTGATTCATGAATATGGTCGGTATCTCGTGATCTTTTATCAACTTTCATTGACACTTCGTAATTTAAAGCTTGTTTCGATATAGATTCTAATAAATATGGATCAGGAGGTAACAATATTTGGGGTAAATTCGATGACTGCGCACGATCGGAGACCTTTTGCTGTCTCGATGTCGAAGTAGGAGTAACCACTGTGGATGATCTAGGCGTAGTAGTTTTCGAGGTTCGAGAACTAACATTAGGATTATGTAAAGTTGTCCCACTGGATGTGGCTGTCAAATTGCTCCCTAATAGGCCAAGAGCATCATAAGGTGATGATATTCCGGAGTGTACCCCAAAAGGTGATAAACTATTCAAACCAAGCTGTGGATATAACATATTAGGATTTGTAAATACAAATGGAAATTGTGAGTTGGATGATTTTGTAGAAGATGCACTGCTTGTGGATTCAGGTGGTTTCCTTGATTTTGATTTACTTTCCGATGTGTTACCGCTTCCGGTAGCACTATTAATATCAAGTGAGGGGAATCCCGGTAATCCTAGGCCGGCCAAATTAGAGAATAAGTTACCACCTGCCATATTACCTAATAAATTAGGCATCCCACTGAAAGAATTTAAAAGCAATTTTGGGTCAAATCCCGTGAGATTAGATAGAGTAGCCGCCAAAGTTTTGGGGTCAAAAGCACTTAAACTAGACAGGCTAGCCAATAGAGCTGGATTGAGGCCAGCAAGATTTTGATTCAAATGGCTGTTAGAAAGAACATTCGTAGATGAAGCATCGAGTGTTGGCGGCCTACCTTTTTTTCGTTCGGGTACAGAGGTACTTTGCATAGGGGAATGACGTTGGCTACGAACATCCTGTGGCAGTTTAACATGTTCTTTTATACCCTCGGTCCATTTAGAATCTATATCATACATCGGATTTTCTGCTATCCAATGAGCTAAATGTTTCAACTGTGGTGCCTTATGGCCGACAAGACGTTTTCCTGTTACTCTATGGACAACTGGAACATGCTCATCGGGCGATAAGCGCGGTGTTTGACTTCTTCGTCTATTATCAACGTTGGCTTGTTCTGCAAGCCACTTATTTACTTTAGCTTCATGTGAAAAGGATTTGGGCTGCATTGAATGTACTGGTTTCGGCGTTTTAGTATTTTGTTCTAAAGATTGCTGTAAAAAGGATGATAGTTCCTTGGATGATGTATGTGAAGATGGGACATTGCTGACTGTGACAGAAAATGGTTTTTGAAGTGGAGCACTAGAAGTAGAAGGAGGTGCCGCTGGGGTAACAGTTACTTCTGGTAGAATAGTTGAAGTTTTTGCCCGTGGGACCTCATATGAAGAATTTGAATTTGGACTTCGACCTTTGGCTGCTGAAAGTCCGAGGACAATTTCATCTAGCTTCTTCCTTTTCTTCTCTTTTCCAACAATTTGCTCAGGAGCTGGCTGAAAATGTTATATAAATTCGATAAAAATTAAGAATTAAATGAAAATCAATAATATTTATAAGATAACTATGTCTAAAATGTTATTTTCGTGTGATGAAAAACAATAGTTATCATACCAACTGTTGTATAATAACTCAAAGAGCTTTGGTTTGTTGTGTAAAGTCTGTATAATAAAAAGGCATACCACATTCTTTCTCTTCATCAGTCTGTTAAGTGTATCATCTAATCTGCTTCGTGTTGGTGCAGTCTGTGTGTTGTCGGTCTGAGGTGTTCGTCGACCCATAGAAAAATCTTGCGCTTCGCTAAGGTCCAACGGTGTAGAGAGATCAACGGGTGCTGACGTTGATGGTGAAGGCGGCACAGAAGGAGCTGGCGAAGGCGCCACTCGTTGATGAGCAGGTGGTGGCGCAGGTGTCGACCGCCGAGAACTAGAATCACTTGAAGCATCATCTATCTCTCTACTACCTATCGTTACACTGGTCGATGCAGGTACATTATTTGTTCTGTGTTCGCGACTACTTGCATGAGCTGCTTGGGGTGTAGATAGAAGAGCGTGTAATTTAGCCCTCTCAGTCTCTACATCGATAGCGATATGCCTTTTTTGTGTTTGTTTACGCTCCTCAGAGGACTCAGATGGGACATCTTCATTTTTATTTGACGAGGCCGATGTAGCGGGCCACTCACAGTTTTGAACAGCATGCGCTATATGATGAAGACGCGTTTCGAGTGCTCTTTCTGTAAACCATTGATCTGGTGACAATGGTTCTTCGATTCTTCCCAATTTAGCGAGGGTTTCTAATTCAGACAGTGCGTCCATATCGTCCTGCACGTCACGGTCGTTAATATTTGAGGTACGTTTACTTCTTCGCAATGAACGTGTTTCAGTAGTACTTTCGTTGGCTGATTTTTCATCATCATCTGAATTATTTTTCTGAAAATCACTCTTATTCCCAGTCTTATATTTTGCATACCACTTTCTGGCAGACTCAGCAAAGGGCATTTTAGGATCACAGAATAATTTAGAGAATGTATCTCCTAATCCATGCCTGCAACAATGTTAGAAATATAAAAACAAGGCAACATAATAAGAAGAGATAATTATTCTTTTTATATCTCCGAGGATTATTCTTAAAGTAATTTTTTGTGTTATCATTGCTAGTATGAATAAATTAAAAAACATCAGTTCACATTCACATTCAACTCACTTGCAAACTCCTAACACCAGATATTTGTCATGTAAAGCCGGTTGCCACCATGTTGGCGTATCCAAAGATCGTTCGCATAATGCCAGGCGGGATTCTAATGCAGGGTGTGGCGCCACCTCCTCGCGTAAAACACGAAGTAAGTCGATTCTAAAACAATTCCCGAAAATTAAACAATACTCATACACTTTTCTAGAGGAAGCAGAAATAAATTATGGCCTTTCTCATGACGGTTACAAGCCCAGCCCAGCCTTCAGGAAATATACATTGGCAATCGTTACTATCGTATGATAAATACCTTTCTAACGTAGCGATAGCTCTTTCTTCGCCAATCGGTTCAGCTTTCAAATCTGCTCTAGTTGGCAATTCAGCTTCACCCACCGAAAGACCACATTGCCGTTTGCACATAGCCATAAATGCCTTCAGGTAATCAGTTAAGGCGTCGTCGCTCTTAGAATCCAATCTAGCCAATGACCGGAAACGGTTCCAGCGCAAGCTTTTTGTTGCCGGATCAAACTCCACACCATAAGAAGCGACAGTACGACGAAACGCTTCTTCATCGGCTCTACTCCAACGCCACTGAGACACTTCATCTCTCACTAATTGATCCATGCGTTCGCGCCTTTCCATCTGCATCAATATTATGTACATTTTAAAATCATAATACTATAAAATATATAAGTACTGATTGATAAAACATAAGTCTGATGTCGGTACTATGATGATTGTTGTGATTTTGAAGACGAAGGTTTTAAAATAGGCGCGTGGCGACCGAATACTATATTCGGAAGAGTTAAAATGTAAAATATATTTTTTTATTGAAGGAAATTTATAAGTTCATAATATCTAAGAATTATGACATTATAACATTAACATTTAAAAATTCGTTAGTTTGTTACCTTAGCCCTTTGTTGCAATTTAAGCTCCTCGCGTTTGTAGTTTCTCTGATAGGCAGTGATAAGTCGTCGTAATCGTGTATTTAAATCTTGCATCGAGGGCCAAGGATGCGATGAGTCATCGTCTGGCCGTGGAGAGGCGGCGGCACCGCTTGACACTTCATCCGTACAGTCTTCATCGCCAACCACGCTGCCGCGAATCTTTCTTTCTTCGCTCCTGTTATTTTTTACAATTTATTCAAAAGAATATAGTATAAAATGAATTGTAAAAAAATTACCTATATGATAAAAAAAAATTAATTTTCTTTTAATAAGAAAGTACTCACTTGATATCAGTACATTCTGCGTCATCAGGTGGTCCTAACTTTTCCACGAAACAGAGTTGTGGATCGGATCGCATTGCTAAGTAATTCTCGTAGCCATGTTTGTATGTACCCGCTAATAAAGATACATCACATTCTGTATCCCACCACAGACGCGGTGGTGCACTGTCAACCCCTCGTGGAACTCTCATTCCCATAGCACTACAATAAAAAGAAATAAAAATCATGCAGTCGTCGACAAAAATTATAGTCCAAAATAATTTTAATTTTTGACCACGCAATTTTTGTTCATGGTTTACATTAAAAATATTTATATGTTTCACTGTACCTGGCATGTGTTCCGTTTTCTATTTGTGCTGCATAGTCTCCTATAACCTCATGTTTGATGTAATACATCATACGAACTCTTAGAAGTACCCTGAAAACACAATAAAAATTATTCCTTAGAATCATGAGACTAATACAGATTATTCAGAAATTAACTATAGGTTTTAAATAAAACGCGCTATAATAGTTAAACATATTTGAGAACGATTTTTAACATCGGCCCGACGTTTCGGATGCTTCGCAGCAGCCGTGGTCACGGGGAGTCTCCCCGTTTTAAACCGTTAATGTTTTATTTAAATGTGTACTACTCGTGTAAACTATATACAGTATTTAACTATAGGTTCTCAACAGCATAAACAATTAAAGGAAAATTGTATACTCACTTGTTAGCATGTCTAAATAAATGCTTTTTATAACTGTTTTCTAAATATGCCTCACAGTCATACTTTTCGTGAGAACTCCAGTGATTTGGATCTTCCCATCTTTGAAGGTCGTTTTGTTTAGGGACATCTTTTAATCTATTTTTTTTCTTGGCATTTCTGCCTCTGGGAACAGGGTTATGCAAACCACTGTGGTTTCTTGAGATAGTAACTTCACCATTTTCACAGGGTTCAATCAAGTCCCAAATAAAGTTTCTAATTTTCTCATCACCTTTGTAATGCCGAAGACAAAATAGCACCTAAATCAAAATATGATATTGAAACCTACATAATACACATAATATTTTTGATTATTTTAAGACAGATCAGTTTCATTTAAGATCGTTTAACTCAGCGAAAGTCATAACTTTCTCGGTATTAGCATGGCTATTCATCATAACATAGAATAATAGTCTGACGTAAGAAAAAACACTAAGAAAAACCATTGGCCGACGGTACTTAGAAAACTCCGTACATTATTAACCGCGATTAACCTTAACGAGTCTTTTTCAAATGTATTTTTTTTTAATAAGTGAGCCAGACTGGTGTCAAATTCCTAAGTTTATCAAAATGTCATATGTCAAGCTCAGACTTCTGTCGGGCAATAGTAACTTGAAAATACTACTAAAAATATACCTTTTATATTTTTCTTTAAATACTTACGATAATCCTTGCGCAGTCTTCTATCACAGGAAGTGTCCAACCTTTTCTAAATTGATTTCTGTCAATTATCTCTTCCCATCTAGCCCACCTGAAACACAGCCCAGCTTAGTAAAATAATACAATAAAGAAAATATTTCACGTATGAATTATTTTTAAATAGGAACATACCCAAATGTAAGAAGACCTCTTTCAATCTTAAAACACTCTGACCTCGTCCAGGATCCATACACAACTTCTTCATCTATTGGTACACCCTCGTGCCTTGGGACATAATCATCACTAGCATATCTCCGTCCCTTTCTACCAAATTTCTCTTTCTTTCTTTTACTTCGAAGACTAATGCCTAGAAAAAAAAATATTCAGTTAAAATTACACAATAATAGAACCAAACTTCATAATAATGTGAGCTTATTTCTGAACTTGCTTGATGCTTTAAAATAGTAAATGCAGTGAAAGAATAACATTGTTACAGGTTAATGAAATGAAATAAAATAAATAAAAATCATTTTAATACTAAAATATTAATTACATACCGTCTTCATCATCATCAGAATCTGGCGTCACTTCCATGTCGGACATTTCCATAGGTCCATCATCATGACCATATCTTTTAATAACAGTCCTCTTTCGGGGCTCCGTAACAATTAGATCTTCGTCCTCCTTCTTTTCAGTAGTATCAATTTCAGCCTTTTTGGCCCATTTGTTCCAAAAATCAGGATCTCTAATGTCAATATCCGATCTTTGATTAGCAGCAGCAAAGCTAGCTTTTGAGAATGTTGATCCTTTCTCAGATTCCATTTGAATAACTTGGGTTCTTCGGGCCAAAATCATTTCAATGTCTTCTTCGCAGAATTTGTCCCCCGCATTGTCTTCGTCCATTACGGCGCCATAAGCACCTTTCTTTAACAAATCCTCGATTTCTTTTTTCGACAGTTGTTTAAGTCCAGTTTCTTTACCTTGTGAGGTATTCATGCTCTGTAAAATAGCTTTGTCCAACCCTAACTTCAATGATGCTTTATCAAACATTTCTCTTTCATACGTATTACGGCAAATAAGCCTATATATCTTGACCATTTTCTGTTGACCTATACGATGGCATCGCGCTTGAGCTTGTAAATCGTTTTGAGGATTCCAATCACTATCATAAATAATGACAGTGTCAGCAGCAGTCAAATTAATTCCTAATCCTCCAGCCTTTGTACATAATAAAAAGACAAATCTGTCAGAGTCAGGTTTAGAAAACCTATCAATAGCCTCTTGTCTTAAATTGCCTCTAATGCGTCCATCGATTCGTTCAAAGGGATATTTTCTATACAATAAATAATCTTCTAAAATATCTAAACATCGTACCATTTGACTAAAAATTAAAACCCTATGGCCTCCGGCTTTTAATTTAGGTAAGAGCTTGTCAACCAAAACCATTTTTCCAGAGGACTGAATAAGTGCTTTATAATAAGCTTCTTTATCTTCGCCGTTAGCTTGTTTATAATCAAACTGAATCTGGTCTTCAGCGCCATTGAGCAAATAAGGGTGAATACAGCACTTTCTCAGTTCCATCATAGTGTTCATTAAATTAGGTATGTTTGCAGCTGACGCAATGCCTTTTTGTAAGAAACTAAAATTACGTTCAAGAATAGCTCGGTAATATTTTTTCTGAATATTAGTTAATTCTACTTCTATTATAGTTTCTTCTTTGGGTGCCAGCGTTTTCTCGACGTCTTCTTTAAGTCGCCGCAACATCATAGGTTTTAACAACGCTTGTAGCTTTATTACTTCCGACTCAGATTTCAATTGTCCAAATTCAGTCAAAAAGGCGTCGCTACTAGAAAATTGGGATGGTTCTAAGAAATTTAAGAGCGAAAATAATTCATTGACGTTATTTTGTAATGGAGTACCTGATAACAGTACCCTATGTTCTAAATGTAATTGTCTTAATCCCTCTAGTAACTTACAATTTCTGTTCTTAAGCCTATGCGCTTCATCTATAACGCATATCCTCCAATTGAAAGACCGTAACTCTTGAAAATCTGTTACTATCATTTCAAATGTTGTAATGAGAACATTAAATTTAGTAATTTCTTTTATAGGCTCGCCATTTTCATTTTTGTAAAAAAATTCATACTCCTGGAGCATACTTTTGCTTTGTTGAGAGCCATGATATACTATCACGTTCATATCTGTCCATGCTTCAAATTCTCTTTGCCAGTTTGGTATCGTAGAGAGTGGTGCAATTATAAGAAAAGGTCCACGAATACCATATTCCCATACCGAATTTACAAACGTTAAACTTTGTATCGTTTTCCCCAATCCCATCTCATCTGCCAAAATACAATTTCTGTTATTATGCCAAGAAAACAAAAGCCAATTTAAACCTTCCAACTGGTAGGGCCTTAAATTGTTGCCACCTTTATACAAAGGAGATTCTTTTAATTGAGTCCAATGTTCTGCTGAAGGCCGCTTTTTATATTTCCATTTTTCTTTAGGAGGTATATCACTAAATATTTTATATTGTTTTATTTTATCTACATCTATATCTTCCTCTAACTCCCAGGTGCTGTCTTCATATTGTAAACTTTTCCATTTTACAAGATAGTGCTTCACTACCGTACTACTTCCCGGATCTTGATTTTCAGACATATCTAAGATTCTTTCCACTTCGACGTAATCGGGATTAAACGGTTCTTCATCTAAAAGTTCGAAAATATTCATTTGTTGAGCTTGTTTTTGCTTAAAGCGTTTTATTTTTGAGAATATTCTTTTATCACCTTTGTAGAGTTCTTCTTCTGTTTTCCATTCACAATGAAGATAGGAAAAATTTCGGTATTTAACGAAATATTCTTCTACATCACATAAAACGGGTTTGACATTTTTCAAATCATTTTCAGTGTTATTCGAGTCTGCTTTGGACTCAACGTCTTTTGCAACAGTTTCTGAATCAATTGTGTTGACATTTTCTTTAGTAATATCTTCTTCCACAATAGGCTCTTCTTTAAACTCTTCATCGTTAACCTTATTATCGGTTACAATGGATGTACCAGGGTCTAAAGGTACGCTATTATCATTGTCATTTTTCGTAGTCAGTGTTGTTATAGATTCAGTTATATGAATTTGTGGTTTTATCTCTCTCTTACCCATTCTAGAAGCCAAGACATGTTGAACAATCATAGAATCTTCTTCCGTTGTATTTACGTACATATAATTTGGTTTCGGTGCACCTTCAAGACGACTTACATCTTTCATATCGAGACTTGCATCGTCAAAGTCTTTCTCTAAACGTGGTGGCAGGACAGGGAATTCGTCATCGGATAATCGCAACATTACATCATCAGTATATTTCTTACGCTGAGTATTTCTTGCTGATCGTCGTTTCAGACTGTCATCACCTTCTGCAGGAGGAGAAGGTGGAGGTGTAGAAGCCATATCATCAGGTTCACCATCAGACTCAGGAACGATACCTCCTCTTTTTTTCTTTTTACCAGAAGGCGTTTTTCGTGTAACAACCTTCTTACCAGCCCCCCCAACAGAACTTCGTTTCTTTGTTCTCTTCTTTCCGCTCATAAAATCAGAATCTTCATCTTTTTCCAAATCTTTTTTAGATTCAGCTTCTTCTAACAAATCTTTTATAGCAATCTTTGATACTGGAATATCATCAAAATCAGTAACATTTGAATCATCCAAAGTAGGCAAGTCTGGAACTGTTTTTAAAGTTTCATTCATCAAAGTCTTATTTAAAATTGCATCATTCATACTACTGTCAAAACTATCTTTATCCATAATATCATTCCCTGTCGTTGTATCAGCCTGTACTTCAGACAATCCTTTTTTAACATTGCGTTTTCTTTTAGGAGCATTTGGATCTTTAGGCAACCGCTTTTTCCTTTCCTTAGTAGGTTTATCTCCAAATTCTTTTGCAGTTTTAGGTTCTTTAGGTGCACGAGGTTTCCTTTCTTTACCTTTTCGAGGGCCTCTTACTTTTTTCATCTTTCCAGACTGATCAACAGAGATAATACTACCATCCAAATGTGAAATATCTCCTTCAGTTATCTCATGATCCATATCAGTATTTAACCCAGTTCCAGCCGTAACACAATCCTCTGATACGGGCAATTGATCTAGAGGTTGTGTTAAGCCCAATTTATCTTTCTTGGTACGCGGTTTCCGAGGTTTAGCAGGGCCTTTTCCTCTACCGCGACCGGTAGTGCTAGTAACCTGGGGACTTTCAACCATTTTAGAGCCATATATAGGATTTTGTAAAATACAATTTGGACCTCCACTACAACGATCGTTAGTTTCATGCTGTTGCAACATGGCCAAACGATCCTGTAAACACCTGACCTTTTCTTGGTTTTCATTTGATGGTAGCAAACAATATATTTCCTGAATTTGCTGTTGCAAAGCTACTCTTTCTTGATGATGTGAAGTTGCATACATTGGAGGTAAAGATGGGTGGTTGACATTGTTACCTCCCATCATTATTACATTAGGATTTAAACTTTGTGTAGGTGTTGGCATTATGTTTGTTTGGTTAGGTGTAATGTGAGTTGACATGTTAGGAAGAATATTCTGACCAGTGATTGGAAGGCTAATCTGAATATTTGGTGAAGGATTAGGATGTGTATTAGAAATACTTCCCTGCAAGGGAGATAAAATGCTAGGACCAGCCGATGATAGTAAAGTCATATTTCCTGGTGAACTACTCATTGATATTGTTGATGTCACAGTATTTTGAAGGTTGGTGTGCTGAACAGCATGGGGGGATGGCATATTTGTTATGGGTTGCGTTGCAACCGTTACATCGCTTTGATATGGAGTAGATGAATTATGAGATGGTGCTCCAGATATACTGCTTGGTATGGTCAAACCTGTAGGCATTATTCCTGGAATATTGGTGTAATTATTGCTCGAGTATTGCTGATTTTTATCGATTTTATGGGCGATAGTGCTTTCAAATTGGTTTTGTGTTGCATCGGAAATATTATTAGAAGCTTGCGTAAGCGGTGTTGAAACATGTTGAGCATTGTTTGTTTTTTCGTTAATTGGCTCAGTATTTAATGGAGGTTGAATATTTTCCTCGGAGGTCGGTTCAAGTGCAATAGGAGACTCAATGTTTTTTAATTGTTTACATTCAATTTTTTGGGAAACATCGTGCGTATTATGCGCGCCATATGTATGTTCCTCTCTAACACCCAATGATACAGGAACCTCTACTGGCTGCTTGCTTTGTTTATCTTTCTTTTCGTCACTTTCGACTGCTGCAGGAGACTGTAAACTTGGTACAGAATTTGGCATAGCTTTGGAAGTGCTGGAACTTAAAGCAATATTTTGTTGAATATTGCCCATAATGTTGGGCGATAAGAACATTTGTGACTTTTTTAAATCATCCGATTTTTTATCATTGTCGCAAATAACGGATTCTTCTTTCTTTGCTTCAGTATTTGATTTCGTAAACGAAATATTTTTAGCAACATCTAAAACGGGTTCAATAGTCTTAATTGCTGTTTCGTTAGAATCAATTGTTGGTATATTACTTAAAGCCGTAGGTATTTTGCTCTGGGTCCACTGCATGGGTGCAGCAGTAACATTGTGACCAATAGTAGACGTAGTCTGGTTGCGTTGAAAAGTATATTCTCCCCCTGGTGGTAAAACCATTTGTTCTAGAGCTTGCAGTGTATTTTGAGAAGTATAGGTTCCAGATACCGCTGGAGGTCCTGAAGAAGCTGGAGACGGTATCATCGAACGCGCACCGTGTGGCGAAGCACTTGGGCCTTTAACAGGTGACATAACTGGACGCGGTGACACCTGTGGTTGAGATTGTGGTTGTTGTCTAGGAGAAATTTGCGCTCGGGGTGACGACATTTGTGGTGATAATTGCGGGAATGGTGGTCTATATTGGGGACTTCCAGCGTCAAGACCTGATTTAACGGACCCATATTGAGTTGTAACATTAACATCAAGAGGGTGTTGTACTTGGTGAGGTTGATAGTTCATTGGAAGTCCATGGTGGGGAGCATAGGGCATTTGGGATGGATGTCCTGATCCAACTGAAGGAGGTGGTACTAACGGTTGACGTGGTACGTGATGCAAAGATGGTGGACCATGATGTAAATGTGAGCTTGGGTGGTTTTGAATTCCTGAGCCAATTGGAGCATGTGATGGCATGTTTTGGTGCCCTTGATGTTGCGGCATTGGACCATGATTTTGTTGACCATGTGTTAAGCCATATTGGTGTGTATTTACTTCCATTTGTTGATGATATGTAGGATGTTGGCCAATTCGTGATGCTGACGGTGGATGCATTTGAGTGTAATTGGGGTAATTCTGAAAGATAAAAAAAAACAATTATAAAAACCGTGACATTGCAGAAAACATATATTTAAAAAAAATAATTTACTTGTTGTTGCCCATAAAGCTGTTGTGATGGTGATTGAGAGAAATGAGGCTGCCGAGGGATATACGCGCTATTTTGCGCCTGTAAACCACCTATTCCTGGGCCCTTAAAAATATTCATAGTTACGTTAATAGTCAATACAGTAATGTTGTATTAAGAATAAAAAAAAATATAAATTAATGTGTCTGCAGTTTATATTTAAATGTTATGTACAATTGAACCTAATAGAGTAATATAAACACAAGATGAAAATTACCTGTTGTGGAGGGTATTGATGCATTTTTTGTTGATGTTCATAACTGTGTCTATATGCAGGTGTAATTGGTGCATATCTGTTGGCTCCTGGGGCACTTGACCAAACTCCCATATCTCCAATACCTTAATTACATAAAGCAATTTTGACTGCTTTGTTCAAAAGAACATTTAATTTAAAATACATCCATTCTTATACATACCTTGTTCAGACATAGAATACATAGGATCAGGTCCAGGATGGTAACCTGGATAAGCATGTGAGGGATGGACATGATGTGATGGATGTATAGGACCATGAGGAGGTTGAGGCAAGCGGGGTCTAGGAGGATATGCATATTCATGATAATCTGGAGTTGGTGGAACAGTGTTCTGATTAGATGCTGTTTGTGAACTATTTGAAATGCCACCAGAACCTCCTCCTCCAAACGAAGCCAGTTTTTGAATAGTTCCTTCTTGAGCAACAGTGTTTGAACTGTAAGGCTGTCTATAGCTGCAAAATAATTTAAGGTTTTGATATGCAGTAAGTCAGGAACTGGCTTTATAAGACCATTTCAAATGAAATATTCTTCAGTCTTGTAAGATATTTTTATTACCTATTTTCAGAAGATTCCTTTGTTTCACTTCCTACACTTGGAGTATTAGTGAAGCTATCTGATCCACCAAGATCAGTAAGTCCTTCCAACATACCGCTTCCATCATCACCAAATAAATTATATGAGTCCATCACTCTTTTAGGAGTGAATTAAAATAAAGTTATGGTTAAATATCCAAGGGCATTTTTCAGCGTCCATTTTCATCTGAAAATAAATTTCTTTAAAATCTCGGGTCTACTTAGTTCCATATTTTTGGGCTTATAGTTTTTACGCAATCCTTTAAAGTCTAACGTTTTAATGCACTAGACTATTTAGTTTTACATATATGCTAAGAATACACATATAAAAGCAGAACTTTACTTAATGCCAGTAGGCAATAACTTTTTAATAAAATGTTAAGTAGTAAAAACTACAACAAAGTAAAACTGTAAATTTTTGGCATTTAATAATAATGTGTAATAAGCAATATTTTTATTTTATCAGTAAATTCTTCTTAAACATGTTGCATGTTGACTTTGTTTGTAAAACCAAGGGGAAAAGCTATACGCTTATGAAGAAAGATAGAACATACAGCGACACAACTTTTCCCTTTTAGTTAGACAACAAACTTCCCCAACCATAACACTAAAAATATAAAATTTTAAGTGAGTTTGTAATCTGTAAAGAAGCACATCTATGTACAACAATATTAATGCATATCATTTACAATTCACACTTTGGGCTACTTACAATATCTTCTATGTTACATTTATATATGCACTGGTAATTCTAACAGAAGACATATTTCGTAATATTTGTGCATATGAATCTAAAACATTATGTTATACACACAATATACAAGCTGCAGCCGCGACTTTGTCCACAAAAAATATATTTTTTTGAGCATCAAACTTTGTTTTGGCAAACCTCCTCCTCAGCTTTATAAATTATAGATCATCCGCATCTAGTTATTCTTGCAAGTTAATATTAAAAGATAGACATAATGTCAGGGACATGTTTTAGATGATTTAAGGAGGCATCATTCTTTTGTGCATATTTTTCTTGAATTGTTTTCTTATTATAACTATTGCTCATAATGTGATGTTTTAAGGCCTACAGCTTTCCTCGATAAATGTTCAAACAACACAAATAATTTTTTAATTCAAACCAGTAAGTAGTTCCTGAAATTAGTGCGTTCAAACAAATAAACTGAATTTTCAGCTTTATGATATTATAGTCTATACTAACGGACATTCGTTTATGCACTTTTGATTCAATCGTTACATAAAATTCTAGGCTTAATAATGAAGTAACTATTTCACAAAAAAATATTTTGTTTTTAAAATTGGTCTTCAGAAGGGTAATTTCCAAAGGTGACATTCGTAAACTATGAATAAATAATATTTACTAACATTAATAATTAATAATCCGAGTTAATATTAATATAACTTAAATAAGGTTCAATGCTAATTCTCACAATATGTACATTTTTAAATCTTCTCTTGATGAACCATACAGAAGATTACAATCCATGAACTTAATATTGTATTAAAAATAGGAGATCAAAATGGCCCAGTCTTGTATAAAAAAAAATTATGAAATGAGTTATTGAATTTAAAGTTCTCACATTACATGCTTCATATATTGAACTTCAATTAATTAAACTAATAAAATCTCCTTGTCGGTTAGAGTTGCTCTATATTTACAAGGTAGTATAATTTCTACTTACAATAAACGCCACACAACACGAATGATCACAAAATGGACACCATACTCCTAAAGCTATTGAATCCAACAGTTCAACTTATAATGTCTATAAAATTTAATATGTTCACTTCAACTTCTAGTATTAGTATCTTAAGGGAAATTGAGATTCATTAACAGGGATTAATAAAGTACGTCCCCAAATGAAATACTTAAATTATCATAGCAAATTGCTAACTACACTCCGTCCATTTTGTTTTAAGACAAATGTTGCCAAGGAACATAATTATTCTGAGTGTTGCCCAAACTGCTCTGGGATTGAATGCATGCTATTATTTTTTTCTACAACTCTACGTTATTTAATATTTACATCCGTCATACCTAATACCGAGCAATGTGCCGCCACATTGCTCGGTATTAGGTATGACGGTCTCAAGGTATCAAGTTTATATTACCAAGATGACGTTGTCGTATCAAAAAGTTTTCCATATTCTATAAAACCTCAAACACAAATAACAGTGATAGCAACAAAAGCCACGAAATTGATAAGCTTTAGTCCAAATAGACCGTAGACTATTGTAATTTGTAAATATAAACGTATAGTCTGTATTTTATAATGAGCGAGTGTGGCTTCTATAGCTTTGGTCCTCGTCTCTGTTTTGTTATTATTAATTGTAGTATTTAAAACAAATTTTACTATAGCTTTTTGTATTTTTTAAAAGAAGAAATTAATATTTTTGTATCGTGATTCTCTTCGTATCATTCCAATGATTTTTCAAATTCACCTCGAACCGATATCATTACAAACTTTAATGTTAATTTTTGGTACCGAAAGGTGGTAGCCTGCAAAATCGGAAGTACATTGTGGTTATAATAACATAATTCGTAACATTGACAACACTATTCGATGATGATTAAGCTCGTTGATCAAGTTGTACGCAGTTTCAAAGTGGCTAAAGTGTTCCGTGAGAATACTGACAAAATAAACAGCATTGATTTTTCGCCTAGTGGAGAGACGCTTATATCATGTAGTGAAGATGACCAAATAGTAATTTATGACTGCGAAAAGGGAACACAAATGATAACAGTCAATAGTAAAAAGTATGGTGTTGATTTAATACATTTTACTCACGCAAAAAACACAGCAATTCACAGCTCGACAAAAGTTGATGATACTATCAGATATCTTTCTCTGCATGACAACAAGTATATTAGATATTTCCCTGGACATACGAAGAAAGTTGTAACATTATGTTTATCCCCTGTAGAAGATACATTTTTATCAGGATCTTTAGATAAAACTTTGCGTCTATGGGATTTACGTTCTCCAAATTGCCAAGGTTTGATGCATTTGTCTGGAAGACCCGTAGCTGCGTATGATCCTGAGGGTTTGATATTTGCAGCTGGTGTTAATTCTGAGAGTATAAAATTATATGATTTACGTTCATTTGATAAAGGCCCCTTTGTTACTTTTAAATTGAATCAGGAAAAAGAATGTGATTGGACAGGATTAAAGTTTTCAAGGGATGGGAAAACTATGCTTATAAGCACGAATGGTTCAATAATAAGATTAGTTGATGCATATCATGGGACTCCACTACAGACATTTACGGGACATTTAAATAACAAGGGCATACCTATAGAAGCATCTTTTAGTCCAGATTCACAGTACATATTTAGTGGCTCTACAGATGGCAGAGTACATGTTTGGAATGCAGACACTGGATATAAAGTGTGTGTTTTAAATGGTGATCACCCTGCACCAATTCAGTGTGTACAATTTAATCCTAAATATATGCTGCTAGCATCAGCATGTACAAATATGGCATTTTGGCTACCAACAATAGATGATGTCTAAATATTAATTACACATTAAAGTAACCTTAATACATCAGTATTTTTATTTCTAAACAAATGTTGTGTAACAAGATTAGTGTAACTAGTACAAAGTCATAATACCTAACATGAATGAAAACATATTATGTAATAACTAAATATGAATAGATAATAGGGCTCATCACAGAAAAATTTGTTAAATTATATCTTCTAAATCAACTAGAGTTCAATGATTTGGCAAATGTATCTCAACTGTGGGTGAGATCATCGGAAAACAGCATGTCTCTCCCTAATCGACACCATTGTCATAGATTTAAGATTTGTAAATGCTTATTTTTGTAAAAAATATTTTTTATTCATCTTCATTCACAAAATGTCATACTCGATAGCTCACGAACGCCGACGATGCCGGTTCAAGCCCTGCCCCTGCCCGAGTCGAAAATTTTTCAATTTATTTTCGATTTTTAATCTGTCATGGACTATTTAGGGCACAGTTACAATTGAATGATGCCAAATCCTTCAGAATTATCCCCCCTAGACCCTAGGTTTCAGTGCAGTTATGGGTTTAAAGAATAAATTATTTTTTACTCAAATCTCAAAAAAAAAAACAATTAATCTCAAAATCGTTTTAAGGCTTTTATTATAATTGTCAGTTATTGTTGTTCACATATTTTTTTACTTTCAGTTGGTATAGTAGAATAGTTAATATAAACGATAGTATAAAGCCAATTCAATTTTTTCGGTTTTAGATCCAGAAATTGCTAGACTATTCTATACTAGACTAGAAATAGTAGTAGTAAATATATTATTTTATTTAATATATAAATTATAAACCAATGGAATATTTTATGAAATGTAACAGAGCGGCGGATAAAATTGAGGCTTTATCTGCACTTAAAGATTTTCACAATTTGTATAATCTGTGGCAACGTAAGTTATCTGTCCTAGGTGACACCATGGAAGTAAAATTTTATACACATTACACATTATTTACTAAATAGTAAATACCGTTTTGAATTTTAGATATTCCTACAAATCACACACCTTTTATTGGGAATATCAAAAGTAACACAAAATGGACCCAAGAGCAGAAAAAATTGCTAAGGCTCGAAGAAAGGTCAGTATCCTAGGGGTACCTCCTACGTAGGCTTGAACATTAACCTTCATTTTTTAACAAAATACGACTACTTAATCAATTATAGCGTGGGCATTTAAAATATATTTTGTTTCAGTTAAAAGATCACCAAGAGAAAAAGTCAAATCAAGATCCTATAAATGTTCAATATGAAAAAAGAGATGGGGTAAAAGCTGATTCTGTTATAGAGGATGCTCACAAACTGAAAAAATCTGAATTAGATGATAAAAATATTGTTACTAAGTTTGATACAATAAGTAAAGAGACAGACAGATGGGCTGATGGCAATGTAAATGAATATTATATATTTAATCAGAACTCACTTGAACAAGAAATAAAACTTTTACATCAAACTTTATCAGATTTAGAGGTCAAGTATGCTGATGAAAAAGCTAACCATAACAAAGCTAAACAAACAATAGGTTGCTTAGAGTCTGAAATAAGTAATCTTCAGAATAAATTGTTTATTCTAAACCAAGATTTAAATAAAAAGAACTTAGTAATAAGTGAGTTTACAAATAACAGTGCTATACAACAAAATGAAAACATTAATTTGTCAGAGCAGTTGGAATTAACTAAAAGCATTTTGAAATCCAAAGAAGCAGAGAATGCACATCTCCACAGTCAAGTCAATTTATATTTAAATCAATTGGAAGTGGCTCAGTTACAAATACAACAATTATCCAGTGATAATTCAGTTAATATTAAAAGTGACAATAGAAAAGAGGAAGTTCAGCAATTAAATCTGAAAATTGATAGTTTAACAAAAAAAATTACAAGTCTTCAGCAAGAAAAAGATAACATAGCATTACACTATCAACATTACATGAATGATTTGAGGGAACAACTTAATGTTTGTACATTAAAAAATGAAGAGCTTTCAAGAGAAGTTGACATTTTGTCAGACCGTGAAACTGGCCTCATTGAGCAGATTGGAAACTTGGAGATTCGTATGCAGAAGTTTAACAAAAAAGATTTTGAAATAGACACACAAATCGATACCAGTGAAATACAACAAACAGTTGTAAAATTACAGGTTTGTGAATTAAATAAAACTAATTTTGATACAATTATTTAAGATTTACATGCCAAAGCATAATAACCATATTATTTATATACTTACCCCTCTTAGTTTTGATTGTCTATGTTATTGCACATTTTAGGAAAATTTAGCTGAAAGTAGGAGACAACAGGAAGAACTACAAGAAAAATATAACAACAGTATTTGTAAGATAATAGAATTAGAAGAAATAAAAAAGTTCCATCCAGATCAAGATTCAATTAGTATAACAAAATTAACAGCTGATATGACGAGCGATAAACTAGCAGCACAAAGAGCTACAGAGCAAAATTTTAAACTGAAGACAGACATTGAGGAGCTCGAACAAGTTGTTATTAAATTGGTAAGTATAAAGCACTACTTGTTTTAATTGTCTATCTTTTAATAAAACACTCATTTATTTCCTCAGACTAAAGATAAGCTGGAATTAACAGAGATGTTAACACATGAAAAAAACTTAACCAAAGAACTGACTTTAAAAGTGGCAGATTTTCAAGAGAACATGGTAAAACTGCAAAACAATCTTAAAGCAAAAGATGAAGAAATGATACGACTGCAAAGTGAATTTCGAGAGATTGCTAAGAGCTATAACAATACTATAGATTTTAATGTTAAGCAGTCTTCAAACAATGAAATAAACAATATCAGTGAAATTGAATTGCCAGAACCTCAAGAAACCAACAATAATGATTCAACAGATTCAAACATATTAGAAACAAATAATGAAGAAAACACAAATGACAAACCCTTAGAAAACCATTGTGGGATTGCTAAAGAAGATGCTATGGTAAAATTGCAGGAGCGCTTCATGCGTATAATGGATGAAGTTGCTAATCTGTCAGATGAAAAACATAGACTGGAACATATTATACTTCAACTACAAAATGAAACAGATACAATTTGTGAGTATGTAGCATTGTACCAGCAACAACGTAGCTTGTTGAAAAAGAGAGATGAAGAAAGAACACATCAACTTAAAACTTTTGAAAAAGAATGCCATGAACTAAGGACTCTATTAGAGGATCTAAGAGAACTTCTGTTTAGATTAGCAGAAGATAAAGAAATATCAACATATCTGAAAACTGAATCCAGAATTATTGACATGACAAAGATAAAAAAATTATTAGAAGAATTACGTAACAGTTCTTTATTAACTAAACAATTTAAGAGTACAGATTACAATACTTTCTATCCATGTAGCTGTTGCTCTGGCAAACTTATAGAGGTCTAAGAAAGTTAATTTTATATCCATTATAAAAGGGTGAATACTAACTTTGCTATGTGTATTATTTAGTGACTGGATTACACTTAGTGTATATATTTTATATTTTTATTTGAATATTTGTAGAAATATAGCAGAATAACTATTTACTTCTAAAGTTTTAAGTTTCAGTATAAGTTCACTATGAAGAATAGATATAATTTGTATCTATTTCCTTCAAAATTGGTAACATTCCAATGGAATTTTAGATCTCAAATCATAAGATAATTTGTTTTTATAAAAAAAAAACTACAAATACATAGACACCATTTATTTAGGATAACTAAAATCAAATACTGTCTATATATAGTTTACGCAAGTAATACACATTTAAATAAAACACTTTAAAACGCTATATATTAGTTAAACTTATTTAATAAATGATTTTTAACTTCGGCCCGACGTTTCGGATGCTTTGCAGCAGCCGTAGTGACGGGGAGCCGTGACCGTGCCGTTTTCAAATAAGTTTACTAATGTATCGCGTTTTAAACCGTTAAAGTGTTTTATTTTAACTAAAATCAGTTATTACTCACAGATGAAGTGTTAATGTAATGGTATATGTATATATATCCTCAGAGATTTCAAAATTCACGAAATAAGTTGCCTGTTCCATAAAATCAGAAAGTCCCAGACGTGGGAAGAGAGAAAGTGGGAAGGCCCAGACGTCTACGTAAAATAATAAATTTTAAATAAATGTAACTTAAGCCTGTCAATATGTAATAAATTATTTTCTCCTACTTAACAACAACATTTGGTTTCATTTGTCTATCCACATATACACACACACACGACGGTTTTACTAACAAAAACTGAGCAAAACATTTTAACTACATTTTACTACTACAAATAGATTAATTTTATCATAAGCAACATTACTAAATATTATGACCGCTGGGGATTGACAAAAGAACGTTCCAACCTTGTATAGTTTCTTACACTTCATAATGCATATATCATATTCTTAGAATTGATTGAAATTACTTGAAGTATTCTTTCTCAAAATTATATGTAGGTAGTAATTTGTTCAATGCACCTAATAACAAATCTAAAATTAACTAATATGTTCTAAATTTCGCCTAGCACACCATGACTGCTCTGTAACAGAAAATAATTAATATAAACAAAATAACAATGTAAATATGAACTACTACAACAACAAAAATGCAAAGTCGTGTCTGTCTACCAATTTTATATAATACTCACTTTTCAATTTTCTTTTTTTGGACTACTCGTATTTGAGGTATTATTTGGCTGAAAGAAAATAATACTATTGAAAAAGAGATATTCATTTTATCTTTAATATACAACATTTTTCATAGTTTTGGTCAGGCAGGGCAGAATAGCAGGATGCTGCTGTGAATACAAATAAAAATCAATCAGCAAAACAGACCCAGGTCTGATCCTTGCTGGGAAAATAGGATTTACTATGAATAGCTTATTTATAATACAGTCATAAGGTGCCTACCTTTAAGTATCTATCATATAATACAACACCATAGACACAGCCTATTGAGACTAGTATTTGTATAACAAGCCATATAATAACATTCGACACATGAGTGTGTCCAAACAGCTCTTTTCCATTCTTTATGCAAAGCATTGATTCAGTTACCATTATAGCACCATAAACCCAGCATTGCGTGCCGACTCTTTTACATTTGGGGTCTGTCACATATATATAATATTGTCTGTAAATATTATATTATAGTTAGTTATTTATAATTATTTTTGGTTACATATACAAAAGAAGTTGGTAATGTAATAATTAAAAAAAAAGTCTCACCTTACAGAGGGTGCTACAATAACACCGATGAGAACCAACCTAGCAATTACAAGTGGGTGAGAAGGAGGCATCTCAAATATGTGTTTTAAGAAAAATGTGTTAAGCTCTGATATTTGCCAAAAAACTACCAGTTGGCTAAGAGCAAAAAATCTCATATATGTACAGTTAGGGTCCAACCAGCGCACTGGTGTCCACTGGACTGGTGTAAATTGTAGAATTGCTCTCTTTATTTTGCCAGTGGTGGAAGATATATCTCTGAAATTATAAGTAATTTTTAAACCTTAATCAGGTTTTGTACACATATTCATTAAATGAACATTTAGATTCTACTTACTTTATACTGACCCATTTATATTCCCTCATTTCTAAAGCTTTACAAATTTTTAAGCCACACCATATGCCAAGGCCATTGCATAATAGAACATCTAGAATGATTGAATCCCACCAACACTCTAAGAAATTTGGTAATAAATGAGCAAATGCAATTTCTGTTATTTCCCACATTATTGAGATAGCCCATAAGAGACCTGCATGTCTAAAGAGAATAGCTTTAAACATCCAGCCTAAGAAGTGGCCCCATGCATAAACATCAATTCTTGACCATATTACACTGATATCATTACAGTTAACTGCATATTCCTAAAACCAAAATAATCACATATGAGTCTCACAGCTTATAATTTAAGTATACTTGCTTAATGCTTAAGCACTTTTACTTTGATGTTGTCAGTTAAAAGATTGTTATAAAAATTGATCTGCTTGGTATTAGCTTACCTTTTCCATATCAATATGAAAATTTCTCAATTTTGGATCTATCCAATACATAATATCATACACAGTCGAGTAACTTTGAAATATAAGAAAAAGCAATGCCAATAAGTATAGAACTGACATGCCAAAAACAATTCTCCAAATAGCTGGATGTGGTCTTGTAAAGGGCCCATTTGGAAAAGTAAGAACTGATACAATTAAAAAAAAGAAAACAACACAACATATTCCAGACCAGATGTTATCTTGAATGTTATCTTCATTCCTAAAAGAGTAAAATTTAGTCATATGTAAAAAGACATTAATTTAAATAAGGCCAGATCAAATAAAATCATAAATAAGAAATTGTTTTTCAGCTTTTTACCCAAAAGCAATTTCTTAATTATTTGTAGTTTTTAAAGTTTTGGTAAAATTTTTATTATGAATAGTAAAAAGTTTTTCCTTATTATTATTATATTCGTGACAAAATTACTGATTAATATAGCCTAAATTAGCTTGATTTCTAAAATGAAAATAATTCTGTCTATAGTTTATGCGAGTAGTACACATTTAAATAAAACACTTTAACTGTTTTAAACCGTTAAAATGTTTTATTTAAATGAACATAATTCCTTTTTTATTTGTTTTATTAACTTCTTTAAATATGTTTGGTTTATGACAACTGCCATTTAGTATAATGCAAAAATACTGGAGTATTAAAAGTTTTGACTCAAACCAAGAATAAAGCAAGGCATTCTAATAAGTTATAAATATATAAGTAGTTATAAAGTAAATATTAATATATTTTTTAACAAATAGTACTGCACAGCAAGCAAAGTGAGTTGAACAAGAACCTAAAAAAAACGAAACTCAGTTGGAAGAACTGACATGAAAACAATAAATTTGTATTTTTTTTTATATTTTAATGCGAGATGCTGCACCAATTCTAACCTATTAGTGAAAATTTATTTTTGTACCTTACAAAAGCTTTGTAGATAACAGCTGCGATAGATACGGCTAGCAGCGTAATTGTATGTGGTTTGTAAAAAAAATTCAATGATATATCATCCACAGGTCTTTCATTAATGGAACTAAAAGTCTCTTTGATTTCATCTGAACCTGAAGAAATGCTAGTCTCCATGGTGGTTTCATTTATTAGGTGTCAATTATGTTGTATTTATTTCATGCGCTATGGATAAAAAATAATCACATATCTTTTTAATATTAAGAAATTATCTGATATCCTTTGCCATTGAATGTTTATCAAAGATTTAATGTTTCAAATATTCTACTTCTCTATTACGCCACCATATGAGACAAGCCCACAGATTTAATTCAATATTAGGTGGTAGCGAAGCTGTAACAAACTGTGTGTATTCGGTACTGAGTAACGGGTGCGCCATTAATTAACGAGTAACGAACGTTACTCCGGAAACAATTTCGTTACTCCCGTATGGTAAAATGGATACCCTGTGTGTGAATTAAATACCCAAGTACGGTAAGTACCATAGTATAAGTGAGTGTTGTTTATTGCATAAAAAAAACTTTCAACCTCCTCATTCCTGCCTCGAATATCCTAACAAAAATATTTCAAATTAAGAATATAATTATGTAATTATATATATATATATATTAGCAAAATGCTTAGTGCAGAATGCATATTTATTGCAACACTGACGTTAAAGGCCATAATAATGTATGTCATTAGCCTAAAGTCGTCGTAGATAAGTCTATAGTTACTTATTAAAGGTACAGAATTACAAATATTTCGTGTTTAACGGTACAGCTTGTCGTCATAGTGTTGCGGCCTCGTTACTTAGTTTTTCTATAATAATACGATCGAACATTGTAACTTGATTGTAACTTAGGGATCGGTTAAGTTTATGATATTAGTTTCGCTATTATTAACGATAACTACTTAATGTATTGTATTGATAAGATTTTGTTTCTTTAACCGTTACAAATGCTACAGCAACTACACATGCACGTATATAATTTTTTTAAATTTAACGAAGTACAAGAGGTAAACCAACGAGCATACCTAAGAAAATTGCCATTTCTACGTCATGCCTTCATACTATTAATGCTCGAGAACTAAACCCGAACAATTATTGCTTTAAGTGAATACCAATAAAACCAATGCTTAATAGTAACGTTATTATTACTTCTGATAATATGGTTACTTTGTAACTAAACATGTACTGCTATAACATACTTAATAAATATTAAACAGCCGTTAAATAAAATTTGAATTAAAGATAATTGGTGACTCAGTGTATAATAAACATATAATTGACAATGCGAAATAGCACCTATAAATATTCAGTATTAATCTTAGTAATCGAGTATCTTATCGATTAGTAATCTTATGATAGGTATATTGTTGTAAAATTACAAAATTTTGATTCAGACACTTCTTAAATATACATAGGTACCTCCCTGCCAACGATATAGTAGTATAAGAAATTTGAGGCATACGTTGTATTATTTTAAATAATTGCATTAATTATATCACATCGTGCTTATTTTTATTATTATCCGACGTTTAAATGTTTTTAAAATATAAAAAATCACTTTTGTCTAGTTAGAAAATGTATCTTGACGATTATTGATATAGGACGATCGTTACTAGGAACGTTTTTGGGCCCATTTCATATCATCCGCTCTAGGTTTGCAGCCAGTTAAAACTTCAATAATCGCCTCTAAGGTAGACCAGAAGTGCAATTTTTCGAGGGGCCAGTTTAACCAACCAGTGGTTATACAAAAGTAAGTCTCGTGCGGCGCAACGTGATGTATGCGGTGATGACGCCGTGGTAACACTATATGCCACTCCTGTAGCCAGATTACCCACGCCGGTAGTCCAAAATAAGTGTGCGACCATTTGTGAATCTGAAATTAAATACTGTCTATAGTATAGCATAGTATGTCTGAAATTATTCAAATCTTATTACAGCTGACTATTAAAGGCAAAAATAAATGGATTAAAAATCGAAAATAAATTGAGCTACCAGTCACTCGGTACCTCAATTGTGGAGTAACAGCACGTAACGCTCACGATGCCGATTCAAGTCCTGCCCAAGTCGAAAATGTTTCCATTATTTTCGATTTTTAAATTATATAGTGCCATAACATGTGAAAATACTAATGTTTTCAAAATTAAGGTTTATTTAAAAAGTAAATCCGTTTTTTTGATGTAACGGGACACATTTATGTCGAATATTTAATGAGACTTTTGAGTCCCGTCCAGTCAAAACCCTATTTCTTTGTACCCCTGTTTTCGAAAACATGCATCTCTCGCATTGACCACAATGCGTGTAACCATTGAGCGTTGGAGGTAGTTATTTGACATCCAGTTCTTTTCTAGGGTTATAGGTATGTTTGCAAGGACAATTTAATAAGCAGGTTCACATTACCTGATTTGTCATAGCCACAAAAATACAGCACAAATACCAGTATGATATCCAATGAAATTGTTCATGGATAGCTTCCACGTTATATGTTAATAATTGCCACACAATTTTCGCCAATACTGGTATTGTTATGGCAAAGTTATCTCCATTTGTCTCAATAAAATCGTGACGTGTTATTGAGGTAGGGTCAATATGGTGTTCTCGAAAAGGGCGCAAAAAATTCTGAAAATAGTGTAAGCTCCTAAATTCATAACGCCCATAAAACGCCGAAGTATTCATAGATATTTTTTTAAATAATTTATTTTCTTAATCATTTTCAGGATGGCATTATTTAACTAAATATGCGACGTATTAGGAAAACAGACTTCTTCTATTTCAAGATTTTTCATGTACTTTTATTTTTAACCTTTTAATCTTATCATGAATGACCTCATTGATGATAGGTAGTAGAGTAGAGTTAAAAGGTAAATTTCTAGGCCTTTTTAGGTTTTATAGACCATGGCAAGAGGGGCTTTGTCCCTGGTGTATTAAGTTTTGTTAAATAAATATAGATGTCAAAATTGTCTTAATATTACAACACACACTCTAACAGTCATCACTTACCTCAAAGAGGGGGTGGGGGGTGTTTATGTTTATGTTTATTAAATATTGCAATTAACATAGTGCCATTACTTTACATTAATAAATTGTGTTGTTGTTAACTAAACGTGAAATACCTATACCTATTATGATAAATTCATGATTTATTTACGAATAATTGTAGCTGTATTTTCTACCTATTATGCTATCATATTTATAGTATTAATTATGATAGCACATTAAGCAGATGAGTTAGAAAATCTACCATTGCACATTTATTAAAAAGTACCTTTCAAAGTTCCCAAAAATTATCATGTAAAGATTTTAAACTTAAAGATAGAAAAGTTAATTAAATTTAAAATAATGTATATAAATGTTTTGTATATATCTATATTTTCCAATTTACTTTATAATTGGGTTGATAGTACATAGTTATAACACATGCAAATATTAAAAAAACACTAAATTTTCCCTCATTCAGTATTTTTTATGGGGTTCAAGAAAAGCTATGGGATTTTAAGTGAAGACCATGCACCTATTTCCTATTAGTAACAATAATTACCCAAACCTTAGAAATAATAAATTAATATAGGCCAAAGAAGTGAGAAGTTTTGCTGTACATTGTCCATCAGCTACAATTACATGCCACTATAAAATGAAATCCTCCAAATTCAAGACGCACAAGAAATACACCAGATTGTTTTGTAGCTGTAGCCTGTGTGTGTTTTTATTAATTTATTAAGTATTTTACAACCATTACCTTGCCTATTAAAGGTAGATCTACAGCACCCCATGTATCAGCAGCCCAATGAACTAATCCTGATGCAAAATCTGCTGTTAAAACCCCAGCAAGAGCTGCTAGCAATAAAGAAGCATCAGGTCTAATGTATTTCATCATTAATAGACCTGCCATCAAACACAATGTGCAACACAGTAATACACATACCCACTCTTGTAATCTTTTCCCTTAAACCAAAAATAATATATATATTATAAACAAATATTTACTCTGTCATATTTAACCTTTGCACTTATATTTATTCTATTACTACCATCCACATTATTAGTTGTTTTAAAAAATCTATAAATTACTACATGCATAATAGATATTATAGTTGGTTAATAAACTTAGGAAGCTAAATTAAAATACTTGATCTACACATAGAAAGAACAATATATATACATACATATATAATAGATGGTAAAGATAATAAACAAAACATACAGCTATTCATGCTTAAACATTATTGATTTTATCATTCAGAATTAATAGATATAGAAAAGTTTCCAATTTTAATAGGTTTCTTTAAGGGGCAAAATAATATCGTGAGAAAATGTTCACCTGGGCTGTACAGTTCAGCGAGTTCTTGAGCTCCGCGATGTCTAGGTCCCCATCGTGGTTCTGAGCCCACTTCACTAGGTAACTGAGTATTTTCATTTGGATCATCTTCATACATTGAATGCTTTAGAATATCTTGTTCAGTTTTTACGGGAGCGAGAAGTGTAGTGGCCATACTACTCGCATATTCGAAGTGATCACAATTATTTATACCGTCTCGTTTTGCGCACGGAGACAAAGGAAGTGGTAAAGCCATCGCTTAATGAAATAAAAACAATACGAAATGACCAACAATAGGTAGTCGTTTGATGCTTAAAACTAGTCACAAATACACCATTATAAAAATATATCTTCTACAGTATACAATATAAATATGCCAATATAATTAGAATAAATGTGAAGCTAAAGAACAATTTTTAATAATATGCTACAATCGAACTCTCAGAAAATTACCCAGTGAAATTACCGTTCAATAAATATAATACAACAGAATATTATACTGAAATGATAAATTGTTATCGTTTTGTGCATAACTCGTCAATTGTCATAAGACATACTTTTTGACACTGTGATTGCTGAGTGACACAATTCCCAATAACAAGAAGAAGAAATATTGACATTCACACAAGGATCGGATTTTTTCAAATATTTAATGGCCTGGTAACGAGAACAATCTGATGTAAGCAACGATAACGATAATAGAAGGTAGAGGTTCCACACAAATAACAATGACATAAAAATTTAACAAATAGGTCGTCTTAAAAGTGGTTATGAATATTGAGGTCGTTTGGTCTATATATTTATCCCTGTGTTATCTGTGTTGCCACAGACTTCACTTTATAAAAGGTCATCATTAGTTCTCTATGGTTTGAATTCGTTTGTGGTCTTTTGCCTAGTGCTACAGCTTCGTAGACCTTTCTTTTTTGTTTTCCCTTCTCATTAGGTTACGTGGAAGAAATGTTTAGCCATAAGTTTTATTAATGTAAACCATAGATCTTATTAATTTTAATAAAAAAAGCATGAAACTGTGGTTTTTACTAAATTAATTTGAGGTAGTTTAATATATAATTCAGTGTCTCGACGTTTTTTTAAGTACGTTGCGAGTCTTAAAGGTTTAAGACGTTTATTCCATCATTTGGGAAGATTCTATTCAACTTTTGCGTCATTTGGTTTAAGTGCTATATTAATACTAGCTAAGTCAGCGACTTCGTACGAGTCCCGTCGTTCTTGCAAGTTAATCTTAAAAAATAGACATATGCTGTCGCGGAGTTTTTTTTAAGATCATTTAAAGAGAAATCATTCTTTATCTTATCATTCGGTATCTTGAACCGTTGGCGCAGCGTATGCAATGAAAACCCACGAGCATTAATAATTTTTTCCATGTTTTCGACTTTCCCGCAGCTTCTTCGCTCCTATTAGTCATAGCGCTATGTTTTATAGCCTATAGCCGTTCTCAATAAACGCTCTTACCAACACAAAAATAAGTTTTTTGTTTGTTTGAACACGGTAAACTCAGGAACTACTGGTTCGAATTGAAAAATTTTCGAAGTTGTCGAGGAAGGCTTTAGGCTCAAAACATCACGCTACGACTGAAATGTGGAAAAACAGGGGAAATCATTCATCATTGAGGGCTTCCGTTGCGTGCCCTTCAAAAAAATTTATTTGAAAATAATTTTTAACTAACATATCGCGTTTTAAACCGTTGAAGTGTTTTATTTAAACGTGTACTATTCGCGTAAACTATAGACAGTATTTAAAAAACTAAAAAGTATTTATTAAAGAATGATTCGTCTTTAAATGATTTAAAACAACATCCGCGACTATATATCTCTCTTTAAAGGTTAGGTAACTTACGAGACTCGCACTGGGTAACAACTATATTTATAAAGCTGACGAGGTTGTTTGCAAAAAAAAATACGACGCCCAACATAATTATTTCACGCGGACGAAGTTGCGGGAAAGGTTGTTTGTCTATAGATGCTTTTGTTAACTAGATCGGCTTCTGTGCCAAGTTCCATTTTGATGGCCACTATTAATAGAACGAAAACGCGAGTCAGATGTTTGGATAAATTTACACGAATATTTAACAGAAACGCATATGACACGTAACTTCTTCTATGTTGTAACTTTGTGGCAATGAAGAATAGTTGTGTATAAGAAATGATAAATTGTAGGTAAGTGTAATTATTAACCTAAGGAAACGGTCAGAAAGCTAGGCCGCCTCCTGCTACACCTACAAACATTTTATGTCCGACTCAAAGAACATTTACTTATATATTTTTTTAATTTTGTGAAACATTAAAGCTAAAAAAAACACAACCCGAAAACAAAAGCATTAAAAATAATTTAATAACTTGTGAGTATTCGATTTTTTTGTTTGCAGGCCCATTATGATTTCTACTCGATACAAGCAACCGGGAACTCTACAATCGCTATCTCTAACTCGTCTTGGAACCTGGATAGCCCTTCAAGCTGAACTTCAGTTGAATCCAACAGCGGTACTTGCCCAAACGAATCCAAAAGAAGCTCAAGCGACTTTAGCGAATAAAGTTAGCATAATTCGTAATTATTTGGAAATTCATATCCCGTGGATGCTTCACGATGGACTTGCACGCGAAGCTATTGGTGCATTGTCTGATCTATTAGAAGTCACAAAAAAATCGCAAGGTTTTAGAATATCCATGTCCAAATTTGTTGGACAAATGAATGTTATTGTTAAAATGACGGAGGTGTTGTTTACCAAATATTATACCTATGTTTCTATTGATGCAGTACCAAAAATGATGCGCCCAGTGTTTTATTCCAAGTTATATATGCTAACGGGTCTCGTATATTTAAACCTGGGCTCATTATCGGGCGGCTGGAAAACGGCTGAAATGGAAAGCTCAATAGTTAGGTCGCTAAAAGAGTTACACGTTCTGAAGTTTCTTTTTATAAATTATGATTGTACAGATAAAGTTTTGAAGTGTATCGTGGAACACTGTACAAACCTTATAAAATTAGACGTTTCGTGTTCAAAATGCATTAGGAACGAAAGTATAGAGATAATAACAAAATTAAAAAGATTAAAGAGTATCCAACTATACCACACCTTTGTTACTTGGGAAGGTTTTGTTAATTTGCTGATACATTGCAAGAGTTTAGAAGATATAGGCAGATGTGACGAAATCGGGCGCGTTTTAGAGTTCATCCATCTCAATTGTCCGGAAGCTTTACCACTAAACTTGACAATATTTGTCAGCCGTTATGCTAACAGCAAACATCTACAACTAGCTGTTGAAGCATGTCCTAATATTCGTAATATGACAGTTTTTCATAACACTTTGCAAAGCGATTTGTTAGTTCTTATAGGATTGCAAAGTTTGAGCGAACTAAAACTATTATCATGCGATTTTTACGCTGACCAAATTAAACAAGTATTACAAGTAAAGGGATGTAATTTGTCTTATTTACACTTGGAACATGTAGATCAAATTGACTTAAACGCCTTAATGTATATAAGTCAAATGTGCCCACTGTTAAAAATTTTAACATTTTATAATTGCTCCCTAATCCAGCACACATCTCTGTATACAAAAAAACTAGAAATATTACCATTCAGGAACCTGCGAAAATTAACCTGTGTATGCGGATTTACTGACGAACAGTTGTCGTTTTTACTGTCAAATTGTCTAAATATTGAATTCATTCAAATAGGTACCGCTGTGCAGCTTACTGATGAATTTGTAATTAAAATATTAGAAAAAAATCCACTTATATATCTTAAGGAATTGAGAATAATGCAATCAGATTTTTTAACAATAGCTTCTATAGATAGGATTATTCAAAGTTGTATGAGTTTAGAAATTTTGGTGGAGTTAGAAAGTTGGTCAATGCTATCAGACAGTGATCGTGAATTTATTAAGAATTATATCAGAACAAATAATTTTAATATTGATACTTCGCCAATAAGAAGATACGACATTTGATACAAAAATTGTCCTGTTAAATAGATTTTAACTAAAGTAAGAATAGAAATATATTACATATAGCAAATTGTGGGCCAATTATGCCGTGTATAAGCACGTCAAATTTATTTTTCAATAAACGATGTTTTCAGTTATCGATTTACAAATACAAACTAAACTGAAACTGAATATCTGTCTTGAGATACTGGGAAGGGACCCCCTTCCCATCTATCAGTGTTGATCCTCAGAAACCTATTTGTTTTTATATTTATAGGCAACATTTAAACCTGCTCTGTTCCCTAGTGATGTCCCTAAGTTAACCAAATAGATACATATTTTAATAATATTAGCGAGCTTATTGTTTCTATATAGTTTACTATATCATCTTATCCATGATATATAAGATGCATTTTCTGGTTTACCTTATTCCAATTCAGTGAGAAATCCAGTGCTAGACTAGTGGAATAAAATAAACCAAATCGTCTCAGTTCCACAGGAGTCCATTACCAATTTGATTTAATTGGCAATTCAATAGGAATGACTGGATTCATGTGAACTGGCCCTTGGTGTTGTTAAATTTGACTGTCTGTATTATAAAACTTTTAGTTAATTAAAATCCTTTGGCCCATAAACATTTTTTTCAACAAGTATTTACTCTGTTTTTTGTTGTTTGTTTTATTTCAGGTGCAATTTTGTTCATTTGTCTAGATACCCATATAGAAGTACAAAATGCCTATGTGGTAGGCTCATCTGCAATAATTTATTTTCTGAAACTTTTGTATGTAAGGCTAATAGGTACTTAAAATGGTTTTAATTAAAAATTACTGTATGCATTACCTTCTTTATTTGGAATTAGAGCAAACATATAAACTGGATATATTCCATTAGGAAAATTGATTTGTTTACTTTGCTTAATTCTTTTTAAATTTGCATTTTTAAATATCTTTGTGTATTGTTTCAAAGATCTAGTAACAGAAGAGTCTAATTTATCTGCTTCAGATACTCCAGATGATGTGACATTTTCCTTTACAACTATAATTCCATTTTTTGAAAGGGAGTCACTGAAAATCAAGTAAATATGTTACTCATATTAGTTGTCAATTATTTTATTGGATGTACTGTACACTACATACCTGCATTTGATTAAATAGGACACTAAATCTTCATCTTTTAAATAGCCTAATACCCATTGATTCCAAATAATGTCGTACTTTTTTTCTGGCTGAAAATCTTGTAAGCTATTATGATACAAAGTTCCAACTTTATTCTTCTCCTCTCCTACAAAGTTGAGTAGTTCTACTAAAAATTTCTTATCAGGTTCTATTACATCTACTCTTTCAAAACGGGGAGCCAGTAAATGTTTTGTTATTCTGCCGATTCCAGCCCCACAATCTAGTGCAACGTCCGTTCCTGGGCGGTTCTCAAGTAAAAACAAGTTATTTAAAAACTGCACTGATCCAGTAATATCAACGTCTGATATGAATCCAAAGCCTCCAAGAACACCGTCCACCGTGGCTGGGATTTCAGACCAATAATGTAATGCTTTATCATAATTAATATCTTCGGAATTCGACATAGACATCTTCATTCGGTGTAATTGAATGAAAGAACGAGTAATTAATATTTAAAGTAATAAATTGTTTGTTTAAGCAATGAGTATTCGATATATTTTGTTATTAACTCATAACAACATTAAAGAGAACAAGATGAAAATGAGTTTCTAAATGTCCCAACCCTAGTCATTTGGTATTGACAGATGTCAACATCATACGAGCAACCGTCACCCGCACCATCCTACTATCTATATCTAATACATAATTTCTAAAAATGTATAGGTGCTAACCGCTGAAGCCTCAAATAACTATATTATAATGTTCATAATTTTATATCAGCAAAAAATAATCTTTCGTTAAATTGATATATGTAAAAAGCAGAATGTGTTTACAGCTGGGTAAATTAAAGAAGAACACAAAACGTACATAAAACAAAGACAACAGTAACTGTCAGCCCCTGTGTCAGTGATTTATTATTAATATTTTATAGAATCGAAAATAGATTTTTTTATATATGACATACATCTTCGTCGTCGTTAGCTACGATTTAGCCCTTATTCATCTACTTAACTACTACGTCATATTATCAATGCAAACTCCTACAGGATATACCCTAAAACTAGCTTCAAATTCGCCTAAATAACGTTAGAAAACGACGTTAACTTGTTATAAAATTAGAAATTACTAAGAAAGATCATTTCCCCTCTTTTTAGAAATTTTCCACTGTTTCTTTGCTTATAGGGTTGCAGCCTAAATCCTTTCTTGTGGGTTACTATTTACTGTTACGTGCGCTGCGAAAACATTTTATGACATCCAAAAATATAAGTATGAAATAATGATTAATTTTCAAATGATCTAAAAATATCCGCAACAGCTTATGTCTGTCTTTTAAGATTAATTTGCACGACCGACAGGACCCGAACAACGTCGTGGAATGGCTATAATATATAAAAACATATGCAAAAAAAATATTGACCAAAATAACTATTTCGTCTGGACGAAGTCGTGCATACAAGGGAGTCAAATGTTACACTGTGATGTAGACTATATATAAAATTCTCGTGTCACAGTTTTCGTTGCCATACTCCTCCGAAACGGCTTGACCGATTTTGATGAATATTTTGTGCTTATCCGGTATCTATGAGAATCGGCCAACATTTATTTTTCATCCCCCTAAATGTTAGGGGTAGTCCACCCCTAAATTTTTTGACAAAAATTTATATTTATATTTTTTATGATACAAAAATACATACAATCCTCAATTTTCACCCTTCTACGATCAACCCTTATTTTTTAATAGCCATTTTAGTAATGTAATCATTTTTCGAAATTATTTATATGGCAAAACAACGTTTGCCGGGTCATCTAGTAGACTATATAACATAACGATTTGTTGTACGAATTGTCTGTTATATCTGTGACATGGTTTTATAGGGAACTGTTATTGTTGTGTCGGTTACGTTACTTTTTCTATTTAAATTCTCCCTGGTTATATCAAAATGGCCTGAAGTAATTACATAAAAGTGACTATAATAAAATGAATAACCCTAACAAGGTTATATATTTTTTTATTGTTTGTAATCAATTTATTAGAACAAGTTGTTTTGATACAAATGGGTACATTACGTATTGTCCATGCATGGGTAGGTTCTTCAATTACTGACTTTTGCCTTTGTTTGATCTTTACCAATTTTATAATAACACTGTTCATAAGATGAAGATTTGAATGATCAATATACTTTTATTGTAATTTTCTAGGAAGATTTGGAAATCAAGCTGATCACTTCCTTGGAGCCTTCGCTTTTAGTAAAGCTCTAAATAGAACTTTAATTTTACCACCATGGGTTGAGTACAGATATGGAGAAACAAAATCAATTCAGGTTCCTTTTGAAACATACTTTGACATTCAATCGTTAAAATCTTACCATAATGTAGTTTCAATGGAAGTGTTCATGGATCAAATAGCTTATAATATTTGGCCTTCAGATAAAAGAATATCATTTTGCTATACACCAAGAATTGGTGACCAGGAAAATAGTTGTAATGCTAAATCAGGAAATCCTTTTGGACCATTCTGGGATACCTTCAGCATAGATTTTGTTGGTTCTGAGTTTTATGGACCCTTAAATTATGATGCCTATAATAAACAAATGATTAAAAAGTGGTTAGATAAATACAACCCCTCAAAGTGGCCAGTTTTGGCTTTTACAGGTAGATGTTTCTTTTTAACCAATAGGAAATTAAAAAATATATATCTGTGTTTAGATGACAAGATCATAATAAAATAATTATTCAGTTAGTCATTAATGATTCATGACTTGTTCTTTTAGGTGCTCCAGCTAGTTTCCCAGTGCAGGCAGAAAATGTTCATTTACATAAATATGTCAAATGGAATGTTAAGATGAAGGAGAAAGCTAAATCATTTATTAAGCAAAATATGAGGGGTGGTGGATTTTTGGGTATTCATTTAAGAAATGGTCAAGATTGGGTGAGAGCTTGTGACCACATAAAAAACAGTCCAACATTATTCTCCTCCCCACAGTGTGTCGGGTACAAGAACGAAAGAGGACCTTTAACATTTTCTATGTGCCTACCTAGCAAGAGTGAAATTATTAAGTATGTTTTATGGAAATGTGTTCCAGAAGTAGTATATTTTTTACACTTGATAAAAATCAAGAAATGTTTTTATGAATTGCTATGTTTTCTGTTAACTAGCACATTTGAGAATTTTTGCTTTCAATTGTTGTTTGTATTAGAGTCAAATTCAGTAAGAAAAGTGATTAGACTTTTCTATTTTTTATTGTAAAATTAATAATGTTTTTGATTAAACTGATGTTACTTTTTCAGGCAAGTCAAGAGAGCATTAAAAAAATATGGAAATATTAAATTTATTTATGTTGCATCAGACTCAAACCATATGATAGAAGAATTCATTAGTGCCCTTAAAGATTTTGAAATTACCTTTACTAAGTACACCCCTAGTAATCCTCATATGGATTTAGTAATATTGGGACAAGCAAACTATTTCATTGGAAATTGTGTATCCTCATACTCAGCTTTTGTAAAGAGGGAAAGAGATTCTAATGGTTTGCCATCTGAGTTTTGGTCTTATCCAAGCAGAAAGAAACTCAAACATGAAGAATTATGACACACCCAACAAATAATATCATAATAACAAAAACTTTACTGTAACATGAACATTTATAATTGAATGAAATAAATATAAAAATTAAATGTTTATTTAATTACTACTTGCCATAAAGATCTCTATTGTTTTGTAATAAGCATTAATGCAATTTAATATCTCATTTTCCTTTTACCATTCTGAAGTTAAAATTAATCTGTTGCACCTATTTTAGGAAATAAAAAAAAATATAGGCGCAAATCTTTATTTAAGCTTTAACAGCGTAAACTCTAGGTGGGAACAAGGATTTTTTCCTAATTTCTTTCCTTGTTTTAAGTTTTGCTTCATGCTTAGTTAAAGCTTTTCGCATAGCACGCGTCTTCTTTGGCCTCAAGTCAAGAGGCTTGTATTTCTTGTTCTTATAGTGATTACGAAGGTTAACCTTCATTTTTTGGTGGTAGACAATGTAGACACGGGCAATAGCCTTGCGTACGACGCGTCTGAAATTAATATTAACATTTTACATCTAGATTAAGGTTGTTAGGACAGGTACTTTGGTCAGAAGACTCATTAGAACTGCACTGACTGAAACAGTTTACAATTAATGTTGGATATTTTTTTTTACTTATTTAGAACAGATTAACTGTTGTAATTAGTCATTTTTCTACATATTGGTAGACCTGTAGATAAAATTAAAATTCCTTTGACCTTTTAAGACTATAAATAATACACAATGATGATAACTAAGATATAGATAGGTTAACTGTTAGTTACATTTGTGCCACCATAACACTGTAATGTTTGGTAGGATGACCATAACAATTTAAAGAAGTAAATTTATTTACTTTTAAGAGATGGCAAAATGTATAATCATATATTTTCGTTTGAAACAGCTACTTACATTTTGGACAGTTTAGAAGCAACTCCTCCTGTTACTTTAGCAACTCTAAGATTGGTTAACTCAGTTTTCAACTCTTCTAGTTGTTTGAAGAGTTCCTTCTTATCCTTCGTCCGCAATTCAGAGCACTTGACTTTACCCTAAAAATATTAAAACATGTTTGTTAAACCGAGTCTTACTTAAATATGAAATACTTACAGGATTGGTATAGTTGCATTGTAAATAAAACATCAATTTGAGGCCGGCACAAAATAAATATGAATAGGAATATATATTAATTTTAATGCACTTTTGAATTAGACAGACATTTATATGAGGCGAAAATTGATTACGAGAATAATAAAAGATTTAAAACATTTCTACTAACCATTTTTGAGACCTATAACCACAATGTTTTGACATAAAAGAAATCTTAAGTGTCAATGCTGCCAGAAGTTGGATATTGACATTGACACAATGACAATAAAATCTTTACGCAAGTCTATGCCCCTTTCGAGTAGCAATTATTTTGACGTAAGAAGAAATATAGACTATTTGTTATATTTTTCTCTTGCCGCCTGTACGACCATTCCTATTTTTATATTTCTTCAATTTCCTCTTCCTACTCGTGTATCCTATCTATGTATCTTAAGCTAAATAATATTTTAGGAATATATCTCATTTTATATTGAGTAATAACGTTTAATGATAGTGTTTATATATTTCCATTCTTCTTTTAGTTTATATATCTATATATTATCCATACATGTGAAGTTTCCCTACCTTTAACCACAGCCTTTTTATGAATATGACACTGCCAAATAGTAGTTATTTGTTTACCATTAAAGAAAAAAATCTATGCCCTCAGCTTAAAACTGATTTGATTCGTTTTTAAGAATCGGGCAAACCAAAGAATGAAATAAAAACAATAAACAAATTAAAATAGCATGATTATAATATAATTAAAGCTGCTGGGTCCAGCAGCAACATTAATTTATATTTATTTTTTGTTTGTCATATCAAATAAAAGGCTTTTTTTTTCTATAGGTAAAATAAAAAAAAGTGAGAATGGGGTGAACACGTTTATGTGGTCGTTTCAATAAGTTCTATTTTGACTGTCCGGCCCCTTAACCCAAAACAACCTCCGTTTCTCCTCCCCCCCTTTTTTTTTCCCCCGCGCCCCCCCCCCCGAGAGGGAAATTATAAATTTTTTTTATTTCATTGACATTGTACGTCTTAATTAGTTTTTTGTATATATGAAATTCTGAATTAAGATTACTAAAATAAATCAATACTAAATAATTTAACGTTTATGGCTGGATATTTAGAAATCCATAGACTAAAACTGTAACTCGTAATTTACATTTGACGGTTTTCTTTTGTATGTGATGGAATTTTAATATTTTCAAAACAACCTCGTTACAATTAAATATAAAAAAAAATCAAAACAACGTTGTAATAACCATCAAACTTAAAAGATTATTATACACCGTACGGGAACTCTATCACAGTGTTGCCAATATAAGGAACATAGTTTTATAAAAATAGCACTAATTGCGTCCGAGTGTGTGAATTGTATGAGACTTATTTAAGACTCTTAAATAAGGCTCTTATTAGGCATTATCCTACAGAGTACTTATTATTAGTCTGTTTTTTCAATTAAAATAATAAAGAACAATCTACAAACCAGAGCCTATTTATTACTTTTTAATCGAAATAGTCCCTAATTTCTATGTAAGGGGAATTTATATATTTCTTTACTAGCTATACCAGCGAATTGGTCTGCGTAAAATAGTTATTTTAGGTATTACAATTTGTTTTAGCAAACGTCCACATCTTTAAAAATTATATCTGCTACCCACGACGTCGGTCGCGTCACGTCCTTGTTGCAAGTTTTTCAGATCATTTAAGTAGAAATCTGTTCGTCGTAGCTTCTATTCGCAGCGTGGCGTATTATAGCCTATAGCATTCCTTGCTCTAACCAACACAAAAAGAATTGTTCAATTCGATCCAGTCATTCCGTAGATTAGCGCTTACAAACAAACACTCTTCACTCTTATAATTCAGTATAGATAAAATAAGATCCTGGTTATTGATTTTTTTTATTCGGGCTATTCATTTTTAGTATGATGAAAGTGTATGCAAGGATTTTAGGAATATGCTTTTATGTATATGTCAAATACAAATGTGTATCCAAAGAATACATTTATTTAATAGCAGTTTATATAATAGAAATTTAGAAAAAAGTTTGTTGTCACACGTACGTTTTTTTCTATAACAGACCTGAAAAAAAATCTGATGCATTTTTCACTGTACTTGAAGGTAGGTTATTTATCATGTCTCTTCTCTTATTTTGTTTTTCATTGACATTTATCAGATCATCAATCGATTCGAAATATGAAATGTTCCAAAATTTCACATCATCATTATGTGAACTAGATGCAATGTATTGGCCATCATGGCTAATGTCCAAATTTTCTACTGGCAGATTATGTTGACCAACTATACCTAGTTGGCGTTGTGGAAACATATGAGCAGCTCTTACAATACCATCTTCACCAGATGAAACAACAATATTTTGCGTAATAGGAATCATACACTGGATTGAATGTTTCTGTCCAATATATTCATCACTGTGTAATCCAAATTCTTTCCAATTGAATAGGTAAAACTTTCCTGTTGAAGACCCTGCTAACAATTTGGTTTCTGTTCTAAATAATCCTAGACATGTTAATTCTGCTTCATATTGTTCTGAAGTAGAGTAAATTTTACTGAAATTAAAAAAATAATATAAAATGACATTCACATATTGTATTTTAATGCTCTTTTACTGGTACATGCTGTCACTTGTTCTTTATAAGATGTATTACTTATATATTAATTCAAAATTAAAGCATATATGGTATAAACATTTTTTATGTCCATATCACAGATTGATCAATACAATGCTGACCAAAAAGAATATTATTTCCCAATTTACAAACCTAACTCAAAACATGTTCAAACACTAAGCCAAACAGGCCATTGAAATGAATTATAATAAATTAGTTTACCTAGTTACATTAAGCTTAATTTGTGCCCTTTTTTTTATCAAACTTGTATTGAATATGGTATATACCTTGCTTTTAAATCAATTGAAGTAAGAATACCATCACCACCGGCACATACTAAGTATTTCTGAGCTTCATTTGTGATCATATCGGATATATACTCTTCCCCAATTTTCAAAGTAAATACTGGATTCTGACTACGCAGGTCCCATAGTTTTACAGTACCACTATCATCACCTAAAACATAATATCAAAATGCCTCTTATTTTAATTGACCATAAAACAAATTTGTTTTTAATCATAATACTTATAACCTATTGACAATTTGATTTCGTACCTGTAACAATTTTATTATTATCTAAAGGTAACAGTTTATACACTGGTTCCTCATGTGCATTTTCATAACACTGTCTTAACTTTCCAGTTTCCACATCTGTTGCCATTATAACTTTATCCTACAAAAAATGTGTATTTATTTTGGTAATACAGTGAGATATGTATCAAATGATATTCATATTATCAGTGATTTTCACAAGTCAGTAACTTACCTTAGCTGTAGAATACATAACAGTTCCATCATCGTCAAACTCCACATCTCTACAGGCCTTCAAATGCAATTCTAAAGTTTTAACAAGTTTGGTTTCTTCATTACTATATTCATACAGAAGTATATCTCCCACAATATTGGCAATTGCAATAAGGTTATTACTAGGATGAAAACAGATATCAACAATAAAATCCTCTGTGTTAATGGTTGGTGGATGATCTCTAGGTTTATTTTTTTCTGCTTTAATAGCTTTAACAACATCATCATCATCTTCACCAGAGTCATTTTCATTCATATCTTGACTATTGCTTGAATCATTATCTAAAAATCATATTATTATATGTAGATTATATACCACCACTTAAAAAAGAATTAAAGTAAAACTGTCTTAAGTAAAATACATTTAATAAAAAGGGTTGTGAAAATTGGTTCTCAAAAGTTTGTAAGCTGATGAAGACCTAAGACCTTAAATTCCAAACTATTTCTCTTTGCTACTGCAAAGAAGTTCATTTACAGCGAGGAAGTTGTGTCATAATTCTTACCAGACAACCCATGATTATCTTCATCACCAATAACATTTTCTTCACTGAAATTACTGCTGTCGCTATCATATTCGTCCGATGAATCTAAATTCCGAAATCCCATAGTCATTTTTTTAATTTATTTATAAGGCAATTAAATTTTGCAGTGCTTAAATTTAGCTGAAATATTGTGAACTCATATTTCTATATGCATTTATTATGATTGGAATTTGGAGTACAAGCATTAGATTCTAGGCTATAATGTCAATTATCAAATGTCAATGAAATAATGACAGTAAACAAACTTACTAAAATATTGTTTACTAAATTCTTTGGTAGAACTTTGATAATTAAAATACATAATAAGGACATAATACAATCATATTGTAGCAAAATCATTTAGTTGATTACAATTTATACAATTATTGTGTAGAAAGCTTGACGCACGCATCACGTTTCAAATTATTGTGACGTTTCGTTAAGCATCAAACTCATAAGTCATAAATAGGAGGGATTTGAGTTTCTGTCAGTGTGTGTATATTATAATTATTTTAACTTTTATATAGATATTAAAACTGAAAACAAGCTTGCGCTGTTTGCCCCGCTCGGACTGTATGTCCTGGGAGGCATAGCCTCTAATTAAAAATAGTATCTTGTTTACTGAACAGGCTCCGCAATAAATTTAAAACTTTTTTATTATATGCTTTTAATATTGTGTCTCAAGAATTTGGATTATAGTTGCCAATGGTTTGGTTTCTGTACACATCATCTAAAGAAATCATTATAAGGGGTATGTATTTTTAAGGTTTTTAAGACGTAATTGTACACCCAGTATTATCCTTTTTCATTTAAGGAATCATTTTGTGAGGAAATAATTATCAAACCAAGGACATTAAATAAACATACTGTTATGATTATTTATCTTATCAGATTTTAAAAACATTTAACAATTTCTTTCATGACACTTATTTCCTCTTTCTTCTATTTCATTTACTATTTGTGGTGTCCTATCCACATACGCCTTTATAATTTTGAAAGGTCTTTAACACACAATTTTAATATTTTTTTATTTTTCAATATTTAAGCTAGCCCGCATGACTTATGTTAAACCTCTTAAGTAAAATATAATGTAAAAATTAAGTTAGAAAATAATACAGATTAAACCTATTAAACATGTGTGTTATGTAAATTCTTTTGGTAGGTGTTAAAATAATAAAACAAATCTATAATGGAATTGGATTTTCATTTTTCACACAAATTTTATTCTTCACAAATATGTGTATTAAAGTACTGTATACTCTACATTCTCAAAAATAAAGAATCTGTAGATTTTTAAACTTAATTACGAATCTCTCCTTATCCTGTATATTTAAAAATCGGATCGTAATAATTTACAGCACTTTTTATTTATTATAATAGTGGAATATTTTCAAAATACATAGACATAATAATGACTGTTGAATTAATTCAGTCTATCTCTTTCTAACACCTTAACTACGTAAGTCTGGGGCACGTGCATTCGACACGCGACTGGCGTGCGTCGCTGTTAAGCGAAGCAGCGTGACCCAGTACTTGGAAGGTCCCACCTTCCACGTACTGGGTACGCGTTCGCAGTAGTTTAATCTGAGTGTCTCTTTCTTTTGCTAATAATTGTTATAACTTCGCAAAGCATCTGAGTTAGTATGTACAGTATTATTGGACACTAACTAGTGACTCCTGGGGTGATATTTTTGAGCAATATTTCTAATCCATTTTTAAAAACAGCAAAAATGAATACTCATCTAGTACTTTCTGTCATTAACATGTTCATTCAGACAAAAAAATAATTTGTTTTTTATTTTTAATTTTCTCCTTTTCACATTGCCAGCACCTACCTTATTGCCGACATTATTATATTTTATCCATTGTACGGACAGCATATGTACTGTTTAATTATAGCAATTAAAATATTAATGCACTTATACAGTATTTAATAACTATGTACATATTATGTACATTTGTTAGGCTACATTTATACAATTATTGAAACTATGGAGTATCGATTCATATTTTCGAAACGAGAAAGATTTTCATTTTATCTTTTCCTTAATTTATTTTAACTTTACATTTATTTTACTTTAAATACTGTCTATAGTTTACGCGAGTAGTACACATTTAAATAAAACACTTTAACGGTTTAAAACGCGATATATTAGTTAAACTTATTTGAAAATGATTTTTAACTTCGGCCCGACGTTTCGGATGCTTTGCAGCAGCCATGGTCACGGGGAGACTCCCCTGTTTTATTTTATTTTACTTTAGTAAACAACAAAAAAAAATGTGGGGGCCTAATCTAGACCGTAAACCGACATCATTTTCTATTTATAAATTTGTATATTGGCAAGAAATGAAACACTATTTTTTTCCATGTTTATTAATTCGTATTTCCTAAAAATAAAAAGTATACAAGGTAAAGTATAAAAACCTTCGGTTTGGGGTGTTAGGCCTTAAATTGAGCATAGTTAGAAGTCCATTGTTGTTAACATAAATAGTAATTTAATTAACAACAATAAAGAAAAAGTATATACTTTTCGTGACACGTGACTCGCAAACACGTACTATAACTTTGAGACACGGGGAACGGAAAAGTTTTCGTTAGCAAAGTTGCGAGTTAATCAATATTTTGCGACTTTTGCCAGCCTCGTTAATTAATTTTACTGAAAGTAAGGCGAAATAACGTTATATTTTCTGGTATATAACATAATATATTTATTTAAACCAGATCATAATTTGTATCGGTTCGAGTATGGATATTTTGTATTTCCAACTTTATTTTCCTTTCAGGTCAAAAATGGACTGGGTTCTCCGTGGTCCCCAAATCCACAGCACATTCAGCAATCTTGGATTTGCTCATCCAGAGGGATATCACATAAACGAGAACTGTAATGGTAAGCTAAAAATATATTTTACATAATGTCGTTAATACTTTAAGATTATCTTTAGTTTATATAGTTTTATCTGCGCGTATAAGTCAGACATTTCCATTTTCATACGAGAAATGTATAATTATGAAAAGAAAATAAAAAACAATTTTCTAATGAAATAAACTAATGTCTCTAATATAATAATTTATTCATAATATTATTAATGAGATGCACCACCAAACTCATTATGAGCCTTAAACCTTTTGGTCTGTAGTGGGCCATTAAACTTCTTAAACGAAAAGAAGTCGATAGGAAGCTGTAAATGAAGGAAGACGTACATACTCGTAGTATGCATTTTCAGCGTCTTATTACTTTTACGTTTAATTAAGTAGGTATGTTCCCGACTTCCAGCTACTTGCATCTTGAGTATCAACAACAACCGTACGTTGATGATACGTATAAGTGACGAATAAATGTGTCTAACCATTGTTTATTTCAGCTGCCTTGGAATCAATTTTGCACAACATACTGACAGAAGACAAGAATTTGCGAACCTACAGAAGAAGTATAAGTTTTGGACAAAATATAAAGAAGGATCTAATACCGCTCTTAATAAATGTAAAAGATGATAAAACAATAGAGTTACTTATAAAGATCCTTGTTAATTTGACAATTCCAGTGGAATGCCTGCTTTCCGTTGATACCATTTCTAATACAGAAATTGGAAAGCACACGATATTTGAAATTAACAGTTTACTCGCTTCAACCAAAACAGCGTTCACGGATCACAGAGCGACTAAAGTTATAATAGAATTTCTAAAAAAAAACTCTGATTTCGAACAAAAAACAAAGTTAGCCTCAGAGCAATGTTTAAATATCAGTAACACGCTACTGTTTTTGCGAAACATTCTTCATATTCCCGAAGATGTTAATAATATGTCCTGTTACACCGGCTCACCGCATACCATTCAAAATCAAATTTTATGGAATCTGTTCAGCCAAAGTATCGATAAAACCCTGATAAAGCTGATGACGATTCAGGATTCGGTAAGTTACTGTTTAATTTCATTAAACTTGTTCAAACATAATTCAAGAAAGAACGTTTAAATATTGTATCTAAGTTAAACATTTTTACATAGTATTAGGTGCCAAATGTAAGGTGTAGGTGATGGGTTGCAGCCTGCGCGTGCAAATCTGTTAAAAGGGTTAGTTAGCTTTCGACAAGGTATATATTTGATTTTTATCAAAATCTCCTTTCTTTTTACTACTTATTTTAACTCAACACAGCACAAAAAAAGTGAGTGCGAACTTGAGTTTTGTGTTTGTATTTTGCTTTTTCACCAGATAAATTGGGGGGTGACAATGGTTCAGCTAATAGCTCTGTTATACAAAGATCAACACGTGACGACGTTACATAAACTTTTAAACATATGGCTTGAAACTTCGTTATCTGAGAGCTCTGAAGACAATGAAAGTAACACATCACCGCCAAATAGAGGTTAATAATTTCATTTCTGCCAATAAATACTTTTTTTTACCGTTACGGACCATACATTATTGGAACGTTTATATACTGTGAGTAAATATTTTTAGGGAGTGACGATTCATCTCCCATGTTGACATCAGACCCTACGTCTGATTCGTCTGACACAGGTGGAAGTGGAAAAATGAACGAAGGCTCGAATTCACCAAATAACAGCTGGGACTCTACTACTAGAAATATGAGCGAGCAAACATTCCAATCGGACACTTTGCAAGATAAATCGTGCCTCCTTATCGAGCCAGCACCGAGTGAAATGTCTTTCGAAAACATAAAAGATATAAATGTAAGTAATCAATAATATTAATTGCATAAAATTTAAATTCTTGTTTGAATGATTGTTATCCTTTAAATTTTTTAATATTTTTTAAAATGAGTCAGTAAAGAATAAATTGTGTTGTGGGTAGAATACAAGTACAATGACGAACGATAAAGACCAGACTTTAAACCTTGAAAAAAAAATGATGACGTCTGAAACGTCGGACTGTGGTTATGGCACGCAAATTGAGAACCAAGAAGTGATATCAACTTCCAGCAATGAAGACGAATTGCCGAGCAAAAAGCCAGTTCATCAAAAACCACATAATCCTAAACAGAGACCAAATAATAAAGTTCGAGCGAGCGTCACCATTCAGGAGAGAAAACGAAAGAAAATTGTAAAACGAGGGAAAGCTAACATGTCAGTATTACTACACAATTATACTTTTAAAAAACATGATTTCAGGGATTTATTAAACAAGGACTTTTAACGGTTTACAACGCGGAACGCTGTTGCAAAGCCAGTTCGCATTTAAAACGTTTACATTTTTTTTCTATGTTTATCATGCGAGTAAACTATAGTATATCGCTGTCGCTTAATCATTTTATGTTAACCCATATTTTTTATACCAAAATTTCCTATCCCTTCAGCACGTGTTATGTGGTCTAACGCCCTTGTACTTTAATTTGAAATACATATATTATTAATTCTCGTTACTTTTCAGAATAAATGTCCAAGGACTTACACATAACACGCCTACTGACGAAGATATTTCGAACGTGCTAAAAGAGTTTACAGTCGATTTCCTTTTAAAGGGCTACAATTCGTTAGTTCGAACTCTTCACACACAAATTTTGACAAACATGCAGTTGGAAATCGACACGTCACACTTTTTCTGGCTCGTTACGTACTTTTTGAAGTTCGCAACGCAAATAGAACTGGACTTGGAGCATGTCAACTCAGTTCTGTCGTTCGATATCGTTCTGTACTTGACAGCGGAAGGGGTGAATCTATGCGAACAATTTGAACTAGCTATTAAGTTGAACGGAAATAACTTGAAACCAAGTATTCGCAGGCTACATCTGGTAAGGGTTTTCTTTCTGCTTCTCTCGGATAAATTACATTGGTATCTATTATACTTTGGCTTATTATACCCGTTAGTATGTTGTATGTAAATTCTTGGGTCTAAACAATTTATTTTTATTATTTTTCTATTGTTACATATTAACTATAATTTTATTTGGTTATAGGTGGTGACAGCCATCCGCGAATTTGTTCAAGCTATTGAGGTATATAAGAAGTCGATACACATTTGTCAAGATGATAAGGAGGTTCTGTTAAAATTACAAATGAAGATGTGTGAGACAGAAGAGTTGCGTTCTCTGTTGGTTCTACTACTTCGTCACTACAACCCCAAGTATCATTCCAAACAGTACCTACAGGTCAGTTTTAAGATTTCAGCATTAATTAGTCTTGAAAGAGTTTTTTCTTTGATGACACAGTAGAGACTATTAGCGTATAATTTGATTTCTCTACCAATTAAACTACCGTGTAGGGAAGGAAATAAATTACCGTGGAGGGGAATTTTGACCTTAAGGCGCACGTAATAAAGTTTAATGTAGTATGCACTATTTGACATTTGACTGTAAAAAAATAAATTACATTATATTTTATTTTTTATGTTTCATCACCTACCTTAGAAAACTTGATGCATTATTTGTTGCAGGATCTAGTTGTTACAAATCACATATTGTTGATGTTTCTGGATAGTGTTATGAAATTACCCGAGTACAAAGATTCTGGAAAAATGATTAACCATATAAAACAGTTTGTAACATTTTGTTTGTTTGACTATGATGAATAAATTCACTAGAAACCCATTGACTGCATGAGCAAGTCGTAGAAATAGATATTGTAGGAGGATGTGTCATGTATCGACCTCCTCCGTCCCCCTCACTACAGTTACTTCCACAAAACCTTGTGATCAGTCACCGGGCTGATAGATAAATATTCACAGTTAAAAAGACTTCGCGGACTTAATCCTCCGTAAAGGCGGAAAGGGGAAATGGATAGAATGGTCAGCATATGATGTGGACTGATCACCTGGCTTTCTACGGTGTCTCCAAAAGATAATAATAATAAGACTTCGGGGCCTCGAACTTTGAACTTTTTTATAAAGCTATACTATCTGTGCAGGTTTGCTTCGCCGGAAATAATGCATCAATATGGACTCTTGTTAGAGGATTACGAAGGCAACGGAGAGTTTGTGAATGACTGCGTCTTTACTCTGATGCACCACGTTGGTGGGGAGCTCGGATGCCTCATATCATTATTCCAACCAAAAATATTGAAGACGTTTACGTCAATATGGAAGTCTGAATTTGAAATTTGTGACGTATGTTGATAAAGTTTTGTATATTAAACTTATACTTAAAAACATCTCTTACTAGGCCTTAAGAGACCGTACAGTACAGAAAAATAGTTAATAATAACATTAATTCATATATCATATTGAGTGGTAATTAACTGAACTTATAAATGACAATTAGTTCCTTATGAAGTTACAAAAGATAAACACTTAACGGTTAACACGCGATATATAAATGAAACGGTGAGCCGTAGTAAAAATAAATAAGTTAACGAATGTGTTTTATGTTTTAGAAGGTATTTATTTCAATAGTTGCTTATTATACTTAGTGTGAAATCGGATTTACTTTACGTATATTATTACTATGTTTGAGCCGCGACAATGTTTACTTATGCAATGGTAATTTTCGTTTTTGTATGGAGACTCGAACTTACCTCGTGGGTTTGAAGAAAGTTCATCATTTATTTTTCGTTTGTATACATTTGTAGGATTGGTCAGATCTTATAGAGTACGTCATAAACACGTTCATCAAAAAGCCGCATAGCCTTCAGCGGACTGCAAGTTTCCGCTTGGATACAGAGAGTTTCGATGACGATAAAGCTCTCAAAGAACTCATTGAAACTGAAGAGCCGAAAAGTCAAGATATGACGGACGACCCAATGATGATGGATGTTGAACCAAATGAAATAGACAGGTAAAACTATTAAATTATCCCATAAATTATGTATTTTGTGATTATTATTAAATTGGCGCTAAGGATATCGAAATTCAGTTCGGGTCGTGCCTTTCCTATCATAAAAAATGAATTAAAAAGCTTTTGTATCCCCTAAAATACACAATTTTAATAAACATGGATTTTTAGCATATGCTTGATTTCACACAAAAAAAAAAACTTATTATACTATACATTGAAAGACTGTATTTTTTCCCGCATATGATTATTATAAATATATGTTTTTGATACAGCTGGACTGATGAAGAACTCTCAGCCTTGAATTGGATCTACATGAAGAGTAACGCGGCTTCCGACGTCATTGCTGAAATCATTAAACTATTTAAAGAAGATGGAATAATTAAATCGCGTGAAAGTGTAACCAAACAACTTTACAAGCAATCTATAATAGAGAAAGCTCAATACGATAAACTGATGAAGGAAGAATTTGAAAAGAAATCAAAAGGCTCTGAACCGAGAGACGCTAAAGACGACGATATTGGCAAACTGTGTGAACATATTACTAAAGATGGAAAGGGTCAATTCTTAGACTGGGTACAGAATGTTTTGCTAGAAACGTGCCACGCTAAAATCATATTAGAGAAACTAAGGTTAAACAGAGAATCTGTTCACACAGACTTACCGATTGAAGGGAAGATGAGCTTCCATTCTATACCAAAAAAGGCTGTTAAAGATTTACCTGTTATGTCCGCGGTCTCCTACCACTCCCTATGTATGTAAACCAATTGATATGTTTATAATAATTACAAATGTCTTAGTTTACGCGAGTATTCTTTAAAAAAAAAAATTATTGAATAATAAGTAAATTCCCGTTTCCCCTATGTGCGACGTGAACCTACTTACTTATTTTGTTTTCGAGATACAAAACCGTGATCTCGCATCGTTAATGTTATACTGGGCAATAGTTAAACAAAGCCTTGTTCATAATTTTCAAATCTTTTATTGCAGTATTCAACCATTCCGTTGCTTTGGTGCCGTGGAATTGCGACCAGGCCGCGATCTGTAAAGACTTAAAATTTTTACAATTGTTACATAAGCTCGGGTTTTATATGCCAGTCGACACAGGGAAAGTTTTTATAAGAATCCCATACTTCTGGACACCGGAATTTCTGTACGAAGTGGCTAGTAAAATTTCCTCTATTGACACCGGTAAGTTTCAAAAACTTTAATATTGTTCACGTCGTATTGCATTATAATAAGATCACTTATAAATCGGATTTAGAAAAAATGTCATCAAATGCACGGTAGCGCAATTGGTTAGAGCAACAGCACGGAACGATGTGGATGTTGATTCAAGTCCTATCCGTGTTGTAAATTTATTTCAATCTAAAATCAATTCTTAGATTTCTTTTCGTTTACCATAAAAATTGACTATAATTCGGATGTTTTTCTCATTTCGTCGGGTTTAGTAATCTAAAACCTTATCCTTTTAGCCAAACTGAAGTTTTCACTGAATGACATATCAGATAATAGTATTCTGAATACACCCCTGCAAAAGAAAGTCGTACTGGCAGACCAGTCGAGAGACATGCCTATCACAGTTATGCCAGAAAATTTTTATCAAATCCATAAGCAAAAACACATCGCTGCTATTGTTAATTATACTCCTATGTAAGTAGCTCTAGCACTAATAATCATTTATATATTCAATATATGTTGCCTTATATTCTTTAAATATATATAGAAAATAGCGCTTTTTCTCTAGTTTACCTCAATCCTCTAATGCATCCTTAAAATCGAAATAAGAAATTATCTATTCAAGATATTTTTTGTTCATTAGCTAAGGTTGATCAATTACAATCTTTATTATGAAGGCAATAAATGTTCTTCATTAATCCTATTATATTAATTTGAAAAATGACAAGTAATTTTTGTTTATTTATGATTTACAATTTTTCACTAATTCAGGCCCGGATCATCATTCAATACAACTGAACAGACTGGACCCACTTGGCTACAGGTTGTTCAAAAATCTCAAGAATTTAGACTAACTTTGGATCTAGAAAGGTTATTTTGCTTTTTTATATAGGATTAGTTTAAAGAACACAGCTTATAAGTAATTTTATGAGATACTATACTACTTTATAGTATTTGCATAGTTTATCATAAAACAGTTTTAACGGTTTAATGTGCAAATATATTACTCAACCATAAGACGACGCCCCGGTTGTAGGGATAATATGAATATATTGTTTTTTAAAAAATGGATTTAAATTTAATCTTAAATTTTCAGAACGTTGATTCACGATACGTCGAAGCCGCAAGATAGCGTTCCCAAGGATCCATTTACCATCACAACCATGGTCCAAGATATCACAGAGGAGCAAGGTGTGGGCTCGACTGGTTCGCTGGTCACTGCCGAGACACGGGCTAAAGAAGAAATTGTTACTTTTAACCTCAATCATGATTCTGAATATTGCAATAATAGGTAAATGTTTAAAGTACTTTACTTCTTGTAATTAGTTAAAAATTATTAATCAGCATGGTCTAAATGGAAAAAAATAAACTCTGCCTATGTTAGCTTAAAAACAAATCTTATGTAACCAACAATTGGTCTCTGAGATTAGACATTATGTTCAAATTCAGCCTTATTCACCATACTAACAAGACCTTGGCTTATTATAAATAATATATAATAAACCAAAGTCTTGTCTTATAAAATATTAAATAAATAAGGCCCGTCAAGAACTAAAATGTTATAGATCTTTATTTAAAATCTATAAAATTATTTCGTTTCATTTAGAACTATTTTCTTATACGTTTAGTTGCTGCGAAACGGCGTCAGTTGCTTCGGATCTCACAAGAATGTACGTGTCGGATGAAGACGAAAAACCAGAGATGGTTCACCGGCCTACGGCGGATAAACATTTCAACGACTCCATAGATTTAGACAGCAGTGCCGGCAAACGTCCTCGTGTACACTTTACGCAACCATTTTGCTAACTCGATAGAGTGTCATCGTCTAACTTACACAAATATATAAGTTATAATTTAAGTTTTTTATCACCGCACTTTGTACACGTGTATTATTATTTCGATATCTTCTGCTGCTCCATGTTTTATCTTTTTAAAATGTAACGAGGCTACCATTAAGACATGAAATAGCCGTTTCCTAGTAAAGTTGCTCAAGTTTCTAATGCCCTATTTACTGATAGAAGTTATACTGCTATATGGCCATTGTGACACGGCTAAAATGCTTATTTACGGCGTTTTGTTTTTTTGGTGGACCTATAACTTGCCTCGGTAAATATTCTTCAGATGTCTTTACACCAAATATAAAACAAATATTCTAGTACGCTCTTGCTTTTTCATGCAATACAATACAAAAGTTGTCATATAGGAAAGTAGTTATGGAGATACGTTAAACCCATATTGTCATTTTATATGAATATTTAATTTTAAGACGAATATTCGCTTCGTTGTAATATTTTCAAGTATACTATTTAATAACGTTTGGCTTTAGATGTACAAGAGAGATCGAATTTAAATACACCTTTTTAGGTTTTGTTGTTAATTTTAAGTTTTATTAATATTTTAACTTAGAATGTATTCTGTATTACTTATAACTAAGGCTACGGGGTTTGAGGAAACTATCTTGCAACGTGTAAATTATAAGACAATTATAGTTCATATAAAATATTTGTTTCGAAACTCACTTTATTAAATGAAAACTTAGTAACATTTTTGAACTATTTTTAACGTGATAAATAAATACACATCTAGCAACTTTAACGATAGGCAACACTTAAAAGCTAATAACAAAGCCATTGCATTCATCCAGTTTTTCATTTTGATGATCTTCCTTATCAGTGTAGGTACACATTTAGAAATAGGCATATAAGGTACGATGCGGATTCGAATGTGCTATCCTCCATACCGCACTATCTCAGCCATCGACTTTTCTCCGATATTCTAATGAATATATCTATTTGTCTATGCACGTTTAGCGCGTTTTATTAACTAATTCCCAAATGGAGAACTCTGGGTTAAAACTGGGTTTCCATTCTTTAAATTTCAGCATTTTAGTAAGGTTCATTATATCTTTTGGAATCCGTGTGGAGTCCGTTTGATCCGAAAGAATTATATTGTGGTAATGCTTCTGAATACTCATCTACGATCGGTGCATCATAGTGATTGTACGTTGGGCTGTTATAAGAGTACTCTTGCCCGTTAGGCGCAGGCGCATCGTAATCGCTCTCTTTCACTTGGTAGGAGTTAATTCCATGATTCTGATATTCGTCACCGCTCTGCTTTAAACCTTGCTCGTGGTCATGTTTCAGTCCAGCGTAAGGCGCTTTAACTATATGTGGAACTGGAACAGGATATGGCTTATTTACGTGAACCGGATATGGCACCTTTTCTACAACTTTGACAGGATAAGGCACGGGTATTTTAACTGCAACGGTTTTAGTAATTTTAATAACTTTAACGGGCGTTTCCGGTATTTCAACATGTTCCCCGAGGTTGTGTAATTCGGTTTCATATCCTTCAACTGGTATTGTATGTGAATGGTGAGACGAAAGGCTTGTGCCAATGTGAACCAGTAATAGGATTATAGATTTCTGAAACAGAGGAAAAAGCATAAAATAAATTATTTACATTTAAAAAACGACTATCTGCATTTAGAATAAGTGGTGCGTTCGAAGATTTTCATCTCCCTGTTTTGAAACTGTACAATATAAGATATTTACCGCTACAATATCACAGATATACTAGTACTACACTAATAAAACATTCAAGTATCGGTAACAATTTCCCTTAAGGGTAAAAATTACCTTTACCTCTCTCTCGTTTACTATGTGACGTAATGTGAATTGTAACGGACATTATGTTTTCAATAAGAAGTCAGATTTACGTAACGTTACATAACGTACGACTTCCGCTACAGAAAATAAAAAAGAATTATAATTACTAACCCGTGGTTCCATTGTGTAGCGAGTGATTGTACGACCAAGGCGCGGTAAGAACTGTCTAATATAAAATAAAGAGACGGGCTTTTATACAGCACGTTCCAACTGAGCTTTTCTGTTAGTTTAACAATTACTTTCTTTAAACCGTTTGTTATGGTCTTTGCAACTAGTGTAGTCAAGGGACATTCTCCATTTTCATTAGGTAAAGCAAAATAATAAATAAAGAATATATTAGGTCACTTATTGTATGGTATAATAGGAATAATATTGAAAAAATAATTGTTTTTAAGTTAAACATAACTAAAAGCACATGGAATAAGTGAACTTTAGTTACCATTACAATATGTTTAATGCATGCGAGTGCAATTCAACAAGTGAAAAAAATTGGATTATAAATTTACTAGCAACTTATTTTATTGAGGCTATAAGGCTAAAATAAATGAGCATTATCTGTGTAATTTATTCAACAGTGTCATCTTGCAAGCGCAATCATTGATCACACATCTTTGAATTATCAACTTTTAGAACAGACTGAAATCTGTTTGTTGACATTTCACTACTTTTATTAACATAATAAGAAATAATAACAGGATAAGAATAACAGTTTTTATTAAACAAAAATTATATGGGCAATTGTTTATTAAGTTTATAAAGTAGTAAAAAGGAATGCTTAAACTTTCATTCTGTCTGACAGTACTCTAACAATGGATCCTGCCCCTCCAATATTATAAGCTTTTTCATGCCACAGAAGAAGATGGCCACTGGAGCCCTCAGATGGATATTCAAAACCTCTGTAGATGTATTTCATTAAAATGTCAATGTCGTCTTGAGATAGACAACTAACAGCCTCTTCAATTTGTGCAGATTTGATAGCTAATAGGACCTTCAAGGTTAAAGCCAGGGCATTATCCTGCACAAAATTAACAGTATTATATTAAAAAATATTGAAAATGATAAAAACAGTATACATAAAATACTTACTTTTATTAGCTGATTAGAGGTACCTATAGGTGCATTGCCTAAGACATGTTTAAGAGCATCAATATATTTTCCTGTATACATACATATAAGGAAATTATAAATACATAAAAAAAATCTATTATTACCTTACACATTTACTTGAATAATGTACTATTAATGTTATGTTATAAATTTTTAATTTGATTTAACTTCTCTAATCCAATCATTTGATGGAACTGATTTTTACTTAAATTTTTTTTAATCGAGTTTTATACACGTATATTTCAAAAAATGCAAAAAATATATTTATGAAAAAGGATATTGATTGAGTAAAGCAGAAACTTCTCCTTCATCGGGACCCCCTGGAATTAATTGTTCAGCTTCATCTTCTCTAAAATTATCTTCATTGTATTGATCGATATCAATTTTCCGAAATGCTGAACTAGATGTGTTTTTAGCCATAATTTTATCTTAAAATATGAAGTAAGTTATTTTTTATTCTCCAACAAATTTGTATAATTCTATAGTTTCATAAAAATATTGATGTTAGTCATTGCGTGCACAGACTACACATTAACTATATACAGAGCTACACGTCTTTGTTCGTGACACTTGGTGACAGGTAATAATAATTACAGACTATAAAGTATATGTTAGGTAAACTTCACTAAAATGTATCATCTGCTGTTTTCATTTCATTTTAATAATACTTATATACAAATGTCTACAGAACGGCCTTACAGTATTATTAAAGTATGACATAAGATATCACACCTACTAATTCCTATTCTAAAAGTTTTAATCAAAACCATCGAATATTTGATTACGTCTCAGGTTTTAAGTTATAATACATAAAGCTATAATACATAAAGCTTATAAATGGATAGACGCGTATTTACAAGCTTCATTAAAGTATTTTTGATCGCAGCGAATCATAGTCACAGACCACCATAGACTTTCAAATTCGATTGTATTAGCTTTTCGTTGAAGCACTCGTCTGTGGTGTTGTGCTCATATAGCAGTATATATCTGTGAAATACGTTCGAGTTATTTGTTGCTTTTTCCGTTTACGTAAAATTCCCTACTAGTGTGTTTCTTGTTACAAAATAAAAGTCGCATCCTAGGGGTTTTGCCATGTTCATTTGTTCGCGTGTTATCTAAACATTGAGAACATTTACTGTCTTTTATTTTAAATTAGAATCAGTTTTTCTAGTGACCTAGGCAGCTGCGCTTAATTACTTCATCATAATGACAATGGGCGATGAATTACCCGTCACTTCCTTGGTTTTACCAGTTCTTATACGTCCAGTATTATCTCAGGTAAGGAGTAAATTATTGTTTTACATTTACATGAAATCAAAATCCATCGTTTCCTGTATGCGTATTACATTCTCACTGAATTATTATGACTGCTGCCTAATAGAGTTTACAGTTCTGTTTTAACGTCCTGGTCTAGAAAAACATCATCTTCGATCATATGACTGGGCTTTTTTTAAATTACTTTTTTTAAAGGAATTAAAAAGGATAAAACCACACATGTATCAATGAATAAAACAATTTAGGAAATATTGCACTGAATCAATTCCTTTTCAGGGTACTAATCCTGTAAACTCTTAAGTAAATTTTACAGGTTTACTCTTGATCATTCAGTATTTGTCTTAGCATATGTTAGTTCACTATGTTGATTCTTTTGACTATGAGGCATAAGTTTTAACTTTCATTATTCTATTATTAAACAGCTTGAAAAATACCATGTTGGTGGATCTCAGACATTACGTGCAGCTCTAACTAAAGCTGAAGCTGCAATCCCTGGTCTTAATTATGATTTGGTTGCTGGTATTATGCGACGGGCGGAAATCCCTGTAAACATGAATGAGAGTTTGCTCCGCTTACAAGGAACATTGACTGAGGCCGAATGTTAGTATTATATCATTATTTTTGTATACAATAATTGTATTTTTATCTAAAATCAATGAACATTTGCTGCAGGTACAGATTTAAGACTGAACAGATCTGAAGAGGCTTTCCAAGAATTAAATAAAAAGTCTGCAGCTCTAAAGAAAATACTGAGTCGAATTCCTGATGAAATAACAGATCGTAAAACATTCCTGGAAACTATTAAGTTTGTATTACCCTTATATCTAATAAGCCTTAAGTTTTATTATTTAAGTCAAGATATATATCTAATATAAGATAAATAAAGGTTTTGAATAATTATAATAATTAATATTTTCTTTTAGAGAAATTGCTTCTGCTATTAAAAAACTTCTTGACGCCGTCAACGAGGTTTCAACTTACACTCCTGGGCCTGGTAAACAAGCTCTGGAACAGAGAAAAAGAGAATTTGTTAAATATTCTAAACGATTCTCAAACACTCTTAAAGAGTATTTTAAGGAGGGACAGTAGGTATCCTTACATAGAAGTGTTTATTACTTTATTCTGTAACAGCTTCATTTTTATGTTCTTTTTTTACAGGGCTAACGCTGTTTTTGTCAGTGCTTTGTATTTGATACACCAAACAAACCAGATACTATATACAGTAAAAAGTAAGTCAGAATGAACATGAATAAGGGAGCCATTATTTTGATTCACTATTATTATTGTTTATAACAAGTATTATTTGTTTAAATTGATTAAAATGTTAATTTTTATCGGAGTTTAATAAAGATTATTTTATATGGTATGTCAAAATATACTTCTAGTTATATTATGTTTTTTTGTGAGTAAAACCTTAATAAAACATATAAAAAATGTTTTAGTATAGAAATATTTTCCATATTACTTAAGTCTTAAACACCAAATCTTGTTAAATATAGCAATCCTAAAGAGTTTTAACAAAAATAAGAAAAGTACGGAGAGGCTTTTTTCAAAAAAAAATTTTTTTTTGGCAGTGTCAATGTGTAGAAACACTTAAATTAGTATTGTAACTCGGCTCGCAGCCAAAAAAAAATCTCTTGCTAAATTAAATTCTTCATAAGATTCAAGAGTAAAAACTCATATAGACTCTCTTATTTATTAAATCACCTACTTATTTTGTTAAAACGATAAAATTTAATGTTAAATTAACATAATCAAAAAGGATTGTATACTACCTTATATGTAGTAAATAAAATAGAAAAATAAGATTGCTAAGTAATTGTCGTAGTAATAATACATTATTACCGTTATATATAGAATAGCTTCATATATTTAATCTATGCAATTAAATAAGAATTTAATTGCTTAGATTACAAAAAGCCCAGGCACGTCGGTTTGGAAAATAGCGCCTAGCTATAGCAAAAGCAATCTTGGCTCAGCACGTTAGGCGCAATTAATTCTGGAATTAAATAAAATTCGACAGTAGTGTACAGTTGTACTAAGTCATAAGTAACATTGTACGTTGCTGAAAATTGTATTATGTTGATTTTAAATAAACTTTGAACACATTTATTGTTTCTTGGTTTTTGTTGTTGCTTTCTTTCACTAGTAAGTATATATAGAAAAATTCCGTTATAGAAACAACAATGATCAGTTCCAAAAACTAGTTCGTCAGCATAAAAGTAAAATGTAAACAACACATTTCCAATTCCTAATATAATATTTAAAAATTTTTTTTTCAGACAGAAATAGGGCACACTTGATAAAAATTGTAATTAGTACAGCGATATAACATCTCAACATGATGTACTGTCGGCCCATCTTTGCTTTAGATATTCGACAAACTTCAGACTGAAACCGACACGCAAATTAAACTTTATGGCTTCTGTGCACGGTGGTTCGTGACTCGGACAGAAATTTCGACATTCGGACTATTTCAGTACCAGATTTTTCTAGACAATGTCCAACATGTTTCAAAAAAATAATGAATTGTTTAAATAATATTGGACCCGGCGGGAAATCAAAACCACGAGTCTGACATACATAGCTAACCTACGAGCTCAGAATAGCCCGATGCAATAGTTTTGTATTAAATATTTTTGAAAAGCGAAAGATTTGAAAGAATATGCAGTATCCATATCCGTATGCAGCCGTGAATCAGCAGCAGCCGGAATTTTCAGTAATCTTAGATACAGCACGTATCGTTCAATTGATAATGGTAATGTTATGGGGTATAGAAATTATCTACGGAACAATAAGATCTACCTAAAACCCATTTGATATGCATGAATATCCTTCTTCTTGGACCAGGTTGTACCTTTGGACAATCGAATGTTTGTTGAGGGTCGATAATAATGTCGTGACCAGCTTGATGCGGGTCATGAAGCCTCCTCTGCGATTCGTCTCGTCGTGCGACCGCCAACAAAAGCCACTATTTTGTCGTGCCGGGTGAACTCTACGCATCTCAGCTCTTCTAACCGTGACACTTGACACAGCGTCTTGCGGTTCACGAACCTTCTTTTTTATTTATAAATCTAATAATAGAAGTTCAACGTGTTTTATTAATAAAAGTGTGTCACTTACAGCTTGTAAATAGTAGATACCTATTGATCTAACCCAAAGCATTTCCTAACACCACGGCCGCATTTTTACTCATCTTTTAATGAAACAAATATATTTTCTCATCACTCTCATTAACATCTCATTGCGGTCGCTGCGGAAATGATAAAGGTTAAAGGTAAACCAAGAAATATCTTACTATAAATGATTTTAAAAATTCCGTGACAATAAATATCTGTCGTATTTATAGGGATACAATTTCGACGAAATACTTCATATCGCAAAAAAAACTGTTTGCTAGGTCAGCTAGTACTAAATAAAACTAGCAGGATGTCTCCGCTTTTAATAGCTTGCTATGATATTTTATTACAGTTTTTAGCTCCACCTAAACATCACAATGGGCCACTTTCATTCCGGATCAACTTCGGTTCATCTTATGATCTTAACAATGAACAACGCAGATTACTTAAAATATTCGTGGTTTAGCGGAGGCGTCATTTCAGTTCTACTTTTCCTCTAACTAATATTATACAAGATGAAAGCGTATGATATGCTAAGTGATGATCTTTCATTATAAAATGAGTGAGTTTATTAGAGAAACGAGCTTTATGTATTTGTTAACGCGTGTTTCTAATGCTTTAAGTCAGCTGTAAACACGAAGACAATTGACACAAAGGATTACGGTTGTAATTCTGCATGGAAATCTATAGTATGTCTGTCTATATCTATAGTCCTAATATACATCTAATTAAGTGTCAAATCTTATGCTTTCCACTTACGAAGACACTTTTGTTTTGCCCTAGTTTCTATACTACGTACATTTAGTTTATGCTTAAAAAAGGAATCGATTTTATTGACTTTTATTTATGATGCCCATTTCAAAATTACCATAGCAGACTACTGAAAAAGCTAGTTGTCAATGCAACACGTTCTGAATTGATTGTCGAGGAGCATCCCGTAATTGTTGCACATCAATCTCCGTTCTTGGTTGCAAAAACAAGCATTTGTTATTGATCATATTAACATTCGGACCCGATAACCGAAAATGTTAGTGATTTATACCAACTATTCAAATCGCAGCATTATACGAAGCGAACTGCATGAAAGTTCAACAACGGAGTTTAATTCACAACTTTAAAATACGTACGCGGACGAGTTTATGTGTGTTTAAATAGAATATTCGATGTATAGTTATCGTAGCTACCATAGTTGGTACTCAAGAAATCTACTTATTTAAGAGTAAAGTTATCAAGTTTAGTCGCCTTTCGGTTGCAGTCTATGGATTTCCCAAAATCCATAGACTGTATATGGGGTATTTTACCTAGCTTCATTCTTGCCTGTTCTATCATAAAAAGGTACCTATCAGTGAACGTGAGTGAAAACCATGAAAGTTGTTATAGGATGCAAACACAGATGCTGTTGATTCAAAATTCCCTTATTACTGTTAATGATTTTCCAGTCAAAAACTGACTGGTCTTTTCACGTTTTATTATATATGCAAAGATGTACATGTTATTTCAATTGCTAGCTATATTGGTATAACATTTTTTAAAGATTGGTTAAGTAAAGAACATGGAGGTACAAGAAACATTCGACCTCAACGGGTAGCATTTTAAATGCTTATAAGTGTGAAAATCATAAAATATGTCACAGATAAAAAACGGCATAAAACCGCCGGGGGTTTTATGCCGTTTTTTTTTCTCTTATTTCGTTGCAATTGCAAACTATTTTTCTTTTATTTAGTATAAAAATAAAACATTAATGTACTAATTCATGACAACGGAGCTGGAAAAGTTTTCGTTGTGTATTTGTTTTTATTAGGGATAATAATTAAATTAAAGATGATTTACTTTACTACTTATAATTAAATTTATTATATATTTGTAAGATTAATTTTAGATTGAAAACAATGTATAGTACCTATGACATATTTTAAATTAGGTCTAAAATGCAGTTACAAAATAAAAAATAATATAAGTTAACTTCAAAATCCTCTTATGATATATGAGGAATTGTTTGCATTGTATATTGTTGTTTGTCTCTCCTCGAGTGGTTGTTTATGGCTTCAAAATGATGATGATAAATAAAACCATGTACTGAAAAATGACTACGAGTTCACTTGTTTTACATTGTCTATACGAATCGATATCTAGGAAAATATTGATGTAGTCGGACGGGCAGTCACATATATTTCCTTAAATCTTTTCAAAGTTGATAAATTTTACATTTTTCAGCAGACAGATGTGTGGATGAAATGTTGGACGGTATAGCAACCGTCTAATGTCATGCGTAATACAATATTAATGGAGCATCTGCTGAAGCCGGGGAGACAAGTCTTGAGCCCGAACGCATATGCAATGGCGTCTCCTGGCGCGATCGGCAGGCAAATCTATGCTAATCGGACACATACTGAATAATGTGCTGTTTTGACGGGTCAAGTGTCTGTTTCTTGTATTACAATATTATCGTCGAACAGAAATCATTTTAACAGTGTTATAAATGAATTTAAATTATTCAAAGTAACGAGCTCCATTTTTTATTCAAATGTAGTAGGTATACTTACAGAATTCTGAATGCAAAAAGCGCACAATAGTGTATACTTATAGCGCTTCTAGGAAGCAGACAAAATGAATAATAAAATCTTCCGTTCTTTCGAACTTCTAGTTTTGGCTTGTAACGGTATTGTGTGAACCAGCGGATGTCGTTACCGTTCAATTAACGTGAATCGCTCATCGGTTCAGATTTGCGAAACAGTTCCCACAGGACGCAAGAGGGTCACTCGTGGGACAACACTTCTATTGTCAGCGGTTGCGCAAGCGCCGGGTCCACCGCGGTAGTGGGGTGCACCCGGTTGGGGCATCTGTTCCCTGTCGTGGGAGTGTGCATGGAAACTGATCGCACATCACCAACAATAACACACAAATCAATGAGGCGACGGCTACAGTGGCAGGTCGAATGCAATACGCACCCCTCTGGAAGCTGTGGGAACCGAAAACTCAATTAATAATATCATTCGCTTAATCCCTTTTCTCAATGAGTAGAATTAACATTTGGTTATTTTTATTAAACACAGGTATGCAATTTGACCGGACGTATGTTTATAGCTCTTAACTGTTACAGCGAACTAATGCTATATGTAATTTATTAAATAATTCTATATGCTGTTATTAAGGATACTTATTGCTGTAGGGGGATTATTATACGGAACTAAACATTTTGCATGTTCTATAATGGGTATCATTGATTTTAATTATTTTAAGTAGACACTTATTTTCTTTACGTTTGGCTATATGTTATCTTATTGACGACGACGGGCTCGTTGGTGTAAGGGTAGCAAAGTATGGCTAATAATTAACTGGTCTTAGGTTCGATCCCCACCAGAGGCAACATTTTTTCATCAATTTATAATTTTTTTGAAACATGTAGGATTTCGTATTGAAATCTTAAATAGGTGGTAGGAATATCGAAATTCCGTCCGGGTCACGAACTTGAATTTTTTATCTGTGGACGGTGAAAAAGCTTAAAAAGTTTAAATAAAACTCTTTAACGGTTTAAAACGCGATATATTAGTTTGAACAAATAAGTTTAACTGATATATCGCGTTTTAAACCGTTAAAGTGGTTTATTTAAATGTGTACTACTCGCGTAAACTATAGACAGTATTTAAGCTTAAAAAGCTTAAAAATCGAAAATAAATTGAAACAATTTTCGACTCGGGCAGGCCTTGAACCGGCATCGTCAGGTCAGAGCAACAGCACGGAACGCTGTTTCTCTGACGATTTTTTATTTATTTATTGCGATTTTTAAATTAAAGAGTGCCTTCATGTGCAACAACATGTAAAATAAAATAATAAAGTTTTCAAAGCTGTAAAGTGTAATCGCGTTTTGGTTTCAGTCTGTAGATTTCCGAATATACAAAGCCAAAGATTTTTAGATGCTGTATGACTGGGGTATTTTACGTGTGGACTTACTTGTCTGTCCTCCTCTATTGTAAAGATAACCCTATTCTAAAGAGGTTACTCATTTAGGACGTGTTTCTTTTCAAATCCGACATAAAGATTTCCTCCAAATAACATCAATATGTACTTACTAGTAGACTTATGTTTTGTGTTATGTATTCATCTTTTTAATTAAAAGTAGTAACCTGATAATCATTTTATAATAACAAAGGTATCAATTGGAAAATAATACGTTTTAAGTTAATTAATATATTTGTGTTGAATCATCTTGGCATTAATATTCATTACTCACGAATGAGGGGTAAGGTACCATCATACCATCGTAATACGCCACCTGACGCTTTGGCCAACATTGCGTGACCATAGAGAACGTTATTGTGGGTGAGTACTCGTAAAACAATTTTGGATAAATGTGTTAATAGTGTTACTATGTACCAATTTTTTATGTTGCTTACTTCACATATAAATACATCAAAAATTAATAAAAACTGATCTGAGAGCGCAAAGACGATGATATAAGTTAGATTTGCTCCTTCATTTATCCAAATTCTATTCTGACTTAATCACGAATCGTATGGTGAAATTGCCATTTATTATTGTATGCTTTCGGCATTCAATAATCAAAATTTTTTAATTTTTACAAACCATAACCATACAAACCAAGTATTTTATCGAAATTCCCCTGGGATTTAAACAAAACACTACAATTTATTTAAATAATGGCATGAAGTTTCGGGTGCTAACAAAAGCACTACAGCTTACAGAGTTTACTAACATACTGCGTTTGAAACGGTTAAAAATATTTTATTTAAATTAAATTAACTACAGACGGTACTTCTCCTGCGATTATTTTCAAATTACTATTCAAGTAAGGCGCTAGAAAAAGCTTACATTCATATAATTAATGTCAAAAAATCTGATTTAACGGGGAGACTATTTCTACCTTCTTGATTTAATTACGTCAATTGAAAATTGTAAAATGTGACTGCAAATTTAAGACATAAGTATTTTGATAATACGAATATTTATTTTCCTTCATTTCTATTCCTATTAATAATAAATGGCGTTACACTATTTTGATTGTTACAAAAATTAATGCAAAAAGTTTGTGTATCATAGATGTACACATGAAAATGTTAGGGCACAGAGTACAAAATGTTCCGGCCCATAACTTTTTGATGATATCGTAAGCGCGTGCGGCCCAACTGTTGGTAGTCGCGTGCCTGACTAATAAGCTCTTAATGAAATTAAGGACCATTCGTTCCAAAAACCATATTGTTTAATGTTAGGGATGATTCTCCAATTAAAATGCAATGGTACTTATGAGTATATTTCAAATTATTTTCTTTATTTGTAGATATATAACTATATAATCTAATGTTAGATGTATATGTTAAAATATATTACCAAATAATACTAAACTGTTACTAATACATGCTTATATGTAGTAATAAAAGGCTCTGAAAAACTTAATACTAGAAATGTTTGTCATAAAAATGAATGTTGCGCATTAAAAAAACGGTTAACTCTTTTGCTAGATTTAAACGTCATATCCCGTTTTAACTGCGCAGGGGCATAAAAATAATGATTACTAATCAATTTTTTTTACAGGCAAGTACAGGTTTTAGTGCTCTGTTAAACCCAAAATATTTTGCTTCGAGCCCAGGATCTGTCGTGCTTGTCGAAATACTTTTAATCGTTGAGTAATACTTATATTAAGAAATAAATCGGAAATGTTACTATTTAACCTATGACATTTTATAGAAAGTATATATGCACTTGCAGACTTCGACGCAAGCGCATACTTAACACATTTAATTATATTTATTCAATTTCTGATCGTTTCGCTATCTGTTTCCTATACGTGACACAGAAATGTCACAAAGATTTTCTTTATCCGTTATCAGGGGAGACGATGTTTATTTACGGTTTGCTTAATGTCACCTATTCCTGAAGCGATCCCCCAGTATTGCGTAGTTATGAAAGAACACGTGCGCTAAAGCAAACACATGTGTGAGTATTCACTGGGTTCTTTCAGTACGGAACTTATAAGCTTACTATTATTAAATAATAATACGGAAGAGAGGCAATTAAGGCACAGTGAATTGCACTTTTGTTAGAAATGTATCTAACAAAATTAATGTCTATGTCATAATAGTTTGTAGGGTATTTGTATATGTATTTGTTAGATTTTGGAGTATTTACAGTCGTTCACATAAGGGGCATCTCCCTCCTAAATTTGACAGCCAACCAACATCAATTTAAAAGTCAAATATTATATTACATAACTTATAGCCCACGGACTTGGGCTTGCAAGGGTAAGGTAATCTTTCCTACCTGCCATCTTGGTTCTACTACGTTAAGGAAATATTAGTCATTTAAATTTAAATTAATTCAATAAAAATTAATTCAAAAAAATAATATGTCAGGAACAGGGTAACGAGTAACGACTATTTCAAGCCACTCCAGTATGTTCGTCCTGGGAAAAGACTTCGGCACACCTGCTCAAAGCTTCCGATTGCTTATTGACTCTGTAAAGAGAACCCTTAAATGGCGTCGATAACGACAATTTTGTGCATTAAAATTCAAAACTAGTTCAATATTAATTCATCATAAATATGCACTACTTTTTAGATCTGGTTTCTTTTGTATTTTGTATCATTTGCATTTTGTACCTTTTGTGTGCGTTCGATTGAATTTATTAATTCATGAATATGTAACTGGATAGAATATTTTTAAATAATATTAATTCATTGTCGTGAACCATTGATAGAATCTGCATCTGATTTAGGTATATGAGAAGTTATTGTACACACATGTGTCACACTATTAGGAAATCAAAAAAATAGAGTTAACAGATATGTTATGTATATTTTAATTTACTGTAACATTAACATATGTGTGATCTGTGATGCGATGAACGAGAACCAGGTTTTATAATTCTTATTATAATAAAATAAAAAGCAGGATTCATTAACGTGTAAAAAATTGCTGTCCTTGCCATTCTTAGTATTTTTATTGCGGCTAATTCACTATTTCTACGCCTAGTAAGTAAGTGTTTCCAAGAAATCGATTACAAATTTCTAATTCTATACAACACTGAGCCTAAACATATGTTTTAGCACGTTATCTTTCTTAAATACTTTATTAAATTGTCGCCTCTAAATGAACGTAGTGTGTCCCTTATTTAAATCTATTTTAAAAATATATAAACGTTACAGACACCTCATTTACAGATTTAATGGCAATAAAATAATCACTTTACTGCCTGCGGAGAACAAATTAGCTTCAGTAAAGATGTTGCGTGCTACGGTAGCTGACCGCAATAACGTGAATGGTTTGTTAAGACGAGATAACTCGTTATTTGGTACGATTGAATCGAGATTGCTCTTTAATTTCGTCGTCATTCTTTTTTATTTGATAAATGAAAAAGGCGGGTTTTTAGCATTATAAACATCTGAAATGTATTTGTTGACGGTAAATATACGGAAATATTATACTCGTTAAAGACTGTCAATAAAACACGTACTTTAACTGAAGTAAAACAAAATTGGCTACGCGTTGTTCTTGTCTTTTATCAAATAATATAATCTTATAAAAATAGCAATTCTTCTTCGTCTTAGGAAAGTAATGAATACGAATAATTACATTTCTAATTAATATACTTCTTTGATAAATCGTAACAATAGTTTTAGGAATTAACAATCTCTACTATAGTTATAAATTTGTTTTTAGATGGTATCTGTAGTTGTAATAATAATGTATAATAATGGTGTAGTATAATTGATAAGGGATGACAATTGACAAAAAATGACATCAAAGGGTTTCACAGATAATAATTGTACAAGAAGAAAATAAAAAGTATCCTAGAAGATAGATAGCGTAGGTACTGTAAAATGGCCAACTGTTTGCCCATTTCCGCAATTGACTTGAGATTGCAAACAATAGAATATCGAACAAGTGGCTGGGCGTTGGTTGTTGTTGTTGTTGGTGTAGCCAACCGATTAATAATAATAATTTACAACAAGATACTACGTGGCACGCG